ATCTTCGCCATGAATACCAAGTTGACTCACCTGTAAGTAAGCCATAACAGGTTTATTCAAACTGTATTATTTCAATGAAATGCACTTATCACAACACTTTTACAACATCCATTATTAAAAATACTACTACCTAGGTCACTGCTCCATGTTTAACCTGCAGTGATGATATTTATTAATGATGATTAAGCCACGATTCATTCACAGATAGAAGGTGAAGACGACGAGATAACATAAGATCACATAGCGACGATATTTTGGTTTTCAGTAAGCGAGCATTCCAAAAACCGAAACGTAGAGGTGAACTACAGCATGGCCGATTTGATATCAGCGGAATACGAACAAGATTGTTGTCATTCCGTCCTGAGTGAAATGCAAATTGGTGACGACGAGGTGTCATGGCGGGTTGAATATTAAAAACCTTCGATGCTTCACGTGCCATGACCGTTTCACTCCAGCATCCACGATAGGGCCGTTTCCATTTGAATCTTGAAGATGAAGAAGTTAGTCCAGGATTTAGTTCAACATCCATATGGACGTTGATGTCAATTTATCAGGGAGAGAAAAACAAAGATATTCATGCTTAGTCCATAAGCACACAAGCCGCAATACAAACAGCTTTCGCTTCAAGGGAAAGAAACTGCTCTGGTGAACTCTTAAAGTCGCAACTTTCAAGTCAAAAACTTTGTAAAGACGAGAAAAGTGGACTAAAATAGATGCTGACATAAAAAGAGTCGGAAATAAGACAGGAAAATAACGAGCATAAAGACGCACTGCAGCCATTGTTCGTTGGATACAATCTGTCCTGTAATGTCCAGCAATGCACCAGTAAAAGCATGGAATGATATTTCTATTGGCCGCACTGCAAGGTACTTGAAATACCGCTCATAATCTGTGTAGTTTAAGATTGATGCTACCGCTCCCATGTCGACTTCCATCCGGAATTCTTCAATCTGCACAGGGACCTTCATAGCAGGTGCTGCAAGTCCTGACTAACGCAGCTCTAATTTCTAACTCTCTTCCAGAGTGAAAATGGACCCGAAAAATTCATGTTCTATGTTCTCCTGCAGTCCAGCTTCTGAATCCTGTTCCGTGTGATGTACATGTTGTTTGCACGCCATCTCTTTTGGTGGTGGTTTTGCATTGCGACACTCTGACTATCTGACTATGACCCGTTAAATGGCAGTTAAAAAAAAAAAAAAAAAAAAAACCCAAAACTCTTGTAATTACATTTTTCTGGGGTGTGGTTGGCTAACCCACCGCGAAAACAGCGTTTCCTTTGGTGACGTCGACCCACTGAGCGGCCGCGTGAACACGCGTTGTCACGCTTAACCTGATTTACGCCCGACGCAGAACTTTCACCATGAGGATTTCCTCCAAAGTGTCGTACATCCTTCTACCCTATTTTTTGGTCGATTGCAGCGTCCCCTGCTTCTTGAAAAATGAAGTTGGCCGATAATCATTTTCCGCTTAATCTGCTCCGCGCGTAGCCCGCAGATGAAACGATCGCGTAAAATATCATTTAAAAGCACGTTGGTGAATTCACATTTTCCCGTGACACTTTTTCACCCGCTCACAAACTCCACGATGCTTTGCCCCGGTTTCTGATTTGCAGAATAACATCGGTCTCTCTCTACGACTTACAAGCGAATGGGCAAGTAATAACCACTCAGCAGCGTTGCAAGCTGGTCAAAAGTCTTTTTATTTGTCCAGTAAAAACATATCCTTTAAGACTCGATAAGCACCACTTCCAAGAGATGTTAAGAGTATTGCTCTTCGTTTAGCGGGACTGTCCGTGTCGTTCCTAATATCGTAGGCGGTGAAATATTCTTGCAACCGTTCGAGATAGAACTCGATAACTTCAGACTCAGCATTGAAGACATCAAAAGGAGGTCTTCCCACTATGTGGTTTACGTTAGGTTGAACTGATATCGTAGATTTAAAACCGGATTTTCTCGTTCGTCGATGTTGGCTGTTCGTACTCCAGTTTACCTCTTCGCCACTGTAGTGTATAGCGTCGAATTAAGTCTTAAAGACACGAAGAAAGCTAGACAGAGGCTTATTTTCCCATGATATATCGACTTGAACGTGAAACATGAAGCGAGGCTGACTAGCCACAGCGTAAATACTTACGTCATACACTACACAAACATAACGACCGAACAGACGGAGATGGAAAACGAAAACAGTACTGAAAAAACGATGACTTAAGCTGTCCAACTCGTGCGAGTCTAAATCTACGAGGCATCTTTTTTTACAACATTCTCAGGTTAAATCACTCTCTCCAAGTCTTTCTGCAGTCTACGATTATGTCCGAAATTAGTACTTGGATCAAACATTAACTTTAAATTAAACGTTCAAGAGTTCAACCCTTCAACATGGTGCACTGACAGTGGCATAAGTCGTTAAAAAAAACATAACCTCAAGATAAACCTAACTTGTATATTTAATTGTACATGATACATGATGTGATATTTTGCTTTAAACATTTCCACGCTGGCTTACTGTTTTTTTTTTCAAGTTAAATCCTTGAAGACTGAGATCGTGCCATACTTTAAGTGTTGGTATACATATATCAATTTGTTCAATCACATTCAAGATTACAGTAAAAGCGTTTGTTTGACCCGAGCACAGCACAAATAAACAGTACTCCGACCGAAAAAAGTACGCAACAGCAGCAACACATAAGAGGTAGAATAATTTTAACTAAAACGTAGAATATCTTCTTTTAGGTCCTTAAGTAAAAACCAGATAAACGAGCTACCACCTGGAGTCTTCAATAATAACACGGAGTTGATCGCACTGTAAGTAACAGATATCCACGCCTATTTTTGATGTTAGCCTACGATGTGCTAAGAGTGTAATGTCAGTGTTTCCTAAACATGATCAAGACCCTCCTCAAGCTGAGTGGGTGTAGTCAACCATGAAGAGGATAATGAAAGAGGTTGGGACGGTTTGCATTTGAACAGTTTAATCAATGATCATCTCCTGGCATATGTCGGTGGCCCTCGTTTCGTAAATCCTATTTTCTAGTACCTTGCTAACAATGTTTTTATAAGTTTCAATGGGCGTGGCCATTATGTAGAGGGAGGCACTTGCAAGCGTTTCTTTTCTGAAGAACGAGCCTCGCACTCTGCATTTCTTTTCACACCAGTACTGCGGTAGAACGTGACTAGGATTAATACATTTTCACGTATTGGTGATACAAAGCTAACATGTTTGACGCCATTGACTTTCATGAAATGCGCAAATTCCTCGCTTCGAAATTGAGGACTGTTGTGAATTACACAATGCACTGGCAATCCATATTTCCACGTACTGGTGATGCAAAGCTTCCAAAAGTTACAGGTGGTTAAACGGCAACGAATTGAAGAATCTGCCAAGCAACTTAATATTTTCCCAATTAGCTAAGTTGCGATGGCTGAAGTGTACGGGTTGCGTGAATCAAACTTGCACAGCAGCACAGTGGCAAATAAATGGAGCAACCTCCGCGTTCCTCTCTAATAAATCATTTTCATTTTCATAAAAAGATTGAACAGGTTACGTTTATTTTGACACGCCATAGTAACGTGCTCAGAGTTTCGTGAGTTACTATAGTGTTAAATTTGGTAAGTTACCGATTCGTGAGTTTATTTCTGATACATAGTTATTATTATATTATGTGCATATTGACCAGTCTTATGCTTAGACATTCGTAGTTCAGAGAGCGCCTTGGTAACTAGCTTTGAACCCAGTCAACAACACTACTTCCCGCTAACTCAAGCATGAATTACACATATGTTCAGTCATGACAAGCCAACTGGGGGCTGGTCATGATGTTGGTTCTAAATAAACCCATTTATTCATCACTTCACGGGTTTATTTAGAACCAACATCAGGACCAGCTCCCAGTTAGCTTGTTACCTCAGTTGGTAGAGCGCTGCACCGGTATCGCAGAGGTCATGGGTTCATGAATTTTTTTTCAGGCCTTATTTTCACTACTGCCTAAATAGTGCACATTACTGCGAGGATCACTTTCATTCACGTCTTTATCCGCAGTTCAAATATATGACTTTCATGTATTCTTAACCATTTAAAAGCGTGTGTGTAATCCAAGCACGTCACAAATGAACTGTTAAAAAAAAAATTACAAATCTGTAACAGCAACAATTTCTAAAAAGTAACACTTTTAACTGAAATCAGAGAATATCTTTTCTTAGGGATATCTAAATGTGATCAAGAAGGTCCTGAAGCTTAGTGGGTGTAGTCAACCATGGGAGGGTGAAAGAGAGTGGGACTTTGTTTTATTTGCCAGTATGATTAGGAGATTACAAGTATTCTCTCTCAGAACAGGCTTTGCACTTTGCACTTCTTTTCACGCAATACCACAGTCAAACGCGAGCAAGATTTATACTTTGCCAAGGATTGTTAAAACAAAGCTTTCTTAACTTACAGTTTGTTATACGGCAACAAGATCAAGAATTTGACCAACAATGCATTCTCCCATTTAATAAAGCTGCAATGGCTGTAAGTGACAAGTGGTCCTCGCATATCACCTATTACAAGTGTCACAACTCACATCATTATCCGAATAGTGCATATTCCTTTTCACATCCTTCAACCCTTAAATATCTGCGTAGCACTCAGACCGATAAAGAACGCCCTCAATCAATGATCAAAGACATAACGTCTAAATCTAACAATACACAAGATCTTGGTAACAAGATCAGGTACCTCAAAAGCCAAGCCTCGTACGAATCTGTTTTGAGTCGCAAATTAAAACAAGGGTCGTATTACAGCCGAATCAATGACTTTCGAGCTCAGAAATTGTTGGATATTCCAGTAACTTAAATAAAATAATAAGAGCCAGACTTATCGAAACTATCAGAAATCAACTTTAACAAAAAGTTAGTAAGTTAGGATGTCTACCAGTATTCTGTTTCTGAAGTTAGTTTGGAAAACTCATAATACTTGGAAAATGTGAAAAAATTTACCTATCTTTGTCGTATTATTCTTTTTATCAGATGGCTACAAAACAACGGAATCAGAAAGCTTCCTAAACACGTTTTCAAAGATTTGACTAATTTGGAAGAGTTGTGAGTATGATAAAAAAGAATTGTGTTCACAAAAAATATTGAATCTTTCAATATCAATGTGACTCCATCATCTGCTATCACTAAAGGACATTCGAAAATGCAATTTTAGCCCAGCCAGCGCACTTTTATGTTGCCAAAAATGCGCACTAGTCGTTACACGAACACATTTATTCCATCCATGTCCAATTAGTAGAACTTTTATGCGTAGTTTATTTTTTTTATAATAATTTTATATTTTACGAAGTTACTATTTTATAAATGTGTATACGACTTTAACTTTTTGAAAATTTCATACAATTGAGCCTTAGGAGGCTGCGATTCTGGATATTTTAATAGACTTTCTCTTACTTCTCTGATCTGACCAGTATGTCGTCATCCGCGGTCGTGGTTTTTAAACATTTTACATTTACTATGATGCTTGAGTAAAGAGCCTGAAATCTAAATATAACTGGAGTAGCTCAGTGCTCATCCACCGTTAAGTATTAAAACAGATTGGCGTCTAGTGAAATGTAGCGCACGAGCTGTCTGGCTGTTTCCTCAGACTGTCTCCCTTCATGCGAACTACATTCCGGCTGGTGATATTTTCTCTGAATTTCTGAAATGCATTTCCCCTTGAACCTTTCAGGGATCTGTCTAATGACAAGGTTAAGAGTCTGGCACAAGACGTCTTTAGTAACTTGACAAATCTTACAAGCCTGTAAGTCAACAACATTAAAAAAACAAAACTAGCCACGACGAGGCAATCAGTCCTCATCCTAATCATGTTCGACTTACGAAAAGTGCTCAATTTCTGTCTTAAATTCAACAAACGCAAGAAATAGACGTTTTGAACTTGAACTTGAGTTTTCATTACAGTAATGTTATCAAATTATGTCTTTCCACTTGATCTAATTAAACATGTTCACCAAAACGTATCTCTTTGAATGAATGCAAAAGACAAATCTCTCTATCGTTTGTATTGCAACGTCAATTTTACCAGTTGCAATCATAAGTTACGGGAACCATTTTGTTTTGCCGTTAATTGCAAATGATAGGTGTTTCCGTACGCTGAAACCTATTGTTCGTCAATGTCTTGCTTGCTGTTTCGTGCTTAAAGGTTTTTGTCCAAAAACCAGATTGAAGAATTACCATCAAAGATATTTGTTTACCTGACCAAGCTTAAGGCATTGTGAGTAGAGATGGAAATCTTGAAATATTAATTAGCTGTCAGTCGAGTGATTGATTTATCAAATTGGGAGATAAAACAGTAAAAGAGAATGATAAAAGATCCTGAATGTTAAAGTACGGGAAAGAATTGTGACACTTTTTAAATTGCTGAAAGGTTTAGGATGGATCAATGTACTTCAATTTACAGTCAAAATTAATCAAGGATTGCTCTCGATTTGCTTTCATCACCCTTATCATTAATGTAAAACATGCGCCGCCTTTTCAACCAATTGGATTCAAAGCTAAAACCAAGCGCGACTTGGTCATGCACCATCACTGAAACTTAAAGCCATGTGCTGGTTTGTATTATTTTTAGTTCTGACTGCTGTCATCAATTTTTTTTCCTTTTAATTGGTTGTTGCGGTTACTTTGGCTTGGGATGGAGAAATCGTAATCGAAAGGAACGCTAGATACGTTGGCGCCCATTCAAATTTCAAATTAAGAAGAAGGTTGATCACTAACAGGTTTCTATACTACAATTTAACAGAAAAATAGAGGAAAATAAGTTAATAAAGCTCCATCCAAAACAATTTCGCGGACTGGCAAAGCTGTCTGAGCTGTAAGTAGTTTATGTATTGATTCGAGTTTTCTATGGGTCTGGTTTCTGCATGTAGGTTGACCTTGCCTTATTGACAGACTTTTTCCTCATCGCAATTTCCTGCAGAAAACGCTTGAACCGATCACGTTTTCCATATTTAAGAAAATTTAAGGCCCTGTGTCACAACTTCCCCATGTTTTTCCTGAATGGATAATATAAATGCATGCGGAGGGTCTGTGGAGATTGCTGGAAAACCTATAAGCCGGGTTAGATATAATGTAGACAATTTTTCAGTAACAACTTGTACATGAAGTTCCTGCAATGCTCCTCTCGAAAAGTCCAAAAACTGAAAAAAATGCATGTGATTACATTTAAAAATGTTTGTAAATTTTCTTCCTACTTATGAAAAATGCCATCGATGTCCCGTTCTTTAATTCCTGAAGTTCGCCATACATTTTATTTTCTTTCTTTCCTCATTAGCTATCTGTCGGGAAACAAACTCATAAATTTGCCACAAGGAATTTTCAAAGGCCTAAAGGAGCTTGAGATTCTGTCAGTAGAATGTGAAATTCATGTTCTGCTTAATTTGATCGAAGTGGTATCTCAGTATCTTCTAATAATCGTACTAATCAGTTTGAGAGGCACACATCAATGCACAAAAATTATATCATAGCTAATTGTTTTCTTTTCATATTTTTTGTAAGAGAACTCTTTGACAACGAATTGAGGAACGTTTCCATCGACAACTTCAACGAAATCAGGCAGTTAAAAATTCTGTGAGTGTTTAATTTTCATCAATGAGAAATGAGAATCAAATTATGAAAGACACTGACTGCCATCAAAGGTTCAGTTAAGAAAAAAATAAAAGGGCGTCCGTGGCCAACTCGTGGAAAAAAGAATTAAAGAGATAGGTGCTTGTAAAGTTACTATCAGTAAACTAAGGTGTTAAAAAAAGATAGAAAGTAGAACCATTGCAAGTATAGAAATCTTAGCACTTGAGTATGTGATGGAAAGCCCCCCGGTCTTTGATCTTAGCACTAATCTGAAACATTCGAAGTCCATTTCAGTTTAGTAAATGTCGAAACAGCCGTGTCAAAACAATAAACTTCGCAACGATTGATGCAATTACAATGGCGTTAGGACTTCGGACTTCTTCGGAAGGATAGATCTCGAATTCGAAGCCGACTAATTACGACTAATTACGAAGAGTCCACTTCAATTTGCATATCCCAAAGTGCCCACAACAACTCGTTTCTACGCTATCGCGTATCCACGAGTTAAAAAAAGTACAAATCGATACGCTAAAAATGCTCTTCTATTCACTGATTTCATACTTATATTCTTGTCTTTAAATATCTAATTTTCAGATATTTGCATTATAACTACATGAGGAAGATTCCCAATGAATTTTTTGAAGAGTTGAAGGATATATTACGAGTGTAAGATTTTGATCAGATGTATTTGACACATTTACGGTTTATTAGCAGAGCTATATAAATAGAAAGCGTCTGGGGGTTCCTTTAATTCAAATATTTACTAGCACAGAGCTTCAGGCAAATGAGTTTGTGGTTTCTATACTTTACTAAATATCTATGGTCGCCTTTCTTCACCCTATTGACAACTTTTATAACAACCTCCATTTTGTTGGGTAATACGCCTCACAAAGACTGCTATTGCGCACTACATTGCTTCACAATATCGCGAGAAAAATTTTCGAACATATTCAATGAAGATTCATAGTTACAAAGACCCCCATATGAGGAAATGAATTCTGATTGACTGATCTCGCGTTACCTTTGTGCTCTTAGGGTATAGGCTTTTGGTTTTATCTTTTACTCTATCCTTATGGACTGAATAGCATCAAATTTTACGGTTGCAGGAGTTTGGACACAAACCTGATGTGTTGTCATATGCACAAGGAGGACGCTGACTGTGCTTTCATTGATAACGACGACTTTGCCAACTGTGAGAGCATGTTCAAGAACCCAACCCCGAGGAAGAGCATATGGGCAGTCGGCTCCCTTTCCCTGGCTGGGTCGGTGTTTGTCATCACATGGCGTTCAGTCTTTAAGGATACAAACACGGTACAATCAATCATGTTGTTGCACTTGGCAGTCTCCGATGGTTTAATGGGAGCATACCTAATCACACTCGGTGTCAAAGATCTGTTGTGGAGAGGAGAGTATTACTTACATGACTTCCAGTGGCGGTCCAGTTTGGCTTGCCAGATAACTGGTGCCACCTCTTTGCTATCCAGTGAGGCCTCCTTGCTGCTGATGGCTTTGATATCTGCAGACCGACTCAAGAACATTGTGTTCCCGTTCAGAGGTGGAGCACTTTCGCGGAAGATGACCCACATCCTTTGCACTATCATATGGCTCGTCGGCTTCCTCCTGGCTTTCTTTCCGATGTTTGGCTTGAGATACTTCGAAGATTTTAAAACATATCACAACTATTACGGAAAAAGTGTTGTCTGCCTTCCCTTACAGCTCTCTCGTCACAAAACGGAAGGCTGGGAGTACTCTGTTTCTGTATTTGTTGGCCTCAATTTCTTCCTCGTCATATTCATCACAGTTGCATACCTCGCTATATTCATAAGCAGAGTGCGAGTTAAAAACCAATCAGCCAACACAAGGAGGGAGACCGGTCTGGCCAAGAGAGTGTTCTTCATCATCTTCACTGACTGTCTTTGCTGGATGCCAATCATCGTGTTTGGTATGAGGTCGCTTTTGGAGAAGAATTTCGAGCCACCGAGAGACTTAGCGGCTTGGATTGCCGTGTTTGCTCTGCCCATCAATTCAGCGATAAACCCGATTCTGTACACGTTAGCAACACCAAAGGTAAAGAATAACATTTCTTCATTATCTCTTAAATATAAATTATTTGAGGCAAGACCCGGTGGTCTGGCGCTTAACACGGTGGGTTCTTTAACGCACTGACAGGGGTCTTCTTAAGCTAGACACTCTGACAGTGACTGTTTCCATTCAGCTGTTTAAACGAGTAGTTTTAACCTGCCTGAGAAAGTTAGCTTATACTTCGTCCAAGTACTGGCCTGAATTATCCCGGTTGCTTTACACTACCAAGTGTGTAATGATTATAAAGACGTCGAGCAAGCAATCGATTAAGATCATTGACACTTGTCACTCTGTAACAGTTGATAAGGGAAATTGGTCAGTTGATGGACGTCGTTATTGACAATTTTCTCTCCTCTCCAGGCGCAAGAGTATCTGGGAAGCAAAATAGCAATGCTGAGAAGCTTCATACGGAGTACTTTTCACTGCAGTGAATATCAAGAGAGTAGTTATGCCCATTTTTCCATTCTTTCTATTACATAGTTTATAGACTAAAATTGAAAACGTTGTTCTTAATAGTAAAACGTTCTTTCTGTGACTAACGCCACGTTTGAGATGGATATCATATTGTAGTAGTATCAATCTGTTGATTTACTCATGCCTTGTTTGATAAGGACAACAACAAGATCCACGAGAGATTGAAGATAACGGACAACAAGAAGGTAACACCATTTTACTGATTTATTTTTGTATCCTCCTCAGGAATCGTTTTCATTTACATTTTTATTTTCCCGATGTTGTCCTCCAGTTCGTTTTTTATCTTTGTTTCCCCAGATCAACAAGAAGGAGAAGCGGTGGAAATGCAGAGTCTTGGATTGCCACATCCAGATCAAGGTGTTTAAAATGGAATTTGCTCGTTCACTGTCCCGAACCAAGTAGATATCAGTTGAAGTTCTCTTCGCTTAAGACACCCTATTGTTTTTGGGCAAAAAACAGCGTAGTTCTATGTGTCACTGTATTTTCCTCAGGAATCGTTTTCATTTCCTTTTGTATTTTCTTGATGTTGTCCTTCAATTCGTTTTTAACTCGTGAATTGCGCGCATGCGCAAGAGCGAGTTATAGGTACGATGTGGGGAATGGCATTCGCTCGCTCGCTCGCTCGCTCGCTCGCTCGATTGGTCGATTCCTGTAAACTTTTTTTAGATTTTAGGCTTTTGAGTGCATTTGATAGTTTTTGGCGAGCAATAAAAGACGAAATGGCGACCTTTGTTGCTAAGAATAGTGGTGGGGTGAAAAAGAAGCCAATTATAATCTTTAAAGAGTTTTTTTTTTACGTTTTAGTTTCAACAAGCGGCGCCAGCGACTGGCAGGCATGCAAGGATTCACACTGAAATAACAGAACAACCTTCGTTTTTCATAAAATTGTAATTTACAATCCTTGAACTTGAAAACAATCCGAAGATTCATTGAAAATATCACTTACTGCGAAGCGCTCGGAGTTTACAGATGTTCAAAAGCTTTTTCTGTTATAGCGTGAGATTGAGGACAAAATTGATCATTACGTTTCGTCGCGTGTGTTTTTCCTGTGTGAAGCAACAAAAGATGCCGGCGACTGACGAAATAACAAGTTAACACGAAAATCAAATAACACCTAAACAAACAGTTTTAGCTACCGATTTTCAGTGAATTTTAAAAGAACAATTTTCTTTTAAGTTTCAAGACAATTTGAAGATTCAACATACATACAACGTACTAAAATGCGAAAGTTACACACCACAAAATTGGTAAATAGGCCTGAAATGAAATTCTATCTTGTTATTGATTATACGTTGCCTAGCACGTGACTTAAATCTACCCAGGCGGAGATCCAAAATGACGGTGGCAGGCTTAGCTTAGTTATATCACTCAAAACTCGTTCCGTTTGTCTCTTTTGATAAAGAGGGAATCGTTAATGTTTTCATTAAGACAGTATTGCCTTGATTTTCTAATATTTACAACGAAAGACAGTAAATCTCACTTTTCACCCACATTTACTTCCAACCTTTTCTCTTAAACCAGAAACAAAAATGATAGACGTTTAAAACACATGACATCATCCACCTTGTCAAATGTAATAGCATGATCATTTCAATGGTAATGCCTTCTTATCCCAACGTTACTTTGTTTCTTTGCTACATTAGCGAACACTGAACTACTGCTCGTACTCTAGATATGACAATCAACCACAAAATTCCCTAAACCAGATAACATTAAACATAATCTAAAAAATCATCTGTCAATTCACGAGTTTGCTCACGGAGCACTTTGATTTATCTTTGTTTCCCAGATCAACATGAAGGAGAAGCGATGGAAATGCAGATTCTTGGACTGCCACACCCAAATCAAGGTGTTTAACCTATAATTTGCTCGTTCATTGTACCAAACCAAGTAGATATCAATTAAAGTTCTCTTCTTTTAAGACATCCGACTGTTTTTGGGCATAAAAAAAGCGCAAAGAACTTTGACGGGGAAATGCACTAAAACGTAGCTTCAGTAGCATTTTTAATTAGTTTTTTTAAGTAACCGTTCGCTGAAATAGAATCACTCAGCGCTTGTATGGCTAAGATTACTTTTATTTTGTATTTAATTACCCTTGTGTGCAACACATGTCTCGAAAGTGCCTGTCTTCTAAGTAGAGTGGCTAGTTGTAGATTCGTGTTTTGGGGAAAGATGAGTCTTACACTCTTGTATTTATCCATTTATCAAGATGCACAAGAGCAGCATGGAGACAATCAAATTGGAATTGACCAACAGCTTCACAAGGAGGGTATGTAATCACATCATTGTTGATTACAATGTTTTTATAATTATCCAGATCATTGGATTCATTCGAAAATGTATCTCATAAAATGTCGTTAAAAGATCGTTTTGCTTTTGTTCTTGTGTCAGGAAGCTTATTTGCTCACTTATTTCTATGTGTATTTAGATCAGCAAGGAGCTGAAATGCTGGAAATGCAGCAAATACCTCCCCAAGAACAAGGTTATTCACAACTTTTTCTATCTGGTCAAACAAACAACAAAATAAATAATAACTGTCCATTTTACTATTAGTTTTCCAGCTTATTCGATTAGCATTATTGTGGTTTTTCTTAAACTTTCTTTTCCTTTCAACTTTAATTTAGAAGAAAGCCACGAAGGAGATGAAGACGTTGTTGAAGAGAATGATCTGGAATATGATACAAAGTTGTAATCATTGGTCGATAGAAGGATATCAAGTAAACACCAGTTTAACCCTAAACTTCTTTGTAATCTTTAATAAATAATTAATAATTAGTAATCCTTTTAACTTATTTCATCGTTATAGGTAAAGATAACTTGATGTCATTAGGATGATACGTTGAGCCTATAGGACTGTTTATTCTAGACACCTGCACACGGTACGATCGTTTAAATCGCGAGGGGGAGGTGCCCTGTTAATAGCAACTGATGGCTCAGGAATAAATTTATCACTTACATGAAGCTAGATTTCCCTTACTGTAGTCAGTGAATGCTCAGCAAAAAGATCAATATGTATTATTACTAACAAAGGATTAACTGTAAAGTGAAGATTTCCACCAGTAGTCGTAATAGTTTGGTTAAACGCAGTAGGTATATTTAAAACAAGATTACCCTCCAACTTTTCCCGATCAGATCAGACATGAAAAAATATCTTGCAAAGTCGATAATTTCATTAAAAAAATGTGATCTTGCTTTGATATCACTGACCTTCTGATTCCAACGGTTGTTCTCCATATAACAGTCAAAGAAAAAATATGTACTTTCTTACAAGAAAATGATAATAGATGATAGAGTTTAAAATAAGAAAGAACAGTCGATATGGTAACTACATTTACTCACAAATCTTAGCAAACCTTTCATTGCTTTGCATCTCTTAGTGTCGGATATATATCGTGAACAGACCTCAGGGGAGAGCAGGACTACCTTGGAAGGAAAACATACCATCTTTATCAACAACATATATAGCCTCTGTTCACATATTATCATTGATCTAATGCTACATATATTCAATAACTGATAATAAAACATTCAATATTTCTTGTATAATTATTATTTTAGTCGAAGAGAATGAAGAAAATCATCAGAAAAAAGTAGACATGTAGCTAATACAGCGAAGTAGCTTGACAACTTTGCAATATCATTTTTAAACTTTTTCTATGTCTTAATGTTTAGATAACGTTTCTATCTCACTCACGAGTTACGATTAACTCCTTTAAGTTAGTTTGCATCTATCTGCATGTCAACGTTAGTAGGTAATGATAGTAGATAATAATCTGCAAGTCGTAGCTAGTAGAAAATGATATGAGGTTAGCATAACACTAAATTTGATGTAATTTAAAATTAAAAAAATTAACACTATCAAAAACCTGTATCTGGCGGTGATACATGAAGTGCTTTTGTGTGCTTCACCAAACGCAAATCACCAAAACTGGTGAGAAGTCCTGGGTTGGCCTGTCAAACACTGATCCCATTGTTTAGAAAGAATTTACTGGAGTTGCCTAAGTTGATCAAATTCCTCCCTCCCCCTCCCCCCAGACTTAATGAACAGTCTCAGTGCACTGTATTTTAAATGTTGACAATCGCTCTGACGAAGGGCTAACGCTCGAAACGTCAGCTTTTTTACCCTTTACGGTGGCTAATTTACGTTTTCAACCCAGTTGTTAACACTAAATTACCTGCTATACTCTCCCACCGACGCAGCACCACAGTTTCTTTAGAAACTTACCCCTTTATTCATTTATTCACCTCAGTGTCGGCTGCAAGCCACTAGCCACCGACACTGAGGTGATTAGCAGTTAAATAGGATTAACTTGGAAAGGAAGTTTGAGTTTTAACTTAAAAGTGGTTTTGTCATTTTATCGACAGCAGCCAGGAGAAGGGCGTAAAGTATATGTCAATGTAAATACGAACATGGTTCTTCATTATCTGAACACGCTCTAGGTATTTGCTTAAATAAGCAGTAATGCACGGGAATACAAGGGCGCACAATACTCTAACACCGGCCTAATGCAGGTAGGATACATACTCATAATATCATGAGCCGAAACATTTAGTCGCACCTTTAGCAATATCAAGAATTATTGTTTTTTTAGAGGGCACGGTAACGAATCTTGCAATGTGATTGGTTCTTTACCCGGTCAGTATTTTCCTATCTCTGCCCACGGGCCACGGTAACGCTTTCGTGAGTTGCCGAGTACATCCCAACTTTCGTTGTCATTTTTCATAAATATACCTCGTTTTCCGGCTGGGCAGTATTTTTAAGCAAACACGTCGGTCACTACCTCAAGCCGATAAATAACTTATGAATCCTCTCTTTTCTCTCTATCAAATCACTTTGGTTGACAGAAAAATATTGGTTTCAGAATGAATTTGTATAAACAATAGTGTCATTACGTTGGTTGACAAGCGGCCTAAAAACCTTCTGCAATTAATTTTAATCGTTCACAAAAAGTACCCAGAAAGTTGGAACGTGAGGTATTTGGTTACAGTTAAACTGAACGATGGAACTTTCATTCATTTAATATCTGAATTTTCTCGAGCAATTTGTTCATAGTGAAAGAGCGAGCGAAGTTTTAATTTAAGTTCTACAACAAATATACGCTCCTGGTGAGTCTTTCCAATTCCGTTCAATTTGGACATTTGTACCTTAAATTGCACAACAGAAATTGAAGGATTTTTTTGAGAAAAGGCCGCATTACATTCTCTTGTGTCTCGTTGGAGTGTGCCGTTCGAATTTAGTTTTTGTGAAGGAAAGATCAGAGTTAAACACGCCATTACAGCAAACAAACGAGCAAACTCTCACAACTTCAAAATAAAAAGATTGAATTTACTCACAATTAATTTCCTCGCCGTTTACTTAATGAACAGAGGTAAATCTTCGTACATAAATGAATCGTCGATGAGAGTGAATACTTTCCGTTAGATCATTAACTGATTTTGAAGAAAACATTGTCGTGACAGTCCTTGCCAAACTAGTTCTGTTGGTTTTCAAATGTTCCTTCGCTTTTCTTTTTCTTGCGCGCTCTCTAATTGACAGGTGTCAGATTGTGACAGATACTTGTAAAAATAATGTTTCAAAGTTTGTTTGGAAGCCTTTTAAATCACCTTTATCGTTACAGAAATGAAAATGTTTCGCTGAGGCATCTCTCTTAAATTTGCATCACCTCTATTTTAACTACTATTTACCCACTCAAAAATTGTTCAGTTTATGGAAGATCTTGCCGTATTTACGTCCATAAATCATTCGGGTTCTTTCGGAAAGAATTTCGTCAAGTTTAAAAACAATAAATATGTTATTTACCGGCTAAGGGTCGGTCTGTATGGTGAAAAACTGTGACCGAGGTCTTGAAAATGCTGCCCCCGGCCTACGGCCTCGGGCAGTATTTTCAAGACCTCGGTCACAGTTTTTCACCATACGGACCTCCCAGCCGGCAAATAACATATATATATGTGAGCTTATTGGCCCCTTTGATTACATCAGAGACATGAAAATTTCATTTAAAGATTTTAGACGTGGTTATCCCTGATATGTGGTTTGCGCAACAAGTTCAAGTTCCTTGCAGTTGACGGTTACAACGCCGAACTGGTGTTGGTTCCCTTGAAGTCAATAATCAGTACTTTGTACTTATCTGAGTTCAACTGAAGATTTTTGTAAGCAGACCACTGCTCTAATGCTTTTACAGCGCTTTGGATTGTACTTCTACTACCTTTGGAATGATGAGAGCATGCAGCATAGAAGATTTTGAGGTAACGCCGAATTGGCTCGGATCGATCTTCTCAGGGTAGCTAGGCCTTCGTAGATACTTGCTCGGCCAGCTTTGACAGAGCCAGGGTTACCGAGATTTGTCTTACATGTTTGGTAATAACAGTGGCTAGTTTCTCCTTAGGCAGTGGAACTACGTCAGCACAGCAAATCGATGGAATTCGCGATCAGCGGATTTTGAGTCCGCTTACGTTGCCCTACTTAATGTTAATATTATAAAATCGCTCTCAATTATAATTTTTTAAGCGACTTGAAATAAGCTCATCATGTGCTTTAATGAAATAAGTGTACATCCAATTATAATCCATCAAATAGTTTTTCTCGCGCGCGTTTTGTACAAACGCAACCCCGCTGCAACTTGCATGCGGGATCTCTTTTTGAATACTTTTACATTTAAAGGAGGAGAACATTGATATTGAAAGAGTCAATATTTCATTGCTTTGCATTTCAATTGTAAACATAATTCTTTTCTGACATGGTTTGATGCTACCCTGGTTTCTGAAGTTACAATTCATAGACCCAACGTTTCGACATTCCTGTCTAGTGCCTTCATTAGTGGTGATCTAAACGCTGCAAGAAGAGGTCCTTTTATATGATTGTCAACCTGGTTGCCGTGTGAACTTTAATATATAATTCATTTTTATTTTACTCAGAGCTCTTCCAAATTAGTCAAATCTTTGAAAACGTGTTTAGGAAGCTTCCTGATTCCGTTGTCTTACAGCCGTCCGATAAAAAAGACAGAATAATACGACAGATAAATGTTTTCATATCTTCCAATTGTTATGATTTTTCGGGGGGTGGGGGGTGGGTGAGGAATTCGTAGATACCCGGTTTCGGCACCACTGTCGCCTTAGAGCGCATTCTGTGATCTCTTACAAAACCACTTATTGAAAACTATCCTTCCCGAGGGGAGGGCAGGGAATAAAAGTATTTGAGCGCTTAGGGCATGTTAAATTTTAGAATATTTTAGATAAAAAACGTTGTTCTTTTTGTCTTCTAAACTAAACATTTGATTTTTTAAAAGCTGGTGATGACTCACGCCATGTCGATTATATTATATGAAAATGCAAAACTGGTTAAAAGGCACAATTGCTGACGGTATTGCACAGATGTTTGTAAATGTCATCCATGGTGACTTGAAACGAATGGACAGCGCGTTCATAAGAATATTCATCTTTAGAAAATGATCTGGTAAAGCTGTATGCAGATGGCGCTCTGTATTTGAATTCATTGCTGTTTAAAGACCGTTCAATCTGAATCGAAGAAAGGGATCAGAGAAAATATTTGTGAGGTATTTATTCTCTTTGATGTTTAAAATGTCTATACAAGGAAAGATAACAATGAAACATCAGTATATTATGACACAAATTTAACTTTGTAAAGGGAAACTCTTTAAATCCTACGGAACAGAATGATTCTTATTATCCATTCTTAAGATCTTTCTCCCAGCTTTATCATATTATTCCTCAATATTCAAACAAGTCAGAAAGGAATTTTTTAATGAGCATTTTTTTATATTAAGGGCTGATAAAAACATTCATAGTTACTCAGGCCTGTCGTCAAATATTGCGCCAAGGTTTCATAGGGGAGAATAGGGGATTTGAAAATTGATCACTGAGCTTTTCCTTATCACTTTTTAATTCTTATTTAGACTTTCTCCGCTGGGATAATGATAATAATAACATATTCATGTTTTTTTATCCAGTGAATTGTTCACCGCGACACGTTCTTCTGGCGCGCACTGAACGGAAATACAAGAAAGAAACTTCTGGAAAATATTTCAGTGAAGAAAATGTAACTGTAAAGGTAGAAGAGAAGTGAATTTTACCATAATTTCTTTACCACCTCTCTTTTCCGTCAAAGTGACAATTTAATATGGTAATATAAATTGAGGGTCTCAATAATGTGATGGCTTATTCTGATGACCATTGTAGCCATCAGAATAATTGTTATAGTTTATTATTTTTACAACCAACGGTTAAAATTTGTCAATTTTTGCGCCCAACGGTTGGTCCAGTTTCCCCAGCGCGCCTTATTAAAAGATATTTGATGAACTAACCAAGTAAACTATTGGTATTTTACGACTAACGGTCAACTCCATTGGAACCCTCCAAATTGTTCTTATTATCAAATGTACTAAAATGTGATTCAGGGGATCTCCCGTTAAAGTCTTATTCAGGTACAGCAGTTCTTTAAAAAGATAATATTTTTCTAGCTAATTATGATATCGCTGTATCTTGTTTTTAACTGCTCTGTGAGGTAATGAGATTCGGCCCACATACAAGGCGGTTAACCTAGAGGGAAATATATTATCCATAATTTTACGTTATTTGATCAAATTCTTAAACTCAACTCAATCTTCTTAAACTTCCCTCAGCCCATCAGCTGACTACAGGAAGATGGTGCCCAGAAGGACCTTCTGGGGTTTCATCACTGCTTTCTGTAAGCACCGTTGTCTTTGTTTACGAGAATCTAGTTAAGAGACCAGAAGTCTTATACAGGCCTATTCCAGCGCATCGCAAATCGATATTTTTTGTTGCTCAAATATTTCGACCCTATTTAACTTTATGGTGTCCAGCGAGAGAGACACGCGGCGAGAACCCCTGAGGGGATTGCGAAAATCGAGTTATGGTCCCGGGTAAATTACGAGACGGTTCAGCGCCTCAGTTGATTTCAGTTTCTCTCGCGAATTCGATCCTCTTTACTCCCCGAGAGGAGACGACTGTGCGCACCGTGACGGTGAGCCGTGCGTAATTACAAAATTCAATTAGTGTCGGAAAAATTTTCAACACAAGAAAATACATGTTAATGATTCTCTTCGTTCAAGTTTCAAGTAAAGTGTACATCCAAAACGATCACCTTTAAAATTATACAAGTAAATGAGTCATCCGATAAGCTCCGCGGCTCTGTTTTAAATGCGCGTTCGCATAGTTTCGTCACTTACGTTCTATAACTAAATAATCTATCAAAAAGGCGATTAAAATACCTCATTAATCAAATCTTCACGCCAAACTGATGCATCGAAAGAAAAATTCGAATATGAATCTTACGCGTATCTTTTTCTTACTAGTTTTCATAGGCATATCAAATCTCCACGCTATTTGACACATATGACATGGCTTTCGATCAAAACGTCTCGAGTTCGGCTTTCTCTTGTGGCTTTATGAAAACCGCTTCCATTTGAAATGCTATCTCTAAATAGCTCTTTTGAAATTGAAATATCTCAAAACCTAGGCAAGGAGCCTCCCCTTTGTCCTTTCTTTTTTTCTATATTTTACTTTCAGTTTTGTTAATACTGGAAGTACGCCTTCAGAGAGTTGTCCCAAGGTCAAGTATACTCTTACAAGCTCCAAAAGGACATTACGTGGAACTGAATTTAACCATGGAGAGTTTATATCTAACACCCTGCATTTATGATGAGTACCTTGAGGTTCGTGATGGATACAACAAGTCTGCTAATCTTCTTGGTGTATTTTGTGGAAGGAACATTTTTGTTATTGTGCGATCCAGTGGACAGAACTTGTGGATCAGAAAATCAGCCTATTTTTTTGGCAGGTTTCGGGGCTCGTACACCAAAAAAATACTCAACTTTACAGGTATTGTCCTCTGAAATTACTAACTGAAACAATTCTAAGATGTTCCTAAGTTGTTGTAACACGGAAGGAATAGATGGCAACTACGAGTACTGCAACTCATTTGGTAATTTAATTTATTTGTTTTCTTCCAGTTGAACCCAACCTAGACAAGGTGGCCAAAACTCAATTTGTTCTTTTCAACCAAACTTCATCTCTTTGGTGTCCAGCGCAGGGTGCACCAGCACCTTCAATAGTTTGGAGAAAGAACGGCATTGTGGTACAGTACAGTACAAGTGTCAAACATCAGCTGACCATTACTGAGGAGAACAATGACAAGTACAGCTGTGAAGTGAAGAAAGAGAATGGTTTTGACAAGAAAGAAATCCGTCTTGTCATTGAAAGTGAGTTTTTTCACAAACGAATTAAGTGGGGTAAGTTTTTAAAGAAACTGTGGTGCCTCTTCGGTGGGGAGTATTACAAGATGATTTGGTTTTGCTCTTCGCAGAGCGAAACATTTCTCCTTGACGAAGGGTTAACCCTCCAAACGTCAGCTTTAGGAACCCTTTACGGTAGCAAATTTTCATTGTCAACTCAGTTGATAAAACTAAGCTATTAATTTACAAACATTAATTCTCAAGTCAGTCTGGCGTAGAGGAAAATATACTGCACATTTGCAAAGTTTGCCTAATTGAAAATAAAACGAGCAACTCTTAACGCTCTCTGAGCTTTTAAGCTGAAAGACTAACGCAATAGTTTTATTGACCAGGAGCCAATGTATAGTATGAAGCGTTCACGAGATAACTAGATGGCAGCTATCGTTTCAGAGTACTCCATTGCACACATTTAGAGAGTACAACCAAAGAGCCTCACAACAAAGAAACGTTAAGACATTCATATCGTATTACTTTATTCAAGGATGCCCAGATCCCTGTCGATGTACAATGGCAGTTGGAATCATGGACGCAGCTACTCTCATTGAATGTAGAGAAAAACACTTACAGTCAGTTCCACGTCACTTACCCTTTTCTACAGCGAAATTGTAAGCGTTTCAACTCTTCTTCTTTTGGGTTTTTGGGAGGTGGTGGCCGGAGTAGGCTTGGCATCAAACTTAGCCTCAGAATTCTGAGAAAAACCAGGAAGAATCTAACATACGTTTTTGGAAAAAAGGTTCTCTTCAAATGTCTTTAAAGGTGAAAATAACCGTTAAAGGAGTAAACATTTTCTCCAGGCGGGGGTGAGGGGGGGGGGGGATGGGAAATAATCAAAAGCAATGCACAAGACGTAATCTGTATCATATCATATTCTAAATTACAATAAAAGCGTTTGTGTGACTCGGACACGGCACAAACAAATTGTAGTCCAACCGAAAAAAGTATTCAACGACAGCAACACACAAGAGGTAATATAATTTTAACTTAAGTCAGAATATCTTCTCTTAGGGACTTGGATAACAACCTGATAAAGGAGCTACCACCTGGAGTGTTCAATAATAACACGGAGTTGATCTCACTGTAAGTAATATATACCCACGCCCATTTTTTATTTTAACCTTCGATGTGCTGAGAGTGTAGTGTCAGTGTTTATTTAATATGATCAAGACGGTCCTCAAGCTTAATGGGTGTGGTCAACCATGAAGAGAATGAAAGAGGGTAGAACGGTTTGTATTTGGACAGTTTAATCAATGATCATTTCCTAGCAAATTTCAGTGGTCCTCGTTTTGTAAATCCTATTTTCTATTCCCTTGCTCACGATGTTTTATCAGTTTGCATAGGCGTGGCAAGTATGTAGAGGGAGGCACTTGCTAGCGTTTCCTTTCAGTAGCATGGGCCTCGCACTCTGCTTTTTTTGGTTTTTTTGTTTTTTTTTTCACACCAGTATTACGGTCGAACACGAACGGGATTTATACATTTTCACGTGATTGTTCATACAAAGTTTCTAAAACTTACAGAGGGTTACACGGTAACAAGTTAATGCTTTTTCCAGGGGACATATTTTCCCAATTAGTCAAGCTGCAGTGGCTGTAAGTGAAAAGTCTGACGTAAGACTGATCATCATCTCGAGAAGATAATGAATAAAAAAAACTTACAGGTTGCGTGAAGCAAACTTGCACATTGGCCCAGTGGCAAATGGATGGAGCAACCTCCCCTCACTAATAAATCATTTTCGGTTTCATAAAAAATTGAACAGGTTACGTTTATTTTGACCCGCCATCGTAATGCACTGAGAGTGAGTTCATTTCTGACACATAGATATTATTATATTATGTGCATATTGACCTTTCGTATAATTAAATACTCGTAGTTTAGAAAGCGCCTTAGTAACTGGACTGGTCTATCGATACAGGGGTGATACTTTCTTATGTGATGGTTTGAAAAAGTTTCAATACTTTCAGGCGGTTACATAACAACAAGATCAAGAGGCTGCGAGGTGACTCGTTTTCTCAGTTAGTCAAGTTGCAAGAGCTGTAAGGGAAAAGTAGTATTCTTATATCGTTTATTTAACATGTTTAGGTTAAGGATGTAGAATCCATCCTGCAGATACTAAGACACTTCCATATCCGCATTTCACGGAAACCATACTGTTTCCTACTAACTCAGTCAGTCAACTTTTCCCATAAAGAATTAGATAAAGTAATTTCTTTAGTTTTTTTTTCTCCCTGAGAGTTAAGCGATAGTAACTTTCATCAGATTTAGGCCAGTGCTAGTTAGAGAAATTGGTTTTTTTTTATACTACAAACCTGTTAACTGACTGATGTACAATTTCCCTCCGACAATTTTCAAAGCAACGCAATAAATCCAACGAAAAACTACTTGAAAAATGTTAATGAACCTGGAAAAATATCGAAGAACCTGTAAAGAAAACGTTGAAAAATCATTTTTTATCATATGTGAATCTTGTCGTAGAAACTTGAATGGAAACCAGATAGAGAGGCTACCAGCTGAAGTCTTCAAAAACAACTCCGAGTTGGCCTTCTTGTAAGTAACCAGTAAACATTAAATGTATTATTGGTTTGGTCTCGATTCAACCGCCATTTGCGTAGAGTTATGTCGTTTACTAACTTTGTGAGGAAAGGTTTTCTAGCCGAATGGTTTTTGTTGTCTGACTGGAAGGCATTTCAAAAATGCCCAACTAAAATCCATGATGTATTCTTGTTGTAGGAGCTTAGGTGGGAACCAGATAGAGGAGCTACCAGCGGGAGTCTTCAGTAACAACAACAAGTTGCTCAACTTGTGAGTAGGAAGACTAAAAGTTCATTGTCGACCTACCTACTTTTACTGTCATATCCTTCTCCAAATCCTTGTTAATTCTCAAATACTCAAATATTATCGTACGCTACTAACGAGTCCAGCCACAATCGTGTTGGGAGAGGAACCTTACTCTTAGTTCATTTTCTAGAGTACCATAATATATATTTGTCAGCGACTGGAGAAGGTTCCACCATTTTAACATCCCTCGGCGACGTGAACGAAACAAGTTAAATACTAGGTATACCCTTTCTGAGAGGAGCTAGGTTATGTGTCTACCTAAACTCCCTTGCACATGATAACTATTTAAACACGTTATGCGTTCTTCCATTTGGAGCTCAATGCCGCTCTTATAAGTTACGCTGAGGTTAACTTAGGGCGCCGTAAGAGATGGTAAACACATCCAGTAAGTCGCTAGATTCCAGCTAAAAATATGTATTCATTTTTGAACCGACGTCTTCCTTGGCGTTGCCGTCTTAACTGCTAAAGGTCCCTATCATCCCTCGGCGACGTGAACAAAACCAGTTAAATATTCGTTATACAGTTCTTGAGTGGGGCGAGGTTACGTCTACCTTAATTCCCTTGCGCATTATAAGTATTTAAACACGTTATGCGTTCTTATGTAATCGTATGACGCAGTATTATTTACAATTACAGATTTTTAGGCCGAAACAAGATCAAAAAGTTGCCTGGTAGTTTATTTGCTGAATTGCTAAACCTGCACCGGCTGTAAGTGAAGAGTGGTTGTTTTACATTAACTATTGCGTGATCGTATCGCAGCGAATAATAGTGTCGATGATAGTGTATAACACAAACCGATTATTATACATGGACGCACCAAGACTTAGTAATAGAAATGTGCACAGATTGTTTACATGTTCAAACTCTCCGAATATCGATGCTCGTACATCAGCGATATTTGTAGCAACCTCAAAACAGGTTCTATTGAAACCATAAAAACGCTTACAAATGGTGATGTCAGCAACTGTTCGACTTAAATCCAGGACATATCCCCATTTTAGGGACTTAGACAACAACCAAATAAAGGAGCTATCACCTAAAGTCTTTCATAACAACTCCCAATTGGTCGTACTGTAAGTAACCAATCTTAATGTTTTTGTTTCTATTGGTGCTCGATGTGTTAAGAATTATTAAATGCCTAATCCTTAGTGTGTGTAGCCAACCATGAAGGCAGTAGAAAAGGGCTGGAAGAACACACAACACGATTAAACACCTAAAAAAGACTAGCAGTGTGCAGTCGATATGTCGCGATCTACATCACGTGACTACATTGTGAGACAAACAAAAAACTTAGCTTTTATTGTTATTCACCACAATGAATAACCACACCCTTTTCTACGAAACAAAGAAAACGTTGAAAAGTCATTTTAACTTATATGTGAATCTTTTCGTAAAATCTTAAATGGAAGCCAGATAGAGAGGCTACCAGCTCAAGTCTTCAAAAACAACCCCGAGTTAGCCTTCTTGTAAGCAACCAGTAAACATTATATGTATTATTGGTTTGGTCTCGATTCAACCGCCATTTGAAAAGAAATATATGTCATTTACTCACTTTGTAAGGAAAGGTTTTTAGCCGGATGGTTTTTGTTATCTGACGGGAGGACATTTAAAAAATGTCCAACTAAAGTCCATCATATATGCTTTTTGTAGGAGATTAGCAGGGAACCAGATAGAGGAGCTACCAGCGGGAGTTTTCAGTAACAACAACAAGTTGATCTACTTGTGAGTTGGAAGACTAAAAGTTCATAGTCGTCCTACATATTTTTACTGTCATATCCTTCTCCAAATTCTTGTTAATTCTAAAATACTCAAATAATATCGTACGCTACCAATGAGTCCAGCCATAATCCTGTTGAGAGAGGAACCTTACCTTTAAGTTCATTTTCTAGAGTACCATTAGAGTACCATAATATATATTCGTTAGCGACTGAAGAAGGTTCCACCGCAAAAAAAAGGTACCATACAAAAAACCATACAAACGCTTACAAATGGTGATATCAGCGACTGTTCGACCTAAAGTCTTTCATAACAACTCGCAGTTGGTCGTACTGTAAGTACCCAGTAAGTATTTGGACAGAGAGAGAGCTTTTGCTCCAGTCTGACGGGGGTCTTCTCCAAAAGGAGAGAACTCTGGAAACAAGTTTGAAGTTAATTCCCTTCGATAGACATATTTAGCAAACATTTTGGGTCTTTTCAAAATTGAGACGTGTTACTACATTTTTGTTCAATCAAGGGACTTCACATCTCTATTCGAATAATGTCTAGACTTTAAGCATTACTCTTCACTCAGTCGCATATCAGCTTATCTCCAAGAATCCTCTCTTCCCGGTTCAAAAATTGATAAATTATACCTCATCCCCGCTCCTCCATTACCTACCTTTTTCTCCGTAGCGCATTAAACTGTAAAGCCGTCACAAAATATTATGACTTCAACTTGCAAAGTGGGTATAAACTTAGCCGCATGCAAAACGGGTTAATAACGCCACGTGGTGATAATTATTTTTTTAACAGTGACTAAATCTGGAAAAATGGGTTATTCGTTACCAAATCAAAGAGCTGCCACCAGAAGTCTTCGTGATCACAGGAAGTCCATCGCAGTCTTTTGGCTGCCATGGATTTTAATAACGCTATCTATCTATCTATCTATCTATCTATCTATCTATCTATCTATCTATCGCCTATCATAAACATATTTATAGAATCACATTTGAAAATTCTATATGAAACTATCACGACGAATATTTGCAAGCATCTAACATATTTGCACCTGCGTTTGACGCCATTGACTTTCCTCGCTTCGAAATTGAGGACTATTTTCAGCTACACAAGGCACTGGCAATCCATATTTGGCGAATAATTCGCTAAATGGCTATAGTTGTCGTTGCTGACGTGTTTTGCTGCATGAAGTAGACCTTAGGCCAGCGAGAATGTATGTCAACTAGAATGTAGTCATGCCCATTTTCGTCCTCGGCGTAATCAATGTGAACTCGGTACCAAGGATTACTCGACCATAACCAAGGTGTTAGAGGAGCTACGGCAGGTGGTTTTCTAACTTAGTGACAGCTGCCGCAGCTTCTCATAACTTGTTCATTTTCCTGATCAATGTTCGGCCACCATAAGTAAGTACGAGCCGTTTCCTTCATCCGTACAATGCCTGGCTGATCTGTGTGCAACTCTTCCGACATGCCTTCCTGATACCGGGTAGGTATGATTACTCGTAGCCCCCACAGAAGACAATCTTGCTCTAACGATAACTCAAATCGGCGGTTGAAAAAGGGTTGTAAGCGCAGATCTTCCACATGTTGTGACCATCCTTGTTTGACGAAACTCTGACGCTCTGGATAGTGCTCAGTCAACCTGTGTGGTGTAGCTTATCTCCTTGTGCGTAATGGGTAACAAGTGAACCAGACTTCCACTCTATAAATAGCATCCTCTTTGTTAACCGTGGAGGGCAAGGAAAGTCGTGATGACGCATCAGCTACTGCATTTTGCTTCGATGGTAAACATTGATGCTGTAATTGAATGCTAACAGTATAATGGCCCGACGTTAAAGACGCATTGCTTGCTAGTGTGGATAGTGGATAGCTGTCTTGGGACCGAAAATTCGCTCTAGCGGCTTATGATCCGAGAGGATCGTGAAATGACGGCCATAAAGGTACAGGTGGAACCGTTTTGGGCCAAACATAATCGCCGAAGTTATTTTGTGTATCTCCCGGTAACGTTTGTCGTGTTTGTTCAGAGTTGGTGACGCGTAGGCAATCGGGCGACGGTTTTATTAGGATAAACGTGCATTGTTATGGCACCCAAGGCGTCAACCGATAATTCCGCGGGAAGCTTAGGGTCGTAGTACACCAATACAGCTGCCGCCGACGTTAGGGCGCATTTCACGGCGCAAAAGGCTTTTTCACAGCTCTGCGACCAGTTCCAAGGTGTGTTCCCAATGAGCTCGTATCGGGGATGAGCGAGCGTTGAAAACTTGGGCATAAAGTTGTTCAGCGCAGCTAACGTTTCCAGAAAGGAGCGCCTCCCTAATGGCCTCGACCTTTTCGTCGGTTGGTTGAAGACCATGCTTCTGAAAAGTGCAGCCCGAAAAATCCCACGGAAGGTGCCATAAACACGCACTTGGGTAACTTAACACGCTTAACTCTTAAACTGCACAAAAACTGCCTCCAAATTCCTCAGATGCTCCTCGTCGCTAGAACCTCCCACTAATAGATCGTCCATAATGACAAATGTGCCGTCAAGTCCTGCTAAGACTTACACATTGAATATATCGTTGCCAAATTGCAGGGCTGGATGAAATTCCAAATGGCAAGCATCTGTATCGGAAACAGCCTTGTGAGAGTTAATCGTACGAAGCTTTTGCGCCTCCCCGTTCAGAACCAATTGCTGATACGCGCTTCGCAGATCCACCTTCGTAAATTTCTTCCAGGATGACGCACGTCCTCGTATTTCCTCCAACGTTGGAATTGGGAACTGCTTCGTCTGAATTGCTCGGTTGACTGTGCCCTTATAATCACCGCAAATAGGAACTGACCCATCGGTTTTAGGCACACAGACAATAGGCGTGGCCCAGTCACTCACCTCCACAGGTTTAAGAACTCCTTAGTTTTCTAATCGCTTTAGTTCTTCCTCCACGGCAGGCGCAAGGCATAAGGTACCGGGACAGCGCACCGAAATACATTTGTAGCATTTTCCTTCAGGTGCAATTTCGCTGTCACACACTTGACCGTTCCTAACGCAGACTTAAAGAAGATCTCAGCGTACTGTCCTTGAAGACATTCGACCCGCTCATCGCCATCTTGACCAATCAAAAACTGACCGTTAGAAGATCGAAGCAGGCTTTTCCAGTCCAGGCGAATTTTCGTCATCCAGGATCTCCCTAGCAAAGGAGGGGCGTACCGCTCTGCGCAAACGACATGTAATAGAAGTGTTGCCCATTGTTGTCTACGTCGACTATAATAATAATAATAATGATAATAATTAGAGTTCTTAAAAACGCATTCTATAGAGATACTTGAATAAACCTCAACATAAGCCTAACTTCTATATTTACTTGTACATGATAAAATGTGAACTTTTTCTGATTTCCACGTTAGCTTACTGTTGTCTTTTAAGTTCAGTCCTTGGTGAGTGAGAATGTGCCTTACTTAAAGTGTTGATATATATCAGTTTGTTCGATCACATTCAAGATTACATTAAAAGCGTTTGTTTGACCCGGAAATGGCACAAACAAACTGTATTCCGACCAAAAAAAGTAAGCAATAGCAGTAACACACAAGAGGTAGTATAATTTTAACTAAAAGAATGTGTCCTCTAAGGGCGTTGGGTTACAACCAGATTTTTAAAAACTAAACTAGTGAGCAGCACTCTGCGAAAAGTAGTTGTAAAACTTGTTTATATCCGACCCGCTTCGTCAAACTTTTAGCCCCAGAATATTTTTCTCACCTTGCCTAAAAAATTTTAGAATTTTTCGGCAACTTCGTCTGTTTTTGTTCGGTTAGTCCAGCCGAGCCTATATGGTCATTGGCCCCCGTAATAGCCATAGTATGGCTTTATTATGTAAATACAAGCCTTTAGCGTTAACCCGCAAAACGAGGTATACGACAGTTAAACGAAACGCGTCGAAGAATAGAGAAGTTTTACAACAAATGTTCGCAGTGCTGTTCACTGGTTTAGTTTTTTAAAAAACATATTTATTATCAAATCGACAGGATTTGAATTGTTGGATTAAACATTTCTACGTAATATTTTTAGCTATTTGTTTATTAATCGATGAGTTTTAAAAGTGCCTTATGCGAAGAGTGTTGATAGATATCAAGATATCACAAACATAGCAAGGTTATAGCAAAAGCGTGTGTGTAATCCAAAGCACGACACAAATAAACTGTTAATCCGACAGAAAAAAATTTAAAAACCTGGAACAGCAACAATTTCTAAAAAGTAACACTTTTAACTGAAATCAGGGAATATCTTTTCTTAGGGATTTGGGTACTAACCAGATAAAGGAGCTGCCACCTGGAGTCTTCAATAACAACACTGAGTTGATCAAACTGTACGTAACCTGCCTCTTCTGATAATAGTCTTTGATGTGCTAAGAGTTTAATCTCATAAGTAACTAAATGTGATCAAGAAGGTCCTGAGGCTTAGTGGGTGTAGTCAGCCATGGGAGGGTGAAAGAGAGTGGGAGAGTTCATAGGTGGACGGAGTTAAACAGAAAAGAGAAACCTATACTCATTAAACAATCCTTTTAGTTTCATAGATGATCATATCCTAGCATCTGACGTTGGTCCACGTTTTGTAAATAATATTTTTTTTATTCCTTTCGTAACTTTGTTTTATTTGCTAGTAGAACAGGCTTTGCACTACGCACTTCTTTTCACACCAATACCACACCAATTGCGAACAAGATTTATACTTTGCCAAGGATTGTTAAAACAAAGCTTTCTTACCTTACAGTTTGTTATACGGCAACATGATCAAGAACTTGACAAGTAATGCATTCTCCCAGTTAATTAAGCTGCGGTGCCTGTAAGTGGAAAGTCGTCCTCGTTTATCAACTATTACAAGTGTCACAACTCACTTCATAATCCGAATAGTGCATATCCATTTTCATCGATCACATCCTTCAACCCTTAAATATCTTCATAGCACACAGACCGATAACGAACGCCCTTAATCAACGATCAAAGACATAACGGCTAAATCTAACAACAGACAAGATCTGGGTGACAAGATCAGGTACCTCAAAAGCCAAGCCTCGTACGAATCTGTATAGAGTCGTAAATTAAAGCAAGGGTCGCATTAAAGCTTAATAAATTACTTTCGAACTCAGAAATTGTTGTTTCCAAAATTTTGAGCTGTGGAGAGCCTATCGGTCCAAATAATGTCTTTCCCAGCAAATTTGAACTGAAGTGATTGTAACACTTTTTTAACTTTCCTCCTCATACAGACAACTTTATGACAACGACCTAACTGAGCTACAAGAGGGTTTGTTTGATAGTTTGAGAGCATTGACATGCCTGTGAGTAAAGAAAAGAAAAATTTCAAGATACAAAATGGAAACAGTTAAATTATTTGTGTGACAAATCGCACACCTGCAGATTGAAGGTGAAAAAATAATAATTTACTGAGAAAGAAAGAAAACATGCAAAAATGTTGCTGTAGGAGATCATAATTTCATACCTTAGTTATTAAATGTTTAGTGGATGAATGAGCAAAGTAATGCACATCGATGATGCATGTTCCAGTAACTAAACAAAATAATAAGAGCCAGACCTATCAAAACTATCAGAAATAAACTTAAAAAAAAGTCAGGATATTTACCAGTATTGTGTTTCTGAATTTAGTTCGGGAAGATGTGAAAAGATTTACCTATCATTGCCGTATTATTTTAACTTTTTATCAGATGGCTGCAAGACAACGGAATCAGAAAGCTTCCTAAACACGTTTTCAAAGATTTGACTAATTTGCAAGAGCTGTGAGTATGATGAAGAATAATTATGTTTACAAAAAATATTGACTCTTTCAATATTAATGTTCTCCTCCTTTAAAGGGGAAAAGTATTCGAAAAGAAATCCCCGCAAGTTTCAAGGAGGTTGCGTTGGTACAAAACGCGCGCGAGCAAAAATTATTGATGGATTATAATTAAATGTACACTGATTTCATAAAAGCACATGATGGGCCTACTTCAAGTCGCTTAAAAGAATTATAATTCAGAGCGATTGTATAATATTAACATCACGGAGGGCTGCGTAACCGAACGGTGACAGCGTCTGACTTAAAACCTGCTGATCCCGAATTTCATCGACTTGCTGTGCTCACGTAGTCCCAATGCTTAAGGAGAAACCAGCCACTGTTATTACCGAGCATGTAAGACCAATTTCGATAACCCTGGATCTATCAAAGCTGGCCGAGCAAGTATCTCCGAAGGCCTAGCCACCCTGAGAAGATCTATCCGAGCCAATTTGATGTTACTCCAAAATCTTCTACCCTACATGCCCTCGTCATCCTAAGGGTAGTCGAAATGCAATCCAAAGCGCTGTAACATGCAGCAGTAAAGCAGTGGTCGAATAAAACATCGAAGTACAAACTAGTGGAATATAAATCCAATATCCCAGCTCACAATTTAACAAATCCTGGTTTCAATCTCATTTCCAAAGTTATCAATCCTGTTACATTCACAAATTGTTTCCAAGGAAAAAAATTAATCTTTTATTGCCAAATCATGGTCCTAAATTTATCCAGAATTGCGAATAGCTTACTTTTAATGTCCCATTATATTGCAGAGGAACAAAATTTACCTGCTAATTTACAATAAGACAATAAGTTTGAGATGTTAAGTGGTGATGTATCCGTCGGTTCAGATGCCGAACTATCAAGTTCAAATCCAATTTTTTAACTTTTTTTTATAAATTCAAAAAAAAAATATCGAAAATTTTTGAAAACAAATTTTTAAAAATTAAACTGGTGAGCAGCTGTCTGCGAACAGCAGTTGTAAAACTTGTTTATTTTGCGACGCGTTTCGTAAAATATTTTTCTCACCTCGCCTCTGAAAATTTTAAAATTTTTCCACAACTTCGCCTGTTTCTGTTCTTAGGTCCGGCCGAGCCTATATGATCATTTGCCCCCGTAATAGCCATAGTATGACTTATAAATACAAGCTTTTAGCGTTGACTCGCAAAAAGAAGTCTATGAAAGTAAGACGAAACGCGTCGAAGAATAAAGAAGTTTTACAACTACTGTTCACAGAGTGTTGCTGACTAGTTTAGCTTTCAAAATTATTTCTTTTTCACTCAACAGGATAAGAATTGTTGCACCAAACATTTCTACGTAATATTTTTTGCTGTTTGTTTAGTAATCGATGAGTTTTTAAAGCGCCTTATGCTAGGAGTGTTAATAGATATAAAAATATTTCAAATGCATCAGAGTTATAGCATAAGCGTGTACGGGCACGACACAAATAAACTGTTAATCCAACAGAAAAAATAAAATAAAAAAAACCTGCGATAGCAAAAATTTCTAAAAAAAAATAACACTTTTAACTGAAATCAGGGAATATTTATTCCTAGGGAATTGGGTAACAACCAGATAAAGGAGCTTCCACCTGGAGTCTTCAATAACAACACCGAGTTGATCAAACTGTGCGTAATTGATTTTCTTGGCTCTTGTCATGATAGCCTTTGATGTGCCAAGATTTTAGTCTCATTGTTGACTAAATGTGATCAAGAAGGTCCTGAAGCTTAGTGGATGTAGTCAGCCATTAAAAGGGTGAAAGAGAGTGGGACAGTTCATAGGTGGACGGAGTTACGCAGAAAAGAGTAACCTACCCCAACTATACAATCCTTTCAGTTTTATAAATTATCATATCCTAGCTTCTGACGTTGGTCCACGTTTAGTAAATTCCATTTTCTATTCCTTTTATAACTTTGTTTTATTTGCCAGTATGAAAAGGAGATTTCAGGTGCTCTCTCTCAGAACAGGCTTTGCTCTTCTCACTTCTTTTCGCACCAATACTACAGTCAAACGCGAGCAAGATTTATACTTTGCCAAGGACTGTTAAAACAAAGCTTTCTTACCTTACAGTTTCTTATACGGCAACAAGATCAAGAATTTGACCAACAATGCATTCTCCCAGTTAATAAAGCTGCAGTGGCTGTAAGTGACAAGTTGTCCTCGCATATCACCTATTACAAGTGTCACAACTCATATCATAATCCGAATAGAGCATATTCCTTTCCATCGATCAAATCCTTCAACCCTTAAATATCTGCTTAAGCACACAGACCGATAAAGAACGCCCGCAATCAATGATCAAAGATATAACGGCTAAATCTAACAACAGACAAGATCTGGGTAACAAGATCAGGTACATCAAAGCCAAGCATCGTGTGAATCTGTTTAGAGTCGCAAATTAAAACAAGGGTCTTATTAAAGCTGAATAAATTACTTTCGAAGTCAGAAGTTGTTAGTTCTCTGCAAAATTTCAAACAATGTAATTGTAACACTCTTTTAACTCTTCTCCTCTACAGACAACTTAACGACAACGGCCTAAAAGAGTTACAAGAGGGTTTGTTTGATGGTTTAAGGGCATTGACACGCCTGTGAGTAAAGAAAAGAAAATTTTAAAAATACAAAATGGAAATAGTTAAAATTATTTGTGTGACAAGTCGGACACCTGCAGATTGAAGGTGGAAAAAATAATAAGTTGCTGAAAAAGAAAGAAAAATACAAAAATGTTGCTGTAAGGGATCATAATTTTATACCTTAGTTATTACATGTTTGTTGGATGAATGAGTAAAATAATGTGTAGTAAGGATATTCCAGTAACTTAAATAAAATAATAAGAGCCAGACTTATCGAAACTATCAGAAATCAACTTTAACAAAAAGTCAGTAAGTCAGGATGATTACCAGTATTGTGTTTCTGAAATTAGTTCGGAAAACTCATCATAATTGGAAGATGTGAAAAGATTTACCTATCATAGCCGTATTATTCTTTTTATCAGATGGCTACAAAACAATGGAATCAGAAAGCTTCCTAAACACATTTTCAAAGATTTGACTAATTTGGAAGAATTGTGAGTATGATAAAAAAGAATTGTGTTCACAAAAAATATTGAATCTTTCAATATTCATGTGACTCCATCATATGTTATCACCTAAGGACATTCGAAAATACAATTTTAGCCCAGCCAGCGCACTTTTATGTTGCCAAAAATGCGCACTAGTCGTTACACGAACACATTTATTCCATCCATGTCCAATTAGTAGAAATTTTATGCGTAGTTTATTTTATTATAATCATTTTATATTTTACGAAGTTACTATTTTATAAATGTGTATACGACTTAAACTTTTTGAAAATTTCATACAATTGAGCCTTAGGAGGCTGCGATTCTGGATATTTTAATAAACTTTCTCTAACATCTCTGATCTGACCAGTACGTGGTCATCCGCGGTCGTGGTTTTTAAACATTTTACATTTACTATGATGCGTGAGTAAAGAGCCTGAAATCTAAATATAACTGGAATAGTTCAGTGCTCATCCACCGTTAAGTATTAAAACAGATTGGCGTCTAGTGAAATGTAGCGCAAGAGCTGTCTGGCGGTTTCCTCATACTGTCTCCCTTCATGCGAATTACATTCCGGCTAGTGATATTTTTTTCTAAATTTTCTGAAATACATTTTCCCTTGAAACTTTCAGGGATCTGTCTAATAACAAGGTTAAGAATCTGGCACAAGACGTCTTTAGTAACTTAACAAATATCACAAACCTGTAAGTCAACAACATTAAAAAAACAAAACTAGCCACGTCGAGGCAATCAGTCCTCATCCTAATCATGTTCGACTTACGAAAAGTGCTCCATTTCTGTCTAACCAGTTGCAATCATAAGTTACGGGAACCATTTTGTTTTGCCGTTAAACGCAAACGATAGGTGTTTTCCATACACTGAAACCTATTATTTGTCAATGTCTTGCCTGATGTTTCGTACTTGTAGGTTTTTGTCCAAAAACCAAATTGGAGAATTACCATCAACGATATTTGTTAACCTGACCAAGCTTAAGGCATTGTGAGTAGAGATGGAAATCTTGAAATATTAATTAGCTGTCAGTCGATTGATTGATTTATCAAATTGGGAGATAAAACAGTAAAAGAGAATGATAAAAGATCCTGAATGTTAAATTACGGGAAAGAATTGTGACCATGTTTAAATTGTTTTCGAACCGGACGATTTTAGAGCTATGTGAGGTCTAGGATGGATCAATTTACTTCAATTTAATGTCAAAATTAATCGAGGATTGCTCTCGTTTTGCTTTCATCACCCTTATCGTTAATCTAAAAACGTGCGCCATCTTTTCAACCAATTGGATTCAAAGCTAAAACCAAGCGCGACTTCGTCATGCACCACCATTAAAACTTAAAGGCATGTGTTTGTTTGTATTATTTTTAGTTCTGATTACCTTCATCAATTTTTTTTTCCTTTTAATTGGTTGTTGCGGTTACTTTGGCTTGGGGTGGAGAAATCGTAATCAAAAGGCACGCTAGATACGTTGGCACCAATTCAAATTTCAAATTAAGAAGAAGGTTGGTCACTAAAAGGTTTCTGTTTTACAATTTAACAGAAAAATAGAGAAAAATAATTTAACAAAGCTCCATCCAAAACAATTTCGCGGACTGGTACAGCTGTTTGAGCTGTAAGTAGTTTATGTAATGATTCGAGTTTTCTATGGGTCTAGTTTCTGCATGTAGGCTGACTTTGCCTGATTGACAGAATTTTTCCTCACCGCAATTTCCTGCAGAAAACGCTTGAACCGATCAAGTTTTCCATGTTAATGAAAATTTAAGGCCCTGTGTCACAACTTCCGCATTTTTTCCGGAATTCGTAATATAAATGCATGCGGAGGGTTTGTGGAGATTGCTGGAAAACCTATAAGCCGGGTTAGATATAATGTAGACAAAGTTTCAGTAACAACTTGTACATAAAGTCCCTGCAATGACGATGCTCCTCTCGAAAAGTCCAAAAATTGTATGTGATTACATTTAAAAATGTTTGTAAATTTTCTTCCCACTCATGAAAAATGTCATCGATGTCCCGTTCTTTAATTCCTGAAGTTCGCCATACATTTCATTTTCTTCCTTTCCTCATTAGCTATCTGTCGGGAAACAAACTCAGAAATTTGCCACAAGGAATTTTCAAAGGCCTAAAGGAGCTTGAGATTCTGTAAGTAGAATATGAAATTCATTTGTGCTTAATTTGATCGAAGTGGTATCTCAGTATCTTCTAATAATCGTACTTATCAGTTTGAGAGGCGTACATCAATGCGCAAAAATTATATCATAGCTAATTGTTTTCTTTTCATCTTCTTTGTAAGAGAACTCTTTGACAACGAATTGAGGAACGTTTCCATCGACAACTTCAATGAAATCAAGCAGTTAAAAATTCTGTGAGTGTTTAATTTTCATAAATGATAAATGAGAATCAAATTATGAAAGACACTGACTGCCATCAAAGGTTCAGTTAAGAAAATAATCAAAGGGCGTCTGTGGCCAACTCGTGGAAAAAGAATTAAAGAGATATGTGCTTGTAAAGTTACTATCAGTAAACTAAGGTGTTAAAAAAAGATAGAAAGTAGAACCATTGCAGGTATAGAAATTATAGCACTTGAGTATGTGATGGAAACCCCCCGGGGGGAAGTACATGGGTCATTTTTTACTGGGTATGTGCAGCTAGCCTCTCAGAGAGCCTTTGTTGTGGCCAGTTATAGACCCCTTCTTTGTCCGCTTTTGGGCAAGACCGATCATAAAAAGTTATTTCATTCTTACCATCAAAACAGTCACGTCTGCATAGAAAAACATCAAAACGAAACGACCATAACGAAAAGACCGAAATTAGCTTAGCTGCCGAAACGTCCAAAAAAAACCCTGAAACGAAAGAAATAATGCTATAAATGAAAATTTTTTTTTATGTCATGAGTACATGTTTCCGTGGGAATTTCAATGTCAGCAGCTTGCTTTGTCACTCACTAACTCTTCGTGATTCTCGCTGCTCCTCGTTATGTTCAGTGCATGGACGATTCGAAAACCCTTCGTACTTGGTCTTGAAATTGATCTTAGCACTAATCTGAAACATTCGAAGTCCATTTCAATTTAGTAAATGTCGAAACAGCCGTGTCAAAACAATAAACTTCGCAACGATTGATGCAATTACAATGGGGCTAAGTTTTCGGACTTCTTCGGAACGATAGATCTCGAATTCGAAGCCGACTAATTACGACTAATTACGAAGAGTCCACGTCAATTTGCATATCCCAAGGTGCCCACAACAACTCGTTTCTACGCTATCGCCTATCCACGAGTTAAAAAAGCACAAATCGATACGCTAAGTTTGATGCAACACTCCAGAAATGCTCTTCTGTTCACTGATTTCATCCTTATATTCTTGTCTTTAAATATCTAATTTTCAGATATTTGCATTATAACTACATGAGGGAGATTCCCTATGGATTTTTTGAAGAGTTGAAGGACATATTACGAGTGTAAGATTTTGATCAGATGTATTTGACACATTTACGGTTTATTTGCAGAGCTATATGAATAGAAAGCGTCTGGGGGTTCCTTTAATTCAAATATTTACTAGCACAGAGCTTCAGGCAAATGAGTTTGTGGTTTCTATACTTTACTAAATATCTATGGTCGCCTTTCTTCACCCTATTGACAACTTTTATAACAACCTCCATTTTGTTGGGTAATACGCCTTACAAAGACTGCTATTGCGCACTACATTGCTTCACAATATCGCGAGAAAAATTTTCGAACATATTCAATGAAGATTCAAAGAGGAAATGAATTCTGATTGACTGATCTCGCGTTGCCTTTGTGCTCTTAGGGTATAGGCTTTTGGTTTCATCTTTTACTCTATCCTTATGGACTGAATAGCATCATATTTTACGGTTGCAGGAGTTTGGACACAAACCTGATGTGTTGTCATATGCACAAAGAGGACGCTGACTGTGCTTTCATTGATAACGACGACTTTGCAAACTGTGAGAGCATGTTCAAGAGCCCAACCCCGAGGAAGAGCATATGGGCAATCGGCTCCCTTTCCCTGGCTGGGTCTGTGTTTGTCATCACATGGCGTTCAGTCTTTAAGGATACAAACACGGTACAATCAATCATGTTATTGCACTTGGCAGTCTCCGATGGTTTAATGGGAGCATACCTAATCACACTGGGTGTCAAAGATCTGTTGTGGAGAGGAGAGTATTACTTACATGACTTCGAGTGGCGGTCCAGTTTGGCTTGCCAGATAACTGGTGCCACCTCTTTGCTATCCAGTGAGGCCTCCTTGATGCTGATGGCTTTGATATCTGCAGACCGACTCAAGAACATTGTGTTCCCGTTCAGAGGTGGAGCACTTTCGCGGAAGATGACCCACATCCTTTGCGCTATCATATGGCTCGTCGGCTTCCTCCTGGCTTTCTTTCCGATGTTTGGCTTGAGATACTTCGAAGATTCTAAAACATATCACAACTATTACGGAAAAAGTGTAGTCTGCCTTCCCTTACAGCTCTCTCGTCACAAAACGGAAGGCTGGGAGTACTCTGTTTCTGTATTTGTTGGCCTCAATTTCTTCCTCTTCATATTCATCACAGTTGCCTACCTCGCCATATTCATAAGCAGAGTGCGAGTTAAAAACCAATCAGCCAACACAAGGAGGGAGACCGGTCTGGCCAAGAGAGTGTTCTTCATCATCTTCACTGACTGTCTCTGCTGGATGCCAATCATCGTGTTTGGTATGAGGTCGCTTTTGGAGAAGAATTTCAAGCCACCGAGAGACTTAGCTGCTTGGATTGCCGTGTTTGCTCTGCCCATCAATTCAGCGATAAACCCGATTCTGTACACGTTAGCAACACCAAAGGTAAAGAATAACATTTCTTCATTATCTCTTAAATCTAAATTATTTGAGGCAAGACCCGGTGGTCTGGCGCTTAACACGGTGGGTTCTTTAACGCACTGACAGGGGTCTTCTTAAGCTAGACACTCTGACAGTGACTGTTTCCATTCAGCTGTTTAAACGAGTAGTTTTAACCTGCCTGAGAAAGTTAGCTTATACTTCGTCCAAGTACTGGCCTGAATCATCCCGGTTGCTTTACACTACCAAGAGTGTGATGATTATAAAGACGTCAAGCAAGCAATCGATTGAGATCATTGACACTTGTCACTCTGTAACAATTGATAAGGGAAAATGGTCAGTTGATGGACGTCGTTATTGACAATTTTCTCTCCTCTCCAGGCGCAAGAGTATCTGGGAAGCAAAATAGCAATGCTGAGAAGCTTCATACGGAGTACTTTTCATTGCAGTGAATATCAAGAGAGTAGTTATGCCCATTTTTCCATTCTTTCTATTACATAGTTTATAGACTAAAATTGAAAACGTTGTTCTTAATAGTAAAACGTTCTTTCTGTGACTAACGCCACGTTTGAGATGGATATCATATTGTAGTAGTATCAATCTGTTGATTTAATCATGCCTTGTTTGATAAGGACAACAACAAGATCCACGAGAGATTGAAGATAACGGACAACAAGAAGGTAACACCATTTTACTGAGTTCTTTTTGTCACTGTATCCTCCTCAGGAATCGTTTTCATTTACATTTTTATTTTCTCGATGTTGTCCTCCAGTTCGTTTTTTATCTTTGTTTCCCCAGATCAACAAGAAGGAGAAGCAGTGGAAATGCAGATTCTTGGATTGCCACATCCAGATCAAGGTGTTTAAAATAGAATTTGCTCGTTCACTGTCCCAAACCAAGTAGATATCAATTGAAGTTCTCTTCGCTTAAGTCACCCAATTGTTTTTGGGCAAAAAACAGCGCAAAGAACTTTGATGGGGAAATACACCAAAACATAGCTTCAGTCGCATTTTGAATTAGTTTTTTTTTTTTTAAGAAACCGTTGGCTGAAATAGAATCACTCAGCGCTTGTAAGGCTAAGATTACTTTTATTTGTATTTAATTACCCTTGTGTCCAACACCTCTCGAAAGTGCCTGTCTTCTAAGTTGAATGACTAACTATAGATCCGTGTTTTGGGGAAGATGAGTCTTACACTCTTGTATTTATCCATTTATCAAGATGCACAAGAGCAGCATGGAGACAATCAAATTGGAATTGTCCAACAGCTTCACAAGGAGGGTATGTGATGACATCATTGTTGATTACAATGTTTTTATAATTATCCAGATCATTGATATCATATTGCAGTAGTATTAATCTGTTGATTTACTCATGCCTTGTTTGATAAGAACAACAAGATCCACGAGAGATTGACGATAACGGGCAACAAGAAGGTATGAGCATTTTACTGAGTTCTTTGTGTCACTGTATTTTCCTCAGGAATCATTTTCATTTCCATTTTTATTTTCTTGATGTTGTCCTTCAATTCATTTTTTATCTTTTTTTCCCAGATCAACATGAAGGAGAAGCGATGGAAATGCAGATTCTTGGACTGCCACACCCAGATCAAGGTGTTTGAACAACAATTTGCTCGTTCATTGTACCAAACCAAGTAGATATCAATTAAAGTTCCCTTCGTTTAAGACACCCGACTGTTTTTGGGCATAAAAACAGCGCAAAGAACTTTGACGGGGAAATGCACTAAAAACGTAGCTTTAGTAGCATTTTTAATTAGTTTTTTTAAGTTACCGTTCGCTGAAATAGAATCACTCAGCGCTTGTATGGCTAAGATTACTTTTTTTTTGCATTTAATTACCCTTGTGTCCAACACATGTCTCGAAAGTGCCTGTCTTCTAAGTAGAGTGGCTAGCTGTAGATTCGTGTTTTGGGGAAAGATGAGTCTTACACTCTTGTATTTATCCATTTATCAAGATGCACAAGAGCAGCATGGAGACAATCAAATTGTAATTGACCAACAGCTTCACAAGGAGGGTATGTAATGACATCATTGTTGATTACAATGTTTTTATAATTATCGAGATCATTGAATTCATTCGAAAATGTATCTCATAAAATGTCGTTAAAAGATCGTTTTGCTTTTGTTCTTGTGTCAGGAAGCTTATTTGCTAATTTATTTCTATGTGTATTTAGATCAGCAAGGGGCTAAAATGCTGGAAATGCAGCAAATGCCTCCCCACGAACAAGGTTATTCACAACTTTTTCTATCTGGTCAACTGACAAACAACAAAATAAATAATAACTGTCCATTTTACAATTAGTTTTCCAGCTTATTCGATTAGCATTATTGAGCTTTCTCTTAAAGTTTGTTTTCCTTTCAACTTTAATTTAGAAGAAGGCCACGAAGGAGAAGAAGACATTGTTGAAGAAGATCATCTGGAATATGATACAAAGTTGTAGTCATTGATCGATAAAATGATATCAAGTAAACACCAGTTTAACCCTAAACTTCTGAGTAATCTGTAACAAGTAATTAATAATTAGTGATCCTTTTAACTTATTTTATTGTTATGGGTAAACATAATTTGATATCATTAGGATGATACGTTGAGCCTATAGGACTGTTTATTCTAGACACCAGCACGTTGTAGGATACGTTTAAATCGCAAGGGGGAGGTGCCCTGTTAATAGCAACTGATGGCTCTGGAATAAATTTATCACTTACATGTAGCTAGATTTCCCTTACTGTAGTCAGTGAACACTCAGCAAAAATATCAATATGTGTTATTATTAACAAAGGGTTAACTGTAAAATGAAGATTTCCACCAGTAGTCATAATAGTTTAGTTGAACGCAATAGGTTTATTTAAAGCAAGATTACCTTCCAACTTTTCCCGGTCAGGGCCCAGTTGTTCAAAGGCCGATTAGTGCTAGCCCAAGGTTAAATTTTAATGCAGGTTTCTATATTTCTTTTTTCCAAAGCCTTTTAGAGAAAATTTTCTCTGTTCTTTTTAGAACATCCAATGATCAAATTGCAATCAAAAAGATTTGAACTGAATTTTCTTTTAAAGCTTTCAGACCTGAAATCAAATTCCATGCTAACCCTGGGTTATCTTAACCCAGATTTGAACAACCTGGGCCAGATCAGACAGGAAAAAACTTCTTGCAAAGTTGATAACTTCATTAAAAAATGTAATCTTGCTTTGATATCACTGGCCTTCTGATTCAAACGGTAGTTCTCCCTGTACCAGTCAGGGAAAAACATGAACTTTCTTACAAAAAATGATAGCAGATGATTAATTGAGTTTTTAATAAGAAAGAAAAGTCGTTATGGTAACTACATTTGCTCACAAATCTCAGCAAACCTTTCATTGCCTACTTTATAGAAAATGATAATAGATGAAAGAGTTTTAAATAAGAAAGAACGGTCGATATGGGAACTACATTTGCTGACAAATCTTAGCAAACCTTTCATTGCTTTGCATCTGTTGTATACATAACGTGAACAGACCGCAGGGGAGAGCAGGGCTACCCTGTAGAATCCTCATTCAAGCTATGTTCTGATATCCACTAAGTGTATCTTCTACACGGGTAAAACCGTTGAGAGCTGCTTATTAACAACATATATAGCCTCCGTTTGCAAATTATTATTGATTCTATGATAAATGTATTCAATAACAGATAATAAAGAATTCATTGTTTCAACTATTAATATTATTTTAGTCGGAAAGAATGAAGAATCATGAGAAAAACAGTAAACATTTAGCTAATACAGCGAAGTAGCTTGACAACTTTGCAATATCATTGTTCAGATTTTCCTTTGTCTTAATGTCTAGATAGCATTTCTGTCTCATTTAAGAGTTACAACAAACTCGTTTATGTTAGTTTGCATCTATCTGCAAGTCAACGTTAGTAGATAATGATATTGGAGGTTAGCATAACACTAAATTTGATTTAATTTTAAATAAAAGGAGGTTATCAGAGTAGTCTGATGCGTGGTATGATGAGAGACTACAAAATGTTTCCTAAGGCGACAATTGTGGTGAAACTAGATCTCTACGAATTTAATGGGGTAGAGGGTCTAAGAGACTAAGAGACTAGCAGCAATTGACTCAGGTACCCAGCCCTCCCTCGTGCTACTCTGGAGGCCGGGAGCTCGCTCTTCCCTGAGAACGAGGCCATGTCGCGTGACAAGCGTCCGGCTCTCTCTCTGTTGTTATGTCATGGCATCTCAGATCGTGGTGATAGCGAATCTCATTTTTCTCTCTTTTTGCATCTATGTCGATGCTGACACTCCTGCTAACTGTACCTATGAAGAAATAAGTGGATCATGGCTTTTTTCGATCGGAGAAGGAGGCCACGACAACACTATCGACTGCTCCTCCTTCAAACCTGTCTCTGAGCTTCACGTGACTTTGTTGTTTCCTGACGTCGCAGTTGATTCCGATGGAAATGTCGGCTTTTGGACGTTGATCTACAACCAAGGCTTTGAAGTAAATATAAATGGAGTGGTGTATTTCGCCTTTTCATCTTACGAGAAGAGTGGTGAAAAAGTGATCAGTTTTTGCGACAAAACCTTAAATGGATGGAGTCATGCCGCAAAGGGTTATCATGCTGGAAATTGGGCTTGTTACAGCGGTAAGATTTTATAAATTTGAGGATTTTTTTAAAATATACGAAAAAGAAGCGGTTTTTTAAATATTTAACGATAAAAAATTGCGAGATTGGCACTACACTACAACCGGTGTTTATCAGCAGAAAATTGTAAAAAGACCTCAAGCCCACAGAAATCAAGCCTCCAATCGTAAATCAGCAATGCGTTGTTTACTCTTTTACATGTGATCTGTGTGTTTCAGATTACGTCGGCTTTACAGCTCGACACCTTCATCAACGTATTGTTGAACATGAAAACCCTACGATCGGTAAACATTTTTCGACAGCCCATGGGGATACAAGCCCCCTCGAAGAAAGCCAATTCCGCATTCTGAAAAAGTGGCAAGGAAAATTTGTCTGTCTTGTCTATGAGATGCTTTTCATCAAGCAGCGCACTCCTTGTTTCAACACGCAGACTGATTCCATTCGCGCAAAACATTCCATTACCTATTGTTTTTTTAGTATTTAAACATTTTTTATCTTTCACTCTTTGACTTGATAATGACGTTAGCCAAACGTCGAAACGTCGTCAACATATTTTTAATATGCTTTTACGAAATGTTTTATCGCAATTTTTCATCGTTAAAAGATTTTTTCAAAAAGTCATTTATGATCATTATTCAATGGAATGTGAATATGGGTCCCATGCTTTTAATTTAATTGGGACCATTAAATTTCAATAGCATCGAAAATGAATCAAGCCTTATACTCTAAAAACGAAAGGAAAGTCCAGACTTCTGATCTTGTTGCTAAACATGGCTGTGTACGCGCGAGTCCTGGTACGGAGGGTTTGGTCATAATTTAGATCGCGTTTTTCGTTTCCTGCGCTCTAAAAGTTTAGTTTTTCAGTTTTGGCGTCAGTATCAATTTTCAGCATCTGGCTTGGTTTCAGAACAAGAAATGCCAGTTTTTCGGATTTTATATCTTTTGATAGATCATAAGAAAACAATAACACTTACTTCAATTTATTTACGTTCGTTTTCTTTCAATAGGGAAAAAAACTTCAGGAAAGGTTCCACCCAAAACAGAATACTTCAAACCTCAACAAAATGCTGTAAATCATGAGTTTATTCCTAATCGGGAGTTTATTGACCAAATAAACAGTGCACAAAGTTCTTGGAAAGCTGTGGTGTATGAGGAATATAGTGGGATGACAACAGCACAGTTAATTTCCCGTGGTGGTGGGCTAAAGAGGCAGAATTTCCCAAAACCAAGGTAACTCACTTACCTTACTTTCTGCCTTTCTTGGTATTTTCTTTGATTTTCTTTAGCTAATGATTTTGATTTATTAACCTTTTAACTCCCAGATCAAATTTTTAATCCTCCTTACTGTCAACCACACAATTCTTACAAAGTTAGTCCAGAGAATTTAGTATTTGATCAACCAATTATCCCCAAATTGATATTTTTCTTTGTTCTCATCACTTATTTGGTTAATATTGTATTGATTCCATAAGGAGAATTTTTGTCTTGGTCATTCATGGGAGTTAAAGGGTTAACCCTTTCCAACCTGATATCAGTATGCACACTCTTTATACTGCTCCCTACACATTTCCTGTGACATTACCAAGGAGAATTTGTGTAACAATCAAGAGATTCTTGAGTTTTCAATAATTTCCTTTATTCTTACTTACAATGTTTGATTCAGGGGTCATGATACTGATTGGAGAAAGTACATGCTTTTCACTCTTAAGGGGTTGAAGAGTGTTGGGACTCTAAGGTTATAGACTTAACAGAAAATCAAAACATCAGGAGATACCAGAAAAGCCAAAAAGGGGCATTGGATGGATAAAATCATTTTTGAAAAAGGACATTACTCTCTCTTTTACTATTTTGAAAGTTAATTCCTGAAGTGGACAAAAAATAAAGAAGAGTTGTATAGTGGTTGTTGCATACTCTTCAATTTGGTGAATATATATCATTACAGCAAAGTGAAAGAAGCAGATCTATTGAAAGCTCAAGTGCTCCCAGAAGAGTTTGATTGGAGAAATGTTGATGGGAAAAACTATGTCAGTCCTATCAGAAATCAAGGTAGTTGTGGCAGCTGTTATGCTTTTGGTACTATGGCCATGTTCGAGGCTCGTGTACGTATCATGTCAAATGGAAGTGTAACGCCAGTGTTCTCTACTCAAGATATTGTAAGCTGCTCTGAATATTCTCAAGGTTGTGAAGGGGGTAGGTATTTGATATCTGCTTTGTGCCAATCCACCAGCAGATAATTTATGGTATACTAGCTGAGAGAAAGTTTAGGAAAGAACTTAGGACATGAAAAATTGCTGACATGGGCGAAGAACAGGCAACAGGGATGGGGAAAAGAAAGTCTTATTTGATGGGGATGTGGAAGTAGTGGGGTATGAATTTCAGTTTTTAAGCTTTAAGGAATGGGGAATACAGTATTTACCCGTGTATAATGCGTGCCTGTGTATAATACGCACCCTAACAAAAAAAAAAAATTTTAAGACAAACACCAAGAATTAAAACTTCCATTTTTCCATTCAATTGACAAGAGCTGGGAATTCATTAATAATATGTTTACAACAATTTCTAACTAGTTGCTACTACAAACATGTACCGAGCACCTATTTAAGTCTAAGTTAAATGTTCAATGTCTTCAAACAAGGAAACCCTCAAATTCCGACTCGCAGTCCGATTCAAATAAGCTTCCTTGATGAGTGGGAAGGATGATGTCAAGGATATGCAAAGGATTGGAAGAAGAGGGAATATTGGCAAGGGAGAGGGGCTTGGGACTAGATTGTATTGAAATTTTATGAGGGTAGGGGTGAGGGGATGGAATGTATGTTTAAGAAAAGAGCAATCATCATGGAGAAAGGAGGACTTAATCAGACTGGAAACCCAAGCTGTGGAGGAGAGAAAGTTGTATTTCACCTCCTCTGAACTGTGAAACTGGTGAATTACATTATGTTTGTATTGAAAAGATAACCAAGAAACTGGTTGCATCTAGTAATTTCTTGATGGCCTAATAACCATTTAAAACGTAAGACTGATAGGAATCTAGTTTCTCCTAACAGTAATACTGCTTAATCATTCAGTCAGTCAGTACCAAAGCAAATGTGTAGAAAAGAGTGAGGAGAATATGAATACTGATGTAACAGTGTAAACAGTTCAATTCAGTTAAAAAAATGTGCTTTGTGAAGCAGCTTTCCCATTATTGTATCTCTGGTTTGTTTCAGACCCTGCTGTCACTGGTGGGTTGAATTAGTTGTTATTTCTCATACTCGCTTTGAAGGTTTTTTCCACAGGGTCCTCAAGTATTCCCCTCAACAATAAATAATAGCCAAAATTTCCTTTTTTGCACCAAGGAAAAAGAGGATGTTAAACTTCTCTGTGGTTTCCCTTATTTCATATTAAGCAAGTAGGTTAGAGACCTGAAGATTGTTATGAGCCTTTGAATCAATACATAGGGAACCCACTGAATGAATTTGCTACTGCTAAATTCTGATTTATTCTAATATATTAATGTCTGTTTATTTTGAAGGTTTCCCATATCTCATTAGCAAGTATGCTAAAGACTTTGGTTTGGTGGATGAAGATTGTTTCCCTTATGAAGGCAAAGAAGTGCAATGTAAGGAAAAGAGGTGCTCAAGGCAGTTTGGGACTGGGTACCACTATATTGGTGGGTTCTATGGAGGATGTAATGAGGAGCTAATGAGGATTGAATTGGTGAAGAATGGCCCCATAGCTGTCTCTTTTGAGGTATATGATGACTTCAGGTATTATAAAGGAGGAATATACCATCATACAGGTGAGAAATTTTCCATTTTTTATCAACAAGTTAATTAATTCTTTGTAGCATAGAGCAGCCAGGAGTGCTACCAGCACTCATTAGCCCTTTAAATCCTAAGAATGATTAGCATCTAATTTCTCTCTACGATATCACTGCTGAATCACACATTATGGTCATGAGAATAAAGGAAATGATCACCAATGAAAGAAGCTTTTGATCAGTAAACAAATTCTCCTTGTTAGCACTTTAGGAAATGTATTAACAACAGTATGGAGAATATGCATACTGATGTTAGCATGTAAAGGGTTAAGGCAGGAGGAGCTAGTCCACCATAGGTAACCTGCCAATATTTTGTCATGTGCCCTGGACATTCTGCCACTAATCATTTTTACTTCTGGGCCAGGAGAGAGAAAAAAAAGACAATCACCTCTGGTAGGAAAACACAGTGGTCAAAGATAGGGCAAGTGTTGCAAATGGGTCGATGTGGCCTAGCCATTTGATATCTTGTACTTCAACACAAGATAAAACCAGTGTCATGCAAAATTCACTTTGTAGAAATTTGTGGGAGGTATTAAAATAGTGAAAAGGAAAACTCAAGACTAATTTGCAAACACAAAGCTTATTTAATCACATATATCCTGTAGATTTACTAATTTTATTTGAGCCTTTACAAGAAAGTTACAAGCTTTTAAATAACTGTGAATAGCCCACATAAGTAGTTGTTTATAACTTCTAAATTAGAGAGAACTTGGTTTTGTCAGCCTTAAAGCAAGTCTCAAGTCTCACAACCTGGTTGTGAGCTTTTGTTTCAATGATTTTCCATAAGTGGCTGTCAATGGTGTAATAGGCAGCTATGCCACAAGGCAACCCACCTTCCCCTTCCCCCCCCCCCCCCCACCCTCAGCAACCTTTCATCAGGTTCCTTTGATGGTTTTGCTGTTAACCACTTATTCACAGTCATTCATCTGAGATGCAGTGTGGACATATCTTTAGCCAAGGTGGAAAGTCAGTTCCAGACTGCAGCATACAAACAAGTTTATCTCCAATAAGAAGCAATACTTACAAGTTGCAATATTGCCATTACTTAATATACTCTGTTTCATACAACCAACTGATCTTGTGTTTTGTCTTACTGCTCTCTTTATGACACAGGTCTGACGGACAAATTTAACCCTTTTGAAATAACTAACCACGTGGTGGCAATCGTTGGATATGGAGCTGATAAAGAGACAGGTGAAAAGTTCTGGATTGTGAAAAACAGCTGGGGGGAGAGCTGGGGCGAGAGTGGCTTCTTCCGTATCAGACGAGGAACCGACGAATGTTCGATTGAGAGCATTGCTGTCTCAGCTCAGCCAATACTAGAATGAGGCGCACTTTTAAAGGGTACTCAGGACTAACCACGGTTAATGATCGCTAGTTGTTATAAATAAACAGATGAATTTCCCTAACTTGGAAATAGATCTGTGATGATTCCAACTGGAAATGTTAAAAAAATGTACAGGTATAATGCAAACAGCAGTGTTAGACTGAGGAAGAATTGCTAATATGGAACCTGCCAGAGGCGTTTAAAATTCAAAGTTATGTCAGTGATACGCTAGGAGACATCAACTGAGTAAAAATCATATTTTGTTATGAAAAAAGTTAATGGCTTTTTAAAGACTTTGTTTATCATTTACTTCAAATACGCATCTTCCACAGATCTTATTCCAAAATGGTAACAGTTTTATTATTCCTGTGTTTTAACCAGCACTCGTTTCCTTAGTCGATGGAACCATAGGGGACTTCGTGACATTCTTTCGATTAATATTTTTGTTCTTTTTTTCTCTTTTTTCATGCCTCTTCTTGACAGTCAAAACAGCGCCTCTTAGAAGGTCAATTTATGGCGCTTTTTTGCTCAGCGCTCTCCAGAAAAATCGAGTTAAATTTTTCTTCTGTTTCTGATGCAACATATATTTCGTTTGAAACAGTTGCGAGGAGGAATAGGGAACAAGGTATGCTGTGCTTGGTGGTTAAGAAGCGATACGCTGAGTACTCCTATTGGAGTTCAAAAATACCCATAATACCGTGTACACCGCGCTCTTAGCTAGAAGGTTAACTTAGAGAGAGCCAGGTACATTAAAGTTCATATGAAAGAGAGCCAGGTGTTTTTCCTCATCAAAGAGGGGACCAAATTTGCGTCTGTGGAAAACTAAATTACTTTGCTTGGTTGTTGATAAAAAAAAACAATTCGTAAACCTGATATGTTTCTTCAACGTATTAATTAAACTGTCTTTTATTTAAAATTAGTACAAGTTAAGGGAAAAATCAATATACATTTTTATTAATCTTTGTCGAAACCTCGAACTCCGTTTTTTTAGCTCAGGACACGGTATGAACCCGCTTGCAATTATTTAAGGCTTTTATCACGGCCAGTTATGTTTACTCAACTTCCCAATTTGAACATCCGTTTTTTGATTAAAAATGCGCAAGAACTTCATTATTTCTGCGTTTTGCAAATATTTTTATCCGGTTTACAGATCCCCTTTTGGTTCTTCTTCAGTATCCAACAAACTGAGTTCCTTGCGCAACATTTTTTCCATCGAATTACTCCAACGCTTAGTAGAACAATTGGTTTTATTGGGTAATACAACTCGATTTTCATGAAAATTGACCGTCATGAGTTCGTCATATAAATTCGACGAATTAAAAGCAGTAAATTTTAAGTGTCCCGAAGAGTACATCATGTAAATGCAACGTAACTGCAGTTAATATTGCCATTTGGTGACTAGGTCTTTTCGTCTAGCGTTTCCTGCAACAACATAACTTCTTAACAGTTTCTTTAACTGCAGCACGAAGATCACGTTGACGCCAGCAGTAAACCAGTGGATTCAATGATGAATTTAGAAAAACTAGAATATAAGTGAAATTAAGTATACGAACATTTAAAAGATTTACTCGAACAGCCAGAGCAATTTTGGCAACGAGAAGAGGAAGGAAACAGACGAGGTGAAGGAGCAAGATAAACAAGGCATTCACAGCAGATTTCTTGAACTTGGCCATGTTAAATTGTTGTGCCTGTGCATTCATCTGATCCTGAATCTGAGCCTGATGACGTCGCACAACTTGGTAGATCTTTATCCAGGTAAAGGAAACTGCAAGAAGGCAAATCGCTATTGTGGATGCAATTAATGAACTGGTCACAGGTTTCTCGTCAAGACTTGATATCAGTGGATATAGGCCACTAAAGAACCACACCAATATGAGGAGTCCAGTTGTTTTTCTCTCTGTGACAACTTGCTCATACCGAAGATGCAAGTGTAACGCTAAATAGCGATCAATGCTCATTGCTGTCAGAGTACAGAGAGTAATTGGTGTTAAATATGTAGTAAATAAAATTATTGTGTTCATCAGCGCGCACGATTTTAGGTGGACCGAGTTCCTTAAATGCATAATATTGAATCCAGCATTTATTGGCCCAGATAAAAACCCAATGCAAAGATCAGACAGTGCGAGACCGCACAGCAGAGTGTTTGAGGGCGAATGTAAACTTGGAGTACGCCAAAGTGTTATAAGCACCATAAAATTACCTAGCAAAGCAGTAACTGAAGTCAAAGTGTTGAAAACTATCAGGATGATTGAATTCGTCGGATCTTCCACTAAGAGGTTGGTAGGTACTCCAAAACACCACAACACTTGGGATCCGTTGATAACTTCGCTGTTCTCTTCCATGTTGGAGTGAATCCTAAAGTTATCATCGAATTTTAAATACGCAAACTGAAAACACCTGCTTTCATAACTATTACAAAAGCAGAAAAACCAAAACAATAGTAATGTTTACATTTTCTAATGAATATTTAAACTAACCTTACAAAATTACATATCAAAAAATCAATTATTTCAATTTTGCCTCATTCAACTCTCAGTAGTTGCATCCATTTAATAACACACTCAACAAAGTTAAAAATACTTATTGGTTTTCCGGCCTCCGATGGGCGTTTGTTAATCTAGTCCTTTAATTATAAAAACAAGACGCTGTCAAGTCTTAAAATTGATGTGTACTGACAGGGGTTTCAATACATTTTTCATAAGCGGCTTCTGATGGTGAAATAGGTGACAGTGCCCGAAAAGCGAACCGTCAGAGGGCGAAATCCCATCGCGAGAGCTTGCTCGCAAGCTAAACAGAAGGCGATAAGAGATCTTATAGGCGGCGGTAGACCGCCAGTAACCGCGGCTTTTAATGCAATCCCTGTACTCGGACAAATGAAAGAAAGTTTTCAATCGTTATCTATAGCATATGGCTCTACATTCAAAAGAGCGCTTTCGTGTTCTCATATACTGGGTAAAAACTTGCGTGTTACGTTTTACCATCTTGCTGCGTTTTCCTTTTTGTCACAGTAACCTAGTTAAAGTTGGTCATAAACTTACTGGTAATTCAAATTTGTTTCAGACCTAAATACAATATATGAATTCGTATCCATACGAATCCACTCTTTCACAACCATTACATATAGCAGCCTTGTTATTTTGCCAGACTTTGTTGATAAATTTAAGCTATACGACGTTCACGTACTTTAGAAATTTAGAGTTTTGAAGGTAGATGGCAATGGGGTTTCTTAATTCAGTTTCAAATCGTAATGACTTTCTTCTGTCTCTTTAAACTGCTGTATATCTTTCCTTTTGCTATAATGGTATTTTTAAAACTTTATTGAATTCCACTTCAAATTACATGTCTTCATGAAATTCTGATTAAGAATTGTTTTAAGAACTTACCAGATAAAGTTTCCTCGCAATGGTCTTTTCCTGTTTCGTAGTTTTATCATTATTTAAAGAAATAACAATGTTAATTAGGTCTACTGGGATAAAAATAAGAGGTCATGAGGGAGGAGGGGGGGGGGAGGCGTAGCTAGAGTCGATTGGGTTAGGGCCGGGGGGACGGGGGAGGGGGTAATTTGTTCAACATTGACAGCTCTAGTTGAGTGTCCCAATCACTTTATCATCGATGGTAATATCTTTAAACAGGGCTTCCCTCAAAATTTCAATGCCACACTAAGGTATTTCCCCTCTACAGTTTTCTACAATGCTTTCTCTTGCTCGAAAGTAGGATTAGGGTTATACAGACCAACTCGATCAAGACCTCTCAACAATCTTAAAGATCGTATTTCCTTCTTTCCAAGTCAATATGTTCTTTTTTTATCACAATAGTTGGAATTTCGAAAGAAAATAAAACTAACAACGGGAATTTCAGCTTGCGAAAGAAAATAATGATTTTCCGTAATTCACTGCACCTTCAACTGATGATTTTCGAAAATAGCGATAGGCACCGCGGGGATCCCAATCGTGGAGTTTGAGTCTCTTTTGTTTTCTCTCTTTCTTTTTATATTTTTTACCCTTCTGAATTTTGAAATTTAATGCTTCTATTTGCACCTTACAGTGTCTTCGACTTTTCTTTTTTTTATTGAGCAATGCGCAGGTGTTTTTAAAACTTGGTGCAACGGACTATCGAGTATGGCCGTTGCAAAGTAGTTTTGACAAAACTTGCAAATGAAAGCTTCGTACTTTTCGTTCCCTGCGCTGTTCTAGAGGATATACATGCGATTTCATGGACGTTCCCTTTCCAAATACCTAACGCTCTTAAAACGGATGTTGAGTCACTGGCTGTAGTCCGATGTAAATAACTTTTGAGTTATATTTTAGCTCAGAAATCCGATGTTGACAACGGCAAAGTTGGATGTTGAGTCAAAAGTTTGATTTTTGGTGGAGATGAAACACCATAAGCAAATTGTCTTTCAGAGGTCTCACCAAGCTTTCATCGCTACCCTTTTTTTTAAAGTTAAGTTACAAACATGGCAAATATTGCGCCAATTTATCCCCCCTCCCCCTCCCCTTGGGTTTCCTTCCTCAACACCCACAGTTAAATACAAAATGTTATCTAGGTCGTGTTAGGAAAAATAACTTTATTCTGAATTAATCAGATGTCAATAATTAAATCTGAATTTCCTTCAGAATCATCTCTTAAAGGTTACTACTATTTTGAAAGTTAACAGATCCAAACTAGATTCGTAGGAAATCCATTGACATCAAAATTTTGGCTTTACTGCATCGTTAACGATCACAGCCGATTACATCAAATTTTTACAATTACAATACTTGAGCCTCATTCCATTACCGGCTGAGCCGAGACAGCGATGCTTTCAATCGAACATTCATCGGTCCCTCGTCGGATACGGAAGTAACCACTCTCACCCCATTCCTTTCCCCAACTGTTTTTCACAATCCAGAACTTCTCACCAGTCTTTTTATCAGCTCCATATCCCACGGCCAATACAGCATGATTGGTTATCTCAAAGGGATTAAATTTGTCTGTCAGACCTGTGAGATGTAGGGCATAATTGAATTTAGTAAATACCCCACAAGTAAATGGTCCTTTTTATTCACGCTGATTGGCTAGTTTGGAAGTGATTAGCAAGTACCATTTTTTTGGTTTCTGTTAGATACTAAAACATTCACCTCAGTGTAGGTGAATAGTGGTGGATATTTACCCATTCTTTGGTGAATAATGGTTTTATATTGCAAGCCAATTCCTTATGTAGTGCTCAACACAAAACCAAAACAAGTTATTTGAGCACCTTCAGAGAGAGCTCAGAGCAGGATATGTTTTGAAAGCAACATTTTAGAGCAAAAAAACTGAAGGTCATTATGGAATTTAATTTTTTAAATGGTTGTTGTCATTATTGCTCAGTTGCTTTGTTCACTTCATTCTTATTGTTCTTAGCTGAAGTTGTTTAAACCTATGACTGCCAGAAGAAATTGCTGGTCAAATTTAACTTTATGTTGCATTATGAATGTGGAAACTGCACAGCAAACAAGCTTATCAACTAGTAAAAGGATACCTGGCCAAAATTGCATTCAAATTGAATCACTCTTTGCATGATCAACGAATGTTGTAGAATTTAGCAAAGTCATGTATTAGTTTTAGGTGTCACTGTTGGTTTTCTTTTTTTCGCTTGTAAGTATCATTCTATGATGTGAAAATTATCTTTCCATGCCATTGAATCACAAAAGCAGACTCTTTACCTTTGAACTCTTTCACTAAAACATGTGTATTACCCTGGAAAGACTTGACACTTACAGGTCCACCCCACCCAGCATGGTTCAAATTCCATACCACCTAGGCACAGAAACCACTCAAACACCTGTGGGTTGCCCATGTATGAGGGATGTTGAAACTTCAATTGATCAGCACATAAACAAGGTATAGTTTGAAATTAGGAGATCCCCGCAGCTAAGAACACTACTGAAATGAGTAGTTGTATTACTCGTTTATAACTACTCGTTTCAGTAGTGTTCTTAGCTGCGAGGATCTCCTAATTTCATCTTTCCACCGCAGTGCAAATATGTGAATTTTCATATATCTAAAATCTTCATTCACTTGGATGTTTATTTGGACCCAATTCATTGACCAGCTCCCAGTTGGCTTGTTAGCTCAATTGGTAGAGCGCTGCACCGGTATCGCAGAGGTCATGGGTTCAAATCCCATACGGGCCTGAAATTTTTTTCAGTTCCTATTTACAACTACTCGTTTCAGTAGTGTTCTTAGCTGCCAGGATCTCCTAATTTCATCTTTCCACTGCAGTACAAATATGTGAATTTTCATATATCTAAAAGGTATAGTTTACAAGTGACAAGGTTGTTCTAAAATCTCACCTGTGTGATGGTATATTCCACCTTTATAATTAAAAAAGTCACTATAGACTTCAAAGGCCACACTTATGGGGCCATTCTTCACCAATTCAATCCTCATAAGCTCCTCATTACATCCTCCATAAAACCCTCCAATATAGTGGTAACCAGTCCCAAACTGCCTTGAGCACTTCTTCTCATTACAGGGTAAGTCTTTGCCTTCATATGGGTAACATTCTTCATCCACCAAACCAAAGTCTTGGGCATACTTGCTAACAAGATAAGGGAAACCTAGAAAGAAAAAGTCATCCCCTTCATGTCAACTGAAACCAAGGCAGCAACATCATCAGTGCATGAGAACAGGTTACCAAGGGGGTATATTGAAGCTAAGTCAAAATGTTTTGGAGAATTTTCTGGGGTTGCAAACCTCTCAAACTGAGGTCAGAGTAGCCATGGTAAATTTTTTCTAAATACTATTAGAACTTTGACCCCTAAGAGTTACTAGCATTCACTTTCTCCCTACAATATCACCCCTGAATCACACATTAAGGTTGTGAGAATAAAGGAAATAATCACCAACTAAAGAAGCTCTTGATTATTCCACAAATTCTCCTTGCCATCACCTTAGGAAATTTATAGAGAACATTATGAAGAATAGGCACACTAGGGTTTGGGTGTAAAGCATTGAAGATAAAGCTTACATGGTGTCTGGAGCATAATTCCTCATGCCTCTCTTTTTTAAATTTCTCACACATTTTCTTCTGTGCATCGCTGCACTCCAATAATTTTTATTTATAAGCTGCACAAAGCATTGTAAACATACCTCCTTCACAACCTTGTGCATATTCACAACAGCTGACAATATCTTGAGGCGAGAACACTGGTGTTTTAGTTGCATTTGACAAGACTCGAACACGAGCCTCAAACATGGCCATAGTCGCAAAGGCATAGCAGCTGCCACAACTACCTTGATTTCTGATTGGACTGACAAAGTTTTTCCCATCAACATTTCTCCAGTCAAACTCTTCTGGGAGCACTTCAGCTTTTAACAGATCTGCCTCTGTTGGTTGGCTGAAAGACACAGTAAATCAAGTGTAGTGTATTCATTTAATTTATTGAAAAAAGGCCAATCAGAATACAGGAAAGCTGTTGTATATTTCACAGTGCTATACCTGACAATTCCATCATACAATGTGACTTTGTTGTCCTTAAAAAAAAGAAACCATGCACCTTCATATCCCATTCCTTAGGGTTATGGAGGAATAACATAAGAATAATAATATTATTTGGCAAGTTTTATTTTGCAGTCCATGTCATAGATTTTAATGTTGTCAAGGTTATATTGTTGTCAATGTTACACTGTGGAGAACTGAAGGCCAATTCAAAGCAAGCAATTTCTGAGTCAAGTCTGCATGCCTGTTAAATTGTATCCATAATTACAATGGTAGATGTATGTTTAAAATTGCTAAGCTTATGTACACTTTCTATAGTTAAACACAGAAATTTCAGATTGACTTCCATGACAAACAAAGAATAATTTTTTACCCTTACTGCTATGAAGTGTTCATATAAGCAAATTTCTGATACAGTTGTGAGGTTTTCAGGTTTGAAAGTTAACCAAGATCCTAGTACAGTGTACACTACAGGATTAACCTGCATTCTCATTTAATTTGGACATAAAATTTTTGAGGAAAGGGGAATGTCATGACAATGTCAGAAAAGCAGAGCCTGTACAGTCAAAAGTGCTTATTTGAAGAGGCCATATTCACAGAAAATAATGAATGAAAACAAAATTGAGAGAAGTTGCATACCTTGGTTTAGGAAAATTAAGTCTATTTGGTCCACCTGCACGAGCAATTAACTGTGCCACAGTCATCCCACTATAATCCTCATACACCACAGCTTTCCAAGAGCTCTGAACATTGTTTATTTGGTCAACAAATTCCTGATTAGGGATAAACTTTCTATTGTCACTTGAAAGTTGTGTTGAGTCATGTATTTTAGGTGGGACCTTCCCCAAAACTTTTCTCCCTATGATAGAAACAAAAAAACAATAATAACATTCATCATCATTCCCTGTGAGCCAGTAAAGAGTTACACCTAACACCTTCTTTGGCAGTAAAACAAGAAAATCAGGATTGCAAAAGATGTAACTTGTCCTCAACCCCTTCCATATCTTTTAACTCCAAGGAGCAATCAGCACATGAATTCTTCCTACAAATTTCTGCAAGCATCAATTTTAAGAGCCAACATCTCCACCCCCATTGCCCCAGGTGATGTGCTCTTGGGATAGGGAATGGAACCTTCTCTACCTTGGGAGGGGAATTCAAACCAACAGAATACACTTGCTTTAATCTAAAATATTCAGGAGTTTAAGGGTGAAGAGTCATGAGCAAATGGCTCAGGAGAAAATTTTCACATTATAGAGTGATGCTTTTAAGCAAAGAACTAAATAACAGTGCCAAAAACTAATACCATCCTTTGCTAAATTCTACAACATTCATTGCTAGTACAAACAACTGTTCAATATAAATATTGTGCTTAAGTAGGACATCTGAATGCAATTTTTTTCCTGAAGGGGTGGGGGGGGTAGGAATATGAACGAACCAATCTTCAAAAGTTCAAACGCTGGAAGGAGGGGGAGGGGGGAAGTTGAAGCTTCAAATTGATAAGGCATATCATGCACGGTTAATCAGCCAAGAAAAGAGGTTTATGCAAAGAAACCGCAAGTGGAGCCTTGGAAAATTCCTTTTTTTGGTTTGCTGAGTCACAAAGATTGAAAGAGAGGAAATACTCTCTGTTTTCGAATGGTACTAATACACGAGAAGAATTCGGCGAGAACAACTACGAAATGGTCACTTTTTATCAGAGGGTCATTCACTTCAATCCCCCTTTCCAGTCTTCGTTAAGGAAATGACAGGACTCGTGAGTGCGCAGCCATGCATGTTCAGCAAACGCTGCTCAGCCGCAAAGACAACAAGCAACAAGACCGGAAGTCTGAACTTCCCTTTCGCTTTCGAGTATGTCTTGATTCATTTTCGATGCACTTGAAATTTACGGGTCCCAATGAAATTTTTAGCGTGGGATCCATATTTACATTCCATTAAATAACGGTCATAAATGCCTTCCTAAAAAATCCTCAAATTTATAAAATCTTACCGCTGTAACAAGCCCAATCTCCGGCATGATAACCCTTTGCGGCATGACTCCATCCGTTTAAAGTTTTGTCGCAAAAACTGGTTACTTTTTTACCACTCTTCTCGTAAGCTGAAAACGCAAAATACACCACTCCGTTTATATTCACTTCAAAGCCTTGATTGTAGATCAATGTCCAAAAGCCGACATTTCCTTCGGAATCAACTGCGACATCAGGAAACAACAAAGTCACTTGAAGCTCAGAGACAGGTTTGAACGAGGAACAGTCGATGGTGTTGTCGTGGCCTCCTTCTCCGATCGAAAAAAGCCATGATCCACTTATCTCTTCATAGCTACAGTTAGCAGGAGTGTCAGCATCTACATAAATGCAGGGAAAGAGCAAAGCGAGGAAAACTGACAGTGCAAAGTGAGATGCCATAGTGCGGTTTCCGACTGATGAACTTGTCACGAAAAAGTCACGAGACACCTTGCTGAAGAATTAGCCTCGTTGTCGCGTTGAGGCTACACCCCAAGTTTGATTCCCCTCAAGAGCCAGCCAAGAAAGCTTAAACCTCACTCTATAGAGATTCCTTTTTTGTAAGAATCTGTAACATATGGAACGCCTTACCAGATAACATAAGAGCTGAAAGGGAACCACCGTCTTTCGTCAAAAAACTAAAATCTTTCTTTTATCTAAGACTTAGCAAAGTTTTCAATCAAGACATCCGTTCTTTTAAAATAGTTTGTGTAAAATGTTGTTTCAATGCTCTTAATTCTTATGCATGTCAATAAACTAGTTTTCTTCTTTTTCTCTTTCGTTAATGATTATATATTTTGTTATTTCTTAGCATGGGGGCTTGCAGGTGGATTGGGTCTCAATTTTGTCTGTTTGTAGGGGATAGGGAAGTTAATTTACCTATTAGGGGACAACCTTGTCCTTCTGTAAATTTACCTGTCTTTAGCATATTGTCAAATAAAAAATAAAATAAAACTTCACTGGCAAGTAGCAAGAGGGACTTAAATAGGCGGAGGGGAAATTTACAGGGGGTAGAGGGATTGAACAGAGGGGAGGGGCTGGGCGGTGGGACGGGTAAAGATATCGTTTCTCGTAAAACAAAGACACCATCTCACCTTACATGTAAAGTAACACCGCCATCCCTTAAAAATACCAGCACAGCCGGAATGCCGCTAGTTTCCCATCCTGAACCCCTTGGACTTCGCTGTTCGAGGGGAAGTATCTTTCACAACTTTTTAATTATCTCGAGACTGAACTTCAGTAAATGTTACAGCTCTCCCTAGTACTCTAGAAATATCTCACGTTTATACAAATACATACACGCATAAAATTTATTTTTTCCCATATCAAGAGCTGAGTGTAAACCAGACTCAAGAGACAAACGAAGTTAAATACCCCCTCCCCCCCACTACAGCCAACTCTGATGCCGCTAAAAACAAATCACTCCTTCGTAACGTGTGTTGCAAAGCAGCTTAAAGTCTGTTGTTTAGCAACATAAGTAACCTGACAGCCAGTGGTAGTTAGATTTTACCTTTTGTCAGAACATGCACGATATTTTTTTTTCATGGTTTCTCAGATATAAAAAAAAACTATCATCAAAGATTAGACTAAACCTGCACGGGAAGTGGACACCGTAACAAATATATCCTTTGTTAGAGCAGTTTTCAATTGAGTTCACAAAAAACAAAACCAAAGTAACCCCAGCCACCAATAAGAACGAAGGTTTATGTCCTCATCGCCAAATGAGAACTCACAATTAAAAAAGTAAACTGCTGAAAGCGCGGGAAAACACTGGTGGCCAATTCGCGACCGGCTTCAGTTTCTAAATCTGATTGGTTGAGAAAAAGGCGCGAGCTTTTAGACCAATCACAGAGCTGAGTAACGCAAAACCAAAACGGCCCCGAGAAACTTTCGACTCTCAATTGAAAATTGCTCCAAAGTAACAGGAGAAAATTCTCCACGTCTGCAAAAAAAAACCAAAACAAAACAATCTCCGATTGTCGAAATTGAGACGAAGAGCTCCTCATAGTGGCCGGAGAATTCTCCGATCCCCAATGTGTAACGAACACACTGATTGATCATTAATTATTCAATAACATGACCGTTATCCTTCAGGTTTTTCAATCCCTATAAACGAGGCTTACAGTAACCTACATTTTAGTGTCTTATAATACTCAATTGAAAAAAAATAAAAATCGATTCATCAAGAATGGTAAAAGTTTCAGGTACCACCTGCACATAGGTACCAATAAGTAAAACAAAGGTCATGAAAACATTACCTATTGCATTAATGCTATTGAATATTTATAGCTAGGATTTGAAAATTCAAGATAATACGATTCTGTTCTTAGCAGTCAGTAAAATATGAAGTACTGTAGTATTGTAGTTTCATTTTATATTTTTAAGCTAGATTGAGAGATTTCTTCACGGTAAGGACGACGTTTTGAACCTGAGGAATGGTGTTTGATTCTAAGAGATGAGCATACGGCATAGGAATGTCTGCCCCAGTAACTCGGTAGATGGGTCCATCCAGATAGTCAAATGCCTCGCCTAAACAAGAAGAGAAAAAAAATTGATAGTGGTAGTCGAAAAAAGTAATATCTAAACTATTTTTAACACCACGTTCACATCTTTGTGGGCAGCAAACAATTAGAGAGAAATTTTCAATTGAGTGTCGAAAGTACTCCGGGATAGCGTTGGTTTTGCGCTATATGACTGGTTCAGAAAACTCTCGCCACTTTCTCGACCAATCAGATTCAAAACTAACACCAATCGCAACTTGGTCGCCACGTTTTTCCCGCGCTTCAGGTAGTTTGGTTGTTTTTACTTTGAGTTCCCATTGGCTCCGGGTAATAATTCCTTGAAATGATTGGCTATTGTGATTGCTTTGCTTTTTTACGACACTCAATCGAATGCGCGCGATTTTTTATTAATTTATCAAGCAACAAAGAGCGTCGTTCTTCCACTGGAAGAAATGCGAGTCCATAGCTGGGATTTGGCTATTCAAAACATACACTGCTGGATTATCTGGCTCTGTCGTAGATAACGAAAGTGACGTAAGCAGAAATACACTTACTTTCTGTGATAGTAGCAGCAATTTCTGCCCCAACACCAAACTGAGGCCAGCCACCCTCCACTGTAATCAAATGATTGGTTTTCTTGAGAGAATTTGTAATACATTCCATGTCCATAGGGCGGATGCTCCGCAAATTTATCACCTAAAAAAGACCAATGGAGGGGTTTTAACAACACTTTGGATGGTACTCGTACATCTCAGTAATGGGGTCTCGTCGATGTCGTTATCACCATCATGGTCGACATCAACTTCATCTTTGTCATCATTTAATTATCATCGTCATTGTCATCATCAATGTAATCGTCATCGTCTTCATCATCATCAATGTCATCGTCATCGTCATCGTACATGAAATTGGAGTCGTCATCATGAGTCATCCATCGTTATTGTCAATAAAATCGTTATCATTATCATTGTGGCTCACAAAGTCGCCATCGTCGTCGTCGTCAATGTAATCGTCATCATCTTCGTCATTGTAGCCTCAAGACTTCGGTGCACATACCTCGCAGTCAATATTTTCTGCCTCAAGCTGTTTCGCAGCCTCCAGAGAAATCTGAACAGACCTTGAGTGAGCTACGATGGTTATATGACTTCCTACAATACGACAACAACAAAACTTATTATTAGATCATTAAAATCATTGATAATCATTGAGATAAAAAGACCCAATGAAGTTCTAGTGCACAAGTCCAAGGACAGAAGGGATGACTCACCTGTTCTTTCTATTTTAGCTTTTCCAAAGGGAATTACAAACTCAGGGTCTAATGCTTCCTCTGGCATATCAAACTGCACACCGTACATGACTTCATTTTCAAGCACCACCACTGAAATTTGGAAGGAAGTAAGCAATAAACCTCTACTGGTCAAAAAACGTGTACGAGTAAATACAGATGACTCTTTCCTTTGCATGTTGATATGTATTCGTAACAAACGACTTTAAGTGAATATACCGTGCAGAGTTCTGAGAAAATCTAGAATAAATCTAAATGATAAGTAACATGGCTGCCAAACAGTATTCTAATACAGCTGTAACTTTGCTTGATCTAATGATCAGGGTGATGGCCTCCAGGGTCACTGTGTAGTGTTCATAAACAAGACACTTTACCCTATCAGGATACCTGGATCATTATCTCTGATGGCTGACTTCAGCAAACCTTTAGCATCTTCAGCTGAATAAGGGGATACCACCTGGAATACAAGAGAGAAGAAAAACTCTTATTCGTTTCCCAACTTCATGACTATTGATGAGTTGTTCACAAATTAAAAAAAGCAAGCAGAATGGAAGCCTTAATCAAATAAAAACGATAGTAGATTTTGAGCTTAGTAATGAAATTACTTTCAATTTCAATTTTAATTTCTTTCGTCTCGTCAAGCGTGGGTCAAATGAAAAAATCGGAAACCCATGAGGCAGCCAACCATAACCTTTAAATTAACAGTAATTAACTAGTAATGGCCTGACTCATTGTAGAGTTGTACTATCTGTAAAGTGTAGCTTTTGATCAGTGGAGGAGCACTGAAGTGCAGAATTTAAGGGTCTGAGGTTTGATTCCTCATCAGTATTTAAAATTTTTCTTTGTCTCACACTCATGACAAGACACAAGGGGCTTACATGATTCAATTTCTAGGGCTATGAGTGGAGCTTTGCAAAGACTCATCCAGGGTCAAAATGTGAGTAATCATGTTTCTTGAATACCATAAACAGCAAATACCTGCTTTAAAATACAATTTGATTTGTGCCAAAACATTGCCACTGTATACCAAATTGCCCTTAAGAATTATCCTTTTTAAGTTTTTGTTTGGAGGAAGGGGTACGAGGAGGTACTTTGGGGATAGTGAGTTGCTCATCAGAAGCTTGAAGCTCTAGATGCACAGGGAGGAGGAAGGAGGGGGAGGTTTATAATAGCCTTTGCTGTAAAACTAATCTTTCAAGAATTGCTTCTGACCTTCAGGCCAGGACAGTGACCATACCAAGCAGCATAACACTGTGAATGCTGAGCAGCCACTCCTGCAGCTGCACCATTTGGACCTCTGAAAACTACAGGGACTGGGACCTAGGTTTGATAGAGACCAAATAAAACAATAACACATCTACTCAGATAGATTTTTATTCAAGCCTTGATAATAATTTTGTATTATCCCTACAGCTGTGATCTGGTTCTTGCAATTTCAACATTTTAAGAGAGGTGTCAAATATATTAGGTAAATCTATGCTATGTATGATCAGGCTTTACTTTTTTTATGCTGAGGACAATAAGACTGTAGCAATAGAGAATTACAATCTTCAGTTTCTGTAAGATAAGGCACGTATACATACAAGTGTTCAAAGTTCAACACATATTACTTAACCCTTTCACTCCCAGGAGTGACTAAAATGTGATTTCTCCTTACATTATCAAAACAATATCAAGCAAACAAATAATGAGAATAAAGAAAGTATCAACAAAAAGGGATAATAATTATTTGATCCAACACCAAATTGTTTGAGAACAAACATTATCAGAGAAGTATATCACATAGTAAAGAGAATGCTATCGAGATCTCAGGAATAAAAGGGTTTTTAACAAGGCCCTTTGACAATACACGTAGTACTATTCTTTGTCATTTACCTGCCCAGCAGACATGTAGAATGTTTTGGCTGCCGAATTTATCACCTGTGCAACAGAAAGGAAAGGTTTGATACTTTGCATGGATACAAAGTGTGTTATTTTACTGGTGGGATTTTTCTTACACCCAAAATGTTTCAGTTACTATTTAGTTTACATGAGGGAGATGCTGTAGCCTTGTGATTAGTGTGCTGGACTCCAGGTTGAGAGGTCTGGGTTCGATACCATGGCAGGCCTGGTCATTGTGGGTATCAGCAACTTATCAAGGAAGCCTGATGAAGTGCTGGGGGGAGTAAACTTGCAATGTACTAGCATCCCATCCAGGGAGGAGGGGGGTAGTGGTGATACTTCTAGTCACTTTATGCTGCAGAAACCAGGAAAAGGTTCAGCAGGTTGGGCCACTTGGCTGGAGTACAAACCTTTTTTTTTAGTTCAACATATACAATGTACATACATAATTTTGTTACAAGTTTTTGGCATGAACCCTACATCAGGAGAATAGGCAACATCTTACCACCTTGTCCAAAAGAATCTAGTGCCATGTCTTATAGATGTGAAATAATGCAACTAGATTGATTTTTTAACCAATTATTTATGTGTTATTTGTACACTGACCTGATCAATAGCTTGCATTGCAAAATTAAAAGTCATGAACTCACAGATAGGTCTAAGGCCAGCCTAACATCAAACATGAACAGGGGAAAACATTACAAATAGGTTATACAATGTATAGCTGATAGAAAAATGCTTAATTCAGATTTCTGCTCTTAGTTGGCTTGTTAGCTCAGCTAGTAGAGCATTGCAGTGGTATTTCAGAGGCCATAGGTTCAAATCTTGTACAGGCCTGAATTTTTGTCAAGCCTTAGTTTCACCACTGCTTATGTAGAGTCCACTACTGCAAAGAGTGCCTTCATATTTATTTATTTCTGTAGTTCACACACATCATTTTCATTCATTCACAGTCATTCATACATCATGCTGTGCAAGTAAAATGTATAAGAGATGTTTACTAACCATAGCTGCCCCCACAGCAATACCAGCAAAGCCCATCTGCAATGAATTACAATACATAAGTTAGATTTTAATTTTAGAAGTCTCTAAAGACATGCCATGTGCATAGTTATCTCTTTTATTCTATTGCTAAATTATACTTTTATACTGTGACAGTGCAACTTACCTCAGTGATGGGAGTGTCTATTATTCTCTTATCGCCAAATTTTTTCCACAATCCTCTGCTTACCTGTTGAAGAAGTTTTTGAAATCACATGCTAGACAACATTCCTCTCAGTAATTTAGCTTTACAAACCATAAGTGACTAGAAAAAGCACACTAGTTCAGTATACAGCCCAAGGAGATTAACACTCTAACTCCCAGAAGTGATTAAAATGCAACTTCTCCCTATAATATCCATACATTATCCAGCAAACAGGTAATGAGAATATCCAAAATCATCAGGTAGAAGTCATCTTGGATCTAAGACCACATTCTTGTAACTAATTTACAAAGAAATGAGTAGCAGCTTAAGTGAAGAATAAACAACCAGATCTGGGAAGTTAAAGAGGTAAAGACCCTGAACCCAATGATTAAACTGAGAAAAATTATCAGAGTATGGAAGCAATGGCCATAAAACAGGGAAGGAAACTGGGTACAATTACAATTACAAATAAAGAAATATGGAAGTGCAAGGACACCTACTCACATAATAAACCATAATCTTAACAAAAATCATCAATGAAACAAATTTTTTTATCAATGTTAAACCATGTAAAAGTTCTCTTAAGATGAGAATTAGGATGCAGACTGTAAAGATAGGCTGTCGACATATTTTTTTTCTATTGTTGGTTTCTCTGAGAGAAAATTACCTTCTTGCTAATTAACAAATAGATTCCAAGTTGCCATGCATCTGTTAAGTAATAGATCACAGATGACGTCAAAATGTGGTAAGAACAAAAAAATGGCACACGAGGCGCAGCCGAGTGTGTCACTGATGTTCTTACCACATTTTGACGTCCTCTGTGATCTATTACTGAACAGACGCACGGCAACTTGGAATCTATTTGTTTTATATAATAAAGAATTAAAATATACAGAAAAAAATTTAAATGATGACATCATCTATACATCTGTCGTCTAATAGATCATAAGTGAAAACCAATCAGAATGCGCGCATAACTGAGCTTATTATATAAAACGAAATACACGGCTAGTGTTACACAGTAAAATGGGACGTTCCTGACACCTTGACCTGTACCTGAGACTGTTGTGATTATCTTTGTAGACAAAACAACAAGATTGCGCAAGACTGAAAACAATTGTTAATACATAGCCACCTTGTAAGCACCATCATACATGGCCACTTCTTCACCCAACAAGAAAACTCTATCATCCCTTTTAATCTCCTCCTCCATGGCAGAGTTTAGGGCATCTCTGACAGTCATCTGTTAAAACACAATCATTGCACCATTCACAATACAACCCTTCGCTGTTAAGTGCATAACATTTAATGCTGCACTTCAGGTTACACAAGTTTACAGTATGTAGTCAGTTTTGATAGATTTACATTTATCATACATTGTTGTGTTCTTCAAATGCAAAATGACTCCACTGAAGAAAAGACCTTTAATACACAATGACTAAACTGTAACTGACAAGAATATTATAACACATGCAGTTTTGAACGAAAATGAATATTAATAGATTCCTTGACAGTTCTGGGTTATGTAACTCCTGTGAGGTTTAAAGTTAATTAACATGACATATATCAAAGTTATTGAAAAATTCAAGCATGATGTATCTCCACCTCTAGGAAGATATTAAAACAACTCATTAGATTTGCAAATCACAGCCAAAACTAGGAAACTCAGGTAATACAAAGAATTTAAAGAGCACCCTGCTCTATGACAAACTCATTGTCTCTACGATACAAGTGATAGTGTCACATTAGACCTTACAAATATCTACAAGTAGTCTCCTTGCAAATTAAATAATGTTTCTCTCTCAACTTGTTTTTGCCTTACTTTGTTTTTTTCTTTAGTTAAGAACATGGTTCATTTTTGTTGTTCTACAGTTTGTTGCACATTGACCTTAAGTAATCATTGTCTGTTCTGGATTGTTTATCTCTTTCACCTTGTACAACAAACCACATGAGAAATTATGTAAAGGAATGTACTAAAAATAACAAATACATATGTAAAAAAAGCACCAATTTTGAGTGATCATGATATGATCAGAAAAATCGACCAGAAATAAAAACGGGCTGAATATGATAGGTTAAAGCACGAGTCGAACATTACTCTTCACGTGATTAAAGAGGGCGAACAGACGTACTAAACAAAATGCATCAAGAAATTTTCTTCGCGTTTTACACAATCGTCAATTTACCGCACGATATTGTCATTGTCTTTTTTTCTAGGTGGATAAGAGATGAGTTGACGAAAATCAGTGGATAATAATCTTTGATTCAAGCACAGTCAATTAGTGGGGTATGTCACTTGGCCCGACTAGCTAGTAGACCTATACAAACTCACCGTTGCCGAGGCCCTCGGGGTTGTGCTAAAGGCATTGCGGCAAATCGCTGAAAAGACCCCCTGGAAAATGACAAGGAAAGTTCATCAAATAAAATTCAAGTTTCAAAGGATTTATCCTTTCAAGGGCTAAAAGACTTACCTTGCCTCGAGCGCTTGCAAGAGACCTTACGAGCGCCATGTTTGAATACAACTGTTGCGCAGACAAAGTTTGGACTTGTGAGCATAAATTTGTGTGGGCTGTTCAAATACTGCAGGCGCAGTTTCCGTTAACGGAAGTCGCCGGAAGAAAGAAAGTCCTGGAAACGAGCGGAAATGCTACATTACGCAGGCGCAGAAGAGCTTTTGACGTGGCCTAGTTCTTGTCACTGAATCCACGCGAAAATAAAGAAGTGAAGTGTCGTAGAAATTTGCCGGTCATTTCGCGATCATGGGGCTTACAATTTCAAGTTTGTTCTCCAGGCTTTTCGGCAAGGTTCCAATGAGGATTCTAATGGGTAAGAGTAGATTAAAATGTTTTGAGAACTTCCATCTTTATCCGTTTAGTTTGTGATACGATGGAGTCTCGATTACACAAGTTTTGTGTTAGAAGTACACCACACAGCTGTATTCTCGAATTAAATGTAGATGATTGAATAAAAGTTTAGACGTTTTTGCGTAAAGAAAAGCCAGATAATTTCCCTTTACGAATGGTGCCCATAAAATCGACCATTTTCTTGGCAAATTATTCACATCATTCTGTACCAATTATGCCGGTGGTGATACACGTAACCTCGTTCATAGAAAATGTATTTCGGTGTTCATTTGACCTTTTAATGTATAACTTTGAAAGGTGCTTAACTACCTGAAAGATGCTCTAATACCCGAAAGAAAAATTTCCTCCCTTTCCCTATGACAAACATAATTAGCAATAAAATGCAACCACCTCCAAAATTGTTACGTGTAGAATTTTCAATAAAGGGTAATGAAAGGTACGTGTACAGTTCATGCAAATATTTTTTTCAAAATATAAATTTCTAGATAATTCATCCATGGATCACTTTTAAGGAGTCATATTTCCACTACTGTATCTTGTGATACAGGTTGTTTCTCTCACTCACGCACGGCCCAGGATTTTGTATGATACTCATCTTCATCCACTTCCTGCCTTCTGTCTTGTTCCAGTCTTCAACAACAAACCCCATCCTCTTTTTCCTCTGGTTCTAACCTTGTTCAGAGTTCACATTGTTGTTCTTCTGTCTTGCAGTGGGTCTTGATGCAGCTGGTAAAACAACAATCTTGTACAAACTTAAACTGGGAGAAATTGTTACAACCATCCCTACTATAGGTAAGAACCCATAATCTGCAGGTTATTAAAAATAAACTGAAGAAATAAGAAAATATTGTCAAGTTACAGGAGAGCATTCTCTACAGCTGGAGGGTAATTAACCCCTTAACTCCCATAAGTGACTAAGAGAGAATTCCTCCTTACAATATTAATACAATATCAACCAGAAAAGTGATGAGAATAAAGAAAACTAACAATTTGGGGATAATTAGTTGATTCAATACTAAATTCTCTGAACTAACATTATAAGAATTGTATAGTTGACAGTATGGAGAATTACAAATTTGGTCTGGGAGTTAAAGGGTTAAAGGATCATTAAAACCTCAAAAATTAAGCTGGGGAGTTCTGCACAGTAGTTTTAAAAATTCTCCAGTCTTGAATTTTCAATGAAAGCCTTTTTTGTAAGATGGTTGAGGGTGATGGGGTAAAAATTAAACAGCAACCTGGTGAGTGAGTGAGCTCTTTCACTTTGAGAGTTTATTTTCTTTAAATGACAAGTTGGTTTCTCAGGTTCTTACTCATATAATGAACCAAGATGCAACTGCAGAACTAGGAGGTGTTTGTTCATGTGTCACAAGCTTGTATTTGTCTTTGTTTCGAAGGTTTCAATGTTGAGACTGTGGAATACAAGAATATCTCATTTACAGTATGGGATGTGGGCGGCCAAGACAAGATTCGGCCTTTGTGGAGACACTACTTCACAAACACACAGGTGAAGATTCTGGCTCAATACCCATATTGATTTGTGTTCATCTGGCCCAGCTATTCAATGGGTAGATGACAAATTGTCATGTAGAAAAATGACCTTAAGCTGGTTTGAGGAATTTTGTTATGGTGGAAATTTGTTGGCTGGATTATCCAACATTATCCCTTCAAAATGAAACAATCTTTTTTGGTTATCAACTGTAAGTTGATGAAGGGGCAAACAAAATATATAAAGTTGACTTACTGAGCTTCAGCATTTCCACAGAGCAATCCACTTCAATCAACCTGTTGGACGATATTTTCCTTTTGGCTTTTTTTATGATGGTTCACAAAAGCAGAAATCAAATTAGTTTGAAACACTTGTTATCCAAGAAAAACAGCCTCAAAAGGTATTAATAATGATATTCTTGTTTTATTTGTTTTTAATCTTCCAGGGACTGATATTTGTTGTGGACAGTAATGACAGGGAAAGAATAGCTGAAGCTAATGATGAACTACAAAAAATGGTAAGCCATTACTGATTCAAATTTAGCTGACATGTTGTCTGAGATACAGTTTTATTGGAATTCTAAGGAGTTACATTTTTTGGACTAGTCAACACACTGGGTTCATCTGATGTGCAGAAGCAGTATCAATCCTTTGCATCTTCATGTAGATATTGACTGGTTATGATTTATTTGTTAACGATTTGGCTCTGGTTAACATAGCAGGTAATTTAGTGTTAACAACTGGGTTGAAAACATAAATTAGCCACTGTAAAGGGTAAAAAAGCTGATGTTTCGAGCGTTAGCCCTTTGTCAGAGCGATTGAAGCTCTGATGAAGGGCTAATGCTCGAAACATCAGCTTTTTTACCCTTTACAGTGGCTAATTTACGTTTTCAACCCAGTTGTTAACACTAAATTACCTGCTATACTCTCCCACCGACACAGCACCACAGTTTCTTTAGAAACTCACCCCTTTATTCATCTGGTTAACATAAATTGTTGTTCATATCTACACAGCTTCAGGAAGAGGAATTGTCTGATGCTATACTACTGGTGTTTGCAAATAAGCAGGACTTGCCAAATGCTTACTCTACCTCTGAAATAACGGAAAAGCTAGGACTCCACAGTGTCAAATCAAGAAAGGTTAGTAAGAATTTTGCTGTAATTTTTAGCTGTAGGACTCAAGTGGCATAAGTTGGTCATGATTGGTCAGTTTACACAGTATCTCAACATATTTTCTTGTATTTTTAGTGGTATGTCCAAGGTACATGTGCAACTCAGGGAACAGGGCTGTATGAAGGACTGGACTGGCTCTCAAATGAACTCACTAAGTAAATGTTCCAAAAGGAAACCTCAAAAGTTTTTTATACACAAAATATTGTACACTTTTGTCTGATGATTTCCCTTCAACAACATTTTGAAATCAGTTTGCTGAAAACTCTGGCCACTTATTTAAGGTACAGCAATTAAGCAAGCAAGTCTGTCAGCTTATTATGCAACTAATATCTTTGTTTAGGCTGTAGTCTGTGTTTTGCCAATCCTAAGCTGTAAACTCACTTAAAAAACTTCAAGAATAATTTTTTTTACTCCAGTTTCAAAATGCCTGTTATAGAGTTATCAGTTCATTTATTAAATGCAATGGCACAGTGCCCAGTTAGAGGCTATTTCCTTTATTGTGGAATAAATTGTTGTAGGTTTGCTATTAAAAATAAAGTTAGGATAAAGTTTTAATTGACTTAAAAATCAGAGTCTAGTTTAGTTTGAATAATATGTAGTGTAACAACATTGGCCAGAAATTATTTAACAGCAGTTGGATTTCTGTCAAATAAAATTGCATTACCACAAATGTAGACTCTGTTAGACATTACACAATCTGTTTGCAGCGCCTTAATTATTGTCATGTTTACATAATGTAATTTGGTGATACAAAAATAATAGGAATGGAAGTCTGGCAAAACGTACAGTAAAGAAAGAAAAGAGAGAAGAGAAGGTATTTACAGGGGTGGCAAAAGGCCTGCTCTGGAAAATAGTTTTTGGCAAATTAAGGACCTTGGCTACCCGGCCTTGCATTAGGCAGCAGGTTTGATTTCAAAACTTAAGCTTCTTCCATTCTGATTTTTCATTGTTAGAATTTAAAGAGTAGCAAATAAGCGCAAACTAATTTTAAACACCAAAGACAACAATGAAATTGTGAAATTTTCAGTTGAAAGTAAAAAATGATCCATGATTCCATTGTTTTTGCTTTGCCACCTTTTGATTGGTCTATAAAGCTCTTGCCAACCTCTCAACCAATCAGAGAGATCTAAACCTAACAGTTACTTGGTCACATGCGTTTTCCTGCACTTGAATTAAATAACATGGGCATGTGGTTTTGCTTTAAGCTCATATGGACACTTCAAGATAATTTTCCTTTATATTGATAGCCTGTTTTCGTCACTTTGGTTTTTAAGTAGAAAAAATCTTAAAGCCTGGTTTATTTCTCTTGCTAATACTTAATTTGGGCATATTGTAGCATTTTACTTCAGTAAAGATACACCTTTCTTCATCTATGTAAGTAAAGTGTTTGAGAAAAATTATTAAAAAAGCAAATAAAAAGGTTGAACTTATCCTAGTTGAGTATATCTTGTTGTGGGAGATAACTAGTTGGGAAATGTTGACAAGTAAGGGGTAGAGAACCTACCCTGTACCTTTTTCACACTTTGATGATCCCTGTTGACGTAATCTTTTGAGCCCTAGTCTGGAAGAAGTGACTGGTTTATAAATTCTCCTCACAGTATTACTCTTCGATCAAATGAAAGGTCATGAGAATAACGGAGATGATCACCAATCCAATAAGCTCCAGATTGTTAAACAAATTCTCCTTGTCATGACCAAAGGAAATATACAGAGAACAGAGAGGAGAACATAAATACTAACGTTAGAGTGTAGAGGGTTGAAAGCAATCTCTATTGATGTTAAGTTTTTTTTATTTCATCCGTTGCCTGGACCACTTATGAAGCACATATTTGTTTAAATAACTGAGAGTGCATCATCTGTTATAAAAAGTGTCACATTCCAAAATCAAGCTTGATAAGAAATCTGTACAAGAAGTATGTCTTTCTAAATGCTGAAATGTAATATATTCCAAATTGTTTTTGTTTTCTTTATGACATACACCAGCCTCGCTTTCCTAAATTGAAGTACTTGCTTAATTGCCTAATTTACTGATTTTGGATCAAACTATCAAAGAGCTTAAAGAGAGAAATCTTCGTCCAGAATTTAACAGTTCTGTCAAATAATTATTCATCTTGAAATATACCAAGTGCGGAATTTATGAATGAGAAAGTAGATTATTTGAGCCACAGGAAAGCCAGCAATTAAGAATATTGATAGGTATGCTGTGTAGATCAGTGGCTCATCACCAGACTCCAGTGAAGGATACATGCTGGGATTCAGACGCAGATCGACCTTCACTTCCGTTAAGATGAACACAAGAGTGAACATAACGTATGCGGCACCGAATATGTAGGCATACACGACGTGCAACAGCCTCACGGGAATGTAACTGGCCAGTGTGTCGACAATCATCAGGAACACGTAGAGAGAGTGCCTGGGTATGTAGAAGATCCAAACATAGGAGGAACGCTCGTCAAAGAAAAAGGCGAAGTACGCAACCGTGCAGACGAAAGTGCTGTTGGAAGCGAGGGTGTGTAGGACCCAGAGCACCTCGTGATGCCATGAGAGATGGTTTTCATATGGATCCACTTCAATGCTTTCGTCTTTTTCGCCCGGTTTTAAAGCGCAAGAATTCGAATCGCCAGTGTGATCTGGAAAATCCGAATGGATTATGTCGTAGCTATCGTTCTCTTTGGATCCGCATGCCGAACGATGGAATGCGGTTAGTGAACCAGTCAGGAAATATAACGCGGTCACCACTAGACTCCAATTCTGCAAATGAATGACCCAGGTTCCGCTCGGATCATCCAGGCCGATCCAGACCAGGTCGGCTACCGCCAGAGCAGCGTAGATTAAGCGGAGGAAGGCGAACAGTGGTCTTGGTAGGCCCTGTGTGCAAGAAAAAAAAACAAAAACGTAAAAAGACAGTTCTGGATCTCGTTTTCATTACTGTCTAGGTCCGGAAACTCGTGGAATATGAATGTTGACTATGGAATCATGGAAAACTGCTGAAATAGATTTTTGATCAGAAAATTAAGCAAGGGATACTATGATGAATGTCATTTATCAAATTCAAATCTCTTTCTTCAAAGTTATAAGAATAATTTCAGAATATTGCGTTTGTGGTTCTGTGCATGTTCTTGCACAAATATCATAAGAAAACAAAATATGAACCAAACTGGTATAAAAGCGTTCAAGAGGTGTTGATAGTGAAAGAAACTTTTCTTTTTATCACAAGACCAATATCACCCCGCTCACGCACTTCTTTAGAAAAAACCGAAATGGAAGCTGATGGTTTGACGTAAACCGATCCTCAAAAATCTATCCTACGCCACGCTAACGAGGCTCTGTTTCGAATAAATGTTATCGGGAAAAAATGTTCACTGCTGTTGTGTTCGATGAATTGTGAGATTCTTGTTCTGTCACGGCGAAAAAATAAATGAAAAGTTTGAAGAATCTTTTCTGCTATAGTACAGCGCGCAGTCTTCCGTTACATAGTTTCACAATTTTAAAGGTTTGGTGGTCACAATTATAATGAAGTACTTTTTGATTGTGTGGTCGGGCCGGAGGGAACATATTTGGTTCTCAGTCAAGATTTCGGACCAAATGTTTTTTCCCGTTTGGCCCTCCCTTTAAGTCAATAAGGACAATAGGTACCCGAATTGAACATTTGTGCTGAGGCCTTTCAGTAATAAAGAACAGGTTACTTCGTAAAATAAGTCGCCGAAAATGTCTTATATCAAGAGAACAATAAATCCCCGTCGAATCTCGCGTCTAAACTGATTTCCTATATCGTTTCATAACTGATATGCATTTTCTTCCCAACCAAATTATTGCTCTTGACGCTTTTAAGAATGAAAAACAAATAAACAAAAAGTTTTGTAAAGAGATGACAGAGGTTCTCGCTAAAAAATTCAATCGCTCTTCTGTTGCTCTTGATAGCGAAAAGCTTATGAAAATTTTTAAAAGAACTCATTTTACGCATTAAATGGTCCATTGTTTGCCGCTCAGTAGAAGTAAACCCAAAGAAATCTCAAAAAACCTCACAGAACATTATCTGGAAAAGCTTTTGCTTTTGTCGTTTTCGGCTCGTAATTTTCAAACGTTTCTCTGCATGTGTTATTCAAACATTGCGTTTTGATTACCACGGCAGGAAATCGATGGCAAGCGCGTGTTCTGTTACTAACATTAGAACTATTCTAAGGACTTTGGACAAAGGTGCATGCATTGTTTTGACGCATTTGGACTCAAGCCCAGCTAGACTTCCATGCACCCTTAAGGCAGCGCGCAATTTTTTTAAAGTTGATCTGAACTGTTTCATAACACGAAATTTTGAAATCGAAGAGAACAACAAACTTAAAGGGCAGCTATTTTTATTTTTAGAAACTCTGCCTAAGTGAAGTGCCGAAAGGAAGGAAAACATTTTAATTGCGTGGGGGCATTTTGTTCTTCAAACCAGTTAAATCGAATATTCACTCACTACTCCATGTTTACTGAGTCAACAGTTGAAACGTTTGAGGAGACTTTTAAAGGTTAGCTTTTAAGAAGCTTCGTGAAGCGACATAACGAGACAGAACGCATCCAACGGTTTTAAGCGCAGTGGGTAAGAAAGACATTTTAAATTCTTTTACTAATGAAGAGAATTGAAGCATGAGGGACCTATTATTCAAGGCAAGCCAACCATAAAATCATGATGCAACTGAATAAAATTACCGCGTTTTCCTGGAGAAAACTGATTAACGTTCGGTCACGGAATTCTTTCCCATTTGTCCGCAAAAAGTATATTCGTCGAGATAAAAGCTTTATCCTTACGGATCGATCGCATTTTGACCTGTTCCGATGAAAATTTTCGCGTTTTCGACGCCACAAACAAATCTAATTAATTATTATTATTATTATGTATGCAAATCCTCAGAATAGTTCTCGAAAAGGTCGAGGCAACACAACATTGTAAGCCACCTAACATGGAGTTTGAAAACCTATTTGTTCAACTTATTTTTTAGTTCAATTTTCTATTATTTGACTTTCGAGATCATACCACCTGCGGCTAAGTTTGAATATTTTGTCCTTGTAGTGCGAAAATTGAGATTACTAAAGCGAAATTTAGCCATCATTGTAAGTCAGTATATCTGAAACACAAACACTGAAATTCTCTTAAACGGAGAGCCCAGATTCATCTTGATGAATGTCGTAAGAATTCTGGCACGTTTAGTTGCGGCGAAAAGAAGTAAAAAATTTGTTTTCAAATCGCACCTCAGTTCATGACTTCCGCTCATTTTAACATTTCGTTGAGTGCGCTTAACTTTGCCCCACTTCACTAATTTCTGAAAGCCTTTGAAAATGAGCTTATAACTAAGAAAACTAACTTACCGGAGCATCAGTGAAAGCTCTGGAGTCATTGTATCGTAATCCAAGTTTTCGTATCCCACATTCTTCGCCAAGGGCTTTACAACATCCCATACCGAACTACTTCAAAGCAACGTCCTCTAACGTCAGAGAGAACATACTTTGGGTTTATTAAGTCTGAAGCTAATCTGCATATTTTACCTTTGGGCGGGAATCCATAACTTAATGATCTTTCAAGCGCTAACAATGTAAATTGAATGCTCATTCAAGCTTGAGTATTTGAAGGGTATTTAAACTGAACAGCTGGGAATTTAACGCGGCAAAGTCTGTGACAAAATTAGTCTTCGTCGGTAAACGTCTACTAAGTTACAAGACTCCTTTCATGAGTAAACCAAGACGAAATTGCTCGATTTGAACGTATAGATATGGCTTTCAGCTGCCGAGTTAGTTAAAAGACCGCTAATTAAATATTCTTTTTTTCTCTCATGAGTTCCCGAGTCTCGTTTGTGTTGACTTCAGTCGAGCGTAGAGTTCTTTTATCAACTTTCAATCTCCCTGCCAATCTTCATCCTAATATGCATAACGTGAACATCAACGCTTCAATGATTCACTTAACTAGAAACTCCCAACGATGGCTGACTTCAGAAAGTGGTTAAGAATTGTATTGACTGAGGAATTTCGAGTCAAAAGCCTTTTCCTGTGGTTTTCAAGTCCAGAGCTATTTGCCGAATCACCGGTAAGTTTGTACAGTAGGTTGAAAACAGACAAACAATTGCATGCAACTTGAAAGCGAAATCGATTTTAATTACATCAGGGAGGTTTCAGGATTGTTCAGTGTGGACACCACAATTATTTAAAAAGTTTTGATATGCTCTCTATTTCCCTTTTATAGTTTGCTTTTAAAAACGAATTGTCAGATTTTTGGTTCAATTATTGCACTATCCATAGTGAGTAAAGTAAAGAGAGAGATTCCAGACTGTGAGTAGGTCCCTTGGGTTGTAGCTTTGAGGGAATTGTTGACTGCAAATGTTTTAGACACGCATTCTTTCTGATCAAGTGTTCGGTAATTCATTTAGCGAAGTAGTTTCAGCGGTCGAGGAATTCTTGTTTCAATCGACAATTTGGTGACATTCCCTGATTCTCACCTTCTAGTTTACTAGGCTAGTATAGAATGTTCTAAAACTGGAAATTTACATAAATTCCTTCCAATAACCTTAAGCTGCGTAGTTCGAAATCTTTTGGTCAAGAGTATTTTTCAGGCCCGCTGTTTTATTAAATTCGTATGCTGATGTAGTCTAACCGAATCTCGAAGAAATCAAGACAACCTTCGACATTTCTACGGATTTATTTGTGCATATGATTTCTTTCATTGTTCTCGATAATGTTCAAGACAAAGAGAGCCGAAAATTCTCCAGGAACGGAGAGTACTCTTTTTTCCATTCTTCAATTCTTTTTTTTTTTTTTTTTTTTTTTTTTACCAAATTCGAACACACGTCATAGGCAACCGAATAACTAATCTTATCACTGGAAAGCCATAAAGATGCAGACGATAGCGCAGGAAGGAAATGGATGTTTTTTATCACACTTGAATGATTCCTATGCGCTTTGGCATGCCTCTTGTGTGTCAGATTCCCCGCTCGCGTTTGAACCAATCAGAGATCCTTACAGTTTGACGTAAAATGAAAGGAAACGAGGTGTCTCTGGCAGAGCTGCGACCCGACAGCTCTTCGGATTCGATCGGCTCTCACGATGACATCCGACAATTGTTGTCGAGAATGTAAACCTGCGGTAGATAGAGGACAATATTCCTTTAGTTTTATACAGAAAGTTTCAATTTGCAATAAAAATTCATTTTCTTGAATCTTTTCCAGTGGTTTCCACCATCGTTGTTTATCATATATCGTCTGGTTATTACCGCGTGGTCTGTGATTATCACTGTGGAAAGCACGTTTGCCACGCCTAGCTATTTATGGTTGTTGCAGTTGGATAACTGGAGTATCTCGTTAAGTTGCCTATATTTCGTTCTCGCCACATTCCTCCTGATCTACTACGCTGTTAAAACATGCAAAAGTGAAGAGAACAAAGAAATCCCTAAGAAAACAGAAAAAAGCTACTTTGCTGAAGATGAACGCGAGAATGAATCCGAGCTGTTATGGACCGCAAACGAGGAAGACGAGTTGCACAGAGAACTCCCGCGTCGCGAAGAAAGATTACCGTGTTACCATGCAGTACTCTGGGTCTTACAAACTCTGGTGGGAAACAGCATATTAGTTGTCATCCTTTGTTATGTCACACTGGAAGAACAATTTAACGTATTAGAATTTGCTAAGTTCCTGTCCATCACTATTTTCATGGTTGCTGAGGCAATTTTCAGTTTTGCACCAATCAGATTGCTTCATTTTATTTATTCGTATGTGTTTTCATTAACATACGTCCTAGTCGTTCTTATGTACTACTTTGTATTTGTCGATGAGCGTGTCTCCGAGCTTCCGAGCTTTGTGAACAGAATAGACGACCCTCTTTCTTCAACAGTGGTTTTCATGATACTAATCGTTGGACAGCCGTTGTTTCAGTTGTTATACTTTACAGTCCATAAGCTGAACTGTTATGTGTACGTCAAGTATTTTAGTTACTAAATGAACATTAGTTATCATAAGGGCGTAGTTGATCATTTTTTTTTATCATCGCAAGTTAAGTGAGATAGGCCAAGTCCAAAAAGGTTCATAGTACTATTAATGAGTAGGTTTGGATGGTAAGTAAGTATCCCAAGGTCTTTTAATCTAAGCGCAAACTGCACGTACGATGCTTCGGTCACATGAAGAGTTGCATACATGAAATGCGCGGGGATAGTAGAGCCACTAACTAAGGTAGAATTGTTCCCTCTACCCACGGATACTACCAATTCTCTTCCAAAACATGCCTTTGATGCAAGACAGTGTGTGCACCCGAAACTCAATGCTAAGCGTGCAATTTCTTCCTTTGTCTTCCCTTGTAAATACGACTAACATTTAAATATAATGTAGGAGATGTGATTAACGAGGCGATTTTTGGCTCGCCTTTTAGCGGTTTTGAGAATATATTCTTTAGACAACTGTTTTGTAGCACAGGATGTGTAATTTTATCCTGTGAAAAAATAATAAAGACATCATTATCATTGTTTCTTAAAGGAAAAATTTTAAAGCGCCTACAGAATGTGGTTCCTCTTTCGGGTGAAGCAACCCTATTTAAAACCCATCGTGGAAAGTACACCCCCCTCCCTTCCTTCGGCTCACGAGAGAAATTCGATCGATCACTGTGTATAAAGAGGCATTTTGCTGCTAAAAGTACAATGTAAACAAAGGAAAGAAGCGGTAATGTTGGGAATTAAGGTTTTATTAATAACCGCTCTTTGTTTTCATGATCGAAAGTTTTCTCAACAGTGCTTTGATCAAGACAATTGCGTTGAATTAACTTGTTTTAATTGTGTAAATGTCACACAACAGTTTGTTTGACTTACATTATTCCATCTTTGAAATTTTGAAATCAAATATTAAATGGAATCGCGTATTTGTAAAAGTAGGAGCATTAAGATCAAAAATTTCAATATTAGTCATGCACATTTAGCCAATTCTTTAGGCCCAAAAACATATTATCAGCGTAATATTTCATACATAAACGGAACTTTCCTCATTCTTTTATTGAATGAAAAATTTATATTCGATTAAAAATAACTGCCAAGAATAAGATGAAGAACTTGCTACACAAACGTGATAAAATCTCTCATAATTCTACAGAACGTTAACAATTAACCACTCATTTCACTTCCTTGATTGACAGATAGGTCCGTACTTGACGTCCCACGCTTCCGGTCAGTTTGTTGAGAAGCCACTCAATGTCACCGACTTAAGTTTTTTTCAGAGAACCACACTTTACAATCAAATGAAAAATCTTCAGTTGCGCAGGTAGAAGGCCGCCAAAACACACATTTGAATGTGTAATCGGGAATTTCTGTTTGACTTTTTTGGCAGCTCTATACACAAAATCAACTGCCTGTTTGTCTTTAATAATGGAAACATCTTTCATTTTCAAACACTGGCAACATTTTATTTAACGTTGCACGCCTTTAATAGAAAATCTGCGAGATTTGAGTATATTTGAACGGAGACTTTTATGAAGTTATAGTGTTTTAATCTTGTGAAAAACTTCACCAGGGTAGCACAGAGAGGTAACATGCAAAATGTTGTTCTCAATTTCATCTCTGATCTTCCTCGTTTACTGTACTTACTTCAGCCAAGAAAGAGAGATGAGGCTACAGCATGGAGTAATTGAGCATGGTAGGTCACCAACTTAGCTGACAAACTATAAACGTATTGTGGTGCCTTCTCGTAGCATTTTGCCATGGTCCTTTTCGTATGGATGCCATCGGAGTTGAGCCAAAGGCCTCAAACTCAAAAAAGAATTTCAGAGAAGAATATGCCACATAAAAACTGGTAATTGATAGGAGCAGATTGAGATTTTATAGTCTTTCTTTATTGCTAATCCGTTCTGCCCCAAAACGTATTCATGAACTTCAGACAGCTTAGTTGTGAAGCTTACGTTTCTGAAATACAGATTTTTATCGTGAAACTAAATTAGTTACTTGTTAAGAGATAAGAGCCCGAGGTTGGCGAGGTCGAATGAGCCCAAATTATCGTTTAACAGACCAATGAGGTTTTGTTTTCATCATCCGGAGCTAATAGTAAACTCGAAAAAAATAAAGGCGTCTTCCGTTTTTTTACTCCTCGCCTCTCGTCCGACTCGTACCACGAACAAGCAAAAGCTTTGTTAATGTTTTAACCTAAGTAAGAAGAGAAAAAGACAATGGCCAAATTTATCCAAACAAATGTATCTCCTCTTTTGTTATCCCGACGAGGATGTGAAAAAATTGTTCAATGGTCGATTGCTGACACAAACTAAACGGGGGTTTCGTTTGCTCTGCTTTATTTAAGGAGGGTCAGGAAAGAACAATTGATTCATGTAAATATCTTATTCAAACACTAACATTCACACAGAAAACGTGTCAATATTATTTCTTGAGGTATTCATTATTGTTTCTTTATTCGGCAGAGTTAAAGACCTCCGATGATAAAAACAACTTAAGGACCAAGAGAGCAGGTCTGCACGTATAATTGAACGCCAGTCTAAATTCTGTTTTGCTTCTCTTAGACTGGAAGAATATTATTAATATGTGTACAAGAAACACATTTGCTCAGAGTAGGAGCCGTCAGCGATCGATTTGAATACGTGTTAAATAAAACAGGCTTAAAGAGATAAATCGCTACATGCAGGATACACAGTGAAATAACATATTTCCCAGATGAAAGCTAGATGCAAACACTGATATAAATTAAGTATTTATTAACAACAAAGGATTACATCCTGCGCATGCGCGCGACACAATCACGTACTCTCACGCAGCGACTTATTCAGTTTGATTTAGGTTCTTAATGCTCATTTCTGCGCCCGGCAACAAACACGGAAAACTGGTATCTAACAGTCTAAACTGATATCTAGACTGTGTACAGCCGGCACCTACCCTCCCAAAGGGGCAACGAATACCAAAAAGGAACTTTGTTGTCCAAAATGCTCACGCTTTGTCGTGAACAGTAACTGCAAGATTTTCTCGGGTGAAAAGAAGTAATTATCTTGATTTTCCTTGTTTCTTCACAGCTTGCAAAGATTTGATCAACTATTGTCACGTCTACAAGCCTTACTGTAAACACGAAGACTATTCAGACTTCGTGAAAGTCAATTGTAAGAAGACCTGTGACCTCTGTCCGAAAGGTAATTTTTGATCATTCAAGGGCTTTAAACGCCTGGCGTCCTTAAAATCTACTTGAATTATATGTCTTTGTTTAAGTTACTCCTTCCCAGAGTCACCAGAAATAGTGGACAGAGCTCCTGTTTAAAGGCGTATCATCGAAAATTCCTGGGAAAGAAGGAAAATAAAAGATACCCTTAGAAAAATTCAAAACTTAGGAGGTATATCAAATAGCAAACGTGTATCTGGAAAGGTGACAGAACATATCGTAGAAAGAATAGCTCAACAGAGTAAGAATTCTACAGACGTTATTTCTTGAAGGGTGCTCACTGTTCTTACGAAGGGAATCGGGAAGTCTTTTCACAAGTCACCACCAAATAAAATATTCACCTGTAGTAATTGCAAGAGCCTTCCAGTTACATACGTTGTTCTTCAAAGGCTTTCTACAGTATCATTTTCTAGTCATCTCAGCTCTAAGTCAGGTCTTCAAGGGTATCCATGCAAACTTTTCAGATTATTAAGCGTCCCCTACCAAATGATCCGCCACTCAAATTGTCCTCATTGCCAAGCTGTCTCTATCAAATGGCATGCATCCTCCCGACAGTTTCAAGCGGCACATTTTCATAACTTTTCCTTTAAAACTGTCCCTAAATGCCTCATGGTCTCCAAAAATTGGTAACTTCCAACAGTTTCAAGCACGACATCTTCATTATTTTCCCTTTATAAGTTGTTTATTCTAGAGTGTGCCTCCGTCTGAGATTGTCCATAGAGTAATACTCCCCTGACAGTTTACTCCTTTCAAGTTGCTCCTCACCAGTTCGAATTCATATCGTCCCGTTACTTTCAAATTTATCGTACCCAGTCGTTTCGTACCCAGTCGTTTCGCACCAAGCTAGGACCATTCGTACCCAGTCCGTTGAGTCGTTTTGTACCGTACGAAACGACTCAACTGACATATCAATAAAGTATGCTTTCCGTGTAAAGTATGTTTAAAATAAGGCCAGTTTCTTATCTTAAATATCATTATCGCCTGCGTTAAATAAGTTCTAATTACGTAACGTCCATATTTGATACTCAACCACCAAATGTAAGGCCTGGAACCGAAAAAGCACATTTACCTTGCGCTAGGCAACAATTCAGTTGTTTCTGTTTAGATGGTCACAAGTATACCCAACAGAATTTCCCTCGCATCTTTATCACTTGACTGTACTAAATTGTCGTATACAACGATCAACATCTGCTCATGCGCTCGCGCGTAAGGTATTTCAATAAAAGTATATTAAGACAGGTACGAACCTGTCAGCGGTTTGAGAACGAACCGACTCAAACTGGATAAAGGGGGTAAGTTTCTAAAGAAACTGCGGTGTTGCGTCGGTGGGAGAGTATAACAGGTAATTTAGTGTTAACAACTGAGTTGGAAACGTAAATTAGCCGCCGTAAAGGGTAAAAAAGGTGACTTTTAGAGCGTTGGCCCGTCGTCAGAGCCCTGACGAAGGGCTAACGCTCGAAACGTCAGCGTTTTTACCCTTAACGGTGGCTAATTTACGACTCAAACTGGGTACGAATCGACTGACTTCGAGTACAAAATGACAGTGAGTACGAAGCAACTGCATACCTTTGAGAACTCATCGTTGTTTTTTCTTCACAGCATGCTTCGACCGTGTCTCCTACTGCCACGTAATCAAGAATCGATGTAACGACCCTGTTATTGGAAGCTCAGTGAGGCGCTTCTGTGCAAGAACCTGTGTGGTGTGCATAGGTATGAACGGCAATTTATAGATCACTTCGAGTTATTGAACAAACAAACAAACAAACAAACAAGCACATAAATGAACAAACTGGGTATTAGCCAGGTTACTTTTGAACTCTAGACCCAAAGCAAGCAAATAGTTCACGTTATTGTGGGTACTACTTATAATAAGCTTACTGTATAAACAGAGAGGCTCAACGATAAAGAGGTCTCTTCAAGCTACAGTTAAATGACCGGGTGAACTCTCAGTTGTTGACCAAATGGTGAAGAATACTGAAAGGCTCTCATGGCTGCTTTAGCCCAATACTTTAGAGTGAGTTTAAAGTACTCAGTTAATGGTAACTGCTGGGATTTTGCGCGTTAGCACTGAGGATGAGGTGAATCCTTGCGGAAACAAATCCTTATTTATTTTTTTCTGAAATTAATCAATAACTGCACGATAGATTTTGTGTCACCATCTTTATATGGCGTGACGTTTCTTGGTGACCAGTATCACATAAAAAAGCTCTCCTGCTCAGCCTACCATGAAAACCTACCATGAAAAGATTCCCAGGTTCAATATATTTATCTTTCGTTCGTTTTCTTCAATTTCTAGTCACACCACCAACTATACCACCGACAACAATTCCTCGTACAGAGCAGCCTATTGACCAGGGTAAGATGACAGTTCAAATGTCACAACAGCCAACAGTTTCATGTGTTCCCCAGTCCACCCCCGTGATCGATCTTTAGTTACCGGAATGATTTGATTTAACACCCGGGGCGCCTAATTCCCTGTGGTACCTCTAGGGAGGGTACTTATTCGAAACAGGGGGCCTATTGCTGGTTTTCACGTGACGTCACTAAATTTCAGACTTCAGAACTATTGATCCTCCTGAGATTTTACTTTCATGATGTATTAGAGCAGCTAAAAACTAATATTCAGACAAATTTTTCCAAATGGGTTCTTGGTTTAGTTTATTTGATTTTTTTTTTTTTACATGACGAGCGAGAGAGCTGTTAGTTTAAAATGACTTATTTGGAAAAATCTGAACAGTTCTTGTATTAGAATAAAGTATTATTGTTGTTTATGAGTTCTTAGAGAGAAATTCACGCTTTTGGCAAAACTCAGTGACAGATAACAGGTGGGAACATACAAATCTCTATAAATTTGGGAAAAACGTTTCTCCTCATATCTTCCGTAAGAAAAATTGCTGTGACCTGAATCTTGGCGAGAGGCTTCTTTCTATTTCCAGATTCTAGACTAAATCGATTGAACGGTTTTTATTTTTTATTTTGATCTATTTTGAATGGCGTGACACTGAAAACCAGCAATTAGGGATAGGGTGCCCTTCTTTAATTTTTTGGTTTTATTATTATTTTTTTTTTTTTGAGGAACAGCAAAATGTGGAAAACAAAGCCTTGATGTTTATTTGAAAAGGAATAATAACAGGAACGGCAAGACCACTGTTTTGGCAATGAGGCCTTAAGTGAGCAATTGAAGGAGGGTGAACCTCGACGCACTTTAACAGTGCTATCACTGAAAGAGAATAAGGTTGCTTATTAGGATGGGGGCGCTTGATAAAAATAAAAACCTTAAAGGGAGGGCGCTTATTGGAACGAGGGCGACCAACTCCTTAGGATTTACGATCCTGTCACAGAATGTTCAGCAGATGGCTGGGGATCGAATCTCAACCACTGGGAAGTCAAATTTCTCTACATTCCACCATCTTGACACGCGATGTTAAGTTCTCTCTCTGGTCCTTTTCAGTTTCACGGGAAACAAACGAACTCTTCCTCAGATGATCTCTAGGCGAGAAAATAAACATTACACTTTTCCCTTACCTAGGAAGCGTGGAATGTGGCAGGAAAGCGGTCGGTAGCAGAATTGTGGGCGGCACAAACGCTAGGCCTGGGGCTTGGCCATGGCAGGTGACGATGGACTACAAGGGACATCCTGGCCCTCACTGGTGTGGTGGCTCAATAGTGACCCCGCATTGGATAGTTACCGCTGCTCATTGCTTTGGTAATGGCGATGACCCCAAGAAGTACAGCATTGTTGCAGGTAGAGGAGATTTGTTTTCATTTTCATTTTGTGGGGTTAGGACACTGGATTTGCTGTCTAACAGTGTTTCTACCCAAACAGCACCAATGACTGGGTTCTAGCGAGCTATTAGCAATAGGTGGTCACCTTTGTTGGATCATTATCTCGTACAGTTCTTATGAGCTTGAGACAGCAATTAGTTCTGATCAATCCTGTCTGTGGGAAAAGGGGAAATGATCCTAGACTATGAGCATTCCCCCCTTTTCGGCGAAGTCTGTCGCGCGAACAAAAAAAATCAGTCTGTCGCGCGAATAAAAACTGATCTTTTTTTTTTAATTGGCGCGACGGACCACCCCGAAAAGAAGAGACAACTAAAAGGATCCAGAAGTTACTTCCATTTATTTTTTTGCAGTGCAACTCTTTTCTATCATTATCTCAGGATTAATGTCAGTATCAGAGCATTTGCGCACCAACCCCTCCCCTAACCCAACATTAACGCCAAGTTGCTATCAGTTGACTGTTTTTGGGTAAAGGGGAGGGGTAGGTTCGCAGTTGCCCAGATACTGACATTAATTCTAATCTTTAAGGTGAACATGACCTTAACGCAGTGGACGGATTTGAACAAAATACGACAATTGAGGAGATCATCACACATCCCAAATATAACAGGATTGCAAATCATGACTACGATGTGGCACTGGTCAAACTGAAGAACCCCATTAAGTACAACAATCACGTGAGGCCTGTGTGCCTAGCTAAATCGGACTTCGATGCTGGAACGAATTGTTATGTAACTGGGTGGGGCTACACCTCTGAGGATGGAAATATTGCGCAGGTTTGTGATAAACAGACTAGTCCATCCAGTGTAATAACATGCCGATGTTACGATGAATAACTTGTGAACATATCTCAGTCGTTTAGTAGAAAGATGTGCAAGGCGAATTCCAGGCTGAATAACAACAAAATTGGCTGAAAATCGTTCGGACAAAAATTTTAGATGAGGGCTTGCTGTGACAAAGTCGAATTCAGAACAACTATGTAATCAATTAACTATCATACTTTCAACATTTGTGTTACTCACCATTTCCAGATTTTGCAGCAAGCGAAAGTTCCTCTCGTGTCTCGTGAAACCTGTCAAGAAGGGTACGACGACTTGGGATACAAAATATCAACTCGCATGCGTTGTGCAGGCTACAGTGAGGGAAAAATTGACGCATGCCAAGGAGATAGTGGAGGGCCGCTAGTCTGCGTGAGGAACGACAAGTGGTATCTTATGGGTGTCATCAGCTGGGGACAGGGATGCGCGCGCAAAGGAAGATATGGGGTGTACGCTGATATGATGGATCTCAAGTTCTGGGTGCAACAGACCATCAACAAAGTATAATCATTAAAAATCGATTAGAAATGTGAACAGGAAATATTGTTCTCCTTTGTTTTTTATTAACTATCGAGAATAAAACGGTTAAAAATACAAGGCTATCCAATGGTGTATTTACTATATAGGATTTAAGGAGCTTGGAAATCGAATGAAACAAATTTTCTTAAGTCACAGATCTTCATAAACGTAAATGGATATAACGTGAATCTCTCTTTCCTGGAACTCACAGGTTCTATTTGAGCCCCGTTGATGGCTCAGCTCACATATCGTAAAACAGGTTTTGGTTAGTCATCGTGGTAAATAACACTTTCAAAAGAGAATTGTAATCGTTTTTCTCTTTTGATGTGGTCACTTCGGATGTAGATCGTGACATTTCGACTTACTGGTAGTCTTCTTCAGGCGATGAGTTCGATTGAGTACGCGTAACCTATACTCTGTGGCGCTCAGCTGTGATTGAATGGAATTCCACGACTGCGATGGTACATCTTCGGATCAGATTCACTTTGTGGTCCGCTACCGCACGGCACTCCTGCTGTTGTGGTTTTGGCTCTTTTGACTTCGATACGTTTTCTCAGTCAATTAAATGACTCATCTTATTTTTGGCCAAACTCCCTGATTTTAACTGCAGTTAACCTGTAAAGTTTAATTCGTCACTCATCCACGAAAAGTAACTTTGAATTTTATTTCAATAATTATTTGCGAATGAAATAATTAGCCAGCTACCAAAATTGTCAAAAACAAAAATAACAATTTCGTTTTCTTGAACCTCACCTATGTGCAGGTCTCTTAAACGTTCTAGGAAGCTATGGAACTTGATTGTATACAAAGGTCTCAAAGGCAAAAAAATTGTGGTTTCGGAAGCCACAACGAGTAAGGAATCAATCTCGACCTCATTTCTTCAATTTGCCTTGTTTTTATCCAATTTCCTTTTTCGTTATCTTTTACTCCATCTCCGCCTTACAAAGTTAAGTAGAATTGATTGCCCCTCGACGAATCCAAAGCGTTTTGATTCTATTCAGTACACTTTAAAGAAAACTACGTTCGTTTTTGCAGTAACTATAATACGCCTTGTTTTCCACTATTTTCAAACGCACATTCTGCCTTGCGCCAACCGCAATTATCCTGTTGCGTTGATGTCACGTAATTAAAGTGCGGCTCCGCTCCGTTGTGAAAGGGGGAAAAATACTTGAATAAACGTGAAAAGAGAAAAGATCCTAGCGAATTACCTGGGAAAAAAATGTACCAAGCAACATCCCAGCGGATTTATTTAAGGCTTACTCCTTTACTTAGTCGATGCAAGACGGAAAATCAACTGACAGTGAATCAATCCGCCGAAAATTTGCTTGAGTCTTGAGGCTAAAATCGTTGTGATTGTTGACTACGTGATCTGAAAGGAACTCGAATAATCTTATCAAGCGCGCAAAATATGCCGGGTGGGTAGTTTCCGCTTGAGGACTGAAAGGCATTGTGGATGGTATATTTGGGGGTGGATTTGAAATTGAACGACCGCCGACGGCTCGCTCGTGCTGTCTTTGTTTAATAACATTTTATTGTGTTCTTAGAAATACACAGGGTTTGTCCTATAGAGGAATTATAACATCAAAACATCAATGGGTAAGTGAGATCGCAAATCAAAGCCAATAATTAATTTTTACAATCCTCGAATACTTCGCGATTTTAAAGTTTAGAGCTCAGAGCATTTCGAGTTGTTTTCTTTCTGATGTGCTTTATCTTTTAGACAGGGAATCCTCGCTTCGCTGTTTTCGATGTAGGAAGGTTTGCGCAGGTGAATCGCTGCGAGTGAACGATCAGCTTTTTCATGCCGACTGCCTGGTTTGCTTGGGTAAGTAAAACAGAAACGAACGCAGATTTGGAGCGTAATTTTTGCTCCCAATCGCGTATCGCGTGTCATCGCTATTCATTCGGCACAGAAATTTGCATGTTTGAAATTCACGTCATTTTTTTGTCTTAAAAATGGACGATCTGTGGCGGTTCAAACAACTGTTTTCCGGGATTAGAATATTTGATATGTTTCGTCCAGAAATTAAGGTATCTACCGCGTATGACCGTTTAGTGTTTGTCGTCGATATGTGCCTGCGGATACCACATAAGGCCTGACATGACTACTTGCTTTAAAAATTGTCTTAAAAGGTTCGTATGGCAAATTGATATTTAAATAAATAATCAAATGGCTAGCGTCTGAGTGGTAAATCTTTTAAAGGCGATTATCAGATGTGACGCCTTATTTTCCGATCCGCTGTACTTTTCATTTCAAGATCTTGACCTAAGGTAAAAAGGCAATGAAATCGAATTTTCTCTATTGAAAATTGCACGAAACGTTGGCAAGGGCGCTCATTATTATTCATCATATTCATATGTAACTCAAGTCGTTGTTTATATTTCCACCCTCAAAGCTAACAAAATAAAACTACAGGTATTGTTTGGCGCCATTAAGCGTTGTTAAATACATTGTAATTATTTGTTCGCCGTTTTTAGTTCGTCGTTAATTTTAAGTGTGTTGGAGCCTGTGCCAGTTTGTGTAGACAAGCTGAACTAAAAGTTTAACGTTCGTGTTAACTGGTCCGAGAAATGCATATTAACGGTTTAACGAATGTTAATAGCTTCATTGTTTCCAAACTATGAAATATCTGGCGAAAATTCGATTCTCGAAAATCCAGAAGTAAACCTTTTTGTGAAAAAAGTCGTCAATTAGATTTACTGAACTGATAGTAAGAACCCTTGCTTCGAACCACAAGTTAAACCATTAAAGTATAAATATTTAGTCGTAATTTGATATCACTATCTTTTAGAATTAATTAAGCCACAAGTGATATTGTCTTCACTAGACCTTGATCGATTAATCAATCATTTGATGAAAGGGATGATTGAATTACAAAGCGGGAAAGATAACAGTTCCATAGGGAAAGATAGATAGTTATGTTGAGTCCCTTGTGCAGATTGTGAAGCAGACTTCCAGACCTGATTGTTTTTTATTAAAAAAAAAACAACAGGTACAAACACAAGGCTTTTTACAAGGTTTTTTGCTATTGCAAAATTTTAAGCAATTGCAAATATGTGTCAGTGAGAGAGACATTTCTTATCAAAATTCTCTTTGTATGTTCCGACCCTTTTGAAGACTTGTCATTGAAGACAAAATGATTCGTGTGGAGAGAATAATTAAGGGAATTTTTCATGCTTTTAACATTAAAAAAAACAACAACAGTGCACCTTTTTTAAAAGAAAAGAGTATAATTATGCTTAGATTCATTGGTGTGAAATGAAGATTTCTAAGGTTTATTTCTATGCAACTGTGTGCAAATTTAGATGCTTTGCCAGAAGGTTGGCAGCCTGAGTGAATTCTTTGTCACTTCCTATGGCCAAAGGCTAGACTGGTTTCCAAATTCTAACATTCTTTTTTTATTTGGCCTGACCAGTCACCCATACAGTAAAACCACTTTCATCAAGCAAATGATTTTAATTGTAAGATATTGGCCCCATTTAGTATTCTTATAATCTGGGACATAATTACCTTGTGTAATAACCAATTCAGCCTGTAGTGTAAGTGTCTTACAAGGGCAAGTTAATGTTAAGAAGCTTGCAATCATTTATTCAACCCTCCATGTTTGATTTGGAGATATAGGTGGTGGGTGGAGGGGGGTGGGGAAAGGCAAAAAGATGCCAGCCCAAAGAGGCTGTTGAAAAGCAAAGCACCCCCTGATTAGTTGCGCATCACTGCAATCTGGAAATTAGCATGTAACTGATCCTAATGAGCTAAATTAAAACCAGAAGCACTGTCTTGTGAAAAAAACAAAATACACACAGAACTGGTGAGTGAAATGGTGAAGCATTTGCTTGAGCCAGGAAAGAAATGGCTTTGATGAAACCTCCTCTGTAGTCACAAATATGAGCTTATATTTGCTGCCCTCTATATTTTTCAATCAACAATCCTTGAGTGTAGCTGCTGTTAATTTATTTGACAATGTTTCTTCCATTTGATTGTAAATGATACTTTGAAGCAGACAAACAACTGCACTCAAAGGTTTACCCACTATAATTTGTTTGATGGAAAGATGGTATATTATATTCTGATGGTATATTATATTTTTTTTTTTCTAATCAATAATAGAAATGGCTTCACAAAAACCTTCTCTGCTGATGCAAATACAAGTTGATATTTGCCCAACTCTATACCCTCCAAACGACAATCCGCAAAAGCAGATTAACAAATGAAGATTAAAGTGATCTTTGCAAGGATAAACACTACTTAAGCAATAGTGAAAATAAGGCCTTAAAAAAAATGGAAGCTTTATTTTCACTACTACCTAAGTAGTGTTCATTACCAAGAAGGTTACTCTAATCTTCTCTATTACATTATTGCAACTTAGAATTCTTGCTATACTAGAGATACATGCATCCATTATTTGCCATACAAAAATTCAATGTTATAACTATCAAGTTGTACTACCACTTCATCATGAAAACAATTGAGATAACATTCTGATTTGATTAAAACAGTGTGTGGCAAGGACTTGGAAAATATTGGATTTTTTGTGGAAAGCAACCAGTATTACTGTCCTGAAGACTTCCAGGAACGCTTTGGCACAAAATGCTTCATTTGTCATCTATTTGTGGAAGGAGAAGGAATCAACATTGGTAATAATGCATATCATTTGCGCTGCTTTGTTTGCACTGGTTGCAGGTGAGGTTTTTTTTAATGTTCTTTTATTATTTATACTTGAAAAACAACCTTTACCTGGGACCATTTAAATTTAAAACAAAGTAACAGTGATTGTCAAGCATGAGGGTATATTAGTAATGGTAAGACTGATTGGAGTTCAATTCAGTCTGTAATCATATGAGTGATTAACAAAATCAGATGATGGCAAGTATGAGAACAAAAATCTCATGGTGTTGTTGGTGTCATAACAACCAACCTATTTTGCAGTTGTGGACAAAAAAATTATGGTTTCTATTGCAAATGTCTCCCCTTAGATTATAGTAATCACAATATATTTCAAATATAATAAAACAATACACTCTACCTGTTCATGCAATCCTTCATTTGATGTCAAATATAACTATATTTCTTTAGACTACTCTGACACACCATCTCTTCCATGTATTCAATGTATTCAAACACCATCTTTTGCATTTGTTGTAGAAATCCATTTCCTCCAGGAGAGAAAGTTGTTGCTAAGGGTAACCATTACCTCTGCCAACAGTGCAATTCAAAGGAGATAAACAATGATTCAAGAGTACGCAAACTTGATAGTAAGTTCAACTGAAAATTGTGGTAAGGAAAGTTGAGTCAAAGCAGTTTAGAAAAATTTTATACCAAGATGTCAGACTGAATTTAAACTGCTTTGTATACATTTATGGGATAATTAGTTTTCCTCTGATTTTTAATGCTGTGAATTTCTCTTTAGGGTGTGCAGGTTGTGGAGAAGATATTCGCAGTGGCCAGTCATTGTTAGCTCTGGAGACACAATGGCATCTTTGGTGCTTTACATGTACAAAATGTGGCTGCTTGCTGGCTGGAGAGTACATGGGCAGGTTAGTTCAATCACATATAATATCTATTTTATTTTCAGGAGTTTCCTGAAAAATTGAACCAGGCTGTTGTTACTTAATTGTATACAGTGCTGAGCCTCAAGGTTTAGAGTCAATCTGTTTTGTCATAAGTTGTGTTCTATGGAGATCAACCATTGCAACTGGAAACACTTTAACTCAGCCCTGTAGCAGTTGATAATCTGGACATACCATCTTCTTTACGTTTCTTGAGATAACTTCTTCTCTTTGGTTACTAAATTGTGATGGATGGGAGGTCTACAAGTCTGTTGTTTTTTTGTTATTTTTAGGGATGGAAAGCCTTACTGTGAGAAAGATTATCAAGCAGAGTTTGGTGTGACTTGTGCTGGCTGTGGCGGATATATTATTGGAAAGGTCCTACAGGTAAAGTAGCTATGCAGCCATGTTCAAATTTGTTGGATAAACACATGTCCAGGGGGTTAGAATTGAACAATGACAAGAGGCAGGGGTCAGAATAAACCAGGGCAGGGGGGGATGCTGGCTTCAAAGATGGATGAGATAAAGATGGATTACAAATTTTATGTTTGAAAAAGCTATACTTCACTGTACAAGATTCACAAATTGTTTTGTATTCCTTTAATCAGATGATAGTTGTTGAGTATTTTGTGGAGGGCCATCAGATAGTTATTCCCTAACTGATTAGCCTTGGGCCATTAGTGCAGCTCTCTTTCCCTATTCTCAGTCCCCATTCTGTTTCCCCCTCCCCCCTCCCCCCTCCCCTCTTCTTGTGGCCCCATTCCTCAGTTATTTTTTCTAAAAATAAAAATGCTGGCTGATTTGTTTGTTTCAGGCTGGTGAAAAACATTATCACCCTCATTGCTCACGCTGTGCAAGGTGTCATGGAGTGTTTGGTGAGGGTCAAGAGATGTTTTTGCAAGGTAAGGATCTATTGTGAAAGCTTTATAGCCAAAATCAATCCATTATCTTGAGGATTCTTTTTATGAGTCCTGTGAGTGAGCTGACCCAGTAATTGTGATCAATTTTAATTTTGGTTGATACACATTAGAATTTCAGCCTATTTCTAAACTGAGACTTCAACCTACTCAGGGTGATCAAGGGGCAGGCTTTCAAGTTTCATCCACATCAGTGGGGTGGGATGGGGTGATTTTGTTGTAAAGTTACCAAACATTTAGTCACAGTCAGGCTGACAACTCATTCTCGTCTCACACTGGTTTTGAAATGAGAAAATAATCAGAAAAGATCTCAAAGACTAAGCCAGTCAAGTTCTCTTTGCTCATATGATGAGGCCCATTGTGTGAACAGATGATGATCTATCTCAAATTTGTTTACAGGATCTGAAATTTGGCATCCAGATTGTAGCTTTGCAGCAGCTCAGAATGGTGAACTGGAAACAGACTCTGTGAGTTACTTATCTAAACTAAATCGCAAACATGCTTTACAGAAACGTAACTTAAATTCTTTCGGTTATTGTTACAACGGTTGCAATTTATGATTTCTAGTAAGTCAATGCGAGATAAAAAATAAACTGTTTAAATTTTTTTTTGGTGGGAGATGCAAGTGTGCAGCATACTGGACTTCTGAACGAAGGTTTCAAAAATTAAGCTTAACCATGGATTATTGTGTAGTGTTCTTGGACAAGCAAGTATGAGTATGAGTGAGTATCAGGAAAACTTAGCAAAATACGTGGGGGAGCGGGGTGCCTGCGGTGGGATAGCGCTCCTTGAGAATTGGTTATACTCCTGGTTAATGGTATGACTCACCTTAAGACTCTCTGCAGCTCCGTAGTAGAGCATCCGCGTGCAGAAATCCGCAAATCTGGGGTTCGAGCCCTCGTGGGTACTTAGGTTTTTTTTTGTTTGTTTTTTTTTGTTTTTTTCTTCTGTGTCCCACGCTCGTGACAAGACGTGCAACATCTTTCTTTAACCCAACCTAATTTCTTCATCTTTTTTTCCCAGGGAGGTCCGCGCAATGGATATCAGTATCCTGGTAAGGGCTTGAATTGTTTCTATGAGATGTAATCCGTGATATGCTTTGGTTCTGCTTCATGTCGTTCTGTGATTGGTCCAGAAACTCGCGCCAGTTCCTGAACGAATCAGTTTAAAAACTTAAAAGCAATCGCGACTTGGTCGCCCGCGTTTTTCCCGCGCTTTGGGCAGTTTGCTTGTTTGTACAACGAGTTCTCATTGGCTTCTCGCGATAGTTTCCTCTCTTCTGATTGGCTGTTGTGACAACTGTGATTTTGGTTTTACGACACTCAATCAAAATGTGCTCTCTATGTGATATTACAAGTTAGCCACTATTTCCGAACTATCATGCATAGCTATCTATTTTCGCATGTTTTCTTTAACATAAGTCATTCAAGTTTGATTAGGCAAACCGTCACATTTTCCATTTGAGTATAAAAAAATAAACAAAAAAATGAAGTGTTCGTTACGACAAGCAGAAAAATGAATAATCAAAAGTTCGTTGCGTTGTGCTACCTTAACACGGTGAAATGGCATAATCGTGTAATAATAATGTTAAGTATCTTTCGTATATTTCCAAGTTTATCAACTAATTTTTGTGGTACATTTTGTAGAGGAGGAAGCTCCCCGTCCCTCCCCTCCCACAAGAACTTCAGCAAGTCGCGTATCAGAATGGAAAGCGAAGTACTCGCCTCAGAAAGAAGAACAAACTTACAAGCCAGTGGCGACTTGGAGAGCAGAACAGGTGGGAGAATGAACAAGAATGTTACATGAAGTATATACCAGTCCGTAGAAACCATGTCCATCATTATAAGTAAATGCCAGACTTGGCTTTATGTAAAACAAATAAAATTTTCCTAAGCTCTGATCTTGGTCAAGTAAGGGGTAACTATCGAATGATTTCTCCTTTCGGTATCCGTAGACTGTCATTTAGACAAGTTATGGGAATAAAGAAAAATCATCAGTTACTGGGTCCAATTGTCTAATTTTCGGAACTAACATTTAAAGAAATGTCTGGCAGATACATTGTAAGAAAAAGTATGGATTTGAGAATTCAGGATTGAGAGGGTTAAAAATGAAATTAAAGACCTTAATATTTCTTTAGGTGGAACAATCTTGGTATCAGTCAAGTTATACCTCGAACAAAGACACTGGAGCCTGTAAGTATTGGAACTGTTAATATCGTGTTATCATGAACTGTAAAAATGGATGCTCATGAACCCCGTGACTGTTATTGCAATGCCCTAGTTACTCAACTAAACGCCGCTGATAGAAGTTAAAAGACGTCACACCGTCCTGGAATAAACGCTGCTCCCATTCACAAGAACGCCGCGTTTACTCGAAGATAAGAAGGAAATGATAGGGTTTAAAGGGTAGTGGCATTGAGCTCGAAATTTTTTTGCTCTTTCTTGGAGCATTTATGGTAGATCCTGAACTAAGTTACGGTTAGTTTTTAAATTTTGTTTTTTGGAGGCCAAGGGTTATGGTTTTACAAACTTGTTATTTTTACCCCTGCATCTAGATAACAGTAGTTCATACAGAGAGATCACTGCCAGGCAAGAGGTAGGAACGCATTTTTATTGCATTGGTTGCACTTTTGTATCAAGTTTAGTCAGATAAGCTCACCTATCTTCGGAAGGTGAAAGTAATTTTATTTTGAATGTTTTGGTAGTTTTTCTTCTTAGTTTTGCAGTTACCTCTCGTTTTTTTAAAGTACAGTTTGAGTTTTTAAATTGTCAGCACTTTTTAAACTTAAATTAATGGTGGTCTGTTGTTGTTGCTGTTTTTATTTGCTGAGATTCTAGCAGCGTAAGCCTAATTCACTTTGTAAACTAAATTTATCGTTGCTGCTGTTTTTTTTGTTTTTGTTTTTGTTTTTGTTTTTATTTTTATTGCTGAGATTCTAGCAGTATAAGCCTAATGTGGTGCCTGTAGTTTGTATCTCTTCAATCACTGCTTGATTTAATTTTTATTTCAAGGCAAGTCTGAATGAATCACCACGGAGAATAGGTAAGTATATGCATGTGTTGCGCCACCGACTCCTCCCTTAACAATTGAAAACTGACTGTTGTTTCTAATGAGCCAAAGCGAGGTCGTTTCTTATTGGTTAAAAAACGAAGTGTCACTCTTTTTCATGAAACGGGAAAGTGAGACTTAAAGCTATAAACTCCGAACATACCAATTAACAACCGAAGGTTTCTTGATATACTCCGATTACCACGCGAAAGTCTCTCGATATACTCCAATGACCACCCGAATTATTTTTCCGTAGGTTCGCAAGACTCGTTAGATATGGCAGAATTCGAGAGAAGTGTCGACAAAAAACCTCAGGTAGGTGGTATTGGGGATGAAGGGGGTCTGTAAGGGAGGGGCGTGGAACCGAGCACGATTGTGTGAGATGGAGGGCGCTTGACTAAGGTGTAATCCGTTCATCTTTTTGCACAGAGACAAAAAAGAAACTCAGCCTAGATACAAAAGTAATGTCGGGTCGTTGTGTTCGGCTCGTTTGTTGCGTAAATTTCGTGAATAGTTTTCTTTGGCATCTCAACAGATGTCCAGGAACGATCGACTTGCGCTACCTGAGTCTAATAGGCGATAAAATCACGGTAAAACTGATCAAACAGTTTACACGGGCCGGTCATACAACATTCGACTGACAACAACTTTTCACTTAACTCTGACGATGACTTCCGCCAAAAGGCTGTGGAAACGTCAGTCATTACACTCGACAACGTCCTTCTCAGGAGTACCCAGTCCCTCACTCGGACGATCAGACCACAAAATTAAGTGTAACTCACTGATTGATTTATTTCGTTTTGTTTTCCCTGTTCATAGATTTACGCTTATAAAGATCTCAAAACGACAAACTACAAGTTGCCGCGAGAAGCGGACAAGACGAAACTCGAGGTGAGCATTTCAATATGTTGTTAGGTAAGCCGCATCGACAACAACAAAGAAAACAAGCATGTCGCAACAACTGTGTTGTTCTTGATGCTTTTATTTCTACTCCGTACTCTGAACGTCAACAACTCGAAATCACAAAATTTGGTATATATTTAAAAACATTTTGACGGTTACCTAAGGCAATTTTTTCGTTTTCTAGGTGAAATTGCTCTCCAACGTCACATACTTAGATAAGACTTTCTCACGTAACCAAATTTGCAAATTTATGTTGAGTTCAGTCGAAACTTTGGTAGTTCATGAAAGTTGCATACAAAATGTTTGTTTAAAAATTAATATGTCATCCGTCGTCAAATATGGATCTTTCCTTGTTTTAGTTTACTTTGAAGATTGACAGCTTTTGATTTGTGGTTTTTCAGAATTCTTTATCTTAACGTTGTATTTTTTCAGACGTATCTCACCGATGAGGAATTCCGTGAAGTGTTTACAATGTCAAGAGAAGAGTTTTACAAGCTGCCAGCCTGGAAACAAGTGTCTCGCAAGAAAGAAGTTCTGTTGTTTTAGATATGGTTTGTTTCCACACCATTTATTTTGGATGTCACAGCTTCTATGCTGTATTCTCTACAAAGAGCAAGTTTCAATCGATTGTCGGAAATAATTCGACTCTGCATTGGTTTTGCTTCAAATCGCCATGTGATTGGTTCAGAAAAATCGCGCCACGTTTTCAATCAATCAGGTGCAAGGCTAAACCAGTCGCGGCTTGTTCGTCCGCGTTTTCCCGCGCTTTAGGCTGCGCTTTGCTCTGATTGGCCGTTGGGATTACTTTGATTCGGTTTTACGACACTCAATGCAAAGGCGCTTCATTTGCTTAGAATGAAAAGAATTTGTGACGCATGGGTACATTTGAAGAATGTTACAACTTCTTTTGAAAATGTTTACAAAGTTATGATATCAGAGTCGATGTAGAAGGAAATCTTCAAACTTAAATGAAAGATTTCTCGGCCAGATATGTTCTGGATGGAAAACTTCCTCCTCCTCGATTATTTGAATCAAATTGCTTTTCCCGAGATGTGCTACTCTTTCAACTAAAAAACTAAATGTTTCTTGGAGTTATTTGTTTTCGACTTGTGAACCAAGATTTACCATTTTACGTTCTTAAACTGAAGAGTTTATCTCCACCCATTCTGGATTATTTCAGGTAAATGACCAGAAGTTTAAGCATTACGCGTTTACAAATAGGTAAGGTGACAATTCTAGGTCAGTGAAACTTATTTTGAAGAGTTGTTGGGCGTGCGAGTTTCTTTCCAATCGGAGAACGGCGCGAGTACTCAGTTGTTACGTTTCTGGGCAACAATAGCTTGTGCTAAGATCAGTTTCTCAGATGCTAGTTCCCCGACATGAAAATCAATTAAGTTAGAGTCACATCTAAATTTTAAGGTAGATTGTCAATCGCGGGCGGTAGTCCAATTGTTTCACAAATTCACGCATTTTTAGTAAAAGAAATATATGAAAAATTTAATTAAGAAACATTAAAGAATTTACCTTTACCTTAAATCACGTTACATAAGTGGATTTGAAATTAGAAAAGGTCATCTAGAAATAGTGGTTGGTACTTCTAGGGATGTATTTTATATATGGCTCGTGAGCCGGTAAAAAGGCCAAGAAATTTATTATTAAAAATGGTGGTTAAAATTAAACACGTATCCACTCTTTTACAAATGTTAATACGACAGGAAAACTGGCCGCCAACACTCCTAGCTACTTAGCATGCGTTACAGACCTTATCTCTTATCTCTGTTAACTGAACGTAAGTCTGTCACGCAGGCTACCAGTCACAAATGTCTGTAAGTTTGGAAAATCAAAATTGTTTATCTCGGCTAAACCACCCCTTGAGAAAAGAGTGGAAGTTTTCAAATAACAAGAGTGCATTTTGTAGATGCTACCACAAATTTCCCGTTATTTCAATTCAATAGCTACATTTTTCGTCGCCATTTCTGAAGGATGGTTCAAACCCTTTTAACCAATTTAATTTGGTTAGTTACCTGAGACATGTGTGATCGTTTTCAATGATTTAACACGTTACAAATTTGATTCCAATTCTAAAGATTTCTGTGCTGTTTCGTTCAAGTGAACTGTTTCTCTCTACGTACGCCATTAAAGTAATTTTAATTCAAGATTGTAATAACTTTTACTTTCAAAACTTCTACAAATGCTTCAACGCTATTTTGTGGAATTCCCTATTCAGCAAGATCATATAGGAGATTTTTGGTTGGGAATAGTTTTTAAGTGAAGCAGTATAATTGTGTAATTTTGGGAAGCTTTTAATTGAATAACTTTATTGGTGAAATTTAGCTATAGCGCAATTATAGTGAAAATAAGAAAATAACGTACAGCTTATACTCAGCTAGAAATTCTTATTATATCTTTGAATCAATAATAGTAACGCAAAGTAGTTATAAATGAATAATTTTAACAGATTCAATAATTTTAATATCGTCATAGCTCTACAGCTGATTTAATAAAGAGTACTATAATGTTGAATAAATACACTTGAATTTTTTACATGGCTCTACTTTTTAATTGACAGCGTATTTTATCCAGTCATGAACGTCAACGCAAACGTAGGAATGTCCGCACATTTTTCAGGGACAAAGCGAAAGGAAGTCGTGTCTTGTACTCCATCTGTCTCAAAAAAAAAAAGAAACAAACAACATTAAACCGCACATACGGTGCAGAACATTGTTCAAACATGGATTACAATAACGAAGCAGAATTTCTCTCGATGCATATTACGAATCATTCGTTTATTAAGTAAACTCGACGTGAATTCTAAAACGGAGTTTTACCGTTTACAAATCCAAACATCGAAACGCTTTCCGAGATCTCACTTGAACCAAAATGTGTAGAAGGCTGCCTAATTTGAGTACTTTCGCTAAAAATTTCTTAACATGGCAATCTTCCGGCTTACTTTCATGGGCCTCAAACAGAATTAGATTCCGTTTGTCCATTATGAATATTATGGGAATGCTAATAAGTGCCACCTGCTGCATAAGATAACTCCTATACTGAAATTTACTATGGAAAAACTTTTCTTTCCCAGCAGGGTTCGATTTTCGTGAGCGCAAACTTGTAAATTAAGAGCAACATCCGAGGTTTCAATAACAGTTAACATACGCGGCTGCCGATGGCGTAGTAGGCAGCTGTGCCCGGAGAAGAGACCGTCAGACGGCGAAAACCAAACAAAAGAGTGTGCTCGCAGGCTGAAAACACGGTGGTAATTAAGATGTCTTATAGGCGGCCGTAAACCATCGATGATTAACTGACCTTTGTTGAAACCACGTCAACATTGGATCAACGAGGTGTACTTTGAAGTTGCATACGACATAATTTGCATTTTTCCCCAGTCTTTTTAGTTTCCATGGTTTCAATTATAGCCCTGACACTTCGCGAGAAAAATTAACAAACAGGAAAAATATTACTCAGAAAAAAGCCTTGAATAGGCCGGGTAGATTTGTCAGCCGGACGTTTTCTAGTCATTAAAGAACATAAATTCCACGTGAGGAAGGTAGGTTTTACTCGTAATGAATGGTTGACAAATTTTCATAAGTAACCGCGATATCTCGGCGGAAGATTTAGTCCGTGTTCTTTGAATACACTAAGAATGATGTTAGCTTAATATGCATTTTTTTTTTCGTATCAACTCTCTCAAAACAAATGGGAAATAGAACTGTAATAAATGTAACTGATAGATTCTTCTAACCAGCTTTTTTCGTTTTGGTTTATAATACCAGGTTCAGCGTCTGAATCATCCAGCTTTGAAGGGGTTTTTTTGACGTTGATATTTTTCTGTCTGAGTAGATGAAAGCGAAATCCCGAGGAAAATTTAACTGAAATAATTCAATTCATGCTTTTCGGACCTGACCATTAGACCATTATCTCTCATCGTGAAAATTTCTATTCCAAAAACAATGGCGTCTGGTTGTCTTTTTGTTAACGAAGCAGCGACATACCGGGATATCAACAACATGTTATGCTTAGCTTTTGGCAACAGTACATAGTAAATTCGTTTGTCTGGCTCTCGTGTCGACCTGGTAAGCGAAATAAATCGTCAGAAAAACATGAAACAGTCATGAAAAGAATTCGAACGCGAAGTCAGGAACGCCGGTCTTGGAATCCTTGCGGGGAGACTGTTCTTTCTTTCTTAGGGAGTTGACAAACTGAAGGAAATTAAGGAAAATAATACACTAGTGTCCGAGCTCGGATACTAGTTTCCGAGCTTGAACTCTATTGTCCGATTTCTCATACAAAAGTCACCTTTTGGACACGTGTCCAATTTTTGTCAAAAACAAGTGTCTGATCTTGGAATCTGGTGTCCGATTTTAGACACTAGAGTGCGATTTTGGACACTAGTGTCTGGTTTTGGACACTTGAGTCCGATTTTAGAAACTAGTATCTGATTTAAGACACTATTGTCTGATTTAGAACACCATTGTATGTGTATATACATATATTTGTCTTTGAAACAAAGGCAAAAGTGAAGTATAGTTTTTGCAGGATGTGTATCCCATATCCACGAACTTGCGTGCAGTGTTTGAGGACCTTAATCCGTTTAACGATGTGGTAGACACTCGAGTAGCCAATGCACCTAAGTACGAAGATTACCTGCCTTGAGCTAAATCGAAACGTCTTCGTCATAAGCACCAGTATGTAATAGGCTAACGTGCTCATAAAATTGAACCTTTCCCTCACTCACTTTTATTTACTTCAGGATGCTTGTCCTAAAACGTTGTTTGGTGCGGCAGCTGTGTCGCCATCCAGAGGTCAGCGTTCTTTGCCTACTGGCCGGATTATTGTATATTTACACAATTTTTTCCTCCTCTGGGAACCCGAATCCTCGTGTCCTTCATCCTCGATTCAATAAGGTAAACAATTTATAGCATACAACTGAGACGAGTTCGTAATTGTTCCACGGGGATATTGCATCAGTAATACGTGCCGAAAGTTTTCTTTTCACAAAAGCTGCTCGCTATCAATTCCGTGAAAGAAGTTGTGTTAAGTGGATAGTACATGGCGTGACCTTCTTGTATCGTTATTTAATATGAGAATGAGCCTTTCGTGTTAATACGTGTTAACGACTGGTTCATTCATGCCAAAGCACTTGGATAATTTGCTCTCGATTTCCAAGCTGATACTCAACATGGGCCTCTCGCTCATCATATATCATGCGATAGATCGAATTTAAAAACTAGTAAGTGTTGAACAATTTCAAATTTTTCAGGAATAGATATAATCTTCGGGGTCCATTTAAGATTAAGCTTCACCGTCACATATGAATGACGTCAACGAGTATATAGTATATGCTAAGAAAATGGAAAGGGGAACGCGTGCGGGATTTGCGCATTTTGTACTCGCTGCAGGAAGCGAGGTAAACACACTCACAGCGAGCCGCCGCCACTTCGCGGCTTGATAATTATCCACCACCAGCCACCAACACTGAGACGAGTGGTTGTTAACTGTCACTGCATATACCAACAGGATCCGGTGATGGACAAGGCAATTACTGGCCTTTCAGAGCTAACACCGAACAACTTTGACGAGCCAAGGCCTGTTTCTCCGATAATGTTGGAGGTTAGAAGTGTTGTAAGGCTGAAGTCGCAATAGCTTATAACGATACATTTTTCCTCAAACCCATGGAATATTTAAATTTTGCAGAAAATGTCTAAGAAATTTTATATAGTTCCCGTTAAGATCGTCACTAACATTAGAGAGCCATTTATTGATATTACAAATTACAAAGATTTTCCAGTCCAAAGGGTTCACACAGCACAATGTGATTTCCTAATAGCGTTATGTGACTAACGAGAAAAACAATAACAAAGATGACATCATACCACCAACAAAAATGACCACAAATCTAATATTGCCCAACAACGGAGAGGCCAGAAGAGTAATGGTTCATATGCAGGTAATTTAGTCTTGAATTGAAACGTTTTCATTCAAACCTCTTTGACACCTGCTAGACGTCAATTTCAATTCATGAAAAAATTTGCGGAAGGTTATTTAGGATAGGCTCTTTGTAGAACAAATTGCAAGGATCAGTTTATCTCCTCCAGTTTCCAATCTGTTGTTTGAGCAAGAATTTCAAAGTATTTCACTTCTTGCCTACTCTGGTTAAACTGATTTTGTACTAGAGTCAAGTGACCCAGAAGAATACAGGTGACGTCATACCGGCCGAGGTGACAATAGCAGAACCTATAAGGAGTCACGTGGCGCAGAGTCCGAACAGTGACGTTAAGCCAGCCGAGGGGACAATTGCAGAGCCTATAAGGAGTCATGTAGTGCAGAGTCAGAACAATGACGTTAAACCAGCCGAGGGGACAATTGCAGAGCCTATAAGGAGTCATGTGGTGCAGAGTCAGAACAATGACGTTAAACCAGCCGAGGGGACAATTGCAGAGCCTATAAGGAGTCACGTGGCGCAGAGTCAGAACAATGACGTTAAACCAGCCGAGGGGACAATTGCAGAGCCTATAAGGAGTCATGTAGTGCAGAGTCAGAACAATGACGTTAAACCAGCCGAGGAGACAACAGCGGAGCCTATAAGGATTCATGCAGTGCAGAGTCAGAACATTGACGTTAAACCATCCGAGGAGACAACAGCAGAGCCTACAAGGAGTCATGCAGTGCAGAGTCAGAACGATGACGTTAAACCAACCGAGGAGATAACAGCGGAGCCTATAAGGAGTCGTGCAGTGCAGAGTCAGAATGATGACGTTAAACCAGCTGAGGTAAAAACTGCAGATTCAGTGAGGAGTCATGCGGCGCAGAGTCAGAACGATGACGTTAAACCAGCCGAGGTGACAACTGCAGAGCCAAAGAGAAGTCATACAGCGCAGAGTCAGAACGATGACGTTAAACCAGCCGAGGAGACAACTGCAGAGACAGTGAGGAGTCATGTGGCGCAGAGTCAAAACATTGACGTTAAACAAGCCGTGGGGAAAAGAACAGAGCCTATAAGGAGTAATGCAACGCAGAGTCAGAACGATGATGTCAAAGTAGCCGAGGAGACTACAGCAGAGCCCATAAGGAGTCATGCGGCGCAGAGTCAGAACGATGACGTTAAACCCTTCGGGGAGACAACAACAGAGCCCATAAGGAGTCATGCAGTGCAGAATCAGAACGATGACGTTAAACCAGCCGAGGAGACAACTACAGAGCCAATGAGGAGTCATGCAGCGCAGAGTCAGGACGATGACGTTAAACCAGCGGAGGAGACAACTGCAGAGACAGTGAGGAGTCATGTGACGCAGAGTCAGAACAATGACGTCATACCAACCGAGTTGACAATGGCAAACCCGTCATTACAAACTAAAGTGGAACCTGAAGAGGAAGACTCGTATACTCAGGTAATTCAGTCTGAAGATAAAAAAAAATTGTCTAACATTTGTTTTATATTCTTTCCTTGAAGTCTCACAAAGGTTCTGCCAAACCCCCTCTTTTCATGGGACAAATTGAAAAGAGCATACTTAGAAGTATCTTCATAGCACTTCCGTGAACTTACTTTCATGTTTTTTCCAGATGACGTTTGTTCCTCAAAGCTCAAATTTTTACTCCACATTTGCCCAAGAAAAGAAAATGTCCGTGCATCATTCGTTTTAGATTGAGGCTTTTGATTTTATTTCTTTAACCCGTCCGCTCTGTCTCCTCCCCCCTCCCCCTCCTCCCTTGTTACTTTCCTTTGACCTGCATTGACCATTCCCATAAGTCCTCCATCTTCTTTTCTAAGCGATGATCCCGGCTAATATCTCACCTGAATTATTTACTCAGGAGAAAAAAATGGAAATGCCAGGTGGGGACATGAAATGTGAAGCAAATGAAAGTTGTCAAGGTTTTCGAGTTGAAAGCCCCGAACAAGCGAAAATCGTTTGCAACAGATATGGTCCCCGTTGCAAAGGCTTCGTTTATTCTTTGAAATCTGGTAAATTCATCCTAAAAGGCGCGTTGACGGATAAAATAGTGTTTTCAACTGAACATGACCTCTATGTAAAGAGCGACTTCGCGCAAAGTAATAAAACTTTGCAACATGGCAGCTGTATTGTACCGTTGGATCAGTTCCAGTCTTTTTCTGACGGATGCCGCTTGCCAGAGCTTGACCCAAATGACGAAAGTATAATACAGCTTATCTCCCGACCAACCCCAATTCAGTGCCCAGGCTTCCAGCTGACACGCTACGAGGGAGGAGTTTTGGAACTTACGGACGAAATCAGTAAAGGTAAGGAGGCGCAGTGAAGCGGAGGTAGTTAGTGCACTGCAATCTAGCTCCAGGTTCGCGCTCAAGATCTCTCCCACCCTCTTGCCCTCTCAGGGCATCAAAGAGAGATAGAGAGACCCTAACTCCAGATCAAGAGATCGATGTTTGAGCCCTTTCCTCACAACTGTCTTGAGTTCTCTGCTGAGTCATTTCACTCGCGATGCCTTTCCTCTCACTTCTAATGAATTATAAATGGTATTACCAAACTTAAAATGAAGAAATTTCAGGAGGAGTTGTAGGGAACGTGCGATGGACTCAGAAAGAGAGGCAATTCTCCTTGTCGAAAACAGGGTCACAGGTTTAGGAAAGAATTGACGGACCCGTTCTTACTAAGTTTTAAGCTTACAACACAATTGAAAGATATCCGAAATAAGCATGCTAAATGTATTGCTTTAGGGCTGACTGATGGAAGTTCTTGCTTTTACAGTCGAAAACATCACAGCAATTACCTATCAACCCATTCTACGCCCTGATCACAAAGACTGGGGATTCGTATCGGGAGATGCGGTTAATCTTCAAACACATGAAACAAAGTTCCAACTGGGCTCGGAATTCGTCCGAGTTCAGCTTAGCACTGCAGATGGCAAAAAACACGTGGAATACCACGCCCAAGTCATCCCCAGATCCTTGACACAGGCTAACAGCAAAGAAGGCCTTCCGCTAAGCGTCGTCGTAATAGGATTTGATTCATTGTCCGCAGCTCACTTCCAAAGGGCTCTACCTGAGGCATACAAGTTTATGTCTGAGGAGCTCAACTCATTGTTTCTCAAAGGTTACTCTATCGTCGGTGATGGAACCACTCCTGCGCTAACAGCGCTCATGACAGGTACGAAGACAAAACGGGTTCAAACAGGCAAGAGATAATTTTAACCGAATTTTTGCTCCGAATAATATTAGCCGATCAATCACGTCCGAAAATTTTCAGTTATGATTACAATCATTCTTATATACCGCTGACTTTAACTCAACGCATCATGTTGCCTCCACTGTAGGTAAATTTGAATCAGAGCTTCCTGAAGCTCGACGGCAGTTCCCGGATACTGCATCTCTAGACCGCTGGCCACATATATTTAAGGACTTCAAAGAAAAGGGTTACGCAACATTGTTCAGTGAGGACTGCCCGGCGTACGGAGCGTTTAACTATCGACTTCATGGCTTCACAGAGCCACCTACCGATCATTTCTCACGTTTCTTTTGGGAAGCAGCTCACCTGACATCGGCGCATTGTATCCACAGTAAAAAACAACACAGGATTCATTTTGATTACATGAAGTCTTTCCTCGAGGCCTACAGAGGGCGGCCCAAGTTTGGTTTGTTTTTCCTCACTGACATTTCACACAATAATTTGAAATCTATTTATCACTGCGCTGATGATTTCTCGGCCTTGTTAAGGGATTTATCTGAAGAGAACTTGTTAAACGACACTTTGCTGGTTGTGATGTCAGATCATGGCTTTCGATACGGCGACACAAGGGCTACATTTCAGGGCAAGCTGGAAGAACGCCTTCCGATTATGTCTTTGACATTTCCACGTTGGTTTCTTCAGCAGTATCCTGAATTGATCCACAACTTGAAAGAAAATACTGACATTGTAACGTCACCTTTCGATTTATATGCCACCTTTAAACACGTCCTTAGCTATCCCCAGGCTCCAGCTAACTTAACAAGGGGAGAGAGCTTGCTCACCACTATTAATCGATCACGTAGCTGCGAAAAGGCTGGAGTCGCCGAACATTACTGTCCATGTATTCAGTGGAAAGAGATCGACACGCGTACAATGCACGTGCAACGTGCAGCTCAGGCGGTCGTTGATCACGTGAACAACTTAACGGCGTCTGATCCTTTAAGTTTAAGCCTATGTTCGCGTCTGGAAATAGACAAAGTTTCATCAGCTTATCAAAAACTTCCAAATATTAAAGTCGCCCAATTCCTTGGTTCCAACGACGTGCACGGAAGAAAGCCAATATTCTCAAGAGATGTCCCAGTTAATGAATGCTTATATCAAGTACAGATACAGACTGTCCCAGGAAACGGGTTATACGAAGCATCAGTAAATGTGCTGGACGGTAAATATCGAGTAACCGGCGACATAAGCAGGATTAACTTGTATGGCGAACAGCCACGGTGCATTCTTGAGAAGAGACCAGATTTACGAAAGTTTTGCCTCTGCAAGGATTACGGCGGATAATAATTTATAATTAAAAGCTTTTCGAAAAATAACTGCGGGAGGAATTATCTGCGAATTTTTTTTTTTTCAATCACGCTATTTGAATATTCCTGATAGGCAACAATTTTGTACAGCACATTTGCCGCCCTTCGAAGCAGACTTGTGCAACAAATGTTTTTCACCAATTTGAAATTTCGAAGATCAACAATGGATAGTTTAGAGCTAATCATATGCAGTTACCCTGCTCGGAAAGTCACAAAGAGTGGGCTGGTCTCAAAAAGCAGAGCAAAAATCTGAAACAACATAAAAAACAAAACATACACAAATGAGTACATTTTCCGAAATATATTAAGATATGTATTAGTGCACATTCCTTTTTAACAACTTTTATTACCTTCCAATGAAGAGATGAACATAATTCAAACTCTGAACAAATCATTTTCTTCGTGTATGCCTACTAACCGATCCAGTAAGAGTATACATATATCTACCTTTTCATATATCTTTTCATTATGATGTTTGTTAGTAAGAAAAAATTAACAACGGAACCCGCTATATGATCCGTTTTTTTACCCTAGCGCCATTAGCGGCGGCCCACAAGTTGCCTAAATTTGCGTTTTCATTCTTCTAAGAGAACGTATGAGAAAGCTTCGAAAACTAAGTACTACCTATGGAAAAGAACTTAAATGGGAGTAGCTAATGTTGCGCTTTATCCGAAGCAAAAATCCAACACGTTTAGCTCGCCTGAATGGCTTTTAGCTGACGCCAGGAATACAGGCACATGGACCGGCATACGCAGGAAAACGTGACGGAACCACCTGTAATTATGTCTTTTCCATACTCAGTAATCAGGGAAATCTTTCAAAGCATTCCCTGACATTTTGTTTGACAGCAGAAACCACACAAACAGCAGCACACATTTTCCCGCGATTTACACTAATCACGTGCACAGACCTACGAGTCCAGATTGATCTTTCCGTTTGCTATAATCGGTTATATACTTCCAAAGGTTTCTGTTTGGCTATTCAGTTAGAAACCACTAGATCGATGATGCTCTCAAATGATAGTTCTAATAGTGCTGATATAACTACTTTATATCAGTGTCACTTCATCTCGGTGATAAATTCCCTAGCTATCATGGTATTTTGATTTTTAAAAGTAATCTACTTAGAACCTCTGAGTATTAAAATTCGTGGCTAAAGAATTCTTCTACCATGGAGTCATAATCTATGGGAAGAGTATAGCCAGCGGTTTTCGCGCCTAGCGCAGCCGCACCAATAGCAGAACTCTCGCGGAGCTTTACCAGTGAGAAGCGTTTCACTTGGACAGCGGTGTTGCTTGGAGAGCAACTGATGCCAGTTAAAAAGCCTACAGAGAGAAGATAAAGGATAGAGATTGCATAAATTTCCGTAGAATTTCCATAAATTTGAAGATCATAAACTCCCGATATGGCTAATCAAAAGGCTACTCAAACTTCACATATCTATTCAATAACCTCTCACTAAAAACTCTTCGAAATTTAATCCACAACAGTGCATTCTTAAGTACGGTTTGCTGGTTCTCAGAATCTGGTGTTGAATCCGAAAAAAATATCCTATTTGAAAATTCTTCTGAATTCTAGTTCAGTTTCTCTTTGACAATGTACCAAAATGTTTGGGAGAGATAAAGTTCTGATGACTCTAAGGAGACAGAGGGTTAAAATGTACTTATGGACTTTTATTCTCACCATCTTTAAGAAGATTCCAGCTTTGCCAGACAGCACCAACACAAATTATTTGAAGCCCCTTGCTACTTCTTAAAAGAGTTTCTTGACATTCCTATGAATGAAATGAAACATTCGCTAATCTTTATGTGAACTCTCAGTATATCATAAACCTCTTTTGGCTCGTTGATGAGGAGCATAGCGACTAAAATCGATGCAACAGTGATATAAAAAGAAACGTCAATCAGCTCAGCGGTGAAATGTTGAGCATGCGCAAGCAGATCAGTGTTTGCCGGCCGTGCGTCAATTTCCCGCTCAAAATTACTTACAAAGAGATAAGAAACAACCTTTATGACGCACAATAAGTAGATAACACCAAAATTTTCGCAGAAATCGGTAAAAGGAAACAAAAGCATGGAAAAGGAAAACAGGATTGTTCGAACGCAAAGCTTATTAAATTAAGGGTATCCTATTGATTTTAAATTTTATTTTGAGATTTTTCAATAAAGTTATCGTTTTTAAAACATCATGAGTCATTGCTTAATGTGGTTGTTTTTTACCCTGAGAGACAACTTGGTTCTGACAGCCTGAAATCATGCTACCTAGCAAGACCTAACCATTACGACTTTCAAACATGTGAAGATGTTTGAACCGGCCGACTGTTACGTCCGTTATGAGATTCAAAAAATGCTTAGAAACGTCCTTCACTTCCATTGCTAACATACTTTTTCAGCACAGTCACCCGGTTGATCACTGACACAAGAAAAGGCTTAAACAAGATCTGATTTTCTATCCTCTCGATTTTAGGCGGTGTACTACCAAATTAACCAGGCAGGTACCAAGAATGTTCAACGAAAAAATAAGTTACCTGATCCATGTGCTGAATAACAGCTTTCACATGTCTACCTAAAAGTTCGCCAGCTAGGAAGAACAGATGCTGACACAGAGGGTCTTTATCTTCTAATGCACCTGTATCACACATCCAAAGAAAAGAACATGTGGGATAAGAGAAATTGTTAGAAAAGTACAAAATGTTTCATTGTGGTCACGATATCTGAGAGACTACCGTAAAAATTGGTTGGAGATCTACAAGCGCGTCAAAAGGGCCGCGTGACTGGTGAAGAATCAATAGATCTCTTCGGCATTACCACTGATAAAGGGCTTACAGAACAGCATGTGTCCTCCGTAAGTTAAAAATTAACAATCAGTTTACTGTAATAAAAAGATTTGGCAAGCTCATATCATCTGAAACCACCCTAGCAAGTCTTCAGTGTTATGGCATTTTATTCACAAACGGAACTCTAATAGACTGCAACTTCATAGCGAAAATATTCCACGAGTAATCAGTTTTTAAAGCCTTAAACTCCATCAAAAACAAGCTAATTATACATGAGCTTAATATACAAACCATCACTCTAACTACCTTGAAAAAGCCTTTATTTTGTTAGTTGTCCAGGCTATTTAAAAGATATGCCAAACCAATTCTCGCTCTTTTTCAGCAATCGTCCAATATTTTCTGACGGTATCACGTAAACGAATACAAAACCGCTAAAGTGAGCCAAGGTTTAATCCCCGTGCCGGAATGAATTGAAAGTTTCCTCGAAATGATTTTCACAAACTCTTCGAAACACATCTTCCCCATGATATAAATATCCTCACCAACTGCTACAGCTTTACACAGCCCAGAATAGTACGCCTTGTCAAACTTTGCATAGAAGTGATCCAACATTCCAAACAAATTGTCTATCTAGTGTAATAGAAATGCAGCAGTACCATTGATCAGTTACAATGAAAATCCATACCTCAGGTTCCAATGAATTTTTCCCTCTCAAAAAAACCTTTATTCTTGATCTATTTCAGAAGCTGAAATCAATCCTAATTGGAACCTTTCCTTCGTGATTCTTAACTCCCCTGGGTATCTGTCTGTACAACTCTCTCTCGGGCGAAAAGGTTTGTTCCCAAAAACTCCAAAATTTGTTGATTTTAAAAACAAGGCTCTTTACAATACTCCAATTCTTTTTAAGGCCCCTTCCTTTTTCCCTGGGCAAATAAGGTCTCAGACAAGGGGCTAACGCTTAAAACGTGAGCTTTAGAAACTCTTTGCAGTGGTCAATTCACATGTACATTACCAACTCAGATGACAAAATCAAATTAGCTTGTTATACCCCCCTCCCCTCCCCTCCCCTCCCCCACCAACACAGCACTGCCTTACCCCCTTCACCCTTTTGACCCCTAGGAGTGACTTGCATCTCATTCCTCTTTACAATATTACTGTGAATTAAACATTAAGGTCATGGTGATGAGAATAATGAAAATTATCACCAACTAAAAAATGTCTTGATTGTTAAACAAATTCTCCTTGTCAGCACCTTAGGAAATGTCTAGAGAGCAGTGTGGAGAACATCATACTGTAGAGGTTTAAACAATGATATGGGTCTGTTAAAGAACCTGTGTATTTTTTCATACCTTGAAATGTTCAAAAACCAGTTTCTTTACGTAAGTGATGTCATGCTGCGGGGGTACCAGCCCATCTTCAGCATTAAACACTGCTTTGATGGCCATGTGTGATATACAAAATGCTACAAAAAAACAAACAAACAAATAAACTCCTTTGTTGAGTGTTAAAGCTTCAAATTGATTGGCACATAACAAGGTAATAGTAATCATGGGTTAGTTGATTCCTTTAAAATTTACCTGATCCCTCATCACCAATCATATGACCCCACCCACCACAGTTGAATGTTTGACCATTTGGCGTCAACATTTGACAGTTAGAGCCAGTCCCCGATATCAACACAATGCCACCTGCAAAAAAATGTTTTCAAAGTCACTCAAATGCATGAAAATATTATTTTACTGAGGAGTAGGGATGGAATCAGTGAATGGGTAACTTAGAACTGTTGAGGAAAATTGACAGAAGGCTGAGGGTTAACCAGGTGGAAGAACAGAACCCTGGTGACTTCATGGTACAGTACTTGTTCAATCAGCCCTTTACACCCTAACATCAGTATCCATATTCTCTATACTGTTCTCTATACATTTCCTAAGGTGCTGACAAGGAGAATTTGCTTTACAATCAAGAGCTTCTTTAGTTTTTGATTATTTACTTTATTCTTGTTACCTAAATATTTGACTCAAGGATGATATTGTTATGAGAAATTGGATGCTAATCACTCAGGGGGAAAACGTTGAGCTCTGCTAGTGTAAACCATTAGGCTCAAGGGCTCACTCAACTTGAAAAGTAACCATCCAACTTGTGTCTTTAAAAATCTATGGAATATTACGTTAACCCTAATCAACAAAGAACTGAATTCATTATGTTTGTCCATCACCAAAGAAAACACTACCTGCTGTTTCCAGTTCTCTGTCTAATCTATCAAATCTGTTCAATTGATGCATTTAAGCATAATAAGAATTTAAAAAAAAGGGTACCTTTATCAGATGCAGTTGCAATAGCACCAACAGTGTCGCAACACATGTGATACTTTTCACTACAGCCTGGGTATTTTGAAAACATTGTAGATATAGCTTTCTTCTGTATTTCGTCTTTTTCCATTCCACTTAAAGATAGTCCCTGAAAAGAAAAAGGATGTTTATTTAGTGAAACCAAGTGTTAAGTGCAATAGTTTCAAGAAATGCCGGTCATTCACAAACCCATGTGAAAAAATATTAAGGAAAGAAAAATTGATTCTACACCAATCATCCAATAATGAAATCTAAATGCAACAAATTTTGGAAAATATCCTGCAAAAAGTGGAATTTAAAGAATGAGAGAAAATATGCTAAAATTTGATAAAGTCAGCTTGATTTGAACAGAGTAGTAGTACTTTAACTCTTCAACTCCCAGACGTGATTCACTTGAAACTTCTCCCTATAATTTTCAAACATTATCCAGCAAACAGGTAATGAGAGTACTAAAACGCATCAGGTAGAAGTTAATATCCTGATCTTACACCAAATTCTTTTATTTTTATTTACAAGGAAATGTGTAGCAGCTAGAGGGGTGAATTCACAATTAGATTTTGAGAGTTGAAGGGTTAAAAGTAAGTTTAAAACTATCCACAACTGGTTGGAAACAATTGTTGGGAAAATCACCAAATGCACCTGCTCATCTAAAACACTTTTTTCAGAAAAAAAAATTGTTGTCCTTCACTCAACCATACTTACTTACCAGAGAAGCTAATGGTTTATTGACATCAATCCCTGCAGATCTTTTTGCTTCAGTTACCATCTCATTTACTCTGTTCAGGCATTCATCCAGACCAATCAACTGTTGGAAATGTTTGATTTTCATGCACAAAATGAAACTAAATTTAAATTCTGTGGCCAAGCAAAAAATTGGGAGTAGAAAAGCAATACTTAGTGGCTCTGCAGCTTGCAACAACAAGTGTATTAGGCTGAATTTAAAATGTCAGTTGGATAAAACAAAATAAGTACTGTAAGTCCATCTCTGAGGACCAATTAATGGATATTTTTCACATCATAAAGGGATTGAACTTAGTTGATGCGATTAAACTTAATTTGACATCTCATTTGTTTCTCTTTTTACTGTTCACTAATTTTCTTTTGAAAAAATCATATCTAAAAGCCCAGCATTAATAACATGTTTTTATCTTGCATTATGGAGGCATTACTTTCAAAGTTGTCTTCATTTTGTCTTTAAGGTAGGTATCTTTTTATGTTGGCAGTTAACTTTTTAATTCCTTAAAGATGTACACTGTATTGCATTAATTTTGTTTATTAGACCATGGCTACTGGACAAGGCAGTAGACAAACCCACAAGCATCTCTTAAAGTGGTCCTGTGTTCCAAATTTTTGCCACCTGATCATTTTTAATCTTGTAAATGTTACATAATTATATGCACAATCATGAGAGGAAAAAATTGGTATTTACAGTTTGATTATGAGATATCCTACAGGTTTTTACACACCAGGGCTTGGGATTGTTTATCTGGTAGCCACAAGCTTAGTTTTTGTGACAGATGCTTAATCCTTCCTTGGCAAAGCATACATTGCTTTTCAATTCAAACCTTTTAATTGTAATTGCTTATAGCCAGTCTAGAAAGTGACTCAAGGTACTAAAATGAAAAAATTTCGGACCATACCCAATGATTTGTGCCTTGTCCTGAGCTGCGGCCAACAATTTGTCCATCACTTGAAAGTATAATGGCTGTTGAGCCTGTTCCACCACTGCAATCAAGGATGTCAAGTGAAAGAATGTACAGAAATATGTCCAAAGTGATTTATGATAAACTGCTAAATTTTCCTTTCAGATTGTCTTTTACAGGGAGAAAATGATTGCATCAAAGTCACTTTGGTCTTATTCCACTTCCTTTTCAAATCTGAATGATTAACAGTCAGTCCATGAGTGCAAGTTAGATATGGGATGATAAATAACCACCAAGATGCATTGTGCAAGTTGACTATCTCAAATAAAAGTAAATGGAATAATTGTTTCATTAAATTTCATTACATTCTGAATGTTTGGATATTTTCTGAAAAAATATACACTTGGCATAATGCATTTCCATAAAGGGTGACTCAGATATATCAGATGATAACAGGAGTTGAGGGAACTAATCAGAACCCTACAGTTGAAAATTAAACAAATAAAACTAAAATTTAACTTTCCAAGCACTGTTCACGTCACAAAAACATCTGTAAACAAATAAAACTAAAATTTAACTTTTTCCATTGAAACTATTTGTTTAACATTTTGAACTACCCTGCCAATACAGGTGATCTGTAGCAAGCACTGAGAAGAAGGACTTTCTTACACTTTCCCCATCCCAAACATGTCTTTGATCAGACTCATGCAATTCCAATTTTTATCAATGTGTCCCCTAAGGTTGGCAGGTTTCTTATCAGTGAAAAGAGTTCAGATTTATTCCTTTGCAGAAGCTTAGATTCTTTAGACATGGTTTAAAGATGCTGACAAGAAAAAAACATAGGATTTTATTTTTTAAGAAGATGCTTTTAAAAAGTTCAACGGGGTGGGGGAGGGGGGGCGGAGGAAGGAGAGAGAGTTGTAAATAAAAATGAATTATCTCCATCCTTCTTTCTTTAGATTATTGTATATATAGATTATTGTACCTTGTCCCCTTCCACAACATGCCTTTTAAAGCTTCGAATAACAATTTACTTTACACATGAGTGATCTTCACACCACTACTTAAGCAGTAGTGGGACGCCAGGAAAAATTCAAGCCTGTACGGGATTTGAACCCACGCCCCTTGCAATACCTTTGCTGTGCTCTATCAAGCTGACAAGCCAACTGGGAGCTGGTCATTTTTTTCTGGTTTGCGCTTCTGAGAGCTAAGCAGTTCTCAAGGAACATAAAAATTTACTGCCTTGGAACAAACGTGGCCTAAGGGAAATGAATCCAATGTATCCAACCATGCTCCGTTTCCTCTCTTCTAGCAGGCGCCGAAGACTCGTGTACTGATGAGTGTTGCAAAAATTCATTCGATGCCAGCAAGACGCAATTCCAGATATCGGAATTATAGTCAAAAGAGGCTACTTACCCTTCTACACCACCGTAGTACGATTCGCTTTGAACAGATGCCATCTTGGAACTAAACTTGAGGATCATGGGTAGATTTCGTTACGTCACGCAATCCCTAATATCCTACAGAAATCACGCTACAACTACTGGACGTCCTAGAGGGACGAATTTCGTATTTATGGAAATGGGAGGCCGAACCAAAAGATTTAAACATCGATGAACAATAGCTGGAATCGTAGCAAGGGAGAGAAAAGAGGTGTGATTTATTTTGTAAGTACAGAAAGAATTAAAATCCACGGCAACATCCCTGCTGTTGTGATTGATTCGGCAGACATAAAAAAAAGTAATGTTAGATGAGAAAAGCTGACTGGAGGCTCCAGTCTTAAATTTGATCAATTAAGAAAGTTAAGTTGAGTAAAGTTGTGATTAGTCCAGAGAATGTGTAAGCGAAATGTTGAAATAGTCTTTTCCCCATGAAAGCGCTAGTTATTATTTGCGGATTAGTGAAGCTGATATTTATGCACACAACATGCTTCGGGGAAGTGCTTCAAATCAAAACAAATCTGGAAATGTCTCCTGCAAATGCATGCTACGTAAAAGCAAGAGATAAACACATAATTTCTAGCTCTTGGCAGTAGATCCTTTTAATTCATTTTGTCTCCTGAAAAAACATATATGGGCAATTCTTGAATTGTCTAGAACAATAATAGACTCAGGCAGAGTGTGGTTAAGTGACGTCACGTGAATCCCCGCTGTGTCACTCGGACTATCATCACAAGTCGAATGACTCATCATTCCTTAGTTTGTCTTAGTTTCCTCGGCAGTCTGCGACTAGGCGTCTTCCCACTACCCATGGAAAATATTTCAGGTTGTTGCGAATTCTTCCTGAGAACTGCGTAAAGTTTCGCGAACAGTTTGCAGTTGCAATTTCATCATAGCTTCCTGGGCGGAGGGAGGCATTTGTAAGAGTGAAGTACTCTGTTTAGGAAGGCAACGCAGCAACCTCGACCGGGGCTCCAATCTAGTTCTTTCGATGCCGGGCCCAGCGCGCAAACACATCAGGGCACCTTTTTTACAACTCTCTTTCGGCAGAAAGATGAATCTTGAAATCCTGCGGCTTACAATTCCGATGATAAATAGCTGAGCTGATCGTACACTTTTTGCCATAAAGTAGATAAAGCTAAAATCAGGGTCTTTCTAAGAGACTGTAGCTTTGTGATGAAAAAAATATCACAACTTTTTGAAAAATGATGAATCAAATTAATCATTGGAGTTTTTTAACCACCTCGACACATTTAAAGACTTGAAATAGCCGATTCCTGTGTTTCTTTATTTTCAATTTTTTTTGTTCTAATCTTGATGTCATTTGAGCACTGTAAACTATTCTAAATTGGAAATGAATGCGTTCTCAAGTTTCACACCTACCGCTTGTTCCAAAAATAATCCTGCAATTTTGTCTCGAAATAGTGCTCTGCGGTCAAGGAATGCTGAAAACATTTAAAAAAAACAAATGCTAATCCGGTGGAAGTTTACAAGACAATGTTGTTTACACATGAATGTTAACAACTCTGACGCATATATAAGTCTGCAAGTGAAGCAAAAAGCATGGGTTTGTCATGCACAGAATGTTGTAGATTGGTTTGGTCGTCATTGCCAAATAAAGTACTAAAATTGAAAATTTCAAGACGTTCGGGATTTCCTTTCGCCCCGACAAACGTCATTGTTTTCATGTGACGTAATCCGAAAGCTAAAGTAAATATATCTTCAAATCAATCATAGTCACCTTCATAACCTTAGAGTTGAATGAAAGCGTCACCCTCACGCAAGGTTAAGAAGGGTGAAACATGGCACTCTTTGCTTTTGTAGCACTTGCTTTGACCTCACTTGCCTTTAGCGAGATCAGTGCAACCTCGAATACTACCCTAAAATCTTCAGACGGCGCCTATAAACTGCAATGGAGATACAACAACAGCCAGTTGATTTTCACTCTCACTTGTGAAACAACCGGTTATTGCGCGGTGGCGTTTAGTGAAACAGCCGATGGCAAAAACATGGTTAGATATGATATAGCCGTGACAGGATATGCCTCTGGCGCTGGATACGTAGATGTGAGTAAATCTGCAATATTTTTCCTTATCAGTTCGTCTTTTTATTATTTTTGTTTAACACATGAACGTTTGCGTATATTTTGTTAAAATGCTTTGGCAGGCATTGAGATCACGCACGAATAGTAAAATAATCCTTACAGCCCGTATTGAAATCAATAACAAATGAAAACCATATATAAAAAAAAACCGACATTAAGTCTTTCTTAGACTTCAGTCGTGTTCTGAGCGAGTTCATTAAAGGTTCTCAATCTTTGTCAGTTAATTGATATTTCCCCAGGGGGTTGTGTTTAAAGGTGCTCTCAGGTCTCCACCTGGTCTTTATTTGGCTTAGTGCATTTTCCGGAAAGTCTTCCTTTAAGTTGAGTTCAATACAATAAAAAGAAAAGTGAAAAAAATTATTAAACTCTGAAAAATTTACTGTTAAGTTCGGCGAGCTGGTTTGTCACTCCTTAAGTCGCACAAAAAAGGTTTCTTTATTAAATTATAAGAAGCGAATATATTATACTCCATTCCTTTGTTATTCTAATGTTTCCTAGGAGCTCATCTTTTACATTTTCTTAACAATGCATAACTCGCGTATTAAGATTTTTCCATAGGATTATCTAGAAGGACTCTCCATCTGACTGCGTTGTATTAAAAATTCAAAAATATCCTGACCCTTCTGGTTTGCCCTTACTGTCTCGAAGCGGACATGGCTCTTTCCAAAAGGCCTCTAAAAACTTTGAAAGCCTTTTTTGACTTAAAAATATGTGCCTACTTATTCTGGCTATAATCTCAACCCTACGCGATATTGAGGGACTTGTACAAAAGAGTTCATAAAACTGCCGACGCGACATCCTTAAAGACCGATCAGTATTTATTAACGCGGGGTGATAATGGTTTTTGTTTCTTTATTGCAAGATTAGATGTTACTTTCCAGTGGACAAATAAAGGGGGAAAGGAAATTAGTGCGAGTTTTTGTTGCTAAGTTATCAACCAAAATACAAACAAAAAGACAGAAAGAAGGAGCGAGAAAACAAAATATGTTGTTTGCGTTATTTGACCACGACCCAGTAAGAAATGTTTTTCTGCGAAATAATTCGTTCCTGTCTTTCAGAGACAATTTTGATAGACCCATAGATTCCATTCCAATCAAGTATCAGACTAGGAGAAAACAAATAATCATTTGAAAAATATTTGTCTTCAAGACGCCCGCGCTCCCGTTGATCACAATAAGAGGCAGATTGCTTGCATGTCTGTACATGTCACATATATTTAAAAAACAGACTAGCTGTATGTCAAGTTCTATGTCGCTTTAAAATTGAGCTTTGCCTCGCGAAATCCGAAGGAATTTTGTACGAATTCTCTTGGTGAACTAATATCTTATTATCTTCCTCTGATTCGCTCTCGTGACGAAGTGATAACATTTTTTTCCAAATGTGAGGATGGAATGTTTCTAGTCTGGTTATTTCACTGTAAGTGTCAGTTATTGTGACCACATCGCGTGGTTGTTCGTATGAAATTTACCGTGGGCAATCTTGCTAATTGACGGTCGACTTAAAATATTTCTAGTCGTAAAATTAGGTTTGTTTGGTAAACTAGTTCCCCATTACTCACTGGCTGATAATTTTGTAGGAAACGATCTGACTCGCTACCCTTTCAACCAATCTAATGCGAAACCAAAACCAATCACGACTCAAGCACTCATTTTTTCCTGGGCTTTTAGCTGACTAGATATGATTTATTTGAGTTATCATTACCCTTCTTGTATCTTTTTCTTTCTTCTGATTGGCTGTCGTGAGTACGTTAAGTTTGGTTTTACAATACTCAATCGACAAGATCTCTAATAAATAGAGATTTAGGGTGAAGTTTTCAGTGGAAGCATTTTTTTAATTCGAAGCATCATGACAAATCTGAGGTGGTTGGACTTTGTTTTGACAGGATTACTGGAGCCAAGGGCCGGGACCTCCAACGAAAGATGTAGCACAAAATTACAAACTCATATCAGCTTCTGAGGCTGGTGGGAAGACTACCGTGGAGTTTTACAGGGATGCTGAGACGGGAGATGTCAAAGATGTCCAATTTAAGGTATTTATGACGATATTTAGTTGCGCGAAGATGACAAAAGTGCTCTAAATTCGCCTTTTCTAGTTTGTACTTAGGTCGATTTGATATTCTTTTGTGCCAGAAAGCCGAGTTATTTGTAGCTCGAAAAGGATTCGTAAGGTTGAATTACCACATGATTAAGATGAGCACTTTAAGTTTTAGACTGAGTGAAGCCATACCAGTAGATCAGGCGTAACAGTTCTTGTCGGGTCTGCTGAAATTTCCAGGCGTTGATACGACAGGATTTGCTTTCCGAATGTACAGATATTTGTCGTTTGAAAGAGATATCATGCCTAAAAAGCTTTTATAGGGAGGGGGGTAGGGAGGGCGGAAGTCTTTCAGGGGGGATGGGGGCGGCGTATCTCAGATTCCTCCCTCCCTGTCCAAAGAATACTCCGCAGAAAATATGGAAGAAAGATGTTCTTAGGGAACATGTCTGACCTGACAGACCACCATTGAACGCTTCCCCCCCTGCCCTCGACAAATTAAACCTCGCCTAAGATATCTCAATCAAACATCTTTTTGCCAAATCTTTTGATAAAATACTTTTGTTTTTCCTTTGTGCAGAATACTACTGAAGTTAAAGTAATATTTGCCTCGAAGGCCAACAGTGATGCAAACAATAATCGCTTGTCAAAACACGATAAGACCAAAATATTGGATGGGAAGTATAACTTGATTTCTTTAGCGATGGAACCTCCGCCGTTGCCATCAACAACAACCATACAACCATCGGCAACAACGATGCCGACAAAAGAATCGGTGGCTCCCACGACTCCAATGGCTCCTCCAAAATATGCAAGTGTCATGTCTCCTGACGGCTCATTCAAACTCGAATGGACCTACAGTAACAGCAAGCTGATGTTCAAGATGACTTGTAAGACAACCGGTTGGTGTGCTGTAGGATTTACCACAACACCTGATGGAAGAGGCATGAAAAACTACGATATAGCGGTGGCTGGGTTTGCCTCCAATGCCGGATATATCGGGGTTGGTATTAAGGAAGCCTGGATGAATGAACGAATTGATTGACGGACTGAGTGACAAGCTGATTGGTTGGTTAATTTACTGACTGGCGTGGCCAACTGACCAACCTACCGATACACCAACCGACTGATTGACTGGCTGGCTGGCTGACTGGCTGACTGACTGACTCCATGACTGACTGACTTATTGACTGACGGGCGGACTGACTGACAGAGTGACTTACTGACTGACCGAATGGCTGACTAATTGACTCACAGAAAATTGACCGAGAGATTGACTCCATGAATGACTCATTGAGCTAATGACTCGCTGACGTATTGCTAATGAAAGAGCGACAAAATAGGGAATAACAACATGCAATGAACTTTCATTTTAAAGAAAAAACTAAGTAGGGCACGCTAACTTTTAACAAAATCTACAAATATGCACTTTGAAAACAATAGCTTTGGTCATAATTTGCCAACAGGATTACTGGAGCACGTCCTTATCAAAACCACCCAAAGACCCGAAACAAAGCTTCTTCCTCACAAAGGCGAGTGAAAAGGACGGGAGAACCATGGTGGAGTTCTACAGGGATGCTGCGACAGGAGACACCGCTAATGATGTGCAGTTTCAGGTAAGATTCTTTGCCAGACAATGCAAGCTCTAAAATTCGTCCTTTAGTTCCCTCGTTCCCTCGTTCCCTCGTTCCCTCGTTCCCTCGTTCCCTCGTTCCCTCGTTCCCTCGTTCCCTCGTTCCCTCGTTCCCTCGTTCCCTCGTTCCCTCGTTCCTTCGTCTGTTCGTTTGCATTAATCACCTACATGTTTTTTCTGTCAATCATTATCAGAGCGATACCGAAGTAACAATTGTGTGGGCTTCCCGCGGAACGGATGCAAACGTTGACCTGTCAAAACACACAGTTGCTGGAGTATTAAGTGGCAAATATAACATGATAAAGGAAGCGATGGCAGCAAAGACTGGAACTTCACCCACAAAACCGAACGCCAGTCATGAAATTTTCCCGTCTATTACTATTTTCCTGGTAGGCATGAGTGCCTATTTTCTTGCATTTTAACCTCCACGATAATCTTTAAACGTAAAACATAAACATAAAATTATTTCATAATAATCTTGAAACCAAGGAGTAACTTTTTATCAAGTTTCGATAGTAAACCTGCACTGCATTAGTTCTACCATAGTGCTTCCCCCGTGCAATCGGTCTGTAAAACTCACAAAAACTTCTAAAACATCGCGATGTAGTCACTGCCTTTTGTTTCACTTGCAGGTTTCAAAATTTGCCTAACATGCTTTTTTTATAGCTGTAATTTTTTTTGTTCACGTTGTGATTACTTTGGTTTTTGTTGTGTGACTCTATGTACCTCGTTCGCGTCAGCTGAGTAGGAAAAGTTTGAAATTACTACGCTTATTTCTTTTTTTTGCCGAAGAAAAACGGGAACAGTTTTATAGCATAAAAAATAAGCCTAAATACTCGAAAATAATGAGTTTTAGAACAACGTAATCACATGCTAGACAAAAAATAGTTAATTGTCAGAGGAGATAGGGAAATGCACTTCTAAATGTGACTAATTCAAAACCGCGTTACCCGGAAGTAAAACCTTTGCCTCAGGAGTTGAAAGTTACTGAAATTAACGAAAAATAGCCGAACAGAGAGAGTAATGGCTGGGTACATCATTGTTTTGTTTACCTTACCAAGTACTGCCCTCTTGGTGAGGAACGATCGCATTGAAGGGATTGATGTGATTTACTCCAACATAAGTGTTACTTTATCCCTCGCTTAAAGCGTTTGGTACTTCAATATATCCGCTTCTGCTTTTGTATTAAAGCTTTTTTTGTCTCTTACTTGGTTTGGTTTTTACCAGTCTTTTTATCTTGTCTATATTTAGTATATACTTAAATAATAGATAGCATTGAAGGCGCGCTCCGATCGGCTACCCAAATTCCGAATATCCTTTACTCTTCACTTCCGAGTAACGCACGCGGAATTTGCGTCGGAAAAGTTTGTAATCATTGCAGGAATACAAGAGTTAGAATCATCTCTTTGCGTTATGTTACATCACTGTTTTCGCGGCTTGGTGAATAGTATTTAAATATAAAGCAATATCTGATGGTCAAAGATACTTTCTTCTCATAAGCAAGGACATTATATTATGGTGATTTACAATTTTAGAGGGATCGTGTCATATTTCTTGGGCTGCTTTAGGGCTCTCTAAAATTTCGCCTGTATTTACTTTTCACATCACGTCACGCCTAAAAGACATCCCATCCGAACATTTTTGAACTTACGCCCATAAATTCAAGTCCAAAATCAATTTGTAGTACGACTTCGAATTCCAAAAAGGTTTGTCTATTCGCGCCAGTCTTACTTGCTCTTTCATACTGAGCGTGGAGGGACCTAGCGGACGTACTCAACATCAGTAGAAAGGATTTAGGAAGGGTGAAAACTGAGACACATCACAAGTAACTATCACAGCAAGGTAAAACTCATATGAAACCACATAAATACTGTCATTACTACCATAACACTGTTACAGGGACAAGCAAGAAGGAAGGCGAACGCACATTGGTGTTCATTTCATACGCAGTAGGGAGAGACCGCTGAGATAATTGAAAAAAGATAGAAAGCTGTTATCAACTTTAAAAAAGGCTTTGTGCCACTTTGCTATATCTAGTATTTTATTTACCATTAAAACATAAGCATTATTCTTGAGAACGTTGTACAAATCATTATTTTTAATGTTTACAAAATTTATAATAAGGAAATAGTGAAATAAAAGCTTACATAATGAGGTTGCTATTTTCAAAGCGTACCAGATTGTTGATCAACATAAGGATGATCAGCCTCAGGAAAAAAATCAGATACGTTAAGTTCTCTTTGTTTCTAACTTAAAATTTACTCAAGAAATTGGGACCCAAAATTTAGAATTGAGTCAAAAGTATTTGCGATTCAAAGAAAATGTTGTCCCTTCCTACTTGCAGACAGCTTCTGATTTTTAACTCTAAATCTGTTTCACTCATTCAGAAGTGATCTTTCTCTTCTACATAGTATAATGATGTATCTGGTTTCAGCGCATAGAGATAGTAAAAACTCGCAAAATATTTTCAGAGTTTTCTAAGTGTTACATATTACGCTGGCATCCTCATCATGACCACAATTTTCGATTCCCCAGCCTCCATGTGCACAGTTCAATATAGAAGCTTCTCCTCCATGACAGTTTACGTCATCCATCCAGGTGGGGTCAGATCCCTGACCGTATCGCGCGCTATGAGGAGCTGATGATGCACTGGGAAACCCAAGCTCACGGCACACCACATTAGCATCATTCATATCCCAGCTATCATCACACACTGTGCCCCACTGCCCATTGTGATAAACCTCCACGCGGCCATAATTAGCGCCACCATTTACCAAACGGACTGGCGTGTAACACTCCACGCTGGCGTCTCTACTGTGTGTACAATCATGGTCTCCCCATCCACGATGTCTACAGTCATATACATGAGACTCACTGCCTGAGCATGCCAGGTCGTCCATCCAAATTGGACCAGTACCTTGGCCGTGGGTGGCGCCACTGTAGGCTCGATTCGCTCGTGTGTAGCCAAGCTGCCTACACACTACGTTAGCATCGCTGATATCCCACGCATCGTCACAGATTGTCCCCCACTGCCCGTCATAGTAGACTTCAACCCTTCCAACGGCAGTGTTTCCACTGATACGTAAGGATCCAGCGGTAAGAACTAATAACAGAAGTGAAAGAAAAAGTACAAAGTGCATAAATTACTTAAGGTAACTGACATTGTTCTTCTATAACATTAAGTAACCGTTTACCGGATGACTTTAGATGAGAGTAAATTCAGCTCTACAGCCTAGAGCCACCTTACTTATAAAAATCAGCGGGTGGCTCTGAATTGTTAATGGTTTGACTAACTTTTTTTCTTAACTTTTTTTTCCCTAACAAAACTATTAGCACTCACGGAACTTGTCTATCGAGTAACACGCACATAAGACTTAACACTAACGGTGTTTCTAAGAGGAAATCGTGTTGCTATGGTAGCGTCATACGTCAAAGCCTCGTCTCAAAGTGGTGAAACATACCTGAACATTTAATTGAAAAATAACTGTCCTACGATCAATCAAAGAACTAATGTTTGAAAAGCTTGTTCCAGGCGTTCAGTTGATAAAACTACGATGGTAAATGGCGCGATGGTAGCGGAGGAGTGAAAAAACGACGGAGGCTTGGGACGGGTTACTAGACCCGACCCAAACTCCCCTCATTTTTTTCACGCCGTTTACTGTTGCTCTTAATTTTACCAACTGAACGCCTGGGACGGGCTAGTTTTTTAATTATAATCTTGAACCCCCTTGTGTTAAGGTTTACCTCGATATGCTGCTACAAAACCGTCGTACGTATTTGCGCCATCAGACGAAAACTTTACGTAGAGATTAACAGAAGAACTCGTGATGGGTGGCGGGAGAGAAGATCCACTCATTTTTCTAATCAGAGGCGACGACAGCGACCCACCATCGTACACAGACACGAAATCTGCAGACGATTCAGTACGAAAACTGAAGAAGACAAGTTCTATTACTGCATTGGAAGAAAAATTCCATCGACAATCCATATTATTGCTATATTGCGAGCCAGCTCGAGTTATTCTGATGTATCCAGATGTACTTGTTGAGGTTGATAACACGCAAGAGCTTGTTGCTGTCAGGCGTGGAGCTGTCGGAAAATAGGAAATATAAGTAAGATAGGGCTTAAAGAGGTGGAAAAGAAGTCTTATCATGGACCAAGTACGGCCTCGCAAGCGCCATTACTGAAAAGCATGATGGTAAAAATTCCAGCGTGCGTGACATATGAGGTCCGCAAGTGATCGCTCGAGCTGGGCCGGAAAAAGCCGCGCAGTCCAACGTGAGGTAATACAGAGTAACAAACGCAAAAGCAACAGCCAAAGGAAGTAAATTGACTCGGTCAGTTGAGGCCGGATGGGAAAATATTTGGCTCGAGACATGACATACGGGCTGAGCACAGCATTTAGCCTTCCCGCTCGGGGGCACGGCATAAGAATGGAACGAGACGAAGTTTGAGATAGAGTATCTCCGTGTCTAGAAATAATAAATTACCACAAATCCAAACCATTAAACCTTGAAAGTTCAACTGAAAACAAGCAAAAGAGAAATTCAAGGTAAAACGTTAATGGCCGAGTGATTTATCACCTTAGTTTGCTGCTATATACTTCGAGAAATTTTAGCATATTCTTCGGTCAAGGTGATTAAGATGTGACTGTCACAAATAAGTTATAATCTTCGGGGTTAAACGAACTTAGGTCTTTGAGAAATGGTTTTAATTTCACACCCAGTAGCCCACAACGAGCGAAAATTACCTGTTAGTCCTTAGAACAGATTAGATATAAACCTTGTGAAGCTCATTGAGAGAAATAAGCTTGAGGCTTCACGCCCTGAAGTGAGAAAGGACGAGCCAACCAACTACCACTACTGCCGATTATTTTACCTTCACATTTCGCCTTTCCATCCCCTGCGTATCCTGGCAAACAGGTGCAGTTGTACGAACCAGGAACATTCACACATTGGCTTTGAGCATGACATGAAGATGAACCAGAGCTACACTCGTCAACGTCTGTTCAACAAAAGATTTGAATTTCATGTCATGACACTACGCGCTGCCTATTTACAATACAAGCAAAACATTTGGTTTAATTCTTAAATCAAAAGGAAGAAAATATGGCCAAATGTTTCCTTGTAAACATAAAAGGCTGAAATGATAAATAAAAGAGCTAGATTAGGATAGTTACACTTGTTACTTCATTTACTTACCAAACTACAAGGTCTATAGATCACTTTAATTTCACTAAAATTGAATACTTGACGGAGAAAAACAACCAGTCTCTTTATTCTAGCTAATACACGGCAAAACCTGGCTGAGTTCATAACGAAAATATTAGATATAAAACACTGTTTTAGACGTTGGCTATCTATTAGTTAAATCACTTATAAACCTGTGCAACTTCTTCCGTTAAGGCGAAATCCAGCTGGACATTGGCAAGAGTACGAACCAAGACTATTCACACAAGTGGCGTTGACCGGGCATTCATGAGCAAATTCCTTGCATTCATTGTAGTCTACGAAGAAAAATGTAAGCAGAATCTTTGTGTTTTTAGTATCACTTCTCAGCTGATATTTAGCATCATTTAACAAAGCTGTGTATTTAGGTTGCTAACGAAAGAACGTAAAGGAGAGAACTGTTACTGTTCGGGGAAGGGCTGTAATTCTCAGTCAAAATGTCAGAAAGATTTTTAAGAATTCCATCAGAGTACTATAATCAAACTATGTTTAGCAACTATAGGATGTTTTGAAAAAATAATATTCCTTATTACAATCCATAAAATATATTTGTTAGCGCGTAACAAACACATTAATCCCCATTGGGCTTAAAAACATATTTGATTTTTTATACTCAGATGTAAATTTGAAATAAAACCAAAAAAGGATAAGTAATGTAGGTACGAATCGGGTGCGCCTCGAAGTTAAGTTTTCCATGCAAAAAGACTATTCAATTTTGTTTTGGTAAAGTCAGTCAAAATTAGTGTATGAAGAAAAAAAAAACAAATAGGGGTTTAGCAAAGATTTGACATCACCTGAAAGTTATTATAAATAGCACTCTTTTTTCATGGCCAGAATATTGGAATTACATTCTGAGCTTCTAGATTTCAATTTTTTTTCCTTGGAGAGCATGCCCCCGGACTATCCTAGGGGGAAAAAGATCGTAAGGCCCCTTCTCCGGGAACAGCCGCCTATTACACCATCGGAAGCCGCGTATGGGAAAAGGTATTGAAACCCGTGCGTTATAAAATCCAGGAAAGTATATGTGTTCCACTTTTTCTCACAGAACTTTGCTCCGAGTAAAAACAATTTTACCATCATCCGGAAGACCTACCTTTCTTGCAAGTGAATTTATGACAGTCTGTGCAATTGACATCGTTCCATTTATACTTATGATTTGCAAGGAAACCAAGAGTATGGACGCAGTCCTCATCATGAAAATTGTTTGGTTGATGGCTCGCCCAGTAATGGAAATTAAACTGTGATCCATCACTCCACACGAATGTACCTTCAGTGTTCCTGTCAGAAAGGCCGAGCCAAGAGTGGTCGCCACCATGGAGACTCTGTATGTATACATTTTCTTCCTGACTGTGTATGCTGGGAAGATTAGCCCCAAGAGTGGCGCATGCTGCCTGGCTGCCACCCCAGGAATCACAGGAAGAAATTCGTCTGTAGCAGTATCCCTTATAATAGGCCCATCCTTCCTGACATATGTCTTTTGAGGAAAGGTTAAACGCATTTATTTCAATCACATTTTCTATAAGAAAACATTATGATGCACATGCTTTTTGTTCCAGTATGATTTGTATTGTTTACTCAAGTAAAATTGTTTCTGTTTCTTTTTTTTCTGTTTGTTTGTTTGTTTGTTCAGGTACTAATTTGTTTGTTTTCCTTGGCTTGCTTGTTTCCTTGTTCGTTCAAAATTCAAACCTAACGTTGATCGTAAACTTATGGTGCAAACCTCTAACTCACGCTCCAAAACACAGTTATTTAGGATACTACTTAGAAAACACCAATTCACAAAAGTTTACATAATTTCCATTTCTACCTTGTTCTTCATCGCCAGGCGGTATTTATAAAATCTTACAAAGCAATGAGAAGGGAAGAGGGGAGGTAAAGAAAACAAGTGTCGCAAGAAATGCGTCCGGAAACGGACCGCACCCTCTGATTAAAATAACAAGATTTTACCTGCTAATACTGCATATGATACAGTGAGTGGATCAAAGCGGTTGACAAAGACTTCCTTGACACATATTCTAAAGCCAGAGGTGGAGATGTACTGGTGAAAACAAAAATTAAAGGATATAAATACATCTTAAAGAATTACAAGGCTTACAAGAGAAACGACAGAACTGCTTGAAAATTCGGTATTTTATCATTTGATAGGTATCCGCACATGGAGCTCTCCTTGCCTTTTACTGCGATATCCTGGATTAATTAAGCAATACGTATAGCTAAGTCAGTTGCGGCATTAAAATGGCATGAAATGATATGATATTCTCGTCCGATCGTTCCTCTGTATGATTAAAAAGTAACAGTTTCTGTGTGCTCTGTTCAGTTGTATCTATTCATTCTTACACAGTTTCAAATTACCTCTATCCAGCTCACTATACCATTGCATTCTGCAGCAGCATTTCCTCCAGAAGTAGAATGTTTAGCTGTCAAAAGCACGGTTGGGGATTTGCTGTAACTACCAATGAAGCTCACATCCTATGGTCGAGAAAATCAAAGGTGAGCAAGTGTGTTTAGATTCAGACGTCAGTAACTCGTAAAACCTTATGGTCAATATTAACTTAAGAAAAATCAATTTGTTCACTGTATCGTCTTTTCATTAGCTAACAGAGAAAAATTGGAGGATGGAAACAGGGTTCTCAGTTACATCAACCATTTCTACCCATAGCGAATGAAGACAAGCGAATCAGTGATTGTTAAGAGTAACCCCATTTTTCTTTCCAGTGTTCCCTCCGTTTTCCGCTCTCTCGCTTTTTCACTTGTCTCCGCTAAGCGAAAGCCTAGCACAGGTTAGACTTCGCCTTGTTATGTACCCCATTGAAACTTCAAATTACCTTACAGAAGGCAAAGTTATGATTCTTAACAGGCGAAGCGTTGTTTTGAAAGCTGACATCATTGTGTTCCCTAAAGAGCGGTCTCTGAAGAGAATCAAACGCCAGCCAGTTCTGTAGGAAGGTACAAAAAAGAGAGAAAAATCATCAGTTTTTTTCACGGTAAATTGAGTTCCATTCGAGCATTGAAATGAGTCAAAAGGGCCGGTCGGGGAAAAGGAAAAAATGAGAACTTAGCGTGGAAAGAATCAAACTGCCTGATATGTGAGTTTTATTGTTGAAATGCAAATGCCAAATTCTTCGCAGGATTCTTCTTTCCTGCCGTGTTCATTCTGCTGAGGAAAAGTTTTTATTCCCACCGAAAAATACTTTCGTAACAGAGACTCAATCTGTCAGCTTGAAGACGCTTTCTTTTTCTTTCTTGAATGGCAAATAAATTCTGAGCATCTCCAAAAAACTCAAACAATTGGCTTATTCAACTGTTTGGACTAAACTATATTAAACCTTACCTTATAAACCGAGTTATTCGTATGTTTGATGTTACACAAATCGCTTCATAAAAACTACCACTCCACGATAATTCTACTCATACCTTAATAGGGCTGGTTTGCCCAGCCGAAATATAGTGCTGAAAAGTAAAAAAAATACAAAGCAAAAAAAAACAAAACAAATAAAAAAATAAAAATGTATATCCTGTAGTTTCCTGCTCCTATATTTCAATGCTTACCACAGAGATGTCATCATGAACCCCTGCAAAGTTTTGAAACTCTCGTAGACAAATCTTAAACGAACTCGCTGAGACATCTTCCAGCCACACGCTGGTAGCATCATGTTTTAAGCCTGACCTGTAGTGTTCAGCAGTTACAATTACTGTTGGCGAGGCGGGGAACTTTCCCTGAAAAAAATAATTCGACGGGGATGTAAGGTGTATATTCAAGCAGAATGAATTCTCCAGATTAGATGATAAACGTGATCTTGCGTTGATTTATGCCAATTGGAGGCCGACCTGTGAGACACTGGAGCCTCCCCCCCCCCTCTCCACCTCTTTGGAGCGCGTTTGGGAGTACACCCCGAACCTGTCAGACTCTGAACATGTGAACGTGTGTTAAGGAAAATAAATCCATATTTTCGCTATTGTGATGAAAACAATCAAACCAGAGCATATCGACCATTTAGGAGGCAATGTCCTGACAGAATGTTTAGAATTACGATGAAATAAAGCAATTCTTCTAAACACAAGAGTACACCAGAACCATCAAGCTTGGGTTCCAATCCAAAAAGGACTCCTATAATACGCGGTACACCTATTCAGGTCAAATTAAGGAGTATCCCCCTCTTTACAATCCATTATTACAACAGTTAACATACGCTTGGAAGGGTAATTGTTTGACAACTAGTTCCAGTCCACCATCTGGAGAACTTTTCTTCGCCAGCCACACCCCCAGAGGGAGCACCCTGATATGCGACCCAATCAACGTCGGCAAAGCTATCAGAGGGGTAATCATTTCTACCAGCTCGAGTGACACAGGCTGTGAACTGCGTGGTGTTAACACTCTCAACCCAGGGTGCAGTGGCCTCGTGCACGATGGCGGGATCAGAATAATTAAAGTGATTAACAGTAAGTTGAACGTAGATTTTCTTGTGAGGATAAAATATGAAAGGATCGAAGGTTATGGATTCACACTGATCTTCTGCCCAGGAAGGGACGTTCCGAAACTTATGTCTTCCTTTCTGAAGTGGAAAACCTGAAAATGAGCAGAAACAATTTAATCCATGCCAATGGATTAAATGTAAATGGTACTGTGAGAGGACGAAGTTATTGTTACAAATGTAGTATTGTTACAAATGTAGAAGTTCTCTTGCACTCTTTGGTCGATAAGTATTTTCATTATGAGTTAATACAATGAAATAAATGCTACATGCTCAGTGGTTGCTCGATTCTCATCATCAATCAGAGTACTAACAAAGTTCCTGTGAAGCAACCAGGAGACCAAGAGGAAGCTTCCATCAGGTTACCGCCCAAAAAAGGACTGAATTTATCAAAAATCAGTTTCATAAAATTATGTTCTATATCTACGTGTGTCTGTTTAGTGATGCTCTCGCTTGAGTTACCTTTCCTGTTAAATTCAGGTCAAAATCTGTCTTCCCCTACCTTCAACCTCACGGTTAACTAATTAGAATCATACTTCTGATACCTGTGCAACTTCCCGGATGAATATAAGAGTAGTTTCCTCTTGTTGTACAAATTTCTTTCTCCAGTAAGCAGAGATTTCTGAAAGTACGGCCGTTGGAGGCACAGACTTGTTCTTCAAATGATGGGCAGCTACTTTCACAGCGACATGTGACCTGCTGGGGACCCAAGGCAACGCAATGACTGTGATATTCACAGCTTACATTCCTACAGGGCTCGAGGTCTGCAGAGAGCAAGCATTTAACACTGTTATTAAAGAAAGCTATATTGGAAAACGAACAAGAAGAAGAAAACACAGAAAAACACAGAAATGGTTGATTTTATACGTTAATTACCTCCTATGACTAAATAGTTCACATTTATATTTTCCCTCTGACCACCATAGCCTGCGTCATCCTTAATACAAACTCGAAAGTAAGACTTGGTTACTTCCTATCAAACAAAAAGGTCGCACAAGGTAAGATCTTCTCATAAAATTCCTTCATTCAGTCAATAATCGTATTAAGTGGTTAACACTCTCCTTTACTCCAAGACCGAACTCAAAATTAACCAACCTAGTTTAAAAATACATCTTGCATTATAGATTGTATGAAAGTGATAAGTGAGCGACATATACTTGCCACCATATCTTATTTAACTAGACTGACAGGTTGATGGATGCATATGGATACATGGATGCATGTATGCATTCATGTATGCTTTCATGCATGTATGCAATACATACATGTAGACATGCATACATGCATACATTCATGCATGTATACAAGCATACATCCATACCTTCATACATACATGGGTGTATATGCATGAGTGTATGTATGCATGTAAGCACGCACGCATGGATGTATGCATGCATAAATGTAGAAGGGAATGAAATGATGGATGGGCAGACGAATAAATGGATGGCTGGAGGAGTCATTCAATTTCATTTGTCAGTGATGAAAATAAAACTTATCAAGGGTTAAATGCAGCCTTCTTCTCTCTGTAAAGTTAACATCAAATTTTTTTGCATAACCTCTACAACCATAGCAATTAAGAAAGTGTACTATCAGTTGATATACCTCCAGCCAACTGACTAAGGGACCTTTTGATTGACTTCCTACGTTAACACGGTTGTTGCGTCCATTGAGTACAGTTGTGAGAACAACTGGTGGCTTGTAAAATGGGTTTGTGAAGTTGATGTTCTGCAATAAATTTGAAAAAAAAATCAATTTAGTGGAAGAAATGCAGATCTGATGATGAAAACGTACCTGGCATACTAAAGATAATGGCGCTATATTACTGGGAAGACATGAATGCACGCAGTGCCATCTCTTATCTGCACATACCTCGCACAAGGCATGACTGTTTCTTGCATTTGGTGTCTCATATTCAGAAAACACAACTTCCGAAGACTCTTCTGCTCCCCACGAAGATGGATGATTCACATATGCCATCCAGTTCTAGGATTCAGTTGAAATAAAGACGTTGACAAAATAATTTTACAATCTGTTTTCTTCCTTGCTCAAAATTCACAAATGACTCACTTCTTGATGACCAAACCAGCTCGTCTCTCATAATTTTATCCGTATGAATGTTTATTAGTTTTTAAAACTGGTTAATAATAAATGAAATAGTAGTTAGTTAGCCGAAGTTAACTCCGCTTAACCCGGATATTTCAGGCGTTAAGAATGTCATGAAATGGTCTGAAATTGGACAGGCGCAACAAATGCTCTTCCAAGTATAATAAAAACAGAGTAGTGAAACATAGCCAATGTTGATGGTCTGGCTGTGGCATTTGATTTTAATTTCCTTGGGTATAGGTAAACTAACCACACCAAATGTTCGAAGCTCAAAAAGTATTATTTGAAAGGGTGAAATATTTTCTAAAACTTTTATTGGAACGAGAAGAAAGTTTATTTAACTTTCGATTGAACGTGCCTGCTACAACATGCTTGACCTGAGTTTTATTGGATTTATATCGAACATCGAACTGGTCCCACATACCACCACAAGATTGCGATGAGGTCCATCAAACGTCCTTGATTCCCTCAGACAAACTTCAAACTGACTTCTGGAGAGGCTTTCAATCCAAACGCTCATGGCGTCCTGGGATTGGTTTGAAGCAGTGTGTTTGACAGTTACTTGCACTTTAGGCAGCTGTGAGAAGACCTGATATGCAAAACTCCATCTATCAGCATATTTCATTTCTATGGTACCCACTAATATGGTTAGACGAGCTTTCTACCTCAGCAAAATAAAGGGTTATCATCGCGCTTATCAAAAATTTCTAGGGAAGTGGTTGCCTTCTGATCGTGGTGATGTCTCGCATCAAACGGCTGCGAAGGAGACTACATATTAGTTGAAGACTTTTAATACTCTTGATGAATTTGTGAACATCATGGCGAGACTTATCAACCGAAGTAGACTCCATTCATACATTACCTGAGGAAATGTGACTTGTTCACATTTTGTTCCAGTGGTAAACAGGCCGAAGCTGACTTTTCCATGATAAACTCCCGATTGTGAACCGTGGAACGCGAGCCAATCGATGGTGGTGTTCCCTCCGGAGCTAAATCCTCCTTGCACCAGACAGGCTTTGAAATCAGCTGCAGTGACATCTTCAACCCAAACAAATGCAATATCGTGGACAATAGATGAGATATTTCCATGGTTAAGAGAAGCGAACACATACGGAGCTCCACCGGAGAAACGGCTGCTAAATGTCACTGTCTGACAATGGCCTCCGCAACTTCCTTCCTGATTGATGGCAAGTTTTCCTGTCTCAACTCCTAAGAATAAAATTTAAAAACTTTCTGGTGCAATTGACTTATAACTCCTCGGCAACGCGAGGATTACAGTGGAATTTATTGAATATTTCTTCAAGGTTTTGTAGGGATTTTCCAGTGGCTGTTTGTCTATTGCAGAATTGAATAGTAAGCGGATACTAATGATACGTGATATCAAGATACCAAGATAGAGGTCAAGTCATTTTACGATAAAATTGCATGTCTCAAATTTTGTCTCATTTTACGAGACAGGAAAAAAATCACCCGTACAACCCCGCCGTTCTTTTTGATAAATTATTCGCATTTTTTCCAAATATTTATTGCTTAGGTCTGTTAGCCGTCATCATTGGAACAAAGTAGTATACCATTTTTTCCCTATAATTCTGGCCCATCACCGGAAATTCACAGTACCCGTTTATTCGCTCATTAACCATTTTGCTTGAAGAATGGAGAAGTAACCCATGATTCCCCTTTCTAGGACACAAAGTGTGGAATTTATTGAATGTCAAACCATATCAATTTGTAGATGTGGTGGATCAGTAGAAACGAGGGTTTGGAAGGAGTCAGCCATTCTAGATAACGACACGGAAAGCATGCACAATACTTTATAATTGCTAAAATTGTCTCACATCAAAAGCTTGAGCTGAATCTGGGTAAACTGAAATGATCAAACTCATAAGTTACAATGCAAATAGGTCCAAATGAGAGCAAAAACATTAGGAATCGAAAAAGAGAGAAACGAAGTGAACAAACCGTGCCTTTAACCAACAGCAAGGGTCGTCAATAATGATACCCTTCGTGTGTGGGACACGCCCTTCTGAGTGTGCGTAGGTGGCCTGGAATTTTTCATACAGAGGCCTCAAAAGATATTGATATATAACAGCTATCAAGGCGACGATCACGAAAGGTTATGGAAAAAAGTCAACCATTCATTACATACAGATAAATAAGACACGAGGAGTGTTAGATGTCGAAAGCTGAACCACGCGCGAGGCTGTTTATAAATTTAACACGTTCCTTGATCAAATTGCTATGTGTGTTTGACCAAAATGATTAATAAGTGGTTACGTTTTTCCCTTGCTGTAGGTGAATAAGCCGAAAAGGTGAGTCTCCTCACTTTTTTTAAGTAAGAATCGATGAAATAAATGCCAAGTTTTTGCGTTGATCTAATTAAGTTAATCTGGTCTTTGAAATTGAAGTGTCATCTTACAGTTAAAAGCAGAGTGGAGTATAGCCAATTATTTCGTCAGTGATTGACTTCCAGTGTCTAAATTTTCATTACTACAAAATTCAATTGGTACTAAAAGTTGATGTATACCGTGTATAAAATCTCGTATGTTCATGAGATGGATAACGAAGCATAAAACGAAACTTTCTGGCGATGTGCAAATAAAGTTTATTTGGTTGGGGTTGTATCTTTCTTTCGCAAACTTGAATTTACTCATTATGGCGAGAATTCCACTGGAATATCTATTATTCCCGGTGTAACACATGCAAAAAGTGTGCAAACCAACGCTTATTTCGGGTGAGCCAATCAAATTGCATAATTTAGTCGTACGACCATGCGGAATTTACAAGAAAAAAAATTTGTTGCTAATTTGAGTAAGAGAAAAATTCCAGACTTTTTGATCAAACTAAGTTCGTTCCATAGCTGGGAAAACATTTTTTTTTCTATAAAAGCTCGACTTTTTCTCACAGTGCGTCACACACCTCAGACTCATGATCAGGCACTTGGTCATCCCATAATACATCTTCGCTTCGTCAATCCAATATAAAAGCAGAACTTTGAATATTTTTAGAGAGGCAGTAAGACCCGACATACTACCCGTGAACTGCAGGGATTTTCTACTCTGATTGAAATTTGAACATATCGAGAAGAGAGAAAATGAAAGGTGGAACCACGCGCATCCCGGATGAACGCATTTTTTCATCCTTCCCCAAAAATAAGTTGATTTATGAAAAAAAAAGGAAACCAACTATTCATTATATCAATCTTAATCATGGCCTTAAAGACGAACATTCTGTTTACCCATTTTTTAGCTCACTAAGCAGAAGTGTAATTTTTTTTCTAACAATAAATAACACTGAAGATGACTCGGGAAACTTAGCGATTGTTAAAAAGCAAATAAAGAGATTGAAATACATCGCTAAAGTAGAGAAATTGAACGCAGAAAAATACCTTGCACGCTCGGTAAGTAAAAGCAGAGCCAACTCAGAAGAAACACGCCTTTGTTCCTAAAAAACATCATCGCTCTCAAAGTTTGAAGTGAACACGACCATTTAGAAACGAACACTGTCACAGAAAGGAATGAAAAGCTGCTATTAGGCAAAAGTGCTTCTAGACATTGAATGACAGGTATCAATCTTATTGGAGTGGGCGTCTGTTTCGGTTTGACTGATCGGCAATTTTACTCTTCGTTAATCAGAAATTAAAGAGCACATGGAAACTGATACAAGCTGTAAGCAGCATCCTCGACGGGGCGGCATTTAAAGTTTCTCTATACACTACTGAATTCTTTCATCTATCAAATTAAATGTTCTTTTTTTTTTGCAATTTCCGAGAAATGGAATCAAATCGCGTAATTTTACACATGGACGCAACCTTTTAAATGAGGGTCAGTGAACAAGCAACATGTCTTAACTTGATTTAGAACCTAACTTTAAAAAACATCATATCCGTTTACGTATTTGACCTCGAACTAAATCAACAGATGGGATAGGGAGACAAGCTGGAACACGTAAACTGAAAAACGCAAAATTAGGACCCTTTTTGTGCATCCTTTCAACCTAAATCTCTTGCTACGGGTAGATTCAAATTGACAAGCGAACTTACATCCGCGATGATTAAAAGTTGCCCATTGGAAACGAACTCATAATGATATTTGTTGTCCCCTTGTCGTTCAGAAATTATTTTCAATCTTTAGATGATATCAGTGTGCAAATTTTTTTGGATAAGGTGTCTAGGAGTCGGTGCATTTTCTAGGGTGGGTGCTTATTTCCAAGGAAATACAGTCCCGGTATTGCCTTTCCTTTATATTTTCTAAAAACGGCTCTTGGAAATCATAACCACTGCCGCTGAGGCCATCTTCAAATTACTGTTAACGTGTGTTTTGTATCATGTAGAACAATGCAATGCAAATTCATGGAAAAAACGCGCGTCATATGATGAGTTGACAAGTTAATGAGATACCTAGAGGTAAACCTTCAGTTGTGACCCTGAAAGTGGATATAAAATTCCAGGTTTAAAGGTTGCTTGTTCTAGAAACAGGCTTTTGAAATCTTTTAGAGGAATCGACGAAACTGTGTAGCCCTTTGAGCTATTTATTTAAGTTATATCCAAGCGGCAAAGAAGTCAAGAGGTACAAACGTGACATGGTCATCTTTGCATTGAGTTCTACGTTGCTCAAGTAAACCAAATCAGTTTTGAAATTAAACTCGCCCAGACTTATAATCACGTGATCTCATTTAGTATGACGGGTTATATGGTGCGATATTCCAGTCCGCATTCACAAGACATTTCCCTGATACAATATGCGACGGTTCGTATTGTTTTCGGGTTCGTTTTCACATACCTGAAACAGAAATTCGGATGATTTTTCATGCGAATGAAACGCTGATTTACCTGTTATTTTGGGTGATTTATAGTTGATATGTCACCAAGTTATAGCACCTGTTTTAGATCTGCTTTGACTTTTATGCAGAGATCAGGTAGTATAACAGTGAAATCGATATTAATTAAATTTCGGTTTCGATCATCAGGAGCCAATCCTTGAATGGACCCCTAATGACCTCACGTTCAGCATCCATCAAATTAAAGGTGTCGTAATTTTCTGAAGAGATAAGTAGCCTGTTGCTTTTTGTGTCATAGACTTATTCGATTGATTACTGATGCTCCTGTGCATTTGCTCCTTTAAATTATGGCTTACAGTAATTCTCGATGTCTTGAAAATGCCATCATAAAAATGTTATGTGCAAAGAAACAGAATTTAAGTTCTTCAGGTCATGCAGATAAATCAATTCTGCTCCCATCGCTAAACACGTTTGAGCGTGTTGCTCAATAACTAATGGCAAGTGAACTTTTTCAGCTCCAGCTACATTAAGCCTTGCGCTTTGTTCTTGTCAACACACTTTCCGTCTCCAGTCTATGTTTGAAGTAAAATCACATTCTGAACGAGTTGCAGCTGTACATTATTCATGTTTGCGCAAGCATATCTTGTCATGCTGTAGGTATGTTTCCCTTTCAAGTGTTTTTGCGTTGGTCAAAATAGATGTGATAACGAGTATGATCTTAAAGTCTGAAAATGCATTTCCTTCAAAATTCAAGCGTAGAAGTTATGGATGTTACTTAAACTGGAAACTGATATCTGTCAATTTGTATCAGAGGAAAGTCAAAGATCAACTAAAAAACCCTTAATAAAATCTTTATTTATCGTCCATGATGATTGCTCTGACGACTGAGTTCCTTAAAACTGGTACTCAGACTGCCTTTAACGTGTTGTTGTCCACCAGTTTAAATTGTCATGTGGATTTCCGCCGCACTTTCGATTCCGGTTCTCCGTTCCCTGTTCTTCGTTGTATTTTACCCGTTCCTCGTTCTCCGTTCTCCTTTTCCTGTTTCCTGTTTCGTGTTTCGTGTTTTGTGTTTTGTGTTTTGTGTTTTGTGTTTTGTGTTTTGTGTTTTGTGTTTTGTGTTTTGTGTTTGTGTTTGTGTTTTTGTTTTGTGTTTTTGTTTTGTTTTGTGTTTTGTGTTTTGTGTTTTGTGTTTTGTGTTTTGTGTTTTGTGTTTTGTGTTTTGTGTTTTGTGTTTTGTGTTTTGTGTTTTGTGTTTTGTGTTTTGTGTTTTGTGTTTTGTGTTTTGTGTTTTGTGTTTTGTGTTTTGTGTTTTGTGTTTTGTGTTTTGTGTTTTGTGTTTTGTGTTTTGTGTTTTGTGTTTTGTGTTTTGTGTTTTGTGTTTTGTGTTTTGTGTTTTGTGTTTTGTGTTTTGTGTTTTTTTTGTTTTTTGTTTTGTGTTTTGTGTTTTGTGTTTTGTGTTTTGTGTTTTGTGTTTTGTGTTTTGTGTTTTGTGTTTTGTGTTTTGTGTTTTGTGTTTTGTGTTTTGTGTTTTGTGTTTTGTGTTTTGTGTTTTGTGTTTTGTGTTTTGTGTTTTGTGTTTTGTGTTTTGTGTTTTGTGTTTTGTGTTTTGTGTTTTGTGTTTTGTGTTTTGTGTTTTGTGTTTTGTGTTTTGTGTTTTGTGTTTTGTGTTTTGTGTTTTGTGTTTTGTGTTTTGTGTTTTGTGTTTTGTGTTTTGTGTTTTGTGTTTTGTGTTTTGTGTTTTGTGTTTTGTGTTTTGTGTTTTGTGTTTTGTGTTTTGTGTTTTGTGTTTTGTGTTTTGTGTTTTGTGTTTTGTGTTTTGTGTTTTGTGTTTTGTGTTCCACATTTTCTGTTTTGTGTTTTGTGTTTTTTCTTTCCAGTTTCCTGTCCTGTTACCTGTTCCCTGTTCCCTGTTCCCTGTTCCCTGTTCCCTGTTCCCTGTTCCCTGTTCCCTGTTCTCTGTTTCCTTTCACCTGTTCCCCGTTCTTGGTATAATATAACCCGTTAAAATCGAATAGTTTTCATTGCTTAAACACAAAGCATTCAAATAAATTTAAAAGGGAAAACATACGATCATTAATTTGACTACCAGTCTCTCCCCAGAAAAGATTTTTTCTAAGAGCAGAACGGACTAAAGTCTCACAGGTAACCAATCCAGCCTAGCGCCGTTACAAGGCTAATGTTAATGAAAAGTCCCTTTGTTTTGCTTTTCGGTTACTTTCGTGTACATTTTACTTAAATCTATTTCAAGCAGGTACACATGATAGGATGATGTGAATCAGTTTACTTTGCATTGATTTGCGCAAAAGAAAAAGCGAGTGACGCAGGTGAATCAGAGAAAAATGAAATATACTTGTCTCAGCTGTGGAATAAAACAGACTGAGATAATTAAGCTAAATGAAAGTTTATCTGAATTACGGTTTGAGGCCGGCTCACAAGATGAAACAGGAGCGGGTAATAATTCCATATCGACAACCAAGTCTGTCTTTATTGACTTCAGCCATGATGATTAATAACTTATCTTCAGTTCATTCATTCATTTGATCTGCTGCTGTAAATCTAGATTATACAAATTTCGAACAGATGGCTTCATTCCACGTAAACATTATATCTCCATGTAAAACAATAATTAATATTCACGCGTTTCGTCTGCGTCCAATTATGAATACAACACGACGAGAAAACTCTGGAATATTCTTAAAGGCGCCCGCGCCTTCACCCTTACAATTTTCTTGAAAATTGCATGTCATTTAGAGTTTTCTAAATTCTTAAAAATTAACTTCTTTTTACGAAAAAGTAAATACTGCTTCATCATTGCGAATACAGTGACACAAACACCGCCTCTTTGATAAGTTAATGTATGCCTATATATACTTTTTCCTTCATTCAAAGAGTCTTGCCTCCGGAATGCCATCAAGACTGCATTACTTTCCAGTTTTATTCATACTCTGAGCCAAAATTGCCGCCCGCTCTGCGATAGGCACAAATCCTTCCTCTTTCCTCCATTTTTTCAATCTTGCTGCAAACCAGTTCTGGAACAAAGAAAAACCCACAGAATTCAGTTGCTGTGTTTTGTTGACAGGAAAATTGTAATAAATGAAAACACCGAAATATGAAAAAACCTGTGAGGCCCATTTCTAATTACATCTTTGCTCAGCCGGTTTAATTGAAAATATTTTTAATTAATATTTTGAGAGGCAAATAGGAAAATTCGAAGAAAGAAGTATATAAACAACAATTCTCAGTTCATAATTTCAACGCCATATCGAAATGCAATACATTTTCAATTTTTAGCACAATTTCAAAATTTTCTATTGCTGGATTTCAGCTTGTTTCTATTATTTTTGCACATTAGCGCGTATTCGAAAAATTTTCAAGAAAATTCTTTTCAATTTAAAACTTTTGTTTTTTACAGCGCCTTTTATAAAAGGAACCCAATTTGTTTGAGAATTTTGTGGCAAGTCATGCATTCAAGAAGCTCACCGTAAGTATCGGTTGATGAAAACTGTTGGTTTAACTTCAATGATTTCGCAATGTCCAAGCTCAAGAAACAACACTCGATTTACCTCTCACGTTTGGACTACGAGTTGCCACGAAACCATAAATTTCTTGTGTTATTTGAATCTATCGCTTCCCGAAATATGCGCAATTCAATGGCAGACGAAAAAAAATATATACGACTCGAAATTTAATTTCCTTTAAAACTTCGCATGGCTTTCTTAAGGTTTGCCAGGAGCGAAATCTCAGCACGAATTTTTTTATGCTAAAAGTTACTGCCTGATTCTTTTAAGGCGATATACCTTGCAGAATAACCTAAGAAGAAAAAGCAAATAAATCGCGTACCTCTATTTCTTCTTCTGTGATACCAATATCGGCAGCCAGAAGTGTCATACTCAATGAATCAGGATATCTACAAGATTTAAAAGCGTCTTCTAAAGCTGTAGATTTTTCTTTATCTTCGCCAATCCTTTTCAAAATATCGGCCATGGTTTGGTTTTTCCTTGCACAGTCAGAGCACAATTTCGTGACAGGAGCCGGAATTTTTGATGGTTTACGGTTAGTCGAGTTAAAGCGGCATTTCTTTGGCAGCGTTTTGATGGTTATAAAGAACGAACCTTTAGTGCAAATTTTTTCCTAAACAGGTGGCTTGCGGACAACCGGATTGGTTGGTTGGTGAATAATACTCTTCCCTCATCTACATTATGTGTAGCGTCATATCATAATTTCGTAGCTGACCCTCGAATAAGTAACATGTTGACATGAAGAAGAAATGAAAATTGACCGCGACTGAAAACATTTTGAAAACGCGTACAAAAATAAGAACATTTCTTTGCTTTAGGGCAAGAAACGAAACTTAGCAAGACAATATTAGCTTAGCATCTTTGTTACAAGAAAACCGCATAATGAAATATGTATTTCAATCTGACACTTCTCCTAAATTTGGCTAACCAACATATTTTACGTACGATTTCGCTTTCACTTAGTCAATCAATGAATATAACACTTACAAAAATACCTCTATTAGACTTAGTTTCTGTGCATTTATCGTTCATTCACATTTGGTCGAGTGAAAATCAACTTTTATTATTTCTTTCTGTTTTATTTGTTTTATTAATTAGCACATCTTTAGATTAGACTGTCGCAAATTCATTCAAATACTTGAATGTATTGTTGAATATGATGCGTTAATTTAGATAACTTTCTCGTCGTGTCCTTACGTTCAAGAACCGATCAAAGCAGATCTTTTGTGAGATCAACTTTCTAAACCGTAAATGTTAAAAGCTTCCTTAACTTTACATTGATCCATAGGTGTTAAAGGTAATCCATAGATGCTTATACAACACCCGTGTTAGTATTTTTGATTTCGCGCAGACCGCACTCTTGAACTATTTAATGGTTGACAAAACCGCGTGAACACATTTCGTTCGAATTTTAACAGACTTCCCACATCTATTAACCATTTTGATGTACTTTGACTCACAATCCTTCCCTCGAAGGAAAATAACTTTCTTTAAAATTAAGACTGCTAAGGGACGGGGGGGAAAGGTTCAGAGGATTTCGTTAAGACTCGATAAAATTTACCAAATCCCTCCCCAAGGTTCTGTTATAATCTTATGACACCCCCCTTCCCCCCCCCCGCTCATTGGTAGTCAATTTTTTACAGTCCCCCCTTGACACTCTGTTGGCGACAAATGATTCTCCCTCCGTTTTCCCTGAAACCATATGATCCCCAAAAAATCACACATCCCCCTCCCCCTCGCTCCAAATGATAATAATGACTGGTGCCTTTGTAAAAGGTAATTTTGGAAAACGGAAACAGACAATGTTGTTGAAAAGTCCCATTTATTAACAAGATGAACAACAATCTTCCACTATAACCAATAATTCTGTTATAATATAATAGCGCAATCTCTTCTGAATAATGTAACGAGGAAGGAATTGCTTGGAAGGGTAGTTTCTGAAAGTCCACCTGTCTTTTAGATTGAGCAATTTCGTTTTGTGTACGCATGACTTTTAAAATGCGTGGACTATCTGTGAGGACTGGTCCACTAAATCGAGCGTGTTCTCCAAGGAACTGCCTTCAAGTATGAACCACGAAATTGTATCTACTTCTCCTGTGCGTCGTCCTCGATAAAGTCTTTGGCTTGTTCAGCGGTAATCGCGTCGATATGACTGACTTTGTTTCGGAATTTCACGCCGTAAAACTTGTCAGCGGACTCTAACAGCTCGGGTCTGAATGTGGTAGTGATAAACTGAGCTTTCTCAGCCAATTTACGGAGCATTTCTTTGGACAAAAGAACCAAAATCTCTTGTGAGTAACTAAAATAACGATAACCATACGAGAAACTCTGTTTTTTAGGAGGGAAGGACTGTTTATTGTCCCTCACGATTTGAAGTGTACTTCTCACTACCATATCAACTGCCTTCTCTGGGCATAACTAACCTCAGGAAAAGGCTGTACAGGCTTGTATCTTCTCCAAATCTACCCCTAACGTCTAAACAATCCGGTGGACAGTTCTTGTTTTGACATTAACAGATATATCTTAGCTGCCACCCCACAGTAACAAAATTTTACAGCTTAAATAAATTACATCTATTCGTCTTTCTGTTTGTCCGTCCGTCTGTCTCTGTTCGTCTTTATCTTGTCAGTCAGTCAGTCTATAGTTTGTCTGTTAGTCTGTCTGTCCGTCTGCCTGTCAGTGTGTCTATTTAAGGGACAGCTGTGGTAAAACAACTGACCATTAGTGGAGGTGAGAAAGCAATCTTTAGTCTCGGTCTACACTAATGAGCAAAAGCCTCAAAAGTACCTGCAACAGCTTTTCTGAACTGAGGATCCAGAGCCTGATCAATCTCATCGAATAAATAGAAAGGCGCCGGGTCACATTTTTGAATGGCGAAGATCAGTGCTAAGGCTACTAAAGACTTCTGTCCCCCGGAGAGCTGATTCATCTCACGAGTTTCGGCGGATTTCCCGGTAAAAGACACCTACAAACACACCAATGACAACGATGAGTTTAGGAAGACTTGAGTGGCAATACCGTAACTCTATGACTCCAAATATCAAATTAGGGAAGTCTCCCCTAAAGCTTGCACATATTCCTTGCTCAAAAACTGAGAGAATTTAGTGTTACATCAAGAAAAAAGTTTTAAAAGCTGATAAGTTTGTATTTTCTCACAACTTGCCTATTGAACTTAGCGGAAGGTTAAATATTAATCTTGCGTGGGAGTCAGAGGATTAGCGAGGGACAGGATCACAAGGTTATTACAGAGTTGTGTGAAGCGGTTCGAGTCAAACTGACTGGGATCACTGAAAATTTGTCGAAGATTTTTGCGTACAAACTACTACTCGGCGGTTGTGAACAAGGAAACAGTTCACGACAATGGGTATTCTACAAGTTCTACGTCAAAGTAAAGAATTTTAAGTTCACATTCAGATGATTTTACACAGCGGGTAACTTTACCTTGATACTTATTCCAGTAAACTGATCCACAAGAGGCACAGATCTCTGTGACTGAGAAGCCTCGCTGTCTTCTTCCTCCTCCTGGAGTCAAGTAAAAAAAATTATATCAAGAAACTAACAATTTTCTCATTCGATTTACGGAGTCATTCAGTTACCTTGCGATATACGTCTCTCCTTCTTTGCCTTTTTATTTATTCTAGCTGACAATGATGTCAGGTACGAATTACATTTAATTGAATTGTGTACCTTTGCATTGCCGATAAACTTTCACGTCCATTCGGGGATGGACGCAAGAGCAATACACCACCACTCGCGATAATAAGAGAGAGGTGTTGGTGAAAGATAAGAGATTATATTAAATGTTTACACGTCAAAAGAAAAGCAAAGTGTAAACAGAAAACAAACAAAGGGGATGAGTACAGCAAAGCAAAAGTGAAGGGCGGACATTGCAAGGACGTCACCACGAAAGTCAAAACAGATTTCAGACGGCTTTGTCTTGCCGCCATGTCTTTTCGTTCCTACACCAAACACGAAAAACGTCAAACTTTACCGTTTGTTCCACCGGATCTGTTTTCATCACCAAAGTAGCTTTCCCATGAGGAACAAGCTGTTTAAAAACCTCAGTAAAGTTGTGAGACATCTGTTGATATAAAATACATAAAACATAAGCATGAAGTCACAAAGTTCAATAATAGTCTTTAGATCCTATAAAATGAGTTAACCACTCCAAAAAATTTTATCAATTACGTGAGCGTCTAATGTGTAGCTTTTTGTGGTGCTTTCGATGAAGTTCTGTTGTAAATCTCTAAGGATCCTTCTGTCTTTGACCGCAACTTCCGACAAATTATATTTACAAAGGAAAATAAAAGTATCCTGCCATCATCATCGTCTTACTAGCATTTGGAGGGATGCCAGGTTGTTTTATGAATTCCAAAATTTAGTCTTTTTCTTGATAAAGGTGGGGAGAGAAAGGGGGGAGGGGTCATTCGCAAATTAAGGCTCAGGAAATACGGTACCTGTTTAAACGTGAAGAGAATTGCTTCGTGTTTACGGAGCTCCAGAACATCCATCAAGTCCACGATAGACTGGTAAAGTAAAACATAAAACTCAAAATTTACCAGTAAACGATGCAAAAAGGACTGCTATCATGCTTCTTTTACGCGTTTTAAAGATAAAATGCGAAACCCACAGCTGCATGTAACGACCAAACATAACGACCCTTACGAGTGGAAGATTCATTGGTGTTAGTACGCTGGAAACCGGACCGAGAGGTCCTGACTCGAGCCGTGATTAGGGTTTGAGTGATGTGTTTTCGAGAAAGGTCTTACGATCTTTCTGACCCTCTTTAAGGTATCTGGATGTCAAGGACACTCGATGAAATGTTAGGGGTACCCAGCTATGGACTGAAATCCCATTCAGCAGGAGAATCAACAATTCTGGACGTTTCACGTTTCAGAAACCGAACTGAGTTCCGGCAGTTAAGATCCTGGACACTCAATAGGGAACTGGGAGGAAGGGAGATTAGTGGTAACAAACTCGAAAGGGACAAAAATGTTGAAAATAAAGAAGAGTCTTTATTCGGTTGTAACCGAGATTGTAGCAATGTTATTGTGTACCTGGTATCCTTTGTCAAGTTCTTCCTTTCGTTTCATTAACTTTTCCTTCTGTTCAGAGAAGTTAACAAACTGATCCAACGCTTTCTTATTTACATGGCTGTACTTCTTCAGTTCCTCATTACACTGATGCAGCTTCTTCCACAACTAGAGAAAAAACGGAAAATAATAATGGTAATAAACAAATTTTAAATAAAATTGCCGTGTATCACGAGACTTTCTAGAATTTTTTGGGAACAAAATTTTTTGCGGTTGGAGAATGCTAAAACTTTTAATGGGAGCTAATTTTGCAGTTTTCTTTTCAAGCACCAGAGCTAAAGTCGCGTTAATATACTTTTGGGTTAACTATAGTAATTAGTTTTTTCTCTTAGTGCGCTTGCGAGAGCAACTTTGATTTCAAAGAGTTTTTCTTTCCCATACAGGCCTCTCGCCGACAGACAAAAATTTATCTTCGTCCATACTTCCTTTCATAAAGATTTAAATTAAGCTCTTTAATTATTGTCAACTGCAACTTACCGCTTTTACCGGAGTTTTTTGGTGCTTGTCAAATGCATCCGCTGGAAGGGATCCTAGCTCACGGATCTTTTTGGTGCAATCTTCTTTCTGTAAGATCACACTCAAACCTTTAACAATAGGCACCTGGTTTCCTTGTCATTTTATTTAAATAATTTGGTCTTATCCTATGGTAATCTATCATGGTTATCTTATGGCAACTCTCTAATTGCCAAGTTTGCAGAATCTCTTCACCAGCTCGCTGAGTAAAGCATTAAATTTACCAATTAACAATTATAAAACCGCAATTCACCGTTTTTTTTGTCTGATTACCTCTTCCTGTAGTTCCTTCTCCCTCGAAAAAACACTACCCATTAAATAGCTTTAAATTAAAAAATCTAAATTAAAAAACTGGCCTCAAATATTCTTACTTTCTTCATAAGCAGACTCCTCTTGTGAGCAATTTTCTCCATGTGTTTAGCATCATCATCGATAGCATCCCTTTTTAACTTCTCAACGCTCTGGGTAAGTCAAGATTTACGTGTTAAGTTAGCTCGTTTGCAAGGCACAAGTTATCTTCATCGTTAACTGTGAAAATTACAATTAAGAGCAAATCAAATCACACCTTTCCCCCGCCTCCTACCAAAAAATTACACTAAATTGCCGTACCTTCCACTCATCCAGCGAGGTTTGTAGCTCTGACTTTCTATGGGTGAGATTTCTTATTTCTTCTTCAAGTTCTACATAGAGAAGGTCGTACAAATGCGACTGTCAGGACTGTTCTAAGCAATGACGCTAAGGGTCGAACTGAACATGAACACGTTTTGGTCACAGAAAGTTACACACTCTAGCACGCAACACTGAAAACTAATGGAGCTTAGTTGTCGTCAGCGACGATCTTAACTACAATGAGTGACCGAGACAGAATTTCTCCTTAAAAAATTCAATACAATATCAAACAGACAAGAGATAAGAAAAGAGAAAAATACCAGCAAAGGGATGATTAGTTGATCCAATACCAAATTCTCTGAACTAAGATCATAAGAATTGGGTGTAATTGGACAGTAACGAGAATTCCTACTAAGATCTTTGAAGTGAAATTAATTCAAAGGTCACCTGTGCACCCTGGAAAGGACTTTTTATACCTTTTTGTTGAGCTGAACTTTGAGATATAACCTCCAACACAGTATGTAAGTCACTCTTGAGTGTCTCCAGGTGTAAATTGCGGTCCTCGAGTGAGATTTCCTCGAGGGACTGCGGAAATTAAAGAAGCAAGTTATTTAAGTCTACTACCATGCACAATTTCCATCTCAGGGTTGATAAAATTAATAATTAATACTATTTAATAAAACCAAACTGAAGTAGGCTCGATTACCAACCGCTGTCCGGGAAATGAGCCCATGCTCCTTCCCCGCAGAGGCCTTTTCGGCAGGACCAATACCCGAGAAAACTATAGTTAACAACCTTAAATTAAGTGATATCTCGTCGCATATCTACGTGGAGCGTCGCTGTCACAATGCACTGATTATGTCAGGCTAACTTTTGAGTAATTTATCATAAACGCATTTCGAATCTAAGCAAAAGAATTCAAACCGGAGAACAAAATAATGAGTGGCGATTTTCATTTTCCGTATAAATCTCTAGCGCTGATATAGAAGGGGGCCAAAAGGGGTTGTAGCCAAACCCTTCTAGTTCTCAAGGAAGTTTGATTATTATTTTTTTTTTTGTCTCTTGCAACAGAGAATGCCCTCTAGTTTGGCTACATTTTGGCAGAAATGGAAGAGTATAACAACACTATACATTGCCACCAACTCTTTTACACTAAACTTTCCCTGAAATTCTTTTATTCAAGAACTCAGTAGCCACTAGAAAAAGACAATCCACCGCACCTGTTTCAACTCTTCTCGTTTTCTTTTCAAATTGTTGTTGAGTACATTTTCCAAGGTGTTCTTTTTGGCTTCGAGCTGAAAGAAACAGGCAATAGAAGAAAACCTCGGAAACGCGTCAAGTCCGTTATGATGAGTTAATAAGACTTTTGGTACACGCCCTTGCTCTTAGCAGCAAATAATCCCGAAGCAGTGATATAAACCCCTTCCCTAGTGGCGGCCAGGGTTATCTTTCTTTCGGGCACGTTTTGAAACGTACTGTAGAGGCCGAAGAAAGGCTAATTTACTTCTATGTAATAAAATAGGAATTGAGTCCGCCATTCATGAAAGAGATCTACAGAAGATTTATGCCATTACCATTTCAACTCAAATTACTACCCAAAAATTATTCACCTCCTTATGCTATCTGCATTAAAAGCGAATCTTTACCTTTGTTCTGTTTGACAGGGCGGTTTTTAGCCTCTCTTGGAGAGCCATAATTTCACCGTTTAAATTATCCACCTGAGAAAAACCCAAAAGAACAACATCACATAATAGGTAAAATATAAGCAAGAAAACTTTTTCAAAAACGGAGTTACATTATCTTCAGCCTTACGTGGAGATCTACCAAAGTAATGAACACATTAAGTAAAGAACGAGGTTGAGAGAAACTGTATTTTTTGACTTTGACGTGATCTTTCACCTTTATTCCATGGCCATCGACAAAAAAAAAGAAAAAAAAGAGAAAAAAACGGATTAGAATGTACTAAAAGAATGGCCAGTACAAAGTTATATATTCCCTACCTCTTCTTGATCTTGCGAACTGAGTTGTGACACAAGAGCAGTCCCCAGTTCCTCCTCTAAAGCTCTCATGGTGCTACGCATGGATTTCAGATCTGCTTCAAAGTGTAACAGCCCTTGCTCCTGCAAAGTCAACAAACACACATTAACAGTTCCGCTTACGATGCTCTAAGTTAACGGTGTCAATTTGAAACTCCATTCACAAAACTTTCGAGAATTAAAATCGAGTTTCGAGGCTCGAGTTTCGAGGCTCGAGTTTTGAGATAGAAACACAAACAGACAAAAGAAACAAGGTAATAATACTTATACAGGAATGGTGTTAACGAGAATCTACAACTGAAGCCCCTTAATTCAAAATGAAACAAAAAACAAGGACTACAAAATTACAACAAACCACATTACCATTTGTACCAAAGTCACTTACTTTTGACTCCAGAGTTCGTTCAGCTGTTTTCTTTTCTTGAGTTTTAGCTTTCACATCAATCTTCTGTTTCTCGTATGTTTCTCTGAGGAGTGAATCATTGTGGAATAGTTTAAATAATAATGACTGTGCAAAAAAGTGCCAAATATCAACTCAAATAACACGATGTATGTATATTAACCTTAGCTGCACTTGTTGTGTTTCTACTTTTTGTAATTCTCCAAGTGCGACTGTTACATCAGAATCAAGTTCTGAGATTTAGTTAAGGATATTTTAACAATGTGTCTTTATGATAACAAAAATGAAGTTGATTTAGCAATGAAGGATGCAGCTATTGAATGGTTCGTGTAATAGATTCCGTTTTAAAAGACTTTCACTTCCAGTGCCTCTCTCAATCCAGGAGAGTAAATTAGTTCCAGAGAACTGTCAGAGGAGACCTGACAAAAGCTGCGGTGGGGGGAGGGGGTTGGGGAGGTTGCCTGCAATGGCCTTGCATCTAATCTCAATAAAAGTTACTCCTGATCCCTTTGTGCAAGAGAAACTGGGTTAGGTATACATCACAGTTACACAATCACTTGTAACCTTAATCAATAGTCAAACTTTACAAAAATGCCAAGAGACCCTTTCTTACAGAATACAAATAATTTTGTGCCAAAAGTAAACTGCATTACAAGAGGATACTTTCTAAGTCAGCCTTCAGTTGATCTCTTCGTGTTTCTTCTCCTTCAACTTTTTCTTGTAATTTCCAAATACTGTCCTGTAGCTCCAAGCGAGATCTTCTGTTCCCATAGTAACCACCTGTCAGGGCACCCCTACGACTAACTTGGTCACCTATGACAAAGACATGAAAGAATAAAAACACAAATACAGAATTGTTCATGTACATCTACAGCTAAGATACCAGTGCTGATAGCATTTATCACTCAGATAGTTGTATTGTGCATAGAAGAAGCTACATTGTACAGAAAATTCAAAAGAAAGTGCATTTTGTCACACATATAAAAAGAATATAGTTTTTCCAGAGACTTTCACAGCTTAACTTTGTCAAATATCAAATTAATCTGACTTTAATAACTGAAACATATGTGTGCATGTCCATTTAAAAATCTAAGACGTTTAATTTAGAGCAAAAACAAATTGTAATAGGAAATATTAAGTATGTACCTTCTAGAGTAATACAATCCATATTTTCACTTTTGGAGAACTGTGAGGCAACTTCAAGATTGCGGCACACAAGAGTTTTACCAAAGACTAGCTGCATAGCTGGTCTAAAAGCGTCCTCAAACCTCAATTTGTTAATCATTGGAAGGGCATCCTGAAAATATTCGTAAAAACAATGACATCTATTCATTGGACCAAATATAGTGGCGCCTTTTTTTTTGTTTTACTTTTATGACAACTAGCCCCATTTTCCTGTGTTGTCTCCTCAGAACTCAAACAAACCTTTAACTTAAAACAGGGCAATTCACATGGAGACAAGAGAATGATGTATTTTGTTCCATTCAAGAATAAGGTGAATGTGCAGTTAGGAGTACAATATAGCTCAGTTGTCAAAGATGATATCAGACAACCCTCAATATAACTTAAAGAAAGTCTTGAATATAAAGGTAATCATAAATTAGTTGTTAATCATTATGATTAATTTTATCATTTCTTTCAAAATGTACTTCAGGGTTACTAACAGGCGTGCTGGGGTACTGTTGCTCCTTGCTGAGGAGTCTGTTGAGTGGCATAAATGTGACTTCTCCAGGTAATTTATGTTTGTTCATGATGGACAAGATCTGTGCAGCAGTTTTATCTGAATCCACCAAGATGTGAAAGAGCCTACAAAGTAAAGACAAATATTTATGAAACCAATTTTTCAAGGGGGGAGTAGGGCTAATTCAAGGGAGTAATTTATCTAAGAAAGGAATAAGCAATGGCTTTTCAACTTAAAGAAATACTTGGAATATGCCAAAATCAGTTGGATATTGGAAAGAAATTGAGAATGTTAGCCAGCCTCTGACATTCAGTTATGGTGCAAGATGCAGTGACCTAATTATTACTGAGTTGGAGTCCTGGACAAGAAGTACAGGTTCAAGACCTGACCATGTCATTATGTTGTGTTCTTGGGCAAAACACTTGACTCTCACAGTGCCTCTTTCCCCCCCCCCCCCCCCCCCCCAAGAGTATAAATGGGTGTGGTGAACTGTCAGGAAAGTCTGACAAAAGCAGGGGAGGGGGTAATCTTGCAATGGACTGACATTTCATGCCGAGGGTAGTATGAAAAAGGTTCATGAGGAATCCTCTTACAACAGTTATCTTTTATTTTCTCCACTATTGAGCTGCATCTATTTCCATTATGTATTTGCTTCCCCAGTCCCAAATGTTATTTATCAACAAAATTTATAAGTAGCTAAAGCACAGTGTGCATTCATTACCCTAAGATAACCAAACATAGGATCACAGGAAATCCTTACTTGTTTCCAGCTGTAACTTCTACTGCAGTAAAGAACTGTTTATCACATTGAAAATTCTCAATAAGTGGGCCATGGACTCCATCAATGCCTCTCTCTTGAACAATCCTCTTCACTGTGTCAATACCATTACTGACATGCTGTGGTAATAAAAATAATCATGAACATCATGTGGTAAGTAATGCAAGGAAGTTAAAATGCATGTTCATGCTTACATGCAGTACATCAGACTCTTAAAATCACTATCAAAACCAAACACAATCACATAGTATGAGACACATAACCTGACATGGAGTAACTCAGTGCCAGAGCAAATGGCCTCAACTCAATAATGTCCAGATGTCAAATGCAAAAACATGTTAAGTAATCTAATTGAAGATTTAAAGTAAAACAAAAAATCAAATAAAAGAAGCTAACAGAGTTCTCTTTGGCACTTTGACTTGAGTTTTCTTCCCTTTTCTAAGTTCCTATCACCAATGTTTTGGTGAGTGATGAGACTCAATAAAAACAATTAAAAAAGATTAACCTCAGACTCAGACTAACCCTAGCCCTAACCAATTAATAAAAACTTTCTTTTCTTTTCATGTAAATTTTCCTCACAAGTTCACTGATGGGTCTCAAAGTTGAACACCCTACCCCACACTCTGCCTCTGTGTCCATGAGCATAAGTTAATGCATGATCATGAATCTAAGTGTGTGCACGTTGCAGAAATTCTTAAAAACATTAAACGAAACAATACTCACACATAAAAAAGGAAATGGAGGAGCACAAATTGGATTTCAAGTGCTACAGAATAGCTTCATGATAAATTGTTTCTCACTGATGACTCACAATCATGCATCATGAAGAACTGACAATTTAAGCAGAAATAACTTGGCCAGAAAACAGCACAATGCACATGTAAAATTAGATGTTCAAAGATACATACTTTACTGACAGTACTCCTTAAATTCCTCTCAGTTTTACTAAGTTCCTCTCTTGTGTTCTGCATGCTTTGTTCAATTGCAGCTTCTTCCCTCCATAACTCCCTATTGTATAGTAATAATTTCACTGTCACCACAGATATTACATATTGTAATTACAGCTTTTGCAAGCTCCAGATCATGCCAGTTACCGATGACTAACCCTGTCTTTGTGTACCCATTTAGTCATGCACTATGGATGTTGCAACAAAATCTAAGTCTTTTACTCCACCACTGATTTTCTTCACCCTTTTAACATCTTTGTCCAGCATCTAATTCTCCTTTCAGTCATACAGCAGAATCATTCATTAAGATCACAAGAACAAAGGACATGATTGCCAATCTACGAAGCTTTAATTGTTAGATGAATTCTCCTTGTCAGTACCAAAGGAAAGGAATGAAGAAGAGTATGGAGAAAATGGATACTGATGTTAGGGTGTAAAGTTTTAATGAATTGGAGAGGGATTAGCATCATGGTAAAGTTTCATAACATCAATGAAAAATAATCCTCTTACTTTCTACTGTTTGTAGTGTGATCTCTTGTCTTTTTAAATTCTGCATGTCTCTTGTTTGCTTTTTCAATATCTTGCCTTCTCTTTTCCACATTGTCTGTTCTTTCCTAAGAAAAGTGACGTGCTCTACCCATTAAAATAATGGCAAACTGAACTCCTCAAAAAAAATTAATGCACTCCAGATACATGTACATCACGAAGTTGCATTGGTAACAGCATTTTGGGAAGGTCAGTTCAAATGAATGAGTTTGCTTGTCATTAGTAGTTGTGTAGTATTTCAGTGCTGTTACACTGTAGCCTATTCTTTAAAACAATAAACCACCAACAAAAGGACTACCTCAAAGGACTACCTCATACATACTAATGAGGCAGATATCTCAAGCTTATGCACGCATGTGCAATTTTTTTATGCACATGATTTTTTTAGTCGCAATTGCATGCAATTTTTGGCATGTTTTATTTGCGTTTTTTGGTTAATGTATATGCAAGCAGTACTATACTTTTTCCTAATCTGCAGTTATGTGAATACATCATTGGGGTGGCCTTCCTATTAGAAGATAAATAAATCAATTTATTGACAACATGATGTCAAGGGGTATTGGAAATCAGAGAATTCTCTGCCTACATATTAAACAAACTTCTCCAGCTGAATTTTGCAGGCCTGAGCTTATTTTATTCAGGTGTGGATGATAAGGAAATTAATTTTAGTTGTCACTTAATGGCTGTTCCCCACCATCATGTCCATGCAACCACTTATTAGTTGGTCTGGACAAAGTTATGACTGTGTTTTATTGCGCATGTATCCCCCAAGATAACAAAGAAAGGGTGCCCATCTAGTAAAAATAATGTAAAAGGAAACCAGGAATTTTAAAAAAAATTAATTAACTCATTTGGCTCCCACCTGTATTTCAACTGTTAGTTCTTGTACTGCATTCCTTAGTTTCTCAACATCTGCTCTTACACCAGCAATCTACGAGAAAAGAACAACACCACTTCCATTAAAAAAGAGTGCTTTCTCATACCATCAAAGTGATACTAATATCTACTTGAATAAATAAGGATGAATGTCACAAGCTGTTCTATCTTTTCCAGAGAAACAGCCACAAATCATCATGTGCATCACATGACTATTGTCACCTGGTTTCAGTACTGACTACACCATAGTACCCTCCCTTAAACAATTTTGGATTTCATATCTTCAAGACTTGCTTTGTTCATGCACAAAATTGAATGGAGAAGAATTCTCACTGGATATAAACCAGAACGCCAAGGTTAAAAAGAGGAAAAAGGAGAGTTGTCTTTGTTTCAAAAAAAGAAAAAAAAAGATAGAAAAACAGACTCTCAAATACTTCTATTCACTCTAGGCTACTTACTTGTGACTCTTTGTTAGCTATGGATTCTGCTAGGGAGCTTTTCTCCTGTAAAAGAAAAGTAATTGTGAGCACATGATGATTGATATATAAAAGAAAGCTGTAAAAGCACTTTGCCTAATTTGCAATGTAAGTAATGAATGATACACAGAAAACGTATATTGAACATTCAACATGATACCTCAGTAATCCATCTATCTCTTTCTTCAGCAGTTCTGAACTGATTTTTACGACCTTGCTTGGCATACAATTCTGTACGTCTTCTTTCACAGGCTTTCACTCTGAAAATCAGTTTAATATTCACAATTTTGTAATAATCATACATTTCATGGTAAGTGTTACCTGAAAACTAGAGCATGCAAAGTCACAAATATAATAACATCTTGCTGCAAAGATTCATCATTAAAACAATGTTCATATATATCCTCTGCAATGAAAATAATTTTTTTTCAATGTGGCTAGGAACAATTAAAATAGCATACCTTGCAAGGCAAAAAAAACAATAATAATAAAAAATCTACAATAGTGTAAATATTTGTAAAATCTAGGAATCAATTTCCTACCTTGCAGAACATTCATCTTCTTCAGTTTTGAGCCGTATGTAGTTTGGTAAAAGTTCACTTAGTTCTTCCTCTTTTGACTGGATTGTTTCTTCCAATCTCTCTAGTTGTTCTCTGTGTTGAATCTGAGAAAAACAAAAAGTGTTCAAGATCCAAGGAAAACTTCACTAATCCATGCAATTGAGTATGAGTCTCTCTGTCCCACTGTTTGTTGCTATTGCAGGAATTTCAATCAGAGCAAAATTTCTTCGAAAAGCTTCATTGAGGAACTTTGTCTTAATCTGTTTGCATTACTTTTGTACAATACCACAAATTTATGTTTATTTTCTGCTATTTTCGTCCATGACTCTTAGCTCATTAACTTGTCAATAAAAAAATCTTTGTGATATCATGACAGAAAATGTTTTTCCATTCAGTCAGCAGAACAGCCCATTGTGTAGTAAGAGCAACTAAGTCCTTATACATGTAGACAGTTATCTTCAACAACAGAGAGTGATGTTTTGACAACCTGAGCTCAAGTCTTTATTAAATTCAAGAGATGACTCACAGATTGTCAGAATGTGCAAGTCAAAGGCTTTCTTGGGACTGGAACAATCACACTTAAGACCAAATAGAGTTGTTACTAACAGAAATAATAAACTGAGCTTTTTTCCTGTAGTTACATTTGTTTTAGGTTTTGGCTGACCCCATAGTCTTCACCATGATTGACTAAAACCTGGATTGGCAACTGAAGGCACTTGCTTGGGCCTGAGGCTAAGGGAGACATTCAGATCAGATTACTATTTAATGGAAGAATCACCTTCTGTGCACTATCTTCTCTGACATTCCTCTCCAGGTCTTTAATGTCCAGCTCCAGTTTTGTTCTTTGTTTGACTTGTTCCTGGCACTCTTCATCAAGCTGTTGTCTCTCAGAGTTTGCTGCTGTCATGCGATCCATAACTTCACGCAGGCTCTGAGACAGGGCCTTTAGAAAGAAAAATAATTTGACTGCTATACAGACCACTCTGGTAAGTGCAAGTATTAATGACAAGAACATAATAACACATGTGCATAAATTATGTTATAACAAACCTGGACTTTGTTACTGGCATCTTTGATTTCCTTTTGGAGCGAGCTTGCTTTGTCTGTTTCCTGTTGTCTGGAACTTTCCAACTGAATAAGAATCAATACCAAATAAATAGCTAAATAATCAGTGTAATAAGACACTACTTGCTTAAAGGAGAGCATTGGCATTCTAGCTGGGTTTAGTTATTTTCAAAAAATGGTAATGCAAGAAGTTTAAAGAACTGAATTTGAAATCTTCAGATCCCAGGATCAATCATTCCCTTTACTACTTTAGCGGACTTGGTTCATGTTAGTTCTGTGTTAAAATCCTCTCTTTTGCCACATAATTACCTGATTGCATGTGCTTGGCCTTCCACCAATACGGTTTTAGTAAAATTACATTCAATGTTTTTCCTTTTTTTTACAAACTTATGGTGTCCCTATCAACACAGCTGATCTGCTTTAATATTCTCTAGTTTGGCTACCTAATTATATAATTCTTTTTTTTTCTTTAGTTCTTTTGGTTCTTCCACAGTTTCAACTCAGCCATTGTGTGATATCTTATTTCCTTCTATGAAGAGACAACTTCATTAAATTGCAAGGCTGATTGATCAAGTACTCACAACTACACAAAAATGTTCACTTTAGAAAAAAAAAACCTTCTTTATTTTGTAAGTTCATGATGGAAATAAAAACAAAATTAGATAGGAATTTTTTAGCAAATCAGTATTCCTCACCGCATCCAGTTTTTCCCTTGTTTCCCGCAACTCTTTGTCATGGATTGTGTACTCAAGGCACCTGGGAGGTAAGAATTTAACTTTTAAGATCGATTTTATTGCACAACTTACTGTCACATGATTATCACAGTAAAACGTTTACATCATTGTCTTTCTACTACTCACTTAACCAATTTCTATTAGAGTTGCATTGAATTTACCTTCTTTCTTTGTCCCATTTCTGATATGCTTTGAGTTCTTCTTTCTCTTCATCCAGTGTCTCCAGACGTTCATCAATCTCTTTCAAAAGCTCATCAATCTTTTCTTTTTTCCCCTCTACAAATCAAATTCAGAAAAAAAGGAATGGGAAGCCATTGCAATCAAACTGAATGATTGTAGTTTGTACTTGATGACTGAGTGGGAAGGCAGACAGGAAAATATTTAGCTCAAGGCAGTGACCTACAGACCAAGCACAGCACAATTCCTGTATCATGACTTAAATCCATGTTTTTTTTTTTTTTGTTCCAGCCTGACCTTACGCAGTCAATAAACATTTGTGTGACATTATATTTATCAAACGGTGATAATACCAGTGTCTTTAAGAATAGTCTTGCTTTCTTCCTTCCTTTCATCATAAACTCTGGTTCCTGCAACTTCTCGCAATAGTTTTAGTCTTTCATGATCTTTTGCCACAGCTAGCTGATTGATCTGTAAAAAAATAACAACTATCAAGCTACTGAAACATATCAAAACATTTACAAAATCTCCATCATCAAGCTTCAAAGTGAACAGGAAAGCTAGAAGATCTAAGTGCTTCAAAATAACACTTTGGCCTTGCAAAATTACTCTGGTGCAAATGATAACAAAGTTAATACTACTATCAATAGTGATATTTGTGTTCAGTCAGGTAGCTTAAGGTATAACCACAGGGGGAGTACTATATGCAACAAAGTAGGTACAGTCCACTAACAAGCTAAAAAACACAATAAATCAAACTTAATTCAATGATATTAACTACTGGTAGTACTAAATAAATGAAAGCCAGTCCTATGAGAACATGACAAATTATCTGAGAACCTCTGACTTTTTCCTTACCCTTCCTTGTTTGACTATGTAGTACGGATTACTCCGAGAAAAACCTGCACTCTCCAGCAGATTCATCACATCACTCTTGGTGACATTCTTTTTATCCAAAAAATATTGGTCCTTTTTAGAACCAATCACCCGTCGCAAGGATACTTCCTCTTTCTCAATCTATAAGGAAAAAGAACAGGAAAGGCAAGTAAAGATCATTCTAATCCACAGCAACTGTTATTGTTCACTAGATGTTTATGTCAGTGTCAGTGTAAAAACCCTGTGGAATGACATTGATTTCAATCAATCAAGTACAGATGACACTTAAGCCTTTCTCTTCTGAGATCTAAACATCAGGGCCCAGTTGTTCAAGAGGTGGACAATGTGGTCAGATCTCTGCACTGTCTGCTACACATGCCTGATAATTTCAGCTCTGAAAATTGGTGAAAAGAATAATATTATACAATATCCTTCATTTGTATCTTTGTTTTTTTCTTTTTTCATCACTTTTCAGCTTAAAGATGAACTGGTTTTGTTTGCAGAAATTCCTTTTTTTATCATTGCTAGGAGTGAAAGGGTTGATATAAACTTGTTTTCCCTCTGTTCCATATAAGTTTACATATTTTCTACACAAAGGAAAATATAGCTAAAACTTGATTGACACTTACTGGTATTCTGTTATCTGTATTATCAAAGATGAGTTCCACATAAGCTGACAACACACGTGGCCCAGTACCCTCCTGCAGTTAAAAAATTTAGAGTGAGCGCATTTCCATAAATTTACATTAGTGTATTGCTTGAAAATTTTACTGGTTTTAATTTTGCAGATCGTTCTCAATGTGAAAAAGTAAATTCTGGCTAAAATGCAAAATAAAATGCAACAAAAAATTTACTTTATCCAGAAAAATGAGAAACTCAATTAATTTGCAATTATATTGTATAAGTCTTTCTATGAAATTCACTTAAAATGTCCTCCACATCAATCAACAAGTTTGAAAATTTGAAAAGATTACATTCCTGTTCCTTGTTCTTTAACTGTTGCTTAAACAAAGAATCATAAAATAAAATAGTTTTTATCAGAAACTTTGGTTTCCTCAAAACATAAAAAAAATTAGTTTCCATAAAACAGATAAAATTGTTGATCTGCAAAATAAGTTAAAACTCCAACAAAATTTTGATGTTACAGGGGAAATGTATCCCTTTGAATATTAAGAAATCTAATAGCAGAGTCACTTGTGTTGTATTTCTACAACTGTTTCTGTTTCAATTACACCCCCAATTTCATTTTGCAGACAGACAAACAGATCTATTGGTATATTTCATGTGAAAGTTCACTTACATGGAGAAGGGCCTGCCGTTCCTCTTGTCGAAGATTACTGAATTCATCAGCGCTGAGGACAAACTGTATTGCTATAAGGAAAAGTTGAAATTATTGGTTTATATACAAACACTATATAACTGTGTTGAAAAAACAGACAAACTTACCAAAAAAGAAATTACTTTTTCCTGAACCATTCCTGCCAACTGTGATAAAAGAAAATTAAAAGTTCAGATGTAAGCAAAATCCAACCAAAAGACATACTAATCCTCAAGACTTGACAAAATGAAAACTCTTAAAATTTCAATGAAAAAAATTACAAGAAATAGAAGAGATTTATGACAGATATCAACAATGAAACTTCAGATCTAAAGAAAATCTATTTATTACTGTAATTTTTGAAAACATAGACCTTGTAACATCAAATCCTTACCAATAATATTGTGCTTAGGACTGAAGGGTTCTATGATGGTTTGATCACGATAGCTTCTAAATCCTTGAATAATAACCTGCATGATCAGGAAAAAGAAAAGAAAGCGAAATTTAGAAAGTATGAGCAGTACAATTTGTTCTTCACCATAAAATATCTTTATCTTACTATTATATCAAGACTTGTATACAATTAGGTTTACAGATACCTCTTATCAAACATGTTAACCCCATTATCACTGCCATACCATTCTTATGACATTAGTTCAGAGAATTTGGTATTGAATCGACCCCTTATTAATATTTTTTCTTTATTCTCATTGTTTGTCTGCTTGTTATCATATCAGTACTGTAGGGAAAATTTTGTCTTGGTCATTCTGAAATTGTGGTTCAGTTGTCTGCATGTTTTTAAACAGATTTTGAAGAATACAGGCATGTTGAGAACAATAAATTATTGGCAATGAATAATGAGATTTAAACTGCAAAAAAAGTGGTAAAATTTCCGCACAGCCCCATACTTCATTATGCATTCAGTTCTTGAATAGAGAAAACAATGACTAAAACAATACATTGCCATTGGGAAAACAGATTTGTTTTACAATAGTATGGGGCTGTGCGGAAATTTTACCAAAAAAGCTTTAGACTTAAGCAAGCTGTGGAGGAATACAGGGCATTTAACTGGTATATCATGGGATTTTAGTGTTCTATTTATCAACCATGAATCATTAATTGCAAGAGGAACAAAATCATACAAGTGTTTTGGCACAATGTTGTAAAAAGATTGGCAAAGGCAAATTGAAAATACTACAATGCATTTATCAATCAACTGTTACTCGTGGAAAGTAATTTTGCAAAGTACTCTTACGTAAATTTTATTTCTTTTTGTACGTTTATCATATTTCTCTGAATTATTACCATTTCCTTTTCGATTGAATTATAAATCACTATGGCAATAAATGGATCAAAACGATGGCATACCACTTAAAAACGATAGAAAAACGCGTCAAGACAAGAAAAATCAGTACTGCGATATTTGAAAGAACTAATTTAACCCAAGCTTCCACATTTGTTATGATGATGGTGTGACACGTTAACTAGCTTAATTAACCGAACAACAGAAACTACACGATTTTCCTCCTTTCTCTACCGAGGGGCTTCGGCAATTATTTCAACAAACAAAATTCTCACAAGGAAATAATGAAAATTTTCAGTTTCTGATGTCAGCCATGATCAAAGGCAAGTCTGGATGTTAATACTTTTCAACGATCTGCTAAGCGTGACATTCACAAGTTTGACAGCTACACGTTCGTATCAAGACCTTTACCAATTTCTCAGCGTCCAACATTCAGTTAAACGCTAGCGAAACAGACCAAAGATAAGAAAAATGCCTTACCTGCTTAATGTACATAACTGTCCCGTTGCTTGAAGGCTCCAAGTAGCAAAATTTAGTGAAAAATTAAGTGTAGGGCTGAATGAAAATCATGGCGGAGCCACACATTTTGGCGCGAATATATTCAGCTGAATTCTGATTGGTTAAAAATAAAGATCCCATCGCTCTCTGCGCTGCGTCAAAAGAAATATATGTCATGTAGGTGAAATGATAAGTCCTGCAACCAGCTCCAGAATTACTTCCGGTTTTATTTCGATAATTGACTGCAACAGAAGGCCTTCAATAAAGTGTTTAAAACCACTGTGGGTTGACCAAAAGTACCTTTGGAATTTCCAACACAGTTAGATGTTGTCAATACAATATTATTGCAATTGTATTTACTGAAATTGCGCATTTAATGTGCACAACACAATGAATATATATATATTATTTATATATATATTTAAGTGAAGTAAAGAGCTATATGATGCTGATGATGTTTCTTTTCTTTTTTTTTAATCGTTCAATTCATTTCTTGTTCTGACTTGTTTTGTTGTTATTTTAGGAGTTTGGTGATAGATGAAGGACAAAAGATTAGGAATTGAACTGATTTAAACCATAGCAACATATGAATACATTCTATGTTCTCCAATAGACTATGATTGTAACAGATCATATGGGCAAATATTTTTAATGTTTCAAGCACGAAGTGAGTCAATAAAACAGTAAACAACTTTATTTTTGTTTGAGGAAAACTTCCATTTTTTATGTCCTCTTTCACTATCAAATATATTACTTACTTTTTATAAACACCAGCTGGTATTCACACCCAGCTAATCTCAAAATTGGTGATGATTTTTCTAGATTAAGTTTCTTCTCATGGTTTTCCTTGATTAGCATTTAAAGATCATGCTGACATCAACAATAACATTAAAAGTTTTTTTAAAAAATTGATGTTACCCCTGAGGGATGAGCTGATGAAACTGAAGTTAATTCATGCAAAAACAGTGATGATCAGTCATTCTAAAATTAAACCATGGCAGTTATAGGTATTCCATCTTTGCTACACAATGATGGAGGGTCTATCATCAAAGAAAATACATAAACAAAAATATCAATGTATCCTGAAACAAGCACACATCCTGCAGATTTTTTTAGCTGTAAACTCAAATGATGGTTCTAGTACAAATTATTGTGAAAAGGATGAAAGAGGACCAGAGGGGTCTCTGTCTAGGAGGGGTTCTCAAGTTTGGACCTTGTTTAACTCAAAATTTTCACTTAAAATTATACCACATCTGCAAAACTAATCCCTCACAGAACCATGCACATGTTATTCAAATTATTAGCAATTAATGTAGTAAAATCTACCTTGTACAGCATGGAGTATAGTTTGTCAATATTCATGTCTATAAATAACTTCTAATAGCCGCTGATAGTTTGATACCTTAGTAAATATAAAATATTATGCCTTTGCAAAGAAAGTGTCAACAATTGGAAACTCCTTTCTAGATCCGGAGTGCCAAAGTTAAGTCCTGACTGGACAACACATATTTCTAAATAGTTCCTTTTTGGAGTGACCCCAGAGAGGGGAAATGAGTTGAAGTATGGAGAGGGGGGAGGGGGGCTTGGAGGTAGAATGTTGGTCACATGTTACCTAAACATACAGCCGACCTGAAAATTAGATGACAATAATAATATCAATATTAATAAAATAATTATGTAAAATAATAAAATTAATCAAAATGACAATCTCAAGGTCTTAGAGACAGTTCGCCGAAAGTGTCTTCATTTACCTCTCACACAATTCATTATAACAATGAGTTAGTTGATATCATGAAAACTTCCGCGATCGGAGTAGCTGCGGTTGAAAGAATCCTCAAAGTCGTCATCCCTAGGATTTCTTCGACGCTGAAATGCGAGCAAGCCAGTCGTAACCGCCGAAATTAAGACCAAAATTAGCCCAGCAATTACTAAAATAAAGTACACCCGGTGTGGTTTTTTTAGTATGTGGCCAGAGTAATTTTTCTTCGACCTCAAGTCAATGACTAGGGCGATAAAGGTAAACACGAGAAGAGTTAAGAAAACATTGGTGAAGAATGAGCCGTAGCGGAGAATGAAGCGACAAAATGGAATCCTCTTTAACGAACACTCTCGGCTCCCAAGCAACCTTGCTATCAGGAAGGATGTCGTAAATAGAATCAGTAATCCATTCACGATCATCACCAGGAACAACACGAAAAAGGGGCAGTTTACATCGCTCGACGAACCAGTAGATTCGAAATTTGACCAACATGACTGACTGGCATTCGCTTTGCCTACTTCCGCCTCCAGGAAATTCACCGTTAAAAAGCAAATCTCTGCCGCCAAAGAAGACGTACAGGCCAGTGCAAATAACGCTCTTGGATTACAGTTTCCCATTACTTAAGCTTTGTGAGGAAAGATACTTCTGTAAGAGGACGTTCGTAATTTTAGTTTCTCTATGAAAAGCGCGTGACAGATCGAGACGATGACGATCGTGTTACAGTTGCCGCTGGTCACTTGTGAGCTTTCGATAATTTTGCTTTCCTTTTTCTTCTTCTGTTTTGAAGAGTGAGCTATTCTTTCGATTTTGTCCAACTTTTCAGCGGCGTCCAAGACATTGAAATAAATTTTGATAGAAGTGATAAGAGAACTTGAAATCCCATAAGGAATCATCCATAATTCGTTCCAGGGAGCGGACTGGTTGCACTAATTAATACAGCTAGATAACACAACGATTTAATCTGACCGTAAGACGTGTGCATACATCCGGGATATATTAGTTCTCATTGTAGTGCGCAAGTCCCTAGAGGCTATTAAAAACACAGTGACATCGTTACACCGGTAACATCTTTAAGAAAGTAAAATGAAACGTTCTGAGGAACTAAGGTTCTAAGGAAAAGAAAAATGATTCTAACCCCTCTAAATGTGCCTTTAAAAGAATTGATGGTCACCTCCTCAACCTCCCCCCGTTTGAAAAAAAAAAGGACGGGCATACATGTTCAACTTTAAATTCTTATTTACTAATTAATCTCAAAATCTGCATGTAAGAACAAAGAAATAAAATGCAAAAATGCAAGCTACTATAACTGAGTGAATGTTTGTTTGTATCACTATTCGAACCCTTTCATATCCTCAGCGATGTTCTCTACCACCATTCCTTCCTCCTTTTCCTCTTCTCTCTCTGCCCCTCCCCAAAATCTGTCCCCTCTCCATCTTTTTCTTCCTCTGCTCCCTTTCCTTTCTCTGCCCTAACTTTTTCTCTCCTTCCTGTCCTTCTTCTCTTTACCCTCGCCCTCTCCTTCGTCTTCTCCTTTTGCCTTCTCAGAGTCCTTTCTATCCTTCCTCTTATACCTCTGTCTCACCTCCTTTATTCCCTTCCTCTGCATTGTCTTTCCGTTTCTTTCTCCTTTCCTTCACTTCACTCTCCTCCCGTTGCTCTCCTGTCCTTCCTTTGCCTCAACAGCCCCTTCTCCTTCCTCTGCACCTCTTCTTCTTCCGTTCCCTCTCCTTCATCTCCTTCCACTGCTCTCTCTTTTCATTCCTTTTTCTGCTCCCTATCCTTCCTCTTCCCTATCTGCTATTTCTCCTTCCTCTCTTCCTCTGCTGATTCTTCTTCCTCATCGTCCTCTCCTTCGTCTCCTCCCTCTACTCCAAAACACGATTAATCACACAAACCTCTCGCATACGGGATGCAATTTACAAACCGCATGAAGGAACTTAAGCTTATCTGCTGCAATCCGTAGAAAAGAGCGAGGCTAAACAAAAATATCATGACTATTGTAAACACAACTATAAATTGACATAAGAAAAATTTCCGTGGAAACACGATTCGACTCCAAAAAACCAATGCACTCAAGCAACCGTAAGGTAAACCGGTCAACAGAGAAAAGCTGTTAACTTGTGGAAGGGTGCCAAGAAAAATAAGAGCAAAGAGCGAGCCAATTAAGAAAGTAAGCCTTCGCCCAGGATTCTTTATCGTTCGTCTGCGTATCACGTGTTCAACCAGAGCCAGGCCCGTGATACCGCCGACGGCTGGACCTGCTCCGGCCTGGGGCGAGTCATGCTTTGTAAATAGGGAGCCAATCTGAAAAAAGAGAGGACCAAAAATGATGAAAACTGCAAAGTGCGAACATTTTTTATAGTTGTTACAACAGATGCAACAGTATAATCTTAATCAAACTTTGGGCACTAAATCAGCCTTTTTTAACTACGAAATTTTCTTTAAAAATAATCTGGAGCTGAACTGGCTTTTACTCACTCCCAGTTACTCTTAATCTATAATCTAGCTGCTAAGAGAATCTAAAATTAACCTAAACAAATACTGAATAAGGCATAAGCCCTACCAATTGTCCGCCCACGCCAGCAGTATGATACACCATTGTTATGCGCAACCATCCCATAACGTTTTCCTGTCCCCAGCACAACCTTATTTGTATAAATGTGATCAGTAGGTAGTCTAGAATACCATGATGTAGATAAAGTGACGTCACGAATCGCCACCATTGATTGCCTCGACGTGGAGCGAATTGTGTGACGTAATTGTCAGCTGCAATATCACTGCCCAGAATGCAAAGCTGCCTTAGACAGTCGACCTGACAAATGATGAGTCAAGAAGTATATCGGTCATGAAATTCCACAAATGATTTACACCAAATTTTAGCACAACATGAGCTAATTTTCAACCATTAAGCCAATGATTTAAATGGTGAGCACTATTGCAAACACGTTTATGTAAGTTAGGTCTCTGCATATACAGAGCATCCATCTTCAAAAGACCCCTTTACTTTTACATGGAGTCCATACCACGCTTTTATTCCTGTTGCCGCCCAACCTTTCCTAACTATTTCTTGTTGATTCATTTTTGAGTGTGCACGACGCGATTGTTAGATTTATAGGTACAAATAACTGGATATTGCACAGGGTCGTGAATCGTGCGCATGTGATGACATCCTCTCCTAAGAGTCGATCTGTATGTAATCGGTAAGGTTGTTGTGCTTCAAGAGAGCCCTCTGTACCTGTGTGCAGTGGTCAAAGTGAAGATGAACTCGACCCTTCATAAACCAACAATGCTGCGGACTGGTCAGCGTACACTGCCCATCTTCTTTACAGCAAGGTCGCAAGATATGCTTGACGGCCGATTGTGGTGAAGACCGCTGACTACAACGTACTTCCCTCCAAGTCGCTTTGTTGTTTGAGAGAATGCTACATTCTCCCTGTAGAAAAAGAATCACTGAACTGAGTTCATGTTTGTATTTTCGAGGTTACACGGCACAAAAAGAATTGGCTCGTTATTCATACGTAATGCAGGCCTTGCGATATGTCAATTCCACCAAAGATGCTTTTAGATTATGTCGGGAATAGAGGTTTGTTTTCTGAGACGTTCACATCAGCGTCAACCTCGATCTCATGTTCTGAGGGAAAGCAGACGGCATATGGAGCCGCCGGGGATATTAATTAGTTTTGTCGTGGAAACAACTTCGAAACGAAGAGACTCTCTCTATTAAGTATTTATTCAATACATTCTCAAAAAAAAGGAAAAAATTTGCAGGGTATAGCTAGGCATGCGGCGCACAATACGAACTGATCAAAAGCACTGGATTCCATTTTGAATCCGAACATTTTACCTTCGTTGTTGTCCCTGCTGCGTTCACTTCCTCTACCTCACAGCAGCCCAGTTTTTCTCCACCTTCCCCAACGTGCAGCTGCAAAGCGTGAACCATGTAGACGTTAAACGCGTAATCTTCCCTGATGCACGGCGGGTAGAGCGCCCCCAGGGATATCAACTGTGCTCCTGGGGGGCCAATCAAGGGGTTCGGTCGTTCACTGTGAGTAACAGTGACATTACCACGAAACGTGAAAGGCTCTGACAAAAGAAATGAAATGTAGAGTTCAGGTCCTAGTGCATTGAATCCTTCGGCAGAACTGCATGATTTAAATTCTATGAGTTAAGTTTTAAATCAGCTTATGTCCAGGATTGAACTCAATCACAATGTCGCCCAACGCCCCCAACCCCTCCCCTGAACAAACGGCTCCGTCATAGCTCTCATGGACAATCACAACTCCTTCGCCTGTTATTCAAACCAGCTATTAGTTTCTGACTTCACTTTCACTGATGACTACCCCATTTTTAGGGGTTCACTAAATGACGTCCCCTCCGTAATACAGATATTGACTGTAACTTACCTATTCTGTAATAGGTCCTTGGTGACAAGCCTATTTCAGTGAAAGTTGTCGTGTAGCACAACCAGATCAACATAAACAACTGTGTCAAGGAAACTGCGAATGTGAAGTAAGGGCGAAAGCGACTGACCGCTTTTGGCTGCGGTCTTTCCACATTAGGTCGTGAAGTGTCCGTTGATTCATACTCTTCTGTTGTAGTTTCTAATTAAACCATATAATGAAAAAAGAAATAGACCTCATCATGATAAACATAAAGTGCAGTTAACAAGGCACTGTTTTGTTGTTCTTTCCAACTCTTCGGGTAGAATTAGAACGTTAAGTGTCTCTAACCTATCAACTTCTTCGAGTTCCCAGATATTTTCCAGGCCCTCATTAATTCTTCTAAGAGGCCTTGAGTAACGCGAGCCCTCGAGAGATCCGCCTTATTGGTGCCAGACCTCTCAGTAAACGTCTCATCTCAAATCTTCTCTCGAGCGAAGAAACGCGCGGAAACGCACAGAAGAACACAGAAACGCGCATCCAGCAGCATTAACATTGACAGCTTGCGCACAGTCTTTATTGTCTGCGACAGTTTTTGATCAATGACACCAAAAGAACATAAGCTGAGCTCATTGTCTTAGATCCTGGGGCGCTAATCGGTGAAGAATTTGAAACAGGAAGCGCGTTGTTTCATGGCTAGGAACCTTTCTTTAGGCAACTTGCTCACTTCATCTATACTTGAGGTGCCATACGCCACAAAGATTTTAGATGTTCAGCGGCTTTCAGTTTTCGAAATATTTCCGTTATGGTGTAATATTTTTTTCAATGCAATCTACTCGTTTATCGTATTTTTCCGTATTTTTAGTTTGTTTGTTTTTTTTTTGACAGTAACTGATTTAAGATCAAATCTAAGAATTTCAATCTCACCAGAAGCCCTAAATTAAAAGGTATTACCAAATTCACAAACCTAGACGACAAGAAAGTGCTACTGTAGTATATATATCTTCTCTCGGAAATGTTACCTTCTTCACCAGATTCAACTTCCACAGGTGTCGTCATTTTCGGACCGGAGACGTTTTAGACGAGAACAGATTTTTCGTCACCATTTTTTCTTTATGTTGACACCAAACACAAGCGTGAAACACGAGGTAACACTGCCACTGCTAAAAGCAGTTTTTCTTTCAGCGATAACAAATTATTTCATTACATCATAGAGATTACGTCACATTGTGACGTAACATTGGCATTTTAATAGGCTCGCGCAAAGCTAACCTCATTCCCAGACCCACGACCGTTTAGGCCCACGCCACGCTTCGTTTTCCTGAAATCTGACTCGCTAATAAAACAAACGCAGAATCTCATCGTGATTTTTCACTAAGTGACCTCTTGGTAAGTACGTGGTCTACTGGGTTAACTCTTGTAAACACTCACAGTATGCAGCTGTTATTCAGAAATGCGTAAGTATGTTTTAATCTGAAAATACTTTAGCTTTACAAGTGGGTGTGGCGTTTTTAAACTTTTCGACGTACGTAAACCTTAACATGCATGTTTCGCAACCATTCATATAACTTCAGTTTGCCTTATTAAGGACTAAGTAAGAAAATTTTAACTTCTCACGTTTTGAATACAGTTTATAAAAATTCATACAGCAAACCGAAGAAACTTAAGTAAATAATATGAAAAACAACTCCGTCTTCTCGTTTGACACCTACATGACCACGTGGTCATGTAAGTGTCTTGATATGAACACTATTTCCAGTGCTGCCAATCACCAGCTGAGTTCCGTCATGTGACACGTCTAGGGCTTGAATGGGTTTACCCTCCCCTTCCACACTAGCAATTACCTGTTTAAGAAAAAACAATAAATAAATCACAAAATGACTTGATAAATAATTTGCAAGTGATGGCCCATTACACTAACCCTTCAACCCCTAAGAGTGATTAGCATGTAATTTCTCCTTACAATATCAGCCCTGAAGCAAACATAAGGGCCATGAGAATAAAGAGAATGATCACCAACTAAAAAAGCAGATTGTTAAAAAAATTCTCCATGTCAGCATCTTTAGAATGTACAGAGAACAGTATGGAGAATATGCATACTGATTAGTAAGGGTGCGACCTCAATGTGTAATTCAGGGGTGATATTGTACGGAGATGTTAGTATCCTAAGGGTCAGAGGTTGAGGAAACTGTGTTAAGCACCTTGTTTTCACTTCTGTTGATGATTTTCAGATCATTGGTTCCACTTCCTCCTGCAGCGATAAGATCATAACTAGAACAAAACCGAGCCACGTACAGGAACTCCCCGTGCTCAAGCTGACACGGAAATGGAATTGATTCTATCAGTTCGCCGCTGCCATAGTCCCACACCTACGATATAGATAAGATTAAATTGTAACTTTTATCCACTATATTAATACCTAGTCGAGCAAACAGTGGATAAGAATTCAGCAAAATATCACCTTTCAAATTCCTAATGAGTCTCGAAAATAATCCGAGTATGTTATGGTTCTGTTTAACAACGCTTGGTCCAGAAAACTCACACCACCATCCTCTCAACCAATCAGATGACAAACTTAAACAACTGGTGACTTATTAACTCACATTTTCCCGCGCTTCGAGCCCTGCGCTTGTTTGTAGTTTGTGTTCCAATTGGTTCCCAGAGACATTTCTGGTAGGCTTTTATGACAATTTTGGTTTCGGTCAAACAACATACATTCGAAAAACAAGTTAATCAGTGTATTTTACTAAAATTCCAAATTCTCTTGACCAACAAAATCCGGAAATAAATAGCAGTTGGCAAGGACTGCCGAGGACGAGTCTCTTTAAAACCCCAAGATAATTTTTATCGTATCGCAACAAAACTAAATTGTTATTTGAAAAAGAATAGCTCTTCTCAATCTTCGATACGGTTACCAGAGCCGGTACAATTTTTCATCAGATATGGAGCAATTTCCTCATGGTAATTTACATGGTGTTTCTTTGATCTTCCAAACAATTCATTGGCTTCCTAGCTTCCCTCTGTAACTTTTTTTACCTTAAATTCTTCTTGATTGTCCACTACTCTGTTATACTTTTAGGATTGCCTTCGTAACAAGCGCTCGAAATTTTAATTTGGAACAAGTTACTTAAACCGGCACGATAAGAGAAGTAACACGCGCGAAGAGAAGTCACACCCGCGAGAAAGAAATCACACGTGCGCGTAAGATGTCACACACACGCTCCAATCACATTGCGCCTATTTAAAACGCTGCCAACCTCGTCCCCAAGATCTCGCTTCATCCAATGTCGCGCAAACTACTTTTCATATTACCTGTAGTGCATTACGGGCCACCCAAGAGGCCGTCAAAATAGAGTCTTCCCACATGTCAATTCCATCACCACAGATGTACGGCCCGTGGATAGAGCGAACCACTTGATGTACTCGTACATCCCACACCTACCATAAGACAAAAATAAATTTCCTTTGTTCTGACTGGACTTTGTTTTGACTTTTAGGAAACTCAGGGACATGGGCCTCTCATGAAAACTGGAAGAGGATTCAGTTCGTGACTGACCTTCAAACATCTGTCCCAGCCTCCAGTCAGAAAGACGTTGTCATTAAAAGGGTGAAATTTCACAGCGAAAACTTTTCTTCCATGGCCTACTCCTGGGGCAAAAATGTCTTCCTCTCTGGAAATTCAATAACAAGTACAAAGTCATGAAGAAAATGACAGTTTAGTGCGTAATCTAAACATACAACCCAAGAGGGGGGGAAGGGGAGAACATTTAAAGGGAATTTCATGAGGGGATGTGCTGTCAAGTCAAGGCTGTTACATCAAGTTGCCATGAAAGTTTTATGGCAGCCATTAATACTTCTGGGGAAAAGGGTTTTGCTCAAGAACACAACACAAGCCCCATCCACACTTTACCACCCATACCTCTCAATCTGAAGTCCAACACCAGTCCCCCTGGTCCTTGACTCTCAGAGTCACTGAACACTTCATCCTTGCTGCCCCCTCCCTCTCCCTCTCCCCTCCCCCTCCCCCTTCTTCTCCCCCTCCCTCTCCCCTCCCACTCCCTGCCTTGTTTATGTGCACATCCACCAATGTTTACACTTATTCATTAAATTGGCAGATTCATCCAAAGCTGTAGTAGTTGTAGTCCCATCTAGCACTATGTGGGGTAGCTTAAATACTGTTAGTTTCCCTATGCCATAAAAAGCAAGGTACCCTCTGTCAGTCATACTTGTATGTAGCCCACTTAATGTATTGTATCATTATTTTAGTTCTTACTGATAAGTACCAGTAAGTAAAATGATCAAACATAAAAACCTCACTCTGTTACATCAAGATGACCTGTTCCTCCAAATGTACGCTTCAGTTTTAGTGTGCTTGAGTCATAAACTCGTACATCTTTGTCCTTCATTTGGAAGGGGGAAAAGGATGTTATGAAAAAAAAAAAGACAACAGTTATTTCTACCACAGATAGACTGATGCAAATCACATCAACAGGTTATCAATGATTAACAAAATGCTGAGGAGAAATCACACCTAACGCTGCTTAGAAACGATTCTGTGCTCCTTTTTTAGTTGCAATGAATCCGCACCTTTACACTGAAGATCACCTTAACCCTTTAACTCCCAAGATCTGATTGTTAATTCTCCCATCTTACTTCTACTCATTCCCTGGTAAATTGGTTACAAGAATTTGGTGATAGATCAAGATAACAACTTCTACTTGTCTAAGTTTGAGTTTTCTCATTACCTGTTTGCTCAATAATGTATGGATATTATGTATGTTGCATGTTAATCACTTCTGGGAGTTTGAGGGTTAAAGTCAAATCTCATTGAAATACTAAATGCTATCAAAAATGAAAAAATGTTTGTTGCAGTGAAAGAGAAGACTGTAATCAGTGCAACCATTATGAATATTGCTGTGAAGTCCCAGTTAAGGTATTGGCATGGCCTTTAGAGTCATGGGAGAGCATGCATCTTAATAAATGGCCGGCTGAATGTTAAGCATGGTGAATCTATTGGGGAGGATCTTTTTGCAGACGACAGCTTAATTCTGTTTCTTGGAAACACAGGATCAATGACCTTTACTACCATCAATCTTTTTTTCTAATTATACTCTGCACAGCACATCCACACATTCACCATGGTGTCACTCTGATTCTTCCAACACCCAATGTAAAACAAACCTTGACATTCCATGGGTGATAATAATGTTGCAGGTTTCATGACCTACCTTGCCAGCAGTTGCAAAGATCCTGCCATCATGTGAGAAATCCAGAGCACTTATTTCATTGTGAGGCTCCTCAATTTTCTTAAAGGATTTCCATGTTTCCAAGTCCCAACACATCATCGTTCCATCAGCACCTTATGTAAAAGTTGAAGTATTGCAATCTATTATAAACTGTTATAATAACTATTACATAATTTTTGTCAGTACAATTTGAATCATTTCAGGGCTTCAGCTATTTTATCTGTTGAGCAATTTTATATTTGAGGTTATATTTGCAACCATCTAGTAATAACAATCATCAGCTGAGTAAAATCTACAGCTCAGAAAATATGGTGGAATATCCACCTCACCTTGGTAGATTTCTTTGAAAAGATAATGTCTCCAACTAAATGCAAATATATAGTGGACAGTACATTCCATGAATCTGCCATTCACTTAATACTTCATCAGCTGGAGTTTATTATCCTGATCGACCACCAAAACCTCTTAATCAATTTACATGGATATGTATGGTAACTGAGCGCTACAAGCTCAAGGCTCTTTCAAAGTTGCCATTCTGTGGCCAAAAATCAGAAAACGGCTGCCAGAAATTTTTTGACTTTTAAACATGAAGAAAATTAGAGATAGTATACCAGAGTGCTCCAAGCTAAAAGCTTTTTCAAAGTGGCCAATCTGTGACCAAAAATTAGAAAACAGCTGCCAGAAATTTTTTGATACTTAAAATTAAAACAAAATTACTGATAGTGTACCAAATATTGTTTGAGGAAAAATGACATTATTACCTGCTGTGATCAACTCATCGTCTTTAAATGGAAAGAATTTGACAGATGTGGTAGGTAAACCATGCAAAGAGCCATGTTTTAGCAGTTTCCTTCTTCCTGTGTTACACTCATACACCTGTTACAATAAACATGATACATATGCAGGAACAGAAAATATTAAGATTTACCATCTACAGAGCCATGGATCATACCAAGCAAACTCCCTGATTTCTGTGTTTCTGTCAGAAGTAGAGCATTAAGGGTAGTTAGGGCAGCAATCACCAATTAGGGGCTAGCTCGCAAACCTCATGGTTTCAGTAATGATCAAAGCATGCTTTTAAAAATTGCCTCCTAATCATATGTAATTTTCAGACCATTTCGCTGTCCATAATATCCCTTTTGCAGGCAATAAAATATTTTTAATCTGTTGTTGTTGTCAATAGAGATTTCTTTAAACATAAATCAGCCTGATGGTCAAAATGCAAATTCTCCTCCTTGATCTCCATGTTTTTCTTATAATACCATAAAAAAATGTGAAAATTTGTTTAAGATAACAACAGTTTTGCTTTGGTGATTACTTCCTTGATTCTCATGACCTCACATCAAGAAATTATACTGATAAGGAGAGGAGAAATTTAAAGCTGAACTTTCTCAATACACCTGTGTCTTTACAAAAATATTTGCAAAAATTGACTTAATTGTTTCAGATTAATTTGATAGTCTTTCAGTCATGTCTTCCCCTTTCTCCCATCTTAATTTGCCCACCTATTCATACCTTGCTCCCTAGATCAGAAATCAAATTCTCTAAACTGAAGATTGTGGATAATTACAAATCTTTTATACCCATTTCAAAGGAAAAAAATGCACATTTCTGACACAAGGTAATCTATTATTTGTTTACCTGAATTGCACCATTGCCACAACCAACAACTAAATTCTGCTGCTTGGGAGAAAACTTGACACTGTAAACTCCCATAACATCATCAAAATCTACTTGAACCAATGAGTTATCTCCATTGGTCACAGAATCACTGCAATACAAAATATCAACCCAGCAAAAAAAATCAGACCTTGTAAACTGCAACCAATAATAAACCATTTGCACCAAAGGGCCTGACCCTTTAACTCCCAGTTCAAATTCGTCATCCTCCTCACTGTTGACCATACAATTCTTATAATGTTAGTTCAGAGAATTTAGTATTGGATCAATTAATTATCCCTAAATTGATAATTTTCTTTATTCTCATAACTTACCTGGTTGACATTGTATTGATAGTGTAAGGAGAAATTCTGTCTTGGTCACTCATGGGAGTTAAAGGGTTAAACATGTTTTAAAGCTGTTTTGTTTTATGATGTAAATTTGTTTTCCTAATAGAAACTGCTTGATGTTTATTGACTTAAGATTTAACACATTGAAGATACAAGTTGGTGACTACTTAATAGTAAAATGGAGAATTCAGGTTTTCAGTTCTCTGTTTTGGATTTTCATTCAGTTAACCCTTTAACTCCCAGAAGTGATTCACATAAAAATTCTCCCCACAATATCTATACATTATTCTGCAAACAGGTAATGATAATATTCAAACTTATTAGGTAGAAGCTGCTATCTTGATCTAGCACCAAGTTCTCATAACTAATTTACATGGAAATGTGTAGCAGCTAAAGGGGAGAATTAACAATCAGATCTTGGGAGTTAAAGCATTACACAGAAAGTTTTACTTTTAAATTAAACCTTGGTTATTGCACATTCCATACCATGAGAACCGTAAAGTTCCAAATTGATCATTAAAAATAAATCTTATGCTGCTGGCAATCATATTAGGGAGCCATTCAGTAAATGGTGCAACATCTCTCTGGGTTCAATGGGTCATGACCTCATTTCAAAGATTTACACTCTTGCCAGTCATTTTTTGAATTTAAATGTCATTTAGAATGGACACTGCGATATGAAACTTTTTTATAAAAACAAAGCTGAAATTTAGGAAAGATTCCTGTTTTTGTGATAACATGCAACTTCTTAGTCCCTCTTATTTTCAAATTTAATGGTGCTAATTTCCAGTTTGATGCTGCCAATTTCCTCTCAAAGGTCAACCAGCGTCTCAACTGCATGCATGCAGATTTTCCTGTTAACTGATATTTACGTAGTAAAACCATTCGTCAATCTACTTAAGATAAAAGTTATGCCGCAATTTTGCTTGAGATCTGTATATACCAAGCTTCAAACGATTCAAAGCGTCGTAAGTTGAGTACTCATTCCTTACTTTACCTGGAGATGCTCTTCGCGATATCTTTCCCAGCGTTCAAGGCTTCTTCTAACCTTCGTCGAGTACTGGAAGACATTACAACCTTTTTAAAGCTTTCAAACGCTAGGTAGAGTAAAAGTGATCCATAACCCTCTGTAATGCAGCCATAAACAGTTACTCTATTAAGTCTGCGAGTTACAGCCTAAAAAGTCAAACTTTCAACGAAACAAGTTTTCCCGGAGGAGGTGCTGAAGTTGTCGTTTCCAGGCTTCATCCATTTCTAAGTACATGAGATGGACTGGGCAAATCTAAACGGTCCACGCGCGAGGGAGACACTCCCTCTTCACCCCCACCCCCTCCCCCCCTTTTCTGGACAGGGAGGGACTTCAGCATCAAGATAAATAGAGAGTACTACATGGGCGCGCATAGATATGGAATTTCTCTTCGAGTGTTTAGCTCGATAGCTCACGAGTGAGCGCAGCGCACAAGTCTGTCGAGTTGAACACTTGAAGAGAAATTCCATGTCTACAAACAACCACGTATTATTTTGCTTATCATATAAACACAATAGCCCTTTACTGACAAGAAAAGCCGACTTCATTTAGAATGAAAATAAATGAAACGAAAATCCCCGAATAACAATCGTAGAGTGCGTTAGCACTAACTCTAAGGATGGAAAAATGCGTTGAATCACCATTACAAAAACAACACTGGTCGTAATTTTCAACTGAAAAAATCTCATTTATTGACTTTGTCCTTACCGACAGAAGAAGTCTTTAAGGTAAACGGCCAAAATCGGCCAGTGGCAAATCTTCCAGTTGACGATTTTCATTCTCACCGCGAGAAATGCCAACACCAAAGCTATTGAATACATAACTTTCTTTTTTTTTGTATATTGGTTTTTCCCCTTCTAGAAAAGTTTGAACCAATACGGATTTTTCAGTGTTTTAGCCGCCACAATCCGAGAACGTTCCGACAAACTACCTTATATTGAGAACCGGGAAGGCTTTGCCGATCATTTATCAAATTGTCCGAGTGGCGCTAAAGGCGAGTGACGTGTCAGCAGCTGATTGGCTATATCAACACACGTGAAAAAATACGAAATTTTTTCACGAGTGTTGTTACAGCTTTTCTCAGGGCCGGAAATCCCTGTATAACACCGCAGTTTATGTCATAAAAAAATTTTTTCGGAAATTATGACTAGGTATCAATGGAAAAGTAACTTTGATATTCATAGCATAGATTCTTGTTTTACAATAAGATGTTTTCAGTTTTTTGAGGGTGCGTTCCTTTGGGAGAATCCGGATCTGGATTTCTGATCTGTGGCGTTCCTTTCGAGCAAATCCATTTTCAGATCAGTGGTCTATCAAATCCACTCTGGACAAGAATTCATCGGATCACTGATCTTCGTGACCTAAAGACGAATCATTGGATCATTGATCCAACGTGTTCCTTTGAGCGAAGGATCCGAAATTAATCATTTTGCCCAGCGGCGCTCAATCTCAAATTAGGTTCTTCATATATTGACCGGAAAGATTGTTGGCAATCGCTCCACAAATTCTGCGATAAACACGAAATAAAATCAATTTTGTAATGTTAAATCGAGCGGCCACTGATCGCAGGCATTCAGGGTTCCCAAGTATCCGTATCGTAATCAATACTTGCTTCTGTAAGTCAGTAGCAGATCTCCCACCACTCCTTTGCCCATGAGGCAGACCTAGGCAAGTAGCTAACAGGCGTTCCATACAGCTGACTGTAGTTCTTGACATCCGAAAATGACTTAAAAAATCTGAAACAATGTAGATTAGTTTAATACGTTCGAAGTACTTCTCAATGTGGACATGGCTCTGCCTCTCCCTTAAAAAAAAAAACAAAAAAAACAATAGTAATTCTTCATCTTGACAACTTCTCACTTCTTGTAGTATTGAATCATCCGAAAGTTCCTTTATTAACGAAACAACAGCTGTTCTATCCACGACGGCCATCTTGTTTCCGTTTTTAAATTTAGCGCATAATTCCGCCTACGCGCTCTACAATTTCGCGCCTGCTGTCATGGTTACTGATCTGGTGATGACTTTGATGCAACGTGATCTGTGTGATCTTGGATCACAAATCCTAATCTGGAACCTCGTAAAGGAACGCACCCTTAAATTTCCCATAAAGACCAATCTAGGCCTACTGCTCAACCGCTGACTGAAAATCAATCGGGATAACTCTAGGGTCGTAAAAAACTCGGATCAGCAGAAGGAAGGAAAACTTTCACTTGCTTTACCTTTTCATTGGATTAAAATTTTTACATGTGATACCGATATTATAGTCTATTCAATAACATATACAACCATACTAGAGTATTAATGTCCACCCAGGAACATATCAACTGGAACTCTCACATCCCATATAAACCCTTGGAGACTTCCTTTGCCCGTATTTTTTCTTCATTTGAGAACCTAACCAGAGGTTGCGGTGTGCTGGCTAATCGTAGCAAATGAAATTATTGTGTAACCACGCTCTGTCACACGCGATTACGAGAAACGTTCATCGAGTGAAGACAGTCAAACTTCTGATTGTGATACTCTCGCGGACGTGGTGAGAACAGAGTATATCGGGGGAATTTTGAAAACTAAGACTGTTCTTAAAATAAAATGATATACAGGCAGCGTAGGTAGGTATGATGCGTGAGAAAGCTCCTAGTCCTAATGCTCAATCTTGTTCCCAGTGTCCTCTCTTCCCTGTTCAAATAAACAACCTTGGGGAACCTGTAAGTGAGGCGGCAGTTAACGGCAGATAACATCAGTTTAGTGAGGAGACAAGGGTGAATCGCTTTGGGAAACAGAAAAACTTGTAAGGTATGAGTACAATGTTAAATTTAGCTTATTTCCCACGATGGTAGTAGTGGTTGGGTATATACCTATATATTTTATATTCATCTGGGTTTCCTTTTCAAATTCGATGGAGTTACCGCTATCAATTAAAAGAACTTCAGTAGTTTGTTTTCATTTTAAATTTACATTGGAATGTCTCAACTGTTAAAATGTTTCCATTGCCATTAAGCATATCTTGAACCAAATGGATATCTCAATGAAACCAATGTTTCAGCAGTGATGCTCTCCGGTAAACTGCAATTTAAGCAATTGTAGAAAAGGAAGGCAAAAATATAGGTTTTGACTTCATTCAAACCTGTGCTTCCCAAATTCTACCAACTGAAGAATTTTTCGTGAATGCACCATGGAAAGTTTGAATGGATGAATAGTTAGCAAATCCTTCTCCTTTTGAGATGGCTGTCCCTTTGTTAGCCAAAAGCATATGAGAGAGTTTCCTTACTAAAGAAATTTTACACTTAATAAGTTATTTGGGTAACAGAAAATTTGGAATAAAATAGATGAATGTACTTTGATGAAAGCAAGGTTCAAAATAACAGCCGGCTGCCGGCGGCAGCCGCAACTTTTAGCGCACTTATCAGCGATTTTTCACCGAAGAACTAGAATTTCATAGCAAAATATTACGCTTACTGATCGTCCAACTGAAGTAAAAGTCGCTGTCATGCTATGATGAACTTTTCATGTTAGGCAATTAAGCAGCCAAGAAATGCGCTTAAAGCTTTTCGGAAACGTAAACGAGTATAAAGTTTCGAAATTCGAAGCGTGCTACAGGGAGTATTTTTGTTTACAGTATTCGGCTTTCCACGTATTTGTTGGAGCGTGAAACATGCAAGTTTGTGTAAACACCGTCACATTATCGTATTTACGTTTCTGCACTTACATACTACCTTTAATCAAGATTTATTTTCTGCCAAATCCTGTTCAATGTCGTTTGCAAAGCCTTCTTACACGTTCAAATTAAAGTCGGTACTGTACAGTACGGATTTCCCATGGAGAAGCGCGACAGTTTGTCTCGACGAAATTGTATATTTCACGCTTGAAGAAACACCGAAAAATTGAGCCGTTTGCAACGTTTTCTTAGAAAAGGAATTGCTGCCACAAAACATGTTGATCAAAATAAAGATTCTGATGCTGAAATTATTTTAAGCAATTTAAGGTAATTATTCCTTTCAGTACTGTTAATAAATCATGTTGAGTGTTGAAGACATGTGCTGACTGCTCATTTATTATTGACAGTTAAGAAAACAATGAGCCTTGACAAAAGCCTACAAATTCACGCTAAAAGCTGAAGAATTATTTTCAACCCTGAAAGTTATGGCTTTACTTCGAGTGAAAGACCAATAACTTGAAGATTAAAAACAGGTAAAATTATACAGTTAGGAAACGTTTATACTCATTGAGAGGATTGGATGTAGGAGTGTTGATGAAAGAAGTTAATTTTTTTTATTTTTATGGCTAATACCTCATATAGGAGGCGAAGCCACACATGTCGTTGAAATGAGTCAGTGAGTTAGTAGTTTCCTGGTGCTACTGATTGTTTATTTCAGAGCACTAAAGAAGACGATAAACATCTTAAAATCATCTCAGTATGGTGCGTAAAAAATCTAAGCTTTTCCTTGCAGAAATATCTTAAAAGGTGTGATTGGGGCACATAGAGGAATTTACTTTCTATCAAGAGAAAGCATTTTAATGCTTGGATTAGGAAATTATGCCCAGTAGATTGGAAAGTAAAGGTTTTTTTTTAGTCCTTGCCGTGACACTACACATGATGATAAAATCTCTGAAAATAATTTTACACTGGTGTCTCAGGCACGTATTTGATGACAACACTGTTCATGGCATAAATATCTGGAAAGGTGATCTCTTAGTCATACAAGCTCTGAAGCCTAATTTTATTTATTTGAAGAGGGAGCATTTTACCATTTCAATCAGCAATTTATACCCAAAAGAGCCGCCAAATTTGAGAAGGGAAGCAATGTCTTAACTAAGATACCTTGAGTTTAGCATGTGGAAAAGGGAATATTAATTTTAATCAACAGAATAAAAACAAAAGGAGCATAGTTTAATCATTATTTGGGCCTAGAGGATAGACTGATAGAGGAACAGTGAGCTTTTTGAGCTAGCAGATATAAATTATCGTAACTATTACTGTTGTTAACATTATTATGTTTAATATTGTTAATATTATTGTAATCAGTATATTCTTGAATCATCTTTCACTTGTGGAACAGGGTACTTGTAAATATGTGGGGTGCAGTTGGCTTTCTGCACCAGAGACAAATCTTGTGCAACACTACCTTCTAGTATCATTAGACAATCTTGAATTCTTTTCGATACTTTATACAAATTGTGCTATATCAGTAGCCGCATGAGGTGTTAAACTCCTTTTTTTGTGATTTTTATCATTGTCTTACCTTTTAACTGGATTCTCTATTAAAGTCTATTGGGAATCTCTTTTGTAGTGTCCACTGGAAATTTCTTTTGTCCAGTTTTTGTACTTTGGGTTGCTCCACTTGATAGTGACAGGTGGAGTGACTTTTCCGTTTAGACAAGTTCATTGAATAAATTTTTCACACAGTGACAACTATAGATGAAAGTTTAGCATCACAAGGACAACATGTAGATTGTGTGAACTGGTTGTGTGAGGCTATGTAAAGGGACTTGTTGGAAATGCACTTCTCTTTGTAGGTCCTTACTCATGTGAAGGTTTTTCTTTCAGGGCTTTTGCTAGAAATTCCACTGTCTGTGAATCCCTTTGTTAGTGACAATTGTTATAGTAGAACTTCCTTTCCTGGAAGAGTATTACTGTTTGAAACATATTTTACCCAACTCACCATCCAATTTCTTTGTTTATTCAAACTTAAGACATTGCTTCTGAAACCCTGTCAAATATGTGCATCTGGTTGAGTAAATCTCTTTTTTTTTTGTATGCTTCCATTTTAGAACACTTTGCATGGCAAAAAAAAAATGTCCACTTCTGGGAAAAAGCCATATCAGTGCAAAACTTGTAACCAGTATTTTGTAAAAAAAGGAAATCTACAAAGACATGAGAGATCTCACACTAGAGGAAAGCCATACCAGTGCAAAACCTGTGACAAGTGCTTTCATAGACAAAGAGATCTAGAGGTTCATGAGAGATCCCACACTGGAGAGAAGCCATACCAGTGTAAAAGCTGTGACAAGTGGTTTAGTTATAAAAGAAATCAACATAGACATGAAAGATCCCACACTGGAGAGAGGTCATACCAGTGCAAAACTTGTGACAAAGGGTTTGCGCAAAAGAGTGATCTAACAGTACATGAAAGATCCCACACAGGAGAGAAGCCATACCATTGTAAAAGCTGTGATAAGGGGTTTAGTGATAAAAGAAATCTACATAGACATGAAAGATCCCACACTGGAGAGAAGCCATACCAGTGCAAAACTTGTGACAAAGGGTTTGCACAAAAGGGTCATCTAACATTACATGAAAGATCCCACACTGGAGAGAAGCCATACCAGTGTAAAAGCTGTGACAAGTGGTTTAGTGATAAAACAAATCTACATAGACATGAAAGATCCCACACTGGAGAGAAACCATACCAGTGTAAGACATGTGATAAGTGGTTTACACGAAAAGAAACTCTAAAAGCACATATGAGATCCCACACTGGAGAGAAGCCATACCAGTGCAAAACTTGTGACAAGTGCTTTGCACAAAAGGGTGATCTAACAGTACATGAAAGATTCCACACTGGAGAGAAGCCATACCAGTGTAAAACTTGTGACAAGTGGTTTGCACAAAAATGTCATCTAACAGTACACAAAAGATCCCACACTGGAGAGAAGCCATACCAGTGCAAAACTTGTGACAAAGGGTTTGCACAAAAGGGTCATCTAACATTACATGAAAGATCCCACACTGGAGAGAAGCCATACCAGTGTAACAGCTGTGACAAGCGGTTTAGTGATAAAAGAAATCTACATAGACATGAAAGATCCCACACTGGAGAGAGGCCATACCAGTGCAAAACTTGTGACAAAGGGTTTGCACAAAAAATTCATCTAACAGTACACGAAAGATCCCACACTGGAGAGAAGCCATACCAGTGCAAAACTTGTGACAAAGGGTTTGCACAAAAGGGTGATCTAACAGTACATGAAAGATCCCACACTGGAGAGAAGCCATACCAGTGCAAAACTTGTGACAAAGGGTTTGCACAAAAAATTCATCTAACAGTACACGAAAGATCCCACACTGGAGAGAAGCCATACCAGTGCAAAGCTTGTGACAAAGGGTTTGCACAAAAGGGTCATCTAACATTACATGAAAGATCCCACACTGGAGAGAAGCCATACCAGTGTAAAAGCTGTGACAAGTGGTTTAGTCATAAAAGAAATCTACATAAACATGAAAGATCCCACACTGGAGAGAAGCCATACCAGTGCAAAGCTTGTGACAAGTGGTTTACTCAGAAGGGAACACTACAAAGACATGAAAAATTGCACTCTGGACAGCATGATGAAACATTTATTTGTTGGATTTGTCAGGAGGAACTGAGCAGTGAATCCCAGCTCATTAACCACTACGAAGAACACATGAAGTTCCCTTGATTTTATTGTTGATAAGTCTATCTGATGTAAGATTAAGATTTAAAGAACGTTTGAGTTTTGCAGTAAAATGAATAATTTTGATTTCTCAGATTGACTATCTTATAAAGTGGGACGGGTGTAGTCTATAGACATTTCGTTACTGTTATATGGATTTATCGGTGCGAAAAGAATCATGGTACTGTAACATGGCGCTGGTGTAGATTAAAGAAACCTGTTGAGTTTATCTGCACCTATCAGGATATTAACAGGCCATTATTACAACAGGTACAGCTATTACACCTGCAGCAGGCCAAATGCTATATGCTATGCCACTTTACAATCTGCATCTAATGACAATGTCATTTATTTTTAAACAGAGGCTGACTGGTTTTCTTTGTCAGTAATGCTCTTCAGTAAGCTTACAAGCTAATGCTTTGTTTTCTTAGCAATGTCTTTGCTTCCTCTTTCCTTTAATTCTTCTTTAAGCTGAGGAACTGTCATTTTTGTAAAGTCAACTGAGCTCAAAGGCACAGCAGAGTGAGTTTGAGATGCAACAGTACTTTAACCACTTTGCAGATTAGATAGAGGTGTAGCAATTTCAGACGGTACAGTTTTTTCTTTTTCGGAATATGTCCTCTTCCCAGTACTCTAGTTTGTTTCTGATAGGATTTGGGCTCCCATTCCCTTTTTCTTAAGTGCCATTAGCATGACTCTTGATGAAGAACATCTCTAATAGAGTCCCACTTGTTGAATTTCCAGAAAACAGTGGACCCATCAATGTTCCTTTCAACTCCTTGCCCTGTAAATGTTGTTACTACTTGGTACATTTGGAAAAACCATGGGATATATGGGAAACCATAATATGAAGGTATTGGGTAACTCTCTTTCACTTGTAACCTTCCCTTAATCCTTTGAGAGAAATGAAATCACTCACCTATTGTTTTGCTTTCAACCAAAACTCTGTGGGGCTGGTATTCGGTTGCCAATTACTGAGATTTTTTACAGGGCTGCAAAGTACACCTGTATTTTTATGATCTTTTCAGCAGTTTTAGGCCTCAAGAAATCATTCATTTTCTCTGGAAGGTGATACAGCATTATTTTCTTATCATTTCTTATGAGACTTATCCATTCGTGAACAGAACTTTCTTTGCCATCTGCATTTTTCTTTCCCAGACATCAAAAGACACTCCACAAGACCTTCTACTGTGAATGAACTTATTACTTATTTAGGTGTGCCTGTTTGTTGATCAGGTTTTCAATACTCTCCTCAATATCCCAATCATTGACTTCTGTTATTAAATTGGCAGTTAACACTTATCAGTTATTCTTAAAAGGAGGTGAAGTTCATCAACAGTTATATGATCCAATTCAATGTCCAGAAGGGGTTCCTTACAACAGCCATAATCATCCTTTGATTTTTTGGACATTTCTTTCAATTCTTGTAAAGACCTTGAAAGTGGCTTTGAATTGAAATAACTAACATGCTGATCTGTTTTCCATCTATCATCCTTTTGGATTTAACACCATGCACGTGCATAGTTAGCTGTTGCTCCATTTAAACCTAGCATGCGGAGAATGAATTTATAATTACCGCAATGCATGGTCCCTAATTGTTCCTTTCAACAGAGCATCGTAATCTAACACAAGCTGTAGGCCAGGGAAAACTTGTGAGGTTTTCTCAGAGGGTCCTCAGTGATAATTCTATGCCATTCTTTTTACAATGGATAGGGTATTTCCAGGGCGAAAATTGGTTTCGTCTCCAAAAATTTAGCTGCATATCATTATTAAATCTGTTTATCAAACAAATTTTAAACATGTTTAAGCTTTGGTGTGAACGGGGTATAAGCTCCGGTTTACTGAACTCAACTACTTTTGCATATTCATGCTGACAGTTCTTTCTGTCATCCGACATTTTTTTAAAAAACCCGGGAAAATGTATTGTATTCCAACTCGGAAAACAGGAGGAGAGGCTACCTAGCTAGAAGAGAAATTTTTAAAATGGTGGACGAAGTATGTGTAGCGTTGCAGTCGTGTCTTCCGTTGTGGTTATGTCCTCACACATTATAACCAATAGAATGCAGTTTTACTTCTTCCAATCAAAGTGCGTTGTGATCGTGTCTTCTGCGTGTCACTTCCCAACTTGGGGAGGGATGCAAAGCAAAACCCGATTTTCCATTTTTTTCCAATGAATTCTAGAAAAACGGGATAAATTCTGTGAAATTCATCCTTTAGGTGGATTCTATCCTATTGACTTGCCATAGCCACCTTTAGCCCCATTTTCGATTTAATCATTGTGTGAATTTGTCATAAACAGGATAAAATAGGACAAATACACCCAAAAGTGCCATAAATTCTACAATAATTTAGAAACAGTACTAAAAAAAAAACAGCTAAAATCAGCGGAACCGCAATAAAATCACAATCTACTACTTCAATTTTTATAACGGTGGGCTGAGTGCGATACGGCAAAAACCAACAGTACTCAAAATAAACAACTGAAGGCCAAACTTCTGTGATTGAAGGAAGACTTCGTGACGCAGACAAATAATCACAACTTGGACTTCTCAGTCGATCTCACCTCCGGCAGATCAGGTGAAGTGTCAAAAATATATAATTTTATGTCGACGAACCATAATCTATGATCTTCAACCATTAAAGAAAATAAAGCAATTGTGATATGACGCCACATTGTGCTTTTGTCTTAGCTTGTGGCTAAAATGTTGTCATTGAAGTCGCAAGTCGAGCAATGAAGACTGTAAATAAAGCAAGGCTGCAAATAAAAAGTGAACAATAACGCATCCTTTGGTCGAAAGTCGCTTTGTTATTCACGCGCAGCAAATTGTTCTTCCAAGTTTAGGTTACAACAACGATGCGATCACTCTGCGTTAACGAACGATTGAACTTCAAGGAAAGCAATATGAGAGGTCAATGACCCGGTTCGCAGTGATCATGCGAACAGCATGTTTTCCTCAGATCAGTTACCGGAAAATACTGGTCAAATTTTCCACTTATAACGACCCCCTTGAATGAGTACTTTTGCTTGAAGACATAACTACAACGGAGTCTCTTAACCAGTCCCAAGCCGCGTGTCGCTCGATAGATCGCAGGATATGATTGGCCACTGTATCACATTACGTCAGAGGACATATCTGCAATAAGAGGACATAAGTGCAACGGTACAAATGTCTCACACCTGCCACTCTCCTCTCGTGCCTCCCTCCGACGGCTTGAAAACGCAGTCTCCTGTTGGAAGGGCCGAGGAGGAATTGGCTTCGACTGAAGCGGCCGTTGAAAGAGGGGAGGGGGAAGTGGTAGGGTGTATACTTCGTGGCTCAGTTCCCCTAATCCCTTACGTGGTTTAGTTTCGAGCGCGTGCAGGCGTTGGTCCTCACATGATGATTTTCAACAACGCACGTGTTCCACCGTGGTGATATATTACGGCTGGTTTCATAAGTTTATTCATTCACTCGTTCATTCTTTCATTCTCTCATTCATTGTTTCTCAAATGTACCATGGGTGCTTTTCACCGGCAAAAAGATTAAAAAATTCGGTTAGGTTGTTGTAATAATGAACCCACAGAACCCAGTGAACCATTGGATAGTTACCCAAAAAAAGATCCACGTCTTAATAAGCACCTTTCCCGAAATAGACACCTACCATCTTGGTAAAATAAGAAAATACTGGTCCTTCTTAAATAAGTACCCCCCCCCCCCCCACCTCTCTAATTGAAAATAAAGTTGTTGAGATTGTAAAGCAAGTCAACTTACAATAACTAAGCAACAGCTAGCGAGCACACTAATTTATTTTCAAATCAAATGCACAAAAAAAAGAATTCCAGGTCATGTTCACAAAATTATTTACAAGCTACAGTGCATTTTGATGTTAGTCAGACGGACGCTTCAGGTTACTGCATGTATAACAACAGCCTTCACTTACAAAAATTGATTTAACTAATGATTTTTACGTGAAATATCTATCACAAGTACGAGAAAAAAAAGTACCCTGAGAGGCGAACTTTCCTTTTAGGCGCTGGTGTAAGAAAATTTAAAATGTGCCCTTGCACATGACCAAAACAATCGGGCCTCCGTCCACAATCAAGGAAAATAAGCAGCACCCGACAGCAGTTTTTCTTTTTCATATGAGAGGTTCAAGCGCTTTTCGAATGATTGTATCATAAACACAAAAAAAACAATAGCAAAGTAATGAAAGCGGCAAATCTGATTATCGGAAGTGAACTGAAATTAGATTTCAACATTTGAAATTCAAAGCCTTCAGGTGAAGACAACGTATCAAGTGGTCAAATATTCGATTGATTGAGAAGATGGTTGAATCTTTTTTCTTCTGACCAGTCACAGAACAATGTCGTAGAGCGAAACGAACCAAGAACAATTTCGATTGTCAATTAAAAAGATTCATCACATGTAACCTCTAAACCGCTGCTTACCTGAGAGTCTAGTAATGCGCATGCTTAAAACAACAATGAACATGTAGGAGGTAGAGGTCACCATTCGTCTCAAAGGAACAATTTTCTCAAAGAGTTATTTAATTGCTAACCTTATTACTGTCTCTCTCTTAAGATATCAGTATGAACAGTCATAAAAGACTGTCCTTCTCGGAAGATTAAATACAACGGAACTGCATAACGTTACTTATTCTGTTAGCAAATTCTCGTTCACTGAGTAAACGGGGACGGAAAATTAAAAAGGAAGATGGCCTTGGAGGTGTGAAGTGGGAGTAGAATGTTTTAGTGCCAATACTTGACAATTAGTCCTAACACCAAACTAAATGATATAAAAATCTTTGGATGGGAGGGGGAGGAGTGTAAACATGGTATCTGAGCCCCCCCCCTCCCCCCACCTCATCCCATCCAAGACCCCTTTAAATGACTATTCTATGGGTTGACCGGTTACTTTAAGTCTACAATCTACTGAGTAGTTTTGTGGCTTATTTCCTGGAACAACAAGTACCACTGCACGTGTCTCTATTACTAATTGGATTATTTCTTATCATTATTAATCAGTTGTTAGTATTTCCTCCATGGCCTGGATCATTTTGACTGTGAGGCAAAAGAGCTAAAGATCCTGAAATAAAAAGGACAGATTTCGTATCGGTAAACTAAAATGATAGTATTCTACTTAAATCTAGCGTAAATTATAGCAGCACGACTCGATCTTGTCGACTGACCGTTAAATAAGGCCACCTACTAATGACTTTGGTCATAAGAATACGATTCACGAACAAGACAATAAGTAACAAGCTCACAGCCCTATACATATGGTACGCGCTTCGTATCTCACGGATAGGACTAGTTTAACACTGGCGGATTACGTGTATAAGCAACAAGAACAAGTAGAGCAGCAATTGTAGGAAACTTTGAACGATCCCGACATAATTTTTTTTGAAAGATTTCCAATTTTGTACCATACAGGAGCAGGAGAAGCGGTGCCGTAATAAATGGTGCTGGGAATCGAGAGGACTTGATGCTGTTTTCTTGGGCAAAACACTCAACTATCACAGTACCTCTCTCTCCACCCAGGAGTAAAAATGGGTACTAGCAGACTCACCCAAGAGGGAGTGGCCAAACTTGTTTTCACTTCATGTTGCGGAAACCAGGGCAATTTCCGGCCAGATAGGCCACTTAGCTCGATAGCTGACTTTTAAACATTTCCCGTCCCGTTTCATACTTTATAAATTACTAACGCTCATTTACGGCCGAGAGGGAGAGCTAGCGGGGTCTACTGTGTTTATGCCCTTTGCTTACTTACCTGTCCCGAAGTTGTCTATTAGTTCTTCATCACTGTCGGCGTCTGGTGCTGCACTGGTGGGTAAGGGTACATAACGCAACGACCCCCCTGGCTGCGGATGCAAAGACTCTTCATTCTCACCGTCATCGCTTTCTACCAGGGGGTCCCTCAGTTGTGCACCGTCACTGTATAAGCGGAGGTGAGTGTAGCGGCTTCGTAAAAGGTTGTAGCGTCTGGAAAAGGAGTACAAGGGAGTTGTTAGCCACAGACTGAAATCGGTCCCGAGTTCTGGGCCTTGAGATATCAAGAAAGATGGGGCCTTTAACTCTCGAGATCAGAGGCCGAATTCTCCCAACTAATGAAAATACATCTCTTTGTTAGCTACTAATGAGAAGTTGATGCTCAATCCTTAGAGATACCTTTCATAGAAATATCGCAAAAGATAGCGTGCCGGAGTGGTTACGTCGCTACAATTGCAATAAAGTTATCCCGGGAACTAGTCCTTTTTCCTGTCACCTGGCTTTGAACTCGTTTAGCACGATTCTACGATTCACGATTCGTTTAACATCGATTATATTTTTGGACTTCGCCAAAACTGAGGTAGGACTGCGCGTGGTCTATCAACAGTATTAAAAGGATAATCATATTTCTCTACGGGAACAAAGAACTCACACAAAAAAAAGTTTCGTTGCGGGGATCATTCCTTCACTCAACTTCATGCGCAGGTCAAAATAAAAGTCATTTCAATAACCTTGTTGTTCCATCATAACATTCACAAACCTGAGGAAATACACCAGAGTCCCAACGAGAAACACAACCACGAGCGAGGCAGCGACGCCAACACCAATGGCCAACTGCGTTCCTGAGCCGGAATCGGAAGACTGTGTTGGATACAAACCACCGCCACCATAGTCTGTGAAACAACAAGAATAACGAAGGTTCTCACCGTCTTGCAAATCGTAATGCACAAAAAATAAACTGTATCATAAAATTAAAAACTACGAGCGTGCTTCATATGTACCACGTCTCCGGCGGTGCCACACCTCAACTTAAGCAAAAGACATGCAAACAGCATTGAGGAAACTTAAATTGGGAGATTAAGATGTTACAACAGCGACGTGTGGTAAAAAGGTCGAAAAACGGAATTAATTTTCCTCCAAGATTTTCGCCTCTAGCTCGATACCTTAATCGTTTCTGACCATAATCATCTTCACTTCGGCATGACATGTAAATTCAATGTTGAGTTCAATCTAAAACCGGGACTAGATTGCTGTCGAGGTTTTGTTGCTAAGCCTCGCTATTGTTTTGCTCATAAGATCCTTTGTCTCGCTACGTTCTTGTTGCCGTCGCCGTCGCCGTCGCCGTCGCCGTCGCCGTCGCCGTCGCCGTCGCCGTCGCCGTCGCCGTCGCCGTCGTGGTTTTCTCAAAGTCCCTGATAAGTCGCCTTCACGGTTTCTGCCCTCAGTTTCGAGAATATGGTGTAAGATCAAGAAAACCTCTACCTGATCAGTTGGCGTATTCTCGTTACCTGTTTGCTTGCTAATGTATGGATATTAAAGGGAGAAGTTACATGTTCATAACTCCTGGGAGTTGAAGGGTTAAAGGCAAAACTCAAGTTCCTCCTCTCATAGATGATATCTCATATGAATGCAAGAAGCTTCTCTCCTTAGTTGCATGCATTGGATACAGTATCACAGATCAAGGTACCTCTATTTGGTAGCACCTCGACGTGTGTGACTCTGACAGTCAAATCCTTAGGCAGCTGGATCTTGACCGAACCCATCTCCACCTTAAACTTCAGTAAATCCACAATCTGAGGAAGCAAAGACAAGTCAAGTCTTGTACCACGTTGATCACTAAGACATCTTCAAAAGCAGAAAATGATCTCTGGCAAAAATTATAAAAAGTACCCTTGTACATCTTTAGCTGAAAAAAAGGGGGAGAGGGGAGGGGGCGGGCGGTACAAAATATTGACACAAAACAAAACAACATAGAGACAAAACTGCAAACGGGTGGGGGGCGAAACTGGAAGGTAACGCTAAAAAAAACCGTTTTGTCTGGTGTATTTTTTCCAAAAGGATCTGGCCTACGATGCCAAATCTTAGGAGTCTTAATCCGAAGGAAAATGGGACTGTTTTGCTGTCTGCATAGAGAAGAGACTGAAATTTGTTTACCAATAGTACTGAGATCAAATTTTATTAAAAAACAGTTTTCCTTAAAAAATAAAAAGAAATTTAATTATAACTTTGTCCCTTTTGATGTGGTCACTTCGGATGTGGATCGCAGCGTTTCGACTGCATACAGCTAGTCTTCTTCAGGCGATGAGGTGGATTGAGTACGCGTTACTTATATGCTGTTGTGATTAGCTGTGATTGGATGGAATTCCACATTTTAACGATTGTATAATACTATTGCCATGGATAAGCAGGCGACATGTGCCATGCGCAGACGTTACTTTGCATTGTAGTTCGCATCTATATTCATTCTTCGAAGGTCGTTTGCCAGTAAGCCTCGATCCGAATTTTCTTTCGCGCGTCCTCCTATATCGAAGGTGGAATAATGAAATTACAAACACTTACCTCATCTGCTGATTTGCTAGTGTTGGTTTGAGCAGGTACTATAGACACATCACTTCTCGTCGGCAGCCCGCGTAACACAAAGACTTCAAGGCGTTTAGGGTCGACATCCAGCATCTAAAAAAGACAGCAAAAGATTACACGATTATGAAAAATATCTATCGCTACTTTCTCGTCGTGTTTTGTTTGGAGTTTACAATAAAAAGCAAACAAAACCTTTCTAAGGTTCTGCGCTTTCCCTATTTCCTTACATAACGTATCCGAGGGAAAATTTCTCTAAAAAGAAAGGAAATAGAAATACACCAAAATAAAACCCTGACAGCCAAAATTTTAAGAACCAAACCACTCAAGAACAAACTCTTGAAGGACGTGGATGATTCCGGGGGGGAAGGTCACGAGTTAAATGCAAACCCCCATCTCTCTCTCTGTGAAAAATTAGTTTATCTATAAACAATAATCACAAAAATAATACTAAAAGCTAAAATAATACTACTAATGATCATAATGAAGATAATAATAATACTAAAAGACCCTGACGTTTCCCTCAATGTAAATTAGAAGTTTGTCTGAGATCTCCCGCCTCCAAATGGCTTGGGGAGTGTCTTTACGGAGTATTACCTTAGAAAGAGCGGTTTCTAGACGCTTGGCGAAAAACTCTCTCCATTGCCATGTTTTGTCATTGTTTTCATCCAACACCGCGTCGAATAAGAGACGCACAGTGAGAAGATTATCTGAAGTTAAAAAATAAAAAAATAAAAAAATAAAAAAATTTAAAAAAATAAAAAAACCGATTAAGCAACTTTTTCCAGAGACCTTTCGCTTTCGCACTTGTACGCAGCACGAAAGGCATTTTGTTGAAAACTAAGCTCGTACACGACATAAATGACAAGGGTTAAAATACGTTCGAGAAGTGAGTGTTTTGGGCGTATGTGCCACTTCAGTTTGAAAAAAAGAGAGATTTTTCCCGTTATACTCCGTAAAACTGTGATGTGCAACCTACCTATTCAAAACACCCCCCCCCCAACACCCCGATCTAGGAACCTCTAGCAAAGCATGGCAGAAGCTTGGGTAAACAGGGTTCTTGTTTTACCAGCTGCCCGAGTAAAGGTTACCGGCTATTTCACAGAAATGTTAACTCAAGCAATCATTTAACAATTATCGTTTGGTTCAATTGTAAAAACCCATAGTGTTGAAAAATACCTTACTTGTCTTCTCCCACCCTTTAATGTAAAGATATTTATCAGAAATGGACGATTTGAGAAGACATGCCTTGAAGAAGTCCTGCTTATTTTGACTTTCTCCCAAGGAAGGAAAGGCAAAAAAGGATTTTGGTGATGACTGAGCGATTTCCAGAGAAGTCTCCGAAAAATATTGAACTTCTGTCAGAACCTTGCGAAACACCCTAAGACCAACAGCCTACCAAGAAATTCTGGTCTAACACGGGGGGGACATCCTTTACGTGGGGCGACGCCAATGGATTACACATTGGAGGAAGAGAAGATGCAAACGCCACCCCTCCTCTCTCCCCCCCCCCCACCCCACCACGAGCGGATCCTTGTAGACCTATTACACCTAAACATTAGTATCCATATTCTCCACACAGTAATCTTCATATTTCCTACGGTAATGGCAAGGAGAATTTGTTTTACAATCAGGACCTTCTTACATTGGCGATCACTTCCTTTCTACTCATGACACTTACATTTGATTCAAGGATGTTACTGTGAGGAGAAATTAGAAGCCAATCACTCTGAGGGGTTTAAGGGTTCACTTACCATACACAGTTACTGTTGTACTGCCAATTGTCTGTCCAATCCCATTACTGGCTTGGACAGACACTTTATAGATGCCTGCTTTGTTGTATACGTAGTGCACCTCGCTCTCCCAAGTCAATAAAGGAAGCGTGTTTTTGTCGTTGTGGTCAAATGTCCACATGTAATGTGTTAAGCCAAAATTTGGACTTGATGTTTGCTGTTGAGCCCAGGCAGTGGAGTGAAGAGTGGCGTTGAACCACGCCTCAACGCCAACTACCACTGCGTGAGGCGGTTCGATATCGACTTCTTTAATAAGATCTACAGACAAAGAGAAAAGGCAAAATTATCATGAATCGCGAGTAAAACAAAAAAGACAAACGTGAAAGTTCAACTGGCATAGCCTCTCGTTAAGGACCGAACGCAAAACCATCGCAGTAAACATCTGCTCTCACAACTGCAGAACAGGAGTGTTCTAGAACTTTGCCGGTGCTCATTTTAACTCCTGAGTGGAGAGAGGCACATAAGACAGTTAAACATCCCCAGTAAACTTAATTTGAAGGAGCTTATGAGAATCAGTAAGGGATATGACTTAAAAGCAGATATTATTCTCTCCAAAGCGGTTTAATAATCGAACCACCCAGACACTCGGAGCCTTAATACCAAAGCAACCCGATGATGTCGAGCGATTTTCTGCAGCACGAGGTGACCAGTAATGTGGCTACCTTCAGAGGGTAGGGGGCTGTTATGGAACGTGAAAGCCTTATCGTACTCCAAGCCAAACGTAACCCGTTTCCCGAAATGGCTACTGCTTTATTTCTTGGCACTAACAAACCTTTTTATAATCTAAACAGTGTCAAGAGGCAAGGCATAAGGAGGAAGCAATTCCGAGAAATTTCTAAAAGTGATAACTGCTGTGTGATAAGCTTATAGTAGAATTCTTGTTTCTCTTCTTTCTGAGGGATGTCGAAACTGTTTTAAGTTTTATCTACGTCTTACCTAGGACTATAACTTCTGTGGTTCCGTTATCTTGGCCAGCAGTGTTTCCAGCAGCCACGCTTACATTGTAGGTGCCATGATGAAGGAAAGTGTGGGAGATGTTTTCAGCATTGCTAAGTCCAGTGATGTTCTTACGTTTACTGCCATCTCCAAAGTTCCATTCATACCACGTGGATTCTGTGGAGCCCTGGATGTTAAAGTAGACGTAGACTATTAGAAGATATCTTTAACAAATTACCACTATTCGCATCTTGAGATTCCGAAGAGCAATCTATTAGTTCAAATACAGTTCATATGTATGGACACTTTGAACATGGACGCCACCATTTTGAGTTCTAAGTAACCTGGCCGTACACGGAGACCCACCACACGGCGTTGTTCTGGTCATTGCAACAACAACAAAATTAGATCAAAGTCAGAATCTGAGCACTTGTACAGCTACCCCTCCCCTAACCCAATATTAATCCGAACTTGTAATCAGCCGACTGTTGTCGGGTTAGGGGAGGGGAGGGGAGGGGTAGGGGCGCAGTTGCTCAGATACTGACATTGATCCAAAAAAATTATTACTCGAGTCCAGACTCCTTGTTTGAATAGCTTCTAATTAGTCACACCTATGACCAACGGAAAAATTGGCGTGAAAAAAATTGAATACTTCGTCTAGGAAATACTTCCGAGGTGGTCGCTGTTGCTGGAGCAAGGCCCAGTGACATTTAACCTGCTTAATTATTTACAAAATTTAAAATTTTCCCCTACCTGTCCCTGAGCAAGAGAGAAGGTCACTTTTGTGTGTGTTTCCACGTATAATTTTCCAAACGTGATTCTGAGATCTGAAGGTGCTGAAGAAAGCAAAATGTTTGTTACCAATCATCATTCGTGAAAGAACACGAAGGCTATCAAGTGAAATGTAAAACGGTGGTATAATGATCACATCACAGATGATCTGCCGGCGAAAGTGGTTTAACGCTAATGGGATTCTGCTCTAATTTATTTGTTAGTGCAATGGTTTAAAAACTATGGATCAGTGGTGCAGGAGAAGCTGTTAATGATCTTTACAATTCTCAGTATCCTAAGAAGTCATAAAAACAGCTATTGATCACAGGTCATGGAGAGAAATTTTCAATAAAGTGTCAGAAGTAATCGAGGATCGCATTGTTTTCCTTCGCTCGTCATTAGTCTGGAATATTCGCGCCGCCTAATCCACCAATCAGATGCAAAACTGAAACCAGCCGCGTCGACGTCACCCGCGTTTTCCCGCGCTTCAAGCGGTTTGTTTGTTTCTATTCTCAGTTCTCATTGACTCCTTGTAATACTCTCCTTTGTTGCGATTGGCCCTAGAAATAACTTTGCTTTTGGTTTCACGACACTCAACCGGAAAGCGTTTTATTTGTCAATACCGAGCTACTTGTACAATTCAACTATATCTCCTGACTGTGCCTTAATACAACTGCCATAAATCGTAGCAACACGTCCTCTTCAGAATCAACGATGCGACCATGAGTACAAAGAGAATTCAACACGGCGTTCACATACCTTTAATTGGACAATTCCTTATCTCTGGCATTAACTTATCTTCGCGCCCGCCCTTGCAGCGATCTCCGACAACTTTCCTGTAACTGTAATAGAACGAAAAAACCTTAACACCACCAAAAATACACTGGAGCGTTCCACTACAGTCCGTTCAAAAACATGGAAAAGTTTTTCTTTGAGATAAAATTGAGGTTTCAACGTGTTGCCACTCACAACATGGACCTTACTTCATTCAACGGGTTTTTCATCGTCCCCTTCCATTATCCATTGTTGTACTAATAGAGAAATTTCCCATTCAGTGTCGAAAATAACTACTTGTTCCATTAGTTTTGCTTCTGCCTTTCTTTGTTTTTTTTACTTTGATTTCTCCTTAATTGGTCATATTTTCTTTTAATCTGATGGTCGTTGTGATTATTTTTCTTTAATTAGTAACTAAAGGGAACTTCTCGTGTTGTTTATCAATCTCACCCACGACTGTGCGGATACGTTTTTCCCTCTGGGCAATGAGCTGGCACTGGAGCTGCGTCGGCCGTGGGTTCACACACTTTAGAGAGCTCTGAGTGTTCGTAGCCAAAGTCACTTGTTTAAAAACAAAATAAATAAAATATTACTATAAACTTATTAGACTTTATGCTGCAATCTGATTGGCTACACCAGTCGCCGTCCGTTGCCGCGCGTCTGCTGACGTCAAAATGTGGTAAGAACAAAAAGGTGGCAGATGAGGTAGAACTGATCGTGTCCCTTATGTTCCTAATACATCATGACTTCCTCTGTGATCTCTTACTGTACAGACTTACGGCAACATGAGTTTATAATAAAGTAGCACAATGTTGCTAATTGCGACTTCTTCTACACATTTGTACTCCTAAAGATCATCGGTAAGAACCTAACCAAAATGTATGTATCATTCAGTTTATTGTAAAATTAGTGTTAGAGAGTAAAATGAGTAGTGTCCACCAAGTGGTATGACAATTCTGAGTATTTAGGCGTAAACCTTCATCCGCGAGAAAAATCTGCCAGCCGGAAAAAAAATCCGCGAAATAAAAGACAGTATAAACCTTTTACTTGAACCCATATAGAATCAAATTCTGCACTGCGTTTGTGACTCACCATTCAAAATCGTCTTCTTCACAGGCGCAAGTTGTAATATTGATTTCTCTCTCGTATTCCTTTCCGTTGAAGCAGCAATCTCCGCTTTTGCGACGTTCATATACGAAGTGTTGACCCAGTAAACATTCCCCGTCAATACGCTACAAGAGAAAAAAAGAAAGAAAAGAGCTAGAATAAAATCAGGATGGCCTTGAATGGAGGAAAATTGCTGTGTGATAACCGCGATCTATTCAACAAAATAGAATCGCTAGATAACTATTTAACTCCCTATCATTAAACCCGTTATCACAATTATTATTGCTATAATTATCATTCACCTTATTGCAATCGTTAATGTTATCGTTCTGGTCAGTATCACTTTTATTGCTTAAAAGACAATTATTACTTAAAAGACAAGACCTGCGAAACATTTTGGAAAAAAGTTATAATGGCCGACTCACAAATTCCACATTTTACGATACAATATCATAGAACTGATATATCCCTTTGGGTACAACACCATTTGCTTTCAAGTAACAGCACAATATTTTTGTTTCAGTAAGTTTTCCTTCTCATGAAAGGGGAAAAAAGAGAAGAGAAAAAAATACCACGAAAAAACTTAGGAACAGTTCGGCTGTTATGATTTAGTGCAATTACTGCTTACAATGATTACTTCAAATTAAAACTCTGTAAATGGCAGCAGTTCATTGGAGAAACTGGCTTTTGCATTTATGCTTTTGAAGTTTTAGTTCGTCAGCTTAAATCAATTTTTCTGGACTACATTATAATACATTAAATATTATCTAATTGACCTAAAAGTTGATCTTCTCTTCACTTGAGGCTTTAACACTACCTAGATTGTCCTAGAGCGCAGTTCCATTGATAATGCCAAAGGAAAAAATAACCCAAGGAGCAAGCGAGAAGCAAAAAGAGCAAACTGAAAAAAAACAAACAAACAAAAAAAAAAAAAAAAAGCGCGGGAAAATGAGAGTGACCTAGACGCGATTGGTATCAGATTTGCTTCTGATTGGTTGAGAAGATGGCATGAGTTTTCTGAACCAATCACGGTGCAAAATGAGGAAAACCAAAGCATTCCCAGATAACTCTCGGCAAAATTTTTCAACACTCAATAGAAAACCGCTCTAAGGACGATAATTCTTAGTTGTTACCTCATCGTTGGGGGACCAAGTTGTATAGTTATCTGCTAGGCACTTCTGGTTGAGAACTGACGTGAAGTTCAGTTTTACCGAGAGCCATTTAAATGTGCGGCCTGTATGCTGACCAAATACACTGGTAAATTCAAAATGGAAATACGATTTAATTTCTCTTTCACAGCTTTACGAATTAACTCTTAAAGTTAAAGTTGATAGTAGCGCCAAATTGGTATCTGGGAACCACGGGTTCGAATCTCATCGAAGCCTGAATTTTCTCAGACTTCTTTACTGCAGTTGCTGAAATGACAGTCCACTTGCGGGGATCATTGCGTTCGTTGATTTAGTTTCTATTTTCCTGCGAGGGACGGTTTCTACATTGCTAGTCTGAGCAGTTTTCAAGGAGCGTGACAACAGACCCACCAGTGCGCATTCCGATTGGGTACCGCAAAATCAAATCAAACCAATCAGATTAAAGAAGAATTACCGAAGGAACCAATGACAACTCACGGTAGGCACCGATATCCAGGCCTCAAAGGCGGAAAATATGAGCGAACATGAAACAATCAGGATTTAATCCTGCGTATGGTGTGACATGATTTACATTGGGACACCGAAACAACAAGGTGAACTAGATCTTTTACTTTGACTATTTGCACCAAACACAAAAAATGCAAAGGAATGAAATTTAAAAGTTTGCAATAGGAGCGTCATTCACCTCTGTTTTGTTTACAAATTACACCGGAGCATATTTAAACTACACAGATATAGGAATTCCTTACTTGATGATAAGAGTTGTTCCTCCCGGCTCAGTGACCATGCCAAAAACAGTCACTGGTTCCTTTCCTAGAGAAACATTTTTCCAAGCCTGTCCTTCAGTGCAACTATACCTGCAAAAGAATTATTTTGTGATTTAGGTGAGGTTAAACACAAAACAATGGTAGCCACCGGTATCCAGAAAGAAAATTACATGGGCGGCTCCAAGGAACAGGGCGGTCAAAGGTCGAGCATTTCGGGCAGACAATCATGTGCATCATCGCAATGGAAAATACTAAAACAAAGACCTTACCACACTGTGTCAGCGTTCCGTACGAGCGGGACTGCTGCCAAAATACCACCATGATCGCCGATTACAAAATCATGGTAGCCGTTAAATTCCTGTCGAAAATTACCACTTCAAATGAGTAAAATAAATTACATGAGGCCTTTACTGACGGAACAAATATATCCATGTTCAAAACGACGGCTGATCATTAAGAAACTCCTCATATAGAAAAAAAACAGTTAATTTGAGTCTCTGAGGATAAAAACCATTGGCTTTGCATATTCAGCCTCGAAAAAGAGTTAAAAAAAACAAAACAAAACTATAAGCTGGAACTCAGAATATTGACCGCGTGATAGAGTGTTGTATCAGCCACGAAAATGTATGATCTTATACTTTTCATCATTTCAATTGCTTAATTCCTTCTGAAATCATCTTAACTTCGATCGCCATTCCAGAGAAGGGCTCTTCTCCAATGACTCGTTCTCTCACCTTGGTCCATGATAATCCTCCGTCCCTTGATAGAAAAAGGCCAACCGGTCCTTCACCTAAACCACTGCCTAAGTTACCTGAAGGTGAATATTGAATCATTTGTTTTAAAACAGTTTTCATATTAGTGAACAAAATCTCTTTAATCCTTTCATTGTCGGGTTAAACAATTTATCGCCTTAATGATTGGAACGTGAACGATCGCTATAATTAAAAAATTTACCATTTCTCTCATTTAAAATTTAACCACTTCACTTCATATCAAATCTATCATTCCTCTCCTTCAGAAATTAACTATCTTTCTTATTCAAAAATCCAGGATCACTCGAGTTCAATATTTAACACTCTTTCTTCTTCAAAAATTTATCGACTCTCTTGTTCAAAATTTACCATCTCTCTTGCTCACAAATTTACCATCTCTCCTGTTCAAGAAGTTTCTATCTCTCTTGCTCAAAAATTTACTATCTCTCTTGTTCAAAATTTTGTCATTTCTCTTGTTAAAAAAATTTACCATTTCTTTTGTTCAAAATTTCACCATCTCTCTAGCTCAAAAACTAACCATCCTTCTTCTCCTTTATTTCACTCCATTGTAATTACTGAATTGTGCTTGAATTCTGAATCTGTAGAAAGTACATTACCTTGAGCCACAATGATTCCCACGGCTGAGGAAGATGACAGGACAGGAGGGATGTACAAATACCATCGGCCCAGCACCATATGAACGTGAAGAGAACATTTGGGCTGCAGAGAGATTTTTACAAAAACTGGTTCAATTCCTAGCCTACCAAAATTCAAAACCTTTGGAAATGTTGCATAAAACATTTTAATATAGAATACTGAATAATAACACTTCAACTATCAAAAAAGGTGAACAAGAAACTTCTCGTAGCAATTTTCTTACGATGACCAGCAAACAGATGACGAGAATCGACAATTTTACCAACTCATACAAAGCCACATTCTCTTAGCCAGTCGACATGGAATTTTACGGCAGATAGAGGGGAGAATTACTTAGCTGATCTAGTGAGTAAGAGAAATATTCAGATGAGTGCTGAAAATAATCCAAGATTGCTTCGGGTTCACTTCACTTAGTTATGTGATTGGTCTACGAAATTCTTCTCGCAGTACCATCCTGAACCAAATGTAAAGGTCACGGCAATAAGGGAAACGATCACCAGTTTAAGAAGCTCCTGATTGTTCAGGTAATTATCCTTGTCAGCTCCATGGGATTAGAGAGGAGTTTGGAGAATATGGATAGTAATATTAGGGTGTAAAGGGTTGATAAAGAGACAGATATTGGAGTAAAGCTGAAACTGAACATTTAACGCATATAGTTTTTAATCATAAAAATCATAAAAAAAAGTCATGCAAACACACCGGGTGGCAGTTTGTAGGGTTTCCTCTATGGTCAACTAATGGGGCTTTCAGTGGAAACCATTCACCTCCCTTGTTAAATGTAATCACAGATCTAAATTTTGCATCACTTCCTCCATCACCATCTGGGAAGAACACATTCGCGATGTACGTTCCATTGAGACTTTTAACCTACAAAAAACCAGTAACAAAAAAATATTTGTGACAGAGCAAGTTTAAATTGGGTGTCAAAAGTAAACCGATATAGCTTTGGTTTTGCTTTCCTGTGGTGTTTAATTGGTCCAAAAAACCTCAAGCCACTTTCTCAACCAATAGATTCAAAACTAAGACCGATTGTTGCTCGGTCACCCGCCTTTTCTTGCGCTTCTAGAAGTTTCCTTGCTTTTGCCTTACTTTCGTGTTTGATTGCTCCAGAAAACCCACTTTCTCAACCAATCAGATTCAAAACAAGAACCAGTCGTAACTCGGTCACCCGCGTTTTCCCGCGCTTCAGACAGTGAGCTTACTTATGCCTTACTTTGAAGAGCTAATGAAAACTCAAAGTAAAACAATCAACTGTCCGTAGGCGCAGGAAAATGCGACCAAGTCACGATGGTTTTAAATTTGCATCTGATTGGTTGAGAGAGCAGCGTGAGTTTCAATGTAATCATGGATTACCTTGGAAATTCAATTGAAAATTACTCTATATACTTGATGGGTTTCAAAATGATAAACGTTTATGTTACTAACCCTGTGAAGATCCACTAGTGTTGTATTCTTTCCCCAAATTGGAGTCCTGTCACTGAGGATATTTTCCAAAGACAGAGAATACTTCACTCCAGTGAGATCTGATACATACAAGTTGTAATAATCCCGGCCATCGTGTTCTTTTTCATGTCTTACAACAACCATCACTTCTCCTTCCTTAGCATCGACAATAGTGTACGACTGTGGAAAAAAAAAATTTACATCAGTGGTACTGACATCCACCTTCTTAGTCGATATTAGAGTTTTATCAAACAATATAGAATCAGGAAAGCCTTAGCCTGCAGAGCTGGCGTGATTTTGGCGCGCGAGTGCTCAGTACTTTCTTAGTGAAATTACACCTGCCATCTTTTATTTTTACAGCAGCGGAAGGCTGGGGAGAGAATGAAATTTGTACCCAGGGGGGTGAGTGACGGTCAAAAGGAAGGAGAGAGGAGAGGATGGGACAATAGAAATCCAGTCCCCTCTCCCCACCGTCCACTCCAAATCAAACATGGCAGGCCGAATAAACGATCGGAGCTTGCAATGCTACGTCGTCCTAAAAAAAAAGGAAAGCCCAGAATATTTTGACAACTAGGTCAACTAGGTCAGTAGAAAATATGCAGTTAAAATGTTTAATGTTTTGATATGCCTCTAGTAGAAAAAAACTTGTAATAACCAAGACTGCCTCAATAAAGCAGACTGATATGATTTATACATGTAAAAGTGAAATCTAGAAAAAAATTGTTAAAAACTTCAAAAACTACATTTCCTTTATTAAAACATAAAGATCCATTTCCTCATAATTTTCCTTGCATTGGATTAATTGCCTTCTGTACAAGAAGTAACAAATTGCAGGATTATTTCCACAAGTATCTAATTATATAATTTTGAAAATAAGCCTACCTTTTTCTCAACATCAGGAGGGAACTGTGCCTTTTGGAAAAAATTTTTGCTGGAGTTGCTTTTGTAGAAAACATACAAGTCTGTGTTGTAGGTATATTTCTGCAATATCAAAAGATCTCAGACTCATTAGTTGACTTGGTACCCCTTTAAAAATCTTCGACTCACTCAGGGGCCACAACTTTGTCAACTATTTCAATCACTGTCAAGTGTTACCCTCACAAAACAAAGTGTCTTACTTACTGACTTAATCTCTCTAAACACCTCTACTTCACACCAATTCTTTAATCTTTATATTATTTGAACAAGCTATACAAAAATGATTGCATTCAATTGGCATTTTATGTTGGTACAGGCTTCTGAATCAACAACATAATTGTGTTTTGAGAAAAAAAAAAAAAAAAAAAAAAAAAAAAAAAAAAAAGGACTACAGTTGATCAAAATCAAGTGAAAAGTCAATGTTTCCACAGTCACAAATGACCAAAATTTTCAACAGATAAGAATAACCAATTAAAAGAGGGTCCTTTATGTCAAAAAAAGTTCAATTGCATGGATAATGCTGCATTCTTAGTTAGCAAATTATTTAACAGACAACTGATCACAAATTGTCTGTAGTGAAATAAAAAGTCCTTGGACAAGAGATTTCCTCATTAGATCATGGAAGAAGGATTCACCCACACCAAAGGATGGTTCTGAGGGTTCAACCCATCACAGTAACACAAGGGTCTGTTGGTTTTGTCTTCCCCAAAATAGGTTCTCTTACCTCAACAAACACATATTTCCCCTCCACCTTTAAGGAATGAGATGAGAATGGTCCCAGAAATTTATCAAAATCCTTCAAACAATCTTTATCACAAGGCAAGAAAGCATGCTTTAAAAATGATGTATCTGAAGTGGAAAAAAAAGTTACAGTTGTATAAGCATTTACATTTTCCAGGGAAGTGTACAGGAGACCATTTAAGGGTGCCTTGTCCCTTCAGATGTTACCCTAAAATCCTGCACCAATAAAGGCTGAATAAGAACTTTCAATTGTTAATGCAGTTGTAATAGTTTACCTGAAACATACAACCACCCCTGAACAGCACTCAAGCTACTGTAAGGCACATAAAAACTTGTAAATTGGTATTAGAAAGTAATAAAAAATGTATTTATGTATGTATGCATGGGTCATCCTACACAATTCAAGCTTTGACAGGATTCAAACTTGTACTTTGCTGATACCAGTTGAGTATTAAACTAGCTGAGGTACAAACCTGTGAGGAAGGCATTTGAATCCTATCACTGGCTAAATTTTTTTAAAATTTATTTTCTGCAATTACTTAAATTGCTGTCAACCTGCCCAGATCATTTCTTTGCCTGATTTTCATTCCCAGGTCAAATGGAATTTATTTCATTAAAAATTGTGACAATCCCTTCTTTTAGGTTAAGAGGAACATAGTGGGAATAAAGCATCCCACCCAAGAACACAAAATACTGTCAGTCTCCCTTGGCTGAAAACATAAATGCATCAATACAAACATACCTGCTGGTTTATTGTACAAATACACATGATGAGAAACACTCACAAGCTAGTTTTCAGGATTTTTTTCAGGTCAGAGGAAGTTACATGTTTAAGTCAAATAGTTTATGTGTAATTCTAGCTTGTTGCACAGTATTGACAAAACCCTCAATCTGAGTTAGGCAAGGATAATTTATTTATTCTTATAAATTCTTATTTTTACTATTTTGTATCATGATATTTTTAGTCCTTTTTTATGTATTTATTATAATTTTATTATATACAGATTTTATACTACATATGTGCACATGGGTTAACACCAGATAGTCTTTTTAGTCTATCTGATCCATTATTTTGCATTTCAAATAAAGCTTATTATTATTATTATTATTATTATTATTATTATTATTACCGTAATTTCCGGTCGTTTACCCGCATGGCCGATTACCCGCACCGGCCGATTATTGCATACGGCGAAAAAAAAAGTCAACAGATTACCCGCACTGGTGGATAACCCGCACGTTGTTATTCAACTTTTTGGTGGCAAAAACGTGACATTAAGGTGATACATTTCAGTCTTTTAAAAGTTGTCTGATTCAACTTTCGAAAACTTGAAAGCGTCTTTGTCGAGTTTAAAGGTCAAAGAAATTCAGACGCGTGCACAATTCTGTGTCAATATTAGCATGTACTTTATTTCTGAAAAAATCGATATCTCCGGTTCTATTGGGCCTAACAAGTCCCTTAAAACGGGAAAATTCTCTTCAGCTCAAGCTAGTGTTAAATGGAAATTTGTTACTGATGCGCCGGATATCTTTGGATAATTTTTGTCACCATTAAGGTTTTGTTTTCACGCGTGCCGATAATAATTTGTTTGTCGCGCAACTAATTATGCGTGAAATAAACTCGAGTCGGCATCATGTTTTTGTGCCGCTTTGCAGCACTATTAACACAATAAAATTTACTTGAGAGGTGGAAACGCATGTTGGTGATATTTTTTTTCAATTCAACTACCACTGGATTTTAAAATTGTCACATAACCCGCACCTCCCTATTACCCGCAGTGGCGCCCGTTTAATGCAAAATCAACAGATTACCCGCGGGTAAACGACCGGAAATTACGGTATTATTATTATGGAGCTCTTACTGACAATTTGCAAGTTCAGAAGTAATATTGAAGTAGATTCATATCAAATTAATATTCAATTAGTATTCCTTAAAATTGTCATTCATAATGAAATAGCAATCTAGACACAGTTCAGGTTTTCATTATTTAGTGAGTTTGGAAGAAATACTAATTAATTTAAAAACAGTGAAATAATTCCGAGAAATATAATTTGTTTTCTTCCAAAGAGGTTCTACGATACAAAATGGACTTCACTTAATTTACTCACAAGTAATACAGTCTTGGCAAAGATAGGCTGCAAACACAACAAATTTAAAACCTGAGCTCATCTTCCTGTACATAAAATACTCAGTTCTTGTTTCATGAGAGACAGTGAAATAGCTTTGAAAGTGTTCTTCCACAGTTGAAAATAACTTTTACTTGTTCAAATTAATAAACAACAATTAATAAACACAATTTATTTTGAAAGAAATTGTGGTATTTGATAAATATCTCAGTCTGAGGTTAATATAATACAAACACGTGCAGATCTCTCTGTATTAAATGTGATTTTAAAATAAGTGATTTATCAATTGAGCTTGACAAGTTTTTGACAGAAAAAGAGATGAAGAAGAGTTACTTACGATACTTCTGTTGGTTCTGAACCTCAAGGAGTAACTCTGACTTCTTGCCACCTTGATTTGGTGCCCTGTATAATTTTTTTTAAAATCAATCAGAAATTCAGCAAATCAGAGACAACTGATCTGGAACATATGTTGATATAAAAAATTGGAGATTTCAACTTCATTGTTTTGTCCCTTGTTTTGCATACTCATCCTTCAATGTGCTCTTAAGAGCTCTCATATTGGCCAGGAACCAGTTGTTCATAGAGGAGATTACACTATCCAATAGATAAATCCTTATCCAGTGGATTATTGTTTTAACAAAATATACTGTACACTGTACATGTACTGTGCTATCCACAGGATAGAGATTTTTTCAGTGAATACTTTTACCCACCCCTCTAACTACTAGTTCCAGCTCTTTACTGGCTTCACAAATCAGTGTAACATAATTATAATAGTAATAATAATTATAATAATAATAATAATAATAATATAATAATAATAATTAATGAAGGAAACCAACTTGCTGAGGCATTTTTCAGTGGCACCCTCAAAAATTCTAGTTAATTCTAGCTCTGCACTAGTATCTCAGTTCAAGTCTGAATTTTTTTTTCAGGCTTTAATTTCACAACCATTGAGGTTGTATTCATAACTGAGATGACCTTTCCTCTAACTATCACATCTTTGACCTCCGATTCAAATATGATATTCAGATATGCTTCCTTCAACCATTTACACCCTAACATCAGTATTCAAATTCTCTTCACTGTTTTTGTCACATTTCCTCTGGTACCGACAAGGAGAATTTGTTTAACAATCAAGAGCTTCTTTAAATTGGTGATCATTTCCATTTTTCTCTTGAGCTTTATATTCAATTTGAGGACAATGCCAAAAGAAGAAATTAGATGTCAATCAACATTATGATATTCTCACCAATAATGTCTCAAGACATAATCTGCTAGATGTATCCATCGTTCACCATCATTCATGTAATAAATCTGAAACAAAATGAAAAGACACAGCTCAAAAGAAAACCAAACACAGTCCAAAACTATCATACACCAAGGCTCAGATGAAGAAATTTGGTTTTAATAAACTGGGTTGATAAACAATTAAGTTTTGGTCACCATAAAGAGATTTGTAATACTGACATTTCAAGAATTAGCCTTTTAGTTTTTAGAGTGAGTGGAGCAATTGTGGGTTGTGTGTGGTTTACAAAGAGAAAAAGGGGCCAGGCAAGAACAAAGTGTATGAGTGCCAATTGGAAAGATAATTTCTTTTGTTTTGTGGCTTTCTGTACTGCCTAGATGAAGGGAAAGGCTGTAGACTGCCAACACAATACCCCAGTTCCTTTGGAAATTTACCCTTCTTATTCAGATCCTTTGAGGCTCAGTTACCTCTAAGAGAGAATAGCTAATTCCACAAACCTTTTTGGTGTCCTGATCTTGAGCAACCAAAACTTTATATGATACAGGACTACATGAAACCACATGAGGTGTAAAAGACAAGGGCTGAGATGTAAATGTTTTTCCTTCATCATATGAGATGTACAGATAACTTTTTTTAGGTACTGAGACACTGACCATAACCTAAAAACAAAAATGAACAAAAAGAATTCTCAGTCAAAAGCAGATATCTGAAAAAAAATTTTTGATTGAGAAACTAATTGTCCACAAAGACCAAGCGGTCCAGTCCAAGCCACAGCTGTTCACAACTGTTCACACAAAGTATAGCATGTAAATTTGCACCGAAAAAGGTGGTCAATTTAATGACACATTTTCCTCAGTTCTGTAGGAGGCTGCAACATGTTTGTGATCTAAATTAAAGGTGAAATGAAAGTTGGCGTAGTATATTATTAAAATAAATACTAGTCATGCTCTTATATATAATACCACCTCTTCCTCTTAAGTTGTCTGAGATGACGCTAGAACCTTTGAAAACAGTTTCCAGGGGTATTGCTTAGTTCAAAGATAAACCAGGTGTTAAGCATATACGTGTGGTAGGACCAGTTATATAGCACATTTTTTTCTTTTCTGGCAACTAAGATTTTGATTCCTGGCCAACATTTATGATTCTAGACCGCCAAGCAGTGACTTTGAAAAAGCCTGTGGACAGAACCTATGCCCAATCTTCAAATGTGTAGAGACTTTAACACTATTGCAGCAAATGCCCTTAACAGCAAGTTACTAGTCAAATGCTGGCTGGAATTTATTATTGGCAGGCAAAATACTGCATAAAACTAAAAATGTTTCTGGAAAATTATCCAAATTACTGTTTTAGACACTACAGCCTCCAAAAATTGTAATGTTACCTATTTAAAATGTAAGAAGGTGATTAGTATACTATTACATAATTTACAGAACTTATCATTTATCAGACTCATTTTTGAATTGAAGTAAAATTATTTTGCACAATGAATTTTCACCAAAAATAAAATGGAAAGCACATGAGAACATTGAAAAGATTTTCTTTGACTCTGCTACAATTTACCAATGAGAGAAATTACACCAGTATGACAAGAAGAAAAATTGCTTTCTCAAGAGGGTAGAAGACTGATTGAGGATAGGATGTCAACAGCCAAATAACTAACCATTGTGTAATTGCTTGAGCAAAAATCAATGTTATTGGTGGGTTGATTTTTAAATTTATAATCTTCATGTTTGAAAGTGGTTCCATAGTCTGTGGATCTGAAAAAAATGTAAGATTATAAAAATAAAGGTGAATCAAAATGCTCATCAAAGGATGTTAGGATGAGTACTGTGTGAGCCATATCTTGGATGGATACTGGAAGTCCAACTGGCCTTAGCATACATACATATTAAACTAGACCCAGAAGGCTGAGTAATGCTATCCACTGGATAAATCTCTAAATAGTGGATAACACAGTACATTTTGTGCACACTTATCTTCTGGATAGCAATTTATCAATTGCATGGCATTGGTAGAAAATCTCTAATGCTTTTAAATTTCAAGCGACAACTTTTCTCTTCCTCTTCCTCTCCCCCTTTGTATTCACGTACGGCACACATGATTTCACAAATTAGCCAATCATGTCAAAGAGCTCTTCCCTTGACATTGGAAACTGACGCAGACATTTTTTGAGTACTTTTTAGTTTTTTTTCTGGGAGTTTTAGTTCGTTGTTTTTGAGACTTTGTTCATGTAAATTTGTTACTCCTTTGTTTGGAATTTTGTAAGAAGTTTTGGAGTTTTTATTTTAGGCAAATGTTTTGGCTCATTGATTAAGTTTAATAAATATTTCCTACGGAGTTTGCACTCTCGCCTCTTTTTTTTACAGTGTTATCTGCCCTTTATACAACCAGACCCAGGAGTAATTAATCCAGTTTTAATACAATCTGGACCATTAATTCTCCATGTACATAATGGAATTCAAGAGTATTGTAATATTTTAAAATAAGCTGACCTACTACAATATTTAAGAAATAACAGATATATACTGCTCGCTCTTGTTAATTAACTTCAAGAAAGTTAAATGTAACTGTAAATTTTTTTTTAATCCACTCACATTCATTTCATGTGACAAAATGATAGCCAATTCGACCTTGACTTCACACCTATTGGGTATATCTATCATGTCCAATTTTAAAAACATTTAAGTCAGCAACTTAAAGAGAGCTGGCTGAGTTTTTTTTTTCTTTTTAATATACTCACATTTATAGCATGTGACCAAATGATTGCCTTTTTGACCTGGACTAATAATAATAATGATGATGATGATATTAAAGTATGTATTTTAAGAACTACTCCATCACTCAAAGTGGTTTTTAAGGGAAGAAGAAAAAGTAGACTAAATATCTACAAAAAGTACAAATTATTATTTAAATAAAACTAGACCTACGACTATTTAAAAAAAAGTTTTTTTAAAAAGTCTTTAAGAGACAGGGTACTTAAGTTCCTACAGGTTGTATAACTAAGACAAATTGCCTAAAAACATAGTTAAGTTCTACAATAAATTCTTGATGAATACCCATGTGTGTAGCAGTCACTAATTTTTATTTCAACCCACCATATCATTATGAGAACACATTGATGACAAAACAAATGAGCCAGATATCAAAAATATCATGACCACATTCAAATGACACACAATCAACAGGTGAACTAACCTCCAAAAAAAACCATCCTCACAGATAAAATTTCCACTTTCAGTTTGATTCACTTTTCCACAGGTGTATATGTAAATAACCTACAAAAAAATTCATAGCATTGTCACAAGGAGTCTACATTCAGATTTTCTTAACAATAATTTTTTCATGAGGATTTTCTTCTTTATCTTTACACACCCAAAAAAAAAAAGAAAAAGAAAAAATTAAAAAAGGAGAAACCTCAAGAGAACACAGGAAACCCCCAAAAAACTTTTGATGCAGCAGAGCCTTGCTGGCTAACTAAAATGGCACTGATAAAAAAGAAAGGAACTACACTAGGATAGAAATCCTTGAATGAGGTGTGGCCTACAGCAGGAGAAAAATGAGGGATCCTCAGTGAAAGCCTTTTCTAATGTGAAGTATGCAGGAAGTAGACAGATAAAAATACCTTTGGGTTGTTAAAAATTGACAAAACTTTCCTTTTTCTTCCTCAAGAATAACAGCTAATATTAACCCATACTCTAACGTAATAACAGATAGAATACTTTCACATGCTTCTTTTTTCCATCAACAGTGATGCTTAAATCCCCCTCCCAAAACCTAGTCATTCCCCCTCAAACCTCTCACCACCAGCTATCAGTGTTAAGAGCTATGATCATGTTGGCAAAGTTCTTTGGACATAGGTGCACTTATAAGGTGCAAATGTGTTTAAATGTGTGTACTAAAAATGTGTTCAAAATGCGTTTACTAAATACGAAATGACAAAACACACGAAATGTGTTTACTAAATAGTGTTCAATGACTACAATTACACTCAGAGGAAACTTTGAATAACATATCAATATTGCTTGATTATTTTCTTTTGTAAATATTTCCATCTTTCTTCTTGGTAGTCAAAGTATCAAGCTGGGAGATGCTGCATGAACTTGTAAAAACAATAGCCAGCAAGCCCCTTTTTCTGGCAATTGAACTTTTATTTATAGCCACCAGCTCATAATTTCAGGTCAACATGTGTTGCTTTTGAAAAAAAAAAAAACGGAAACTGAAATTAGATCTCTAACTAATTCTTCCTATTCTTCATACATGACAACTGTGTTCAACACTTTGACATCTGAAATGGTTTGCTCCTTAAGAAAAAACAAATAAAAAAGTACTTTGGAAGAAGGATTAGAAGTGGAATATTATAAGGTGGCTGAGAGAGGCTCTATGTCAACGTTAAGCTACTATGTTTATCACGATATATATTTTTTAATTTTAAATTAAAATGTACATTTATTTCCGCAGTTTGTTAAACTACTTTCAGGCGTTTAATGTCATTGGTGGCATTCAAAGTGTACTCGAAATCGATTTTGGATTATTGGAATAAAGTTTCATGTAAGCTTGAGCTCTATCAGCTTGGAGTTTATATCAGAACAGAAGAGCATGACTAAGCAAAATTAAAATTCACTATGCGCGCCATAGCATGTTGCATTGTAGCACGCTATAAAACTCACCGAACTGTCTTTTCCCGACCAGTGTAAGAAAGCCACAGTATGATTGTCTCCGTCGAGTTCAAACTCCTCTGTTATCCTCGTGTTATTGTGAACACGGACAGAACCCCCGGTACTTCGCCGAAATCTGTATCTTAACTCATTCAACTCTTTGATTTCTCTTTCAAATTGAAAGTTGTTCCCTCGATGGAATCGGAAACCGCCATTGTGGTTCACTCTTGTCAGCGGAATTAGTTTCACTGCACTTTGACTGTCGTCTAGACGAAATGCAATGCAATTTGTGATTGCGAAAAGAGTAAAAGTAAGAAAAGATCGCCACAAGATGTCCCAAGTTTGACATTTACGCTCCATGTTGGTGCGAAATATTGGAGCTGTTTTGCTGCATTACAACCACGCCGCAATACCTACCGTCAGCGGCTTTAGGGGTCGTGCAATTAATCAAGTTAGATTTAATACACCCCCCAACTCTAGATTCTTCCTTTTACTCTGCTTCTAGTGCATGGTTGATCTTCAAAAATGAAGCTGAACAGCAAAGTGACATCCTCGAGGAGAAAAAACCGTAAGGCCCACTTTTCTGCGCCTTCCAGTGTACGAAGAAAACTTATGAGTGCACCTCTGTCCAAGGAGCTTCGCCAAAAATACAATGTCCGCTCAATGCCGATCCGAAAAGACGACGAGGTTCAGGTCACACGTGGCCATTTTAAGAGCCAACAAGTTGGAAAAGTGATCCAAGTCTACCGCAAGAAATGGATCATTCACATTGAAAGAATCCAAAGAGAAAAAGCTAACGGAGCCACTGTCAGCGTGGGCATTCACCCAAGCAAAGTGGAGATTATCAAGTTGAAGCTTGACAAAGATCGCAAGAAGATCTTGGAGAGAAAGAACAGATCAAAGTTGGCCGAGAAAGGAAAGCACACAGAGGAAGAGGTGCAAGCCATGTCAACAGAATAAGTAAGTAAAATTTTTTGGGATCAATTTTATTCTGACAAGGTCACCAGTAGAGATAAATATGGTAAGGTAATTACAAGAAAGTTCATTAGAAGTTCACTACCTTACATGTTTGGGTTTTACAGACGATTCGCATTGGGTCAGTCTAGTTCGCAGATTTTTTCTTTCGAGGACGGCATAATATCCGATTTGTCTACTTTCATGTTAATATTGAGTTATGTATTCTTCAGACGAAACCCAACACCCAAGGACTTTTTTCTCACTTTGACATGCATATAACAAATGTCGGTAATATTGCAACTATGGTAATTAGAATTGCCATGTACATTGAGCAGGGTTTATTTTAGAAATTGGCCAACGAGGACTCAGTGGGTCCTCTTCTTCAATTTAAGGGAGCATTATTTCAAGAAAGGGGTGCCCAGGAGAATGAGTACCCCAAAAGGTGTTACAACACACTTGTCTAGTATAGTCTGAAAGAAAATGGGGAAGAGATAGACAATAGAGACGCTAACAGACAGTATAGTGGCTCTTGTATTAATCTTGTTGTAAATTGGCTTTTGGAATATGTTATTTAGATGAACCAAAAGTAAGTTTATTAATTCCTTTCACCAAATGAACAGGCACAAATGTTTGTAACACCAGACAGGCAGGGAAATTTGTCAGGGAGGGTAGTTACAGAGTGATGGTTTTTCACTAAGCATAGTGAGACACACTGAAATTTTTTTTTTTGGATGTGATGTAAGTTGAAATGAATGTCAGGCTGAAATGGTTTGAAGCTTCTTTGATTTGGATTTCCCTTTGCTCTAATAAAGAAAAACACAAATCAAACTAGTTTGAATTCATTTTAACTTGAAATAGTTTTGAATTACAGCATACTTGGGTATGTTATCTGATGATTCCAATCTAAAGAATTGCTAAAATGTAAGCTGCCATTCTAAATTTCAGGATCAAGTGTTGGGAACTAAACTGTCCCCTCACATTTAAGCTGACCTGTTCAAACAAATGTGATTAAATATTGTCATTGTAAATGTAACAGAGGCTGAAAACCATATCAATGTTTTATGTTAGATGTGTTTGACTTCTACTCAGTTGATTGTTTTTCTCTTATTCTTCCCTTTTTTAGATGGATTGCTGAAGAAATGCTACCAATCAGTTCATTTTACATCTCAAACGAAACTCAATAAAAATCTTTTGAGACTAAAGGAAGTGTGTTGTTTTTAGAATTTCTGGGTTTCTTCATTTTCTCTTTTAAGTACAATTCACCATTTTTGGTATATCAGTACATCTCACAGAAAATGAGGTACACGTGGGATGGATTTGGGTGTACACATACTGGTCATAAAACTTGAAATCTATCATGGTCACCAGGATACTATTTTCGTATCTCTTGTATAGTAATAGTAATAGAGAACCATTCATATACTTGTTTCTCAAACTTTATTAATTCACCATATGGAAATTAGAGATTGATAGATCTTTCAAACTTGTTTAATAGCTGGATTAACATGCTTAGACTGTACATGAGTAAAATCAATGATAAAATTCCTTTTTTTCAATTTGTGGATGGTACTGTATAATGACACAGTGTTGATTAATAGATGTGTTAAAAGGAATTACCTTGGGGTAACAGAGCAGGGGTTGTAATGGCATTTTACCAGTGTCTGCCAATGGTGGAGTAGGCAGATGCCACCCATGTCCAATTATTGAAATCTTAGTAGTAGCAGCAAGAGGCCTTGTAGACAACAGTAGATTGCAAGGAACTGGCTTAGTTTGGAACCCCTGTTAGAGGAGTTTTCTTTCATAGCAGGAACCATAATGAAAGCTAATAGACAAAGTTGTTCATGGGAGCTGCCACTGTTGTGATTAATCTTGGTTTCTTACACAGAGAAACAAACAACCTCAGGGACTTGAGGCACAGATGAACAAACAAATATACACATCCATCCCTCACTTTCATAGTTAGCTGATATCTTAACTAAAACTTGCACAATGTTCTGTGGGATGTACAGTTAGGTATGGTGCTTGTGTAGAGATGCAATCGAGTAGAGGTCACTACTGGGTTAGCATATTGTGTATTCCCTCAAGTGCCTTATCAAACTTATCAGCAGGAAGCACTAGGACAGTTCGATAAGGTTTTAATTCACAATCACTTGAAGCCCATCTTCCAGCTACAAGAGTTTCATCAACATCTGCACTGGCTGCATAACTGAAGGACAATTGACTTTCCTGCAGGGAAGACAAAATTCCTCAAGGAAACTGTTGACAAAAATGTTGTACCAGGCAAAACTACAGATTGATGCACACTATATGATAGACTATATGCCCTATACAACATAGTGTCTTGCTCCTGACTGACCAATGACTAAAATTTATAACTGGGCTAAAGAGTGAAACACAATTTCTACATGGTAAATAATGATCAATTTAAAGAGCAGAAACAGGCAATTTGGAATTGTGGAAAAATGTCTCGGGTGATATGCAACGAGAAACAAACAAGGTAGCATTTGAAATCAACTTTTTAAAATTGAGAGTGGGATAAAAAAAAGTTGCAAACTGACTTGTGCATTCTGTGATTCATGGTTGCTGTTCATGGTAAGAAAGTGGTTTTAATTTCTTTTAGCTACAGCTTGCATGATGTGAAAATTTCCAAAACATTCTTACACATAAAATCCCAATTACACCAGCATTCATGTAACCTCCAATAAATGCATGGGAATTTATTTTCAATATGCTCCTAGAGAGAGGGGAATACTGGAGTGTTAAAAATACTACACTCTATCAATCTAATCTGGGGGAATAAATTGAAGATTCCATTTTTACCCTTTGGAACACTTCATCCTCCACATTAATAAAACTCAGTGAACTCCCTGACGCTTGCGTCTTGACCTTCTTAGACTTTTTATGCATTTTGGTCTCAGTGTCTTTGTAAGTCTTGCAAATCATTACAAAGTAGGAAATTGGAGCATCGTCACCCTACCAAGAGTAATTTCTCAAATAAAAGTTCAAATTGACACATCATTTTTGTCAAAATTGTACAAGCAGAAGAATATTGTAACATAACAGAAGCATTATCCCTCTGTCTAAGGAAAAAATGCAGCAAAAATTTGCCAGAGAATTCTTCGTAGTGGCCTGAGAATTCTCCAATATGCTGCACTCTAACATCTGTATACATGCATATTCTCCATACTGTTCTCTATACACCTCCTAGGATATGCCAGATATGGCACTTTATTTTTGATAAGCTTCAAAGCATCTGGGTTACTGGATTGCACAGTGTTTAAAGAGAATACATTCTCTATCAAAATTAAAATCAGTGGGTGAATAGGGATAAAATTGTTGAGGTTTATAAAAATCAAGCTTAGATTTCCTTCCATAATTAAAAAATGCCTGTAGCAGTCCAAGCAGAGCACTAGAGGGTACTTGTCTTTGCAGATAGGTGTAATCACTGGCAAAAGGTAACTTTCAAATGTATCAGACCATGTTGGTAATAAATGGCATACCTTTTTATGGACCTTTTTCAGTTCAGATCTAACAAATGAAAAACTTTCAATTTAGAATGATAAGAAAAAGCAAGACTAAATGTCATTTCAATAAAAAACAGAATCAACACATCTCCACATTACTCCACCCCCTACACCAATAATTTATGACATCGTGTGAAAACCAAATTCACTGATTGTTTTGTTGTACATTTTTTTAAACAATCTGCAAATAGAGACACTTTTCTTTGAGTTTGCAAAGTTTTGTGGACACCACACTGACAAGGGGCTTGGAAACTGGGCAGACTTCGACCCGTTCATGAAAACTACATTATCCACTGCAGGTATTGAGATATCATGTCAACTTCACACATTATTGTATATTGACTATATGCTCTTGACCAATTATAGTTTTCAAAGTAATTCTTATGAAAAATAATTTCTCACATTTGCAATAAAACCCTCTCACTAAACACTTTAACCTCAACTCATGTACAATAACCATAATCTTAAAATAACAATCTATGACCTGACACTGTTTGAGTTTGATAAAAAAACAATCATTTATTTTGAGAAACTTCCCTTGAACGTATACACCATGTACAACTTAAAACAAAGACACAATTTCAAATTACTCATACCTTAATGTTTTGTAAACAGGCACTGCTATCTGAGGTGGAATATTGATGAAACGTTCACTGATGAGAAATCCTACAGAATGTTGTCCTTCCATCACCTCTGTAAATTCTGTTTTATCTTCTTTTGAAGCCAGCTCCTGGCATTTATCAGTCAGTAGTTTTTTAAGTTGCTTGACAACATCACTTTCCTGAGTAAAACAAACAGTATAATTGACAAATGGATAAAGAGGTAAGTTTCTAAAGAAACTGTGATGTTGTGTCACTGGGAGAGTATAGCGGGTAATTTAGTGTTAACAACTGAGTTGAAAATGTAAATTGGCCACCGTAAAGAGTTAAAAGGCTGACGTTTCCAGCATTAGCCCTTCATCAGAGCAATAGATTAATTGACAGTCTGGGAAGTTGACAAATTAAAAAATCGATTCCATGTTGTTGTGTATCTGATCAGCAATAGATCAGAAATGATGTCAAAATGTGGTATGAACAAAAAAGTGGCAAAAAAGGCTCAGCTGAGTTTGTCACTGATTCTCTTAAATCACATTTTGATATCTTTTATAATCTATTCCTGAACAGACCCACAACAACAAGGAATCTATTTGTATAATTGTATAAAAAAAGAGCAAAATATTGGTACTGGTGATGTCATCTATTCATCTGTCTACTGATAGCTCATGGGTGAGAATCAGTCACAAAGCATATAAACCATTCAGGTTTAAATAAATTAACCCTTTCATTTCCAAAATCTAGACTTCAATTATCCCCTTTTGCCTGCCATACATTTCTTATTTAGGCCCTGAGACTGTCAAGTGAAATTTTTAAAAAAAGTTATTCACTACTTGATATTTTTCTGAAATGATTCCTGCATGTTGAAGAATATGGTCAACTAATGGGAACAGGGTGAAAATCAAACTACAGGCAGTTGTGGATTTTTCTGCCCTAGAATATTTTATAAACTACAACATTTTGAAGACAGATCTTTTCATACCTGTAACAGATGATATTGCACAGTTTTCTTGATCTCAGTATGAAACAATCAATGAAAAATTTTTAAAAAACTCTCGCTCATTAACCTTATGCTTTTTTAAGTCAATCACAGTTGTCAGTCCAAAAACACCATCTTCTGATTCATCATCATTATCAGTTTTGGCTTCACCATTGTTTTCTTGATCATCATCATTCACAACCTAGGAGTCAGAGGGACAATGAAATGAAAAATGATTCATACTCCTTCCTTACAACCATGACATCTTAGTTAAGGATGATTTGAAGTGTTAGAAACTGACTAAGAGGTTTGTGAGATTAATGTTCAAGGTGCAATAGCATGCAAATTATTTGCACTATCCTGATGAAATTGTTCATTTTCTTAAGCTTAGAAACACTGATTTCAGGAAATAATTCATTTTTTAATTTTGACCATTATAATTTCACAGAATGGGAGCTTATTCTTTCATACCAAGAGGTTTTACAAGATTAGTTTATTTTCACAAGATGGACAACATTATTACTACTTTATTAATCCTACCTTAATCAGAGTGGTTACTTCCGGTTGAGAAATGATCAGATCACTGAGTTTTGATAGATCCAAAGTACTTTTTAAGAACAACTGTTGATTATAAAGCCAGAAATGAAAGTCAGCCACAAAAGCTCTAGTTGATACAACTACAGCGGAAATAAGCTTTAACAGATGCTTTTAAGCATGCAACCTTCAAAAACCAACCAAATTAACTGAATTAAATGCCAGCCCTTGCCACAAATATTTTAGCATCTAGATACAACAGTTAGTCATAATGTTAGTCACTGCCAATAATAACTTACAGTAAATGATTTGTAAATAAAATGCAAAACAAAAACCTTTTTACACTATCTGTGTCTGACTTTTTGCTGAGATAGAAGCACAAATGTCTGACTGATCATATTTACAACAAGGATGGTGTAGATTACTGATTTGAGCTGTAAATACGGGAAATACTGGAAGTTTTCTAATTATGATCCACCCATAAATGCTGAAATCCACCAACTGAGGTGGCATTCAACCATGGAGCGCATTTATCAGTTATTTTCCTTCCATTTACAGTAACAGTAATCAAGGGTGGTATTAACTGCATTAAGTTAATTCAGGAATTAAGTTTGACAAAAGCATTAAACTTTTTCATTAAGTTCCACAGAGCAGTTAAGTGCGACAAGCTCTGCCCTGCTTCATGACTCTAGCACAACACTGATTCAGACATTGTACCCCTGTCATGCCAAGCAAAATTTATAAATTAATTAATGCACTTCGGTGGGATTGCATTACCATTGGGGAGGATGCAATAAAGGTGCTTCAGTAAAAGCTGAATTTCACACAACATTAACACAACATCTGAATCAGAGTTGTGTTTCCGCCATGCTATAGTCAAACATTAGGTTCAGCACAGCATAAGCATGATGTCTGAACTGGGCCTTAGTCGCTCAAGCTAAGTTTTCTCATTGACTCACTTGTTGTAACAGGCACCGTATTCCATTGAAATCTTCTTCATTCGGAGGAAATGCTTCAAATTCAACTGGAATCTCCTGAAAACTCAATCGGTACAATATACCATAATGTTTGCTATTCCTAGATCTCCTTTCCAATAATATGAAGAACACCAGTGATTTCGTATTATTTTACTACGGAAAACATGATGACTGCTTTGCTAAAAGAAAACACCGGCAAAAATCTATTTCCTTTGAGACTAAAGCTTTGATTATTCGGATTTGTTATAGTTCTGCATATTAAACAGACGATTTTCCTGCAACGAGTGGTATACCATGGAATGACACAAGTATCACTTGTATTTTTTTTTTATACACACAAGCCTCGATCGGCAGAGACGCAAGCCTCCATCTCCTCGATAAGCGTAAGTTTGCACGTGCTTCAAAAAAACTTTGTTAGAAGGAAGTCTGCGAAATAGAAATGGTCTGCTCTCACCATATTTTCATCAAAGCTTTCATCTGAGCCATCCGTATTTACTTCTGATGAGGAATCTTCGTCAGAATCTTCATCGCTTTCTTCTTGCCTTCTTTTTTGACCCTTTTGCAAAGACTTTTCCCCGACGTCGTCCGAATCCGAAGAGGAATCCGCCATCTTGAAGGAGACAATAGATGTGCTTAACATGAAGTAGTCTGTTTAAAAAATAAATAAAATTTAACAATTTTAAAAAAAGAGTCTCGACCCATTCCTCCTGCGCTGAGAAAAAACAAAATGGCGGAGTGACAGTAGGGTGAGCAAGCAAGTTTGTCATGCAGGCAATTCTTGGGAATTTTGGAAAATATAGTGGACATGACAACTGAAAGTGTTGCAGAAAGCTCGCTCCTTGGGCTGTCAAGAGGTAAAATGAGCTAAATTCTTGCAGTATAGAATTGGCTAGTAACTAACAATAGAACTAATGCGATCTCATATCTGTTTAACTCAGTACGATATTTTTCCTGTATTTTTGCATTAGTTACAACAGTTAATGATGAAGAATATACTTCTCATTATTGGCCGAAACTGAAAGGTGCGATTTTGTTAATTTTACAACAAAATCCTGGAGAATTTATTCCGATTTCGTATGAAGAAATGTACAGGTAAGTGTACGTTTGGCGTAGATATACAAAAACATTCATTAGAAATATTTGCGTAAGCTTAAACATATATTTAAGTCTTTAGGACGAATTTTCCTCCTTGTATTATTCGCCATAGTAATTGCAACGACGCGATGACGACTAAAACATTCGCCATGTTACAATTTGACAAAATAAAAGTTGACTAGGAAATTTTCTGAAATGAACAAGTATTTGTTTTACTCTCAGCATCCCTTAATTTTCCTATCTACAGTCATTTTCCTTCCTAACAGTCCATGTAGACTCCAGGGATTCAGTTAAGCATAAATCTTCACGCTAGTGGGCAGCAACTACATTTCTTGAGGAAAATCCTGTATGCTCAAGCTCTGCAAGCTGTTTCAATGAGAAGGCTACTTTCTCAAGTTCACTTTTCTTGCGTGATTATCTTCTCAGCACTGTATATAAATGTGTATGCCAGCAGTACTCTGATAGAATGTACAACAATCTGATGGAACTTGTGACTTCCTATCTCAGACGTGTTGCTGAAGAACTGCAGGTATGCTTAGTACTGTTAGTTATGGTTGACTGGTCAGGAAATACAACAGAAATTTTTATTATATGTTTTTATCAACATAACCCTTTTAATTACCCCTAGGAGTGATCAGCAGCTAATTTCTCTTCTCAGTATCCCTGCAGAATCCTTTGTTAAGGTCTTGAGAATAATAGAAATGAACACTAAGTAATGAAGTTCTTGATTATTGGACAAATTCTCCTTGTCAGCACCATGGGAAATGTAACCAGAGAGTTGTATGGAGAATTTACACACTAACATAAGGGTGTAAAGGGTTACCTTTTTTTTTTTTTGAACCTGATCATGCAAAACAGATAAGAATACTCTCATGGTTTTTAGCAGACTGACCAACGAATTTTTTTCTTTATAGTCAGTCAATGTGTAGTCATCATTATATGTTCCATATCATTGGAATTCCCAAGAACTGTTCTTCACTCAAGAAGGGCCATTTTTTTAAGCTTGTTGTTAAGATTTATTTTGCTTGTTGAAATTGCCAGGTAACCCCAGCAGAAGCTTATCTTGAGAAGTTTAATTTTGCAATGGCACAGTTCTTCCAAGCAGTTAGTGGAATAGTAGCCATCTTTAGTTATATGGTGAGATCCATTCATACAGCAAAAATGAACAATTTATTACTTCTGGGAGAGAAACTTTGCTTGCATAAATAACGAGGAATATTTACTATCAATAATAATTTGATTATTAATAATATTATCTTCAAATTATTGATGATAGTTATTACAACTGCTTAAGTCTTTGAAGTGATCCACCTATAAGTTCTCCCCACAATTGTAATATGTTAAATAGAATTAAAAGAATTTACAAACTTGTTAGCTGGAGAAAGTTCCCTTGACTTAGAAATGTAAAATCTAAATTTCCCACATTAGAAACTACATTGAAGCAGTTGGGGAGAATTAATGTACTGATATTAGGAATAAAAGGGCAAGATTGACGTTGTAAGATTTCAATTTTGCAAAATTCTCCCTAGACCTTTAAATCTTTGGCTTGTGGAAGAATTCTACAAAACACAGTTATGGAAAAAGAAGCAAAACCACTAAAGTCGTGCATGGAAAGAAATGACTGTCTAGTGGAAAGATTGCAAAAAAAGCACAAGAGTACTATGGAACAAAATGGAAACCAATTAAATCATAGACAGAAAGAAATTACTTTTATTGTAATCTTTCTTTTTTCTTATAGAACCGATTTTATGTGTCACCAAAACTTCATACTGATTTGAAAGCAGAATTGTGGAAAGTCTTCACGGAACTTGTAGCTGACAATCCACTCCTGTTCAGTAAGTCAACCAATTTTTCCATGTTGAAAATTTACCCTTATTTGATCTGTACTGTCAAGGTGTGAAAAAGTATCTGGTTTCTTTTTCACAAAGAACAAAAATTAATCATGTGAAGGGGGCTAGAAAATGACCAACCAATTGACAAACTATTGAAAGACTTCAGACCAATTGACTGACTGGTTGACATACTAATTGGATGATTGACTGGTAGACTAAATACTGACTGGCTCCATGGCTGGCCGACTGACTTATTGACTGATGAACTGACTGACTGACTGACTGATGGACTGAACATTGACTGACCAACTGACTGGCAGACTGACTGACTGACTGACTGACTGACTGGCCGGCAGACTACATGTAGCTGGCTGGCTGATTGGCTGACTGATGAACTGAAGACTGACTGACTTACTGATCTTCTAAATAACTTGCTGGCTCACTGATTTACTGATAGTCCAAGACATTGATGGACTGACTAACTGATGAACTAAACACTGACGGATTGACTGACCGACTGATCAACTTATTGACTGACTGATAAATTGCATACATTTAAAACTGCCTTTGTGCCGATAATCCAATATAATGTAGGTGAAGTTCTCTCTAAAGGATCTGTTTCCTCTTAGGAGTGATTGATGAGGTTTCATCTAAGCCATTTGGCATCAACCCACAGATAATGATGTCCATAATTAAAGGACTTTATTCACTCAAACCAGGTTTGTATATTACTCACTTGATTTCCCCATCTCCGATTGATTTCATGCAGAGATATAACATAATCCTTTTTGCAGAGTTTTCTGAACGCAATCCAATGCTCTTCGCCCGATTTATTCCCAACATTTTACCACCAACACAATGTGACCAGCTACCAAGTCTAATTCAAGAGGACCGCTTGTTACAGGAGGACCTGGTGACGAGCCAGGGCTTTTCAAGGTAAGAGGTGTTTTGTGTAGCGTGACGTAAGTTGTCCAAGATTGTTTTGGTTTGCGTGACTGAGCCTTGTGATTGGGTTAGAAAACTGGAGTCACTTCTCAACCAATCAGATTCTAAACTAAAAACCAGTCGCGACTGACACGATTTCTTCTCTGTCGTTTCCCGCCTTTTTAAGCTGGTTTCGTGTAAATGCTTTTTTGTTCTTATTGCAATAGCTATCTTTGTTATGAGAGGGAGTCCCGACTACTTTAACTTTGGTTTGAGATATTCATCGGAAAGTGCTCCAAACAGCAAGCTTTTCTACACAGATTCTAATTTGTCTTGTTTTCCTGTAACCAACTGAGTTTTTTCCCTGGCAAATTCCTTTTCCTTTGCCCAAAGGAGTATAGCAGTGTAAGGATTCAAGAACCGTTATTGACGTGTCTTTGACGAGTTTTTTCAAGCCAGTGAACTACTCATGAAATCTATTCCTTACCATGAAGCGCTTTTCATTTGAGAGTTAAAGTGCAATTTTCAATTGAGGGTCGAGAGTGATAAAGGATTGCTTTGGTTTTACCCTATTCGCTCTGTGATTGGTCAAGAAAACTCGCGCCACTTTCGCAACCAATCAGATGCAGAACCAAAACTAACTGCAACTTGGTCGCCGGCGTTTTTCCCGCGCTTTAGGTAGTTTAGTTGTCTTTACTTTGAGTTCTCATTGGCTCTTAAAGGTATTTTCCTTTCTTCTGATTGGCTGCTGTGATTACTTTGTTTCGGGTTTTACGACAGTCAATCGTAAAACGCTCTGAAGTAAAACTCAATACAGTTCCAGATTACTTGTGACACTCACGTTGAAATGACTTTAATATTATTCCTTTCCAATCCAGAGAGGACACGGGGAAGAAAAGAAGAGGAGAAGATTTCCAAGGCAGATAAGAAACGTCAAAACGCCATACTCTATTTTTAAATCTATTGCAACTATATCGTGGAAGTAATTAAATTTCGAGGAAAGCGTGAAGGCCCAACGAACAAGAAGAGGCAACCAACCGACCGGTTCCGAAAGCAATTTAGCGAAAAGGACATCTCAATTTGGCTATACCTCAGCGTAAACGGAAGCACAGTGGTTCTGCACCAAATCCTTCCTCCTTCACTTATCGGGTTCTTTTCAGTTCGCCAGAAGTCAAGGACGGCTCGCTATTCTTTTGTATTTCTGGAAACACAAGGAATTCTTAAATGTGGAAATTTTATGTTAGCTTAAGGAACCTTCAGGGGCACCAATCTGTTTATTTTACTCCTAAGAGGAAAAAACCCCGCTTCATTTTTACATGGGAGTATCCCATGGCTTTTGAATATGTGCCTAGTGTTGCAGACTGCACAAAGAAGTTCATTTCTGTTGACAATATTGAGGTGAAGGTAAATTCTGATCTTCAGTGGTAGAGTAGGCAATGTAATCCGTAATGAAGACATCCATTTGTCAATTGAAACCTAGAAGTGAATCTACATATCAATATTCTCGCAATTAAAAAGTATTTTGTGTCATAGCCTTACGTTTTAAAGGAATTTATTTTCCTTTAAATGCTAAGTAACACACCCCGTAAGCCTCAAGCTAGCGTTGCAGACGTATTGTTTGTGATTGAAGGCCTCCATCCTGGATCTCAAAGCAGAGGCAGAGTCAAACCTGGTGGTAGTCTCGTTTGCCAACCTTGTTTGGTTTCGTCGCGAAATAATGATATCAATTTGCCCCCCCCTCCCATAGAACTTCGGCATCCCAGGTTAAAAGACTTCAACACTCCGTTTATTACCAGATCCATTGACAACTGTCTACTCATTAGCGACGACCTCTAAGATGAATCATCATCAATTTTTTCTCTGTGTATTCATCAGAGACAACCTCTAAGATGAATCGTATAGCTTGAGGGACGAGCATCAATTTTTTTTCCTCTTTAAATTGCTACTCTAAGGCGGGCGTGCGATGTAAGCGCGTGGCTAAGAAGAGAAGAAGAGCGCTCCCTCAGTTGTGCGTGTCTCGCCTCTCCCGATAGCTTCACGCTTGCCCCCTGCTAGTTAAGCGCTTAAAAACGCGACAACAAAATTGAAGCCCGGTCCGTAGACTGTTAATCGTCTTGGATCGTGGGTTACCAGTGATAGCGAGATACGTCGTTACCGCCATAAACACTTCAGGCGTTGTGGAGGAAATATTTCTGTAGAGTACCTAACAGTTAGATTAACCGCGTTACATTCTGTAATTTAAAAAAGTATTTTTCATCCACTTTCCGAATTCTTTCTCGCACAATGAGGGAACTGCACAACATGTTCTTCACTCACAAATGTAATTTTCAAAATAGCTTTAATTCACTGTTGTTGAGTTTGTGTTAAATATACAGTATTTAGCGCATTGAGAGTATCTAAATTTTACCGTCTCAAATGAAGGTTTTGAAATGTTTCTTTAGGGCTGTATTTTCCCTTTCATATCGTAGCAATTGTTGAGGCAATTAACAGTCTTTTTACACGCGGTTAGTACGTTCACTGACTGTCTATGGTCTCTGAGATAATCGTCTAGATCGCGAGAGATATAAAACTGAGCAACGATGGCTTTTACGCCCCGCATTAGGTCTCGCGCCCTTGATTCGTACTTTCTCGTTTAACTACTAAAACAGGTCGCTGATGCCTGATTATTGTATAAAAAGAGAAGAAATCATGACAACAAGTTACCTCACAAAACTCTATGAACGTTTGAACCAATTATGCCTTGTAATGCGCTCTACTCTGTAGTAACCGGTCTTGACCCAAGCACCTAGTATATGCGTAAGCGGTCGATAGCGTTGAAAGCGTGTTCTGATTGGCTACTCAAACTACAAATATCCTTTACTGATTCACCTCTGAGCAACGCCTGCGGGATTTGCGGAAATATTGTCATCGTAGCAGGAATAGATGAATTAAAATCATATTTTTGTTCTTTATTACCTCACTGGTTTAGTATGTACTAGAACAGTTCAGCAAAGTGGAGCTGGTTGGCGGTAATCATTTACCTCGCTTCTTCGCAGCTCATTAAATATTCACTAATAGCCACTTCATTTCGGTAAAGAGTTGTAAAATACTTTAGCTCAGCTTGTTGGTCTTCGTACTGTCCGCATCGGTTTCTGCGCGCTTAGCATAAATTGAAAGAAAACTAAATCCCTGTACGAGTCAGGAAAGATAACAGGCGCTATCAATGTCCAGATATAGATGAACGTGCTGAAAATAGCAGCAGAGAGTCGAATCCATACCGCTCCCCATCCGCAGACTAACTTGACACTAAAATGTTGAGCCTCTTCTGGCCGGTACCAGCTAGTTAATGTCATCATGGAATAGAGAGCAGCTAAACAAAAAAGCACTTGGAAAAATGAATAACTGTAGGCCACACCGTCACGCTCATCATCAAATACGCAACCACCTTCCTCGAAAACGTCGACACGCACTCTGGTGTCCTCGCTATCGGGTACCTCGCGAGTTTCGTGTGTTTGCTTGCGTGTAGAGTGTCCTTGTTGTAGTTTGCCATACTGCGGAGCGCGAACATCGCGTAAACAGGCATAGATTAACACAAAGAACATGAATCCTAAACTTAACAGTATTTGAATGTTACTAAATGGAGTTCCAGGGAAGAGATAGTCACGTGATGGGTTACAAACTTCATCAGGTTCATTTGACAATGCTAACCACGTGATGAAGGTATTGTAAGAGGTGGCGACCGCTGCTTGAAGGAGTCCCGAACGCGGGCGCGCATCTTGAACGACAGGATTAACAGAAATGTAAGTGGCAGCAACACAGAGATAAACATTAAACGTTATAAAAAACATGTTATTATGACAGCCAGGCGCCCATGCGTAGAGAATATAGAAGGAAATGATTGAAATAATGGAGATTGCGTAAAGTGTTATGGTTGGTATCCACAGAATCATATACCATAAGTTCAGCTGTGTATAAGATGTAGAGGCTTCGAGTCTCTCTACACAGCTGACATTCCACGAGTGTACAAAGTCAATTAACAGCACAAATTGCAAAATTATAAAAGCAAAGCCTCCGTTTAAGCCAAAGAATGTCCATACTTCGCCAGTGTATTCCGAATGCGGTATAAGCAAAAATAAAAACGTTAGTAACGATAAAACTAAAATCTTGACTCCCCAAAAGCCATTGTTGATCCGTGCTCGGCTGTCACGACTCGATAACACGCCATATAAAGCCAAGCTCTGGACAAAATAAAAAATGGCTAGCATGAAAAGAACTCTGTACACGGAGGCGTAGCTCAGTAATGTGTCACAGAAAAAGTAGGAGACAGTTTGGCAAAATTCATCGCCAAGAATGTGTCTTGTTCGCGGTGTTAGCAAAAAACAACAGAGCAAGGAAGCCCCTAACAGAAGTCCAATGTAAGACATTCGGGTGAAGATTGATTGGCGAAGGCGAACTCGAGGGCGAAAACAACGTGCACAGAAATGTAAACCACAGCACAGAACCACATCGAGTTTATAACAGACTTCAAGTAACGCATCTACTACTCCGCGAAATCTTGGATTTTCACGAGTGTTTGTTTCGCTGGTTCTCGGGGTTTCCACAATAACTTCATGAGTCGATGAAGTTGACACAGTCGCCATTAAATTGCCCTCCACCTTTCAGCGGTTTTTTCAACGCGTCGAATGAAAACCAATTCTTTCCTCAATTTCGTGGTTGAGAGCTTGAAGTGGAAAAAGCAATGTTGTTAGTCTTTTTTAACACGTGTCAGTGATTTAGGGAAACCTTAAATCTTTAATGTCGCATGTTCCCTTGTAGTCATTGTTTGAGGTCCTTTGTTCTATCTGCGGTATCAGAAAACTACAAATATGACCGCGAGAAATTAAATTATCGCAAAAGGTCTGAAAGAACCGAATTTAAAGGCGATAACGAAAAGGAAAGAATTGATACATTTGATGCCTACATGGCATGGTCGACATGACTTGAATTGGCTCCTTACTGATTCGTACTAAATAGCATTATCGAAACAAGATCTGATTCGCTCCATCTTGTAATCAATGTTGCTTTTTCTTCCAATGAATGGTTTTTCAAAACAATACGTCAACGGCTTAATGATTTTTCTTTGAATACTTTATGACCGAGAAATATTCTGTGCCGTCTGGAAGAATTTTAATATATGAGATGAGCTGGCTGTTTTTTTCTGTTTGTACGTGAGTACCTGTAATTTGTGTTCTCTGCCCACAAGGATGCAAAATAGTTACTTCGCCAAAATGACTACTACTCGCTAAAGGAAATGACCTATTTAACCCGAGCCTGGATAAAAATAATTGTCAAATATTTTTAAAGTTAAAGGACAAGAGAGGTTTTTAATGCGTCAATTACATTTTCGACTTATAGCTAGCTAAAGCCTAGTTTTAATAATCTCCAATAAATACATAGAGCCCGAATAAAATGTCTTCCTTTTCCGATGACACATCTATTGGACAAACAAAATTTTTCTCCAAGCGATGTGATATTCATTCTATACGCAAACTTTGGAGAAAAAATTAAAAAATATGTCATATAGTAAAGTTTGACAGAAGGAATTACATGAATGTGTTTTTACTCCCAAAAAGCCGAATTTTCTTTAAGTTTAGTCATTGCTTCATTGCTTCTGTGCTAGTTTTACATTCATGCAGCTTACAAGACTCAAATGTTTTTTAAAATTTTGATTGGTTTCTTGGATTTGACCCTTGGTCTTACATAACAATTACTTCCTTACGGTGAACGACCGCTAGCCGAGGACGAGCGTTTGAACGCGATGCTTTCTTCACTACGTTTCTTTATACCCATTTAACTCCGATGATCTGATTTTTAACTCTCCCCTCTAGCTGTTACACAATTCCTTGTAAATTAGTTACAAGAAAATTGGAGTTAGATCAAGATAACAACTTCTGCCAAGTTTGAGTATTCTTATTACCCTTTTGCTGGGTAGTGAATGGATATTATAGGGATAAGTTACATTCCCTTTTGGGATGGAAAAGTAAAATATCAAAACGCCGCGAATTAAAAGGGAAAAGTCCATTCGAATTCAATAAAGAGGGTCTTGCATTAAGTTATGTTTATTGGGTGTTAAAAGGAAAAACTATTAATTGTTACGATAAAAATTATTTTACAACAATAAAAGTAAGAACTTAACAAGCTAGAGCTAAAAAGTGAGTCAATAGAATGATAAGATATTTGATTTGGACAAAATGATGGTGACATAAAGTTCTTTAGAAGAAATGCTAGCCGACTTTTTTTATATAGATAGTCTAACTGATATGGTTAGGTTATGACAGATCTTCGGGATTGAAGATTTGTTTTCTTTCTAATTCGGTTCATTAGCCTTGTGCTTATAACCGTTGTGGTTATCGCATATTGAGAGGGGGAGGGGAGGGGAGGGGCGAGACTCAGAAGTGCGAGTCTCTAAGTCCGTCATTTCTTAGACAGAAATGCCAACGCCTGATCACCTGTTATCAAAAAAGAGGCTAAGGAGGTGTAAACAAAACACAAAGGGATGAGTTTGAGTGGAGAATGGAACAATACATAAATTTTGTACACAATATATCCCTTCTTGACAATACTTCACTTACGCACTCTCTTATTTTAGCATTCTTCTCCTTGTGGGCCAAATGAGACGAAAAAGACTATTCAAAATCTTTCCCTTTCAAGAAGTTGAGAGGCTTTGGGAACGAGGAGTCTTGGATGTCAAAGGCAGTGGAGTGAAGGTATACAAAAAGTGAAACCTTATCATTAGCAAAATGAGCTTGAACAGCGAAAGAGACGTCAAGCAACCTTACAAATCCTTGTATTTCAGGAGTGTGGCAACCTAAAATCCCATCCAGGATCCAGCAAAAAAGTGACCCCAGGGGTTGAGGGGCATGTTTCCCCAAACGGGAACTAGTTGGTAAAAGTGATAGGACCTGTTACCGTGTGCAGCCGTGTGGAAATAAAAGCTCGCCTCACGAGATATCAAAAGAAGAAAATGACCAAGTGTACTTTATAAAACTGGCGGATAGAAGGTAAGCTTGTTTTCAGGATCTTAGTCAATGGAAAAAAAAACCGTAAAATGGGGCGCATAGAAAAGAAGTTTCCCAACGCGACAGCTGCAATCGCTGTTTGTCACAAGCCCTCTTCCGCTTCTCTCGAAAAGGCTTCAAGAAGACTGAGCACCACATATACTCGCAGTGCCTGCTGGGTTTTGAAACTCAGACTGACGTGGCGAGCGCCGGGCATACAAAGAAAGATGGCGGTCGTTTCGTGGGCATCGGTAATTTTAGTCTTTTTCGGGTTAGATTTAGCCCAGGGCCTCTATTTCCACATGGGAGAAACAGAAAAGAAGTGTTTCATAGAGGAAATTCCAGACGAAACAATGGTTATCGGTTAGTTGAGACATCCCTTAATGTAACGCAATTTTGGGATAATAGTACCTAAATTAGCGTCTGTTCTAAAGCCACTTGATTTTTATGGGTTAGGCTTTTCGAATGACGAGCAGATCTCTGGTAGTTCTGGTTGTTAAAAAAATTCCCACTTAAACTATTTTCTTGGTAAAGTAGCATACTGTTTCGAATCTGAAAATGTGTATTTAGTTTAATCGTATAATAGCCAGCATGTTGCATGCATCTTTACTTCAAAAGGCAAATATACCAGTTACTGAAGAAGCATGTATGCTTTACTATGAGTCATTTACCAAAAAATAACGTTAGAAACAAGGTTAAGCGGGTAGAGAAGGAAATTAAGAGCAATTTAGAGTTATTTAAGACCTTCAAATTACCATATTGGCATTTTACAACTTTGGGTACACAACTATATAACACCAATCTCTGATCTTTAAATACTTAAAGCGGACTAATGGTTAAGCTAAATTCCTCTTACTTAATGTTGAGTTTCAATGTAGTAGTTACTACAGAGTATATCCCACTAACAAAATAATCAAACTTCCATCCCTCCAGTCTGAAGTTGTTCAAACACTAGACAATATTTATTAAATTTCAAACTCCAGATGATGCATTTTCAGTGTTCTGATTGGTTCACACAACTCTGCTTATCAGCTCATACACCAAATCAATCTTTATGAAATGATTTGCGCAAGTTTTGCTAAACTGGATTTACTTTTGGCTGGAAACAGTCACTGCTCCCATGTATTGTGGATATTTTAATTTGATAAAATAAATGTTCCATTCGCACTTGTTGTATATGAGATTGGTTATAGCCAATTTGGTACTACATGCCTTGTTCACTATTTACCATCTCACATAAGATGCTCACTCATGGAATAATTGTTTAGTAGTAAGTGAATCTTTATCGGTTATATAGTTTAGCTTGTTTGGTCAACAGATATCTACTGGATGGCAGTTAATCCAGACCTGTCAGTATTTAACATATAAGTACCTTGACCTTATTTCAAAATTAACTTAAGTAGTATTGCCTTCCCTGAACTAATGTTATCGTGACAATTCAACAGGTAAATACAAGACACAGTTATATGATGAAAACATCAGAGATTTCCTTCCATCCAGTCCTGGTATAGGAATGCATGTGGAAGTGAAAGATCCCAACATGAAAGTTATTCTATCTAAATATTATGCATCAGAGGGAAGATTCACTTTCACCTCACATTCACCTGGTGAACATCTTATCTGTCTTCACTCAAATTCTACTCGATGGTCTTTGTGGGCAGGAGGAAAGCTGGTATGTCAGATTGAGCACACTTATAGTTAGAAGTGAACTCTTTCTCAACTTTGAGATGTATAATGTCCTCACTTTGGACTTTCAAGAAATAAGCTGGGAATTTTAGTGGTTGTCATTTCTAAGTATGGGTTTTATTGGTATCTTTTTCAGCGCATTCATTTGGATATTCAAGTGGGTGAACATGCCAATGATTATCAAGAAATTGCTGCCAAAGACAAACTTACAGAACTCCAGCTTCGTATTCGTCAGCTGTTAGACCAAGTAGAACAGATAAGCAAAGAGCAGAACTATCAGAGGGTAAGGGTAACAGAACACCTGTTTAAATTTTGAAGAAGATTTATAAACAATTATAGAAAAAAAAAAATTTTTTTTCACAGAAAATTCCAATAGTTAATGCAATCCATGCATATTTTCTCAAAATCCTATAACAATGCTAAAAGCAATGGTCAAACTACATCAAGTGTTACAATTGGAGCATGCAGCTTTAACAAACTTTTGAAAAGTTACTGTAGGATTATAACTTAATATGAGGATATACCTTTTTTCCATAGTGATGAATTTTCTTATTTTATACTTAATGATTTTGTTTTCTTTGATCACAGTTTCGTGAGGAGCGGTTTAGAGCAACCAGTGAAAGTACCAACCAGCGTGTACTGTGGTGGGCTCTGGCACAAACTTTGATACTCCTTGTCACTGGATTCTGGCAGATGCGTCATCTAAAGGGATTCTTTGAAGCAAAGAAACTAGTTTAAAGAAATTATACAAGTTGTTTTAATTTGGGCTGAAGGACAGGATCCATTGAGCTCTCTTTTACTGCCTGCTCCTTATGTGGATATCATTTGCATGGCTTTCTATTATCTCAAGATGATAAAATTCATCAAAGAGGCTTGAAGACAACATCACAAATGGATTTAATTACTTTTGATTTCACTTTTGTTATTACCTTATAGAAATTTGTTATTTCTTGCTTAATCCTTTAACTCCCATGAGTGACCAACACAGAATTTCTCCTTACAATATCAATACAATATCAAGCAGGCAGGTGATGAGAATAGAGAAGAATATCAATCATGGGATTATTAGTTGATCCAATACTAAATTCTCTGAACTAACATCATAAAATATTGTATGGCAGATAGTAAGGAGAATTACTAATCAGATCTTGGGAGTGAAAGGGTTAACCTGAACTTGTCATAATTAATCTTTTTGGCCCTTTTCTTCTGGCCTCAACAAGAGCTTAGTATTTATCTTTTTGTTTATCACCCTGGAAATACAGTCTGGTTTTGATAGCCTTTTACTAATGGTCAAAAGAGACATTTCACATAGTGAAGTACTATAAATACAGTTTCCATTTAATTGAAGTTAAGTCATAAATTCCTTGAAGTGATCACTACAGCTTTTCCTCATTTTTTTGAATGCAACATCCGGCAAACAGGGCTCGTGGAAATACAAGCATACTAGATGGAGAGTGTTTCATAGATAAAGAAAAATATTTCCTCAAATAAATAGCACTGACAGTTTAAGTGTTAAAACAAAATTTAAAGGGTGAATGGTTTGCTGGTGTGTCTCTACTAGCAATAAGATCATGGTTCATCAAAATGTGGATAGCACTACAGAGATTTAGCCAGATCTTTGATGACTATCGTTGGCATTGACTGGAAAAGTTTTTTTTTCTGTGGTGTACATTGTAGCAGAATGTTCCTCAGCCTATTGCCTCTTGTCTCTACTAGTTGTTTTTTTAAAGAGTATAACTTTTCCTCTGTCCGACTGAAAATATTTGATGGTTATGATCTTGGTTTTAGAGTGCTGCTCAAATTTAGTTATACTGGTCTTTACCTAGGATAATTTTTCATAGGAATTGAAATATTTTACCTTAATTTGCTGTCATGTTTCTTAATAAAGAAATAAACTTCATGATGTATTATAGTGTGGAAAAAAAACCTTGTCTCCCAGTCCCAAACAAGACAACCTGCAATAGCAACAAATAAATTTATACATGAATACACAAAGAAACTATGACCTAGATAAATTTAATTTGGTAATGGTACATCCATGAGCTGCTGTCATCCATTATGTTCTGATAGATTGGGAGTATGACTGTGTTTCAGTTTTTTGGAGGAATGAAAAAGAAAAACTTAAAGAAAACCCCTTTTGGAAAAGGCAAATAACCAACAGCATCGTCTACCCAGGCTCTGGCAGTAGATGCTGGTTGGTACCCCACCAATTCCATCACTGCTATCTTGATTTTCAGCAAAGTGGAACTGTCTGCTGATTCTTTTAACAATTAATCCTGCTAATCTTAAGGAAGCTGTCTCTTCTTCTACTAAGATGTCAGAGAATAATTTTTTTTTACAGTGTGAGTTTATCTAGAAATTACACAAGATAAAGCCAGAATAACTGTTAAAGATGGATGAGTCAAAGTAAGTCAGTGAACTTCTCCTCTTAAACATTTCTCCTTTATTTTATCCATAAAAACCGATAAAAGAGCCTTGCCTTGCGGGAAAAAATCTTATGAATGAGTAAACTGGATCCTTTTACAGGGGAAGGGGCGGGGATTCATTAGGAATTCGATCGCGCAGTTAGAACTGGTACCGATTACGACTGCCTGTTTGTTTTTGACCGCCTTTTGAAAGCAACGGAAAACGAGGTAAGATGATTTTAATAATAATTTCTCTTTATAGATCGTCTAGAATCTTGCGCTGATGTGCTAAATGGCTTTAATGAAACAATTCTTGCCTTATGTTTTTCCAGTGCTTTTCTTGTCTTCGGTTTATAATGATTTTACGGTCACGAAAATGGGGTATGAGGTTACATACTGCGCTTTGTTGAACTTGCCAACCAATGATTATTTAATGCCCGTGGAAAGGTTTTCAGGAACTTTCTGTTTTAAATCAGTTGTAAAAAAAAATGGGAAATATTTCTTCATAGCCTTTAAGATTTGAAATTTTATACAATTTTATGTTATACTTTTTTCCATCATGCTTTTCCTCGCTGTGTTGATTTGAAAATACGATCGATGTTGATCTGTGGTGAATATATAACTAAATGCGCATGTATATCAAACCAGTGATTTGCTTTTCATATGTGGAATTTAAATGTTCATCGTCCGGAGGTCTTTAGGAAAATCTAAATTTGTCGTCGTTCTCATTTGATCGTGGTATGTAGAAAATTCTCTCGATCAGACCTTCGTGAAAATTGTTTCAATATTCTTTTGACGATATTTTTAAAAGAAACTTCTAGGTAATCAACCATACTGCTGTGTTTCTGATTACCATATTCTGCAATTATCTGTGTGGCTTTTGCAAAATTTTATTCTACTAGCAAACAACAAAACAGAGGTAGAAAACACCTGCATAAAAGGTAGACTGGAAGCATTTCTTCTTGATTTTTTTTATATAAAGCATTAGCCAAACAATCACAGCTCAGTAGGCAAGGCAAGGTCACCAAAAGGTCAACTTAGAGTCTGTTTTCAGAAGATCACACCCTGTAGACAATAGGCAAGGCCAAAGAAGAGCTAACACTTCTAATATTCCAGTCAGTTTTCAGAAGATCACTGCTCTGTAGACCAGACAAGGCCCCAAAAAGGCCAACACTTCAATTTTCCAGTCTACTTTCAGAAGATCATGGCTTTGTAGACAATGCAAGGTCACTAAAAAACTAATCTCTCCATTTTACAATCCATTTTCATTACACCACAGCTCTGGCAAGGCCAAATGGTGAAGCCACCAAAAAACTAACCCCTCCATTTTACACTCTGTTTCAGTTGTGATGTCAATGTTCTATGATGGAACAGTCCATACCAGTTTCTGAGGTTAGCTCAGAGACAGCAACTGGTCCATTCCCACCAAATAATTCAACATTCCAAAATATTGAACAGGTAATAAAAAAAATCTGTTTTTACTTTCTTCTTTAGATTTCTGCCTTTTCTTACTTCCAACATTGTTACAAAGTTCACTGTTTTGCATGAAGTTTACTTGTACTTAGTTACAGAAAATGCTTGTTTACTTCTTTCTAACAGAGGCTATGGATAATGAAAGTTTCAACTTATGTGCAACATTAAATTTAATATTTGTTGGGAAACGCTATACTGTATTTTGTTCATGGATTACAAAAACAACAAATAAAAACAAGGCACTTGTGACATTTGTCAACAAATATGCTTTTGTGCAGGTCATGATTTGTAGAAAAGCTTTTCAATAGAACATTGTTGATCTGACAATTAAAACTGTTCAGTTGGTACCAATTTATACTTATGAAAGGAGCACTGTGACAGGAAATTGCTTATTTGCCAAAGAATGAAACACAACCGCCTGGACTTGCATAAGGACTCTTTTATATGTGGCTCAAGGCATTAGCTTAAAATTCAATCAAAACCACCTTGTCATTTGTTTATATTTGCAGCTTAACTTTATAAAAAGCAAATAATTTATTTGGCTGACATAATGACTGGTAGAAAAATGTAATAATAATTTTGATCTGTTCCTTTGAAAAGAGTCATTAGTTTGGTTTCAAAATTGATCATAGCTTAGAATATGTGTTGTACTTTCAGCAATACCAGGAACAATGGCATATACTGGAAAATTTACAATCTGAGTTGGGATCAGAAGGACAATCTGAAAGCAGGCAAGACTCAGTGGCATCTTTTAACAACAGCACAACTTCAAATGCTAATAAAGAAGATGCTGAATCAACTGTTAATCAACAAGAAAAGGTTTGTTTTTTAACTCTTCAACCCCTAAAAGTGACTAATATCTCATTTCTCCTTACAATATCACCCCTGAATCATACTTTAAGGTCATGAGAATAAAGAGAATGATCACCAACTGAAGAAGCAGTTGATTGTTAGACAAATTCCCCTTGTCTACACCTTAAGACATGAGTAAAGTAGGGAGAATATGCATAATGATGTTGTGATGGAAAGGGTTGGGGGTCATTTTGGAAGTGAAGTTGATTTTATGCTTTTTATCATAGTAAAGGTGGTGGAGCAACACACCTATCGATCTGTACATGCCCTTAACATGTTTTACTCTCTCCGAACTCCTATAGGAAGGCACTGAAGAATGGTTTATTCTTGGTGAGGACCCAGTTGGAACTGACCAGGAGAACACCTCTGACAATAAAAATGTTGGAGGAAAGGAAAACATATCTGGTACTGAACAGGAACAAGAGGGAGAGACTGCAAAACAGGTTGGTGTGGCAAGAATACAAGTCTGTGTCTACATATCACTCTTCCATTTAATACAAGAATGATGATTATTTAACCATTTTAATTATAAGACATAATTGGACTTTGTTTTGTCCAACAGTTATCCCCTTATGCAGAGCAGTGGTTTGAGTTAGAGCAACTAAAGCAGAATGTAAGATCTTTGAGTCAAGTAGCAGGTTTGCCACAGTCACCCCAGCTCAATGAAACTGTAGCCAGTGGGTTAAGCAGTGGTTCACTGAGTGTTGAAACCCTTGAAGAAGTTGGACTTGAAGATATAGATGCTGTACCACAGGAAGGAAGAGCTGGGGAGGGTAGGTTACAAAATTAAGTATTTATAATCTTTAGTTATGCTGAAAATATGCTTGTTGGCTTAACTTCTCCATAGCCTAGTGTGCTCAGTGCATCAGTTGTGAGTAATTTAACCCTTGAGCTAATGCAGTAGATCCATCCCCAAAATTGAATGACCTTTTGGCAAGAATTATTTCATACTTTATATGAGACATCCTGAAAATTGAGGTGTACAATGTTCAGTATGTACTGCCATCAGCACCTCCAGCTGTAACTTGGGGAGAAGGAAAATTTCCAGGAACTAGATTTGCAGCAAAAGTTGCCAATGAGGCAACTTGTGTTTAGCAGTTGTGTAGCAAGCTGTTAAATTTTTGTGATACAGTGTTTATGGTTGCAAGTAATGGTAAGTTTTATATTTTGCACAAAACAGGGAGATGTTGCACAAAATTTCCTTTTTAGATTAATTTTCTGGCATCTGAAATTTTATTTCTGGAGATAATGTTATGAGTTAATTAAGGTTGCCAAATGGCGAATTGGATGTGTGGTTAGAGTCAGTAAAGTAAACAGTGGAGCATCTTGGCAAGAGTTTGTCAGCCTTCTACATGTATGCCCTTTTCTTAATTTTATGTAAAATGTTTGCTATACTTTAAGGAATATGATTACTTTTACTATCTTCTGGGGAACTTGGTTTTTGTTTTTCCAGTCTAGATTCTTTGGTATCTGGTTAGATCGCACCATGGTTAGATCGCTCCCAGTTAGATCGCTCCAACCAAAAGTTAGATCGCTCCACTCGAAAGTTAGATCGCTCCATCAAATAAGTTACTTCGCTGCCAAAATAAGTTGCTTCGCTCCATGTTGTAAAGTGAAGTATTACTTACCAATGATCTTTAAAGTTTATAGGTGATGATGTGTCTTGCGACGATTCGAGTACATCGTACTCACTTTGTCTTTCAGATTAGACACCGAGCTACCGATGTTTGATGTATAGCAATGATGGAATAAATGATCGTGGAATAAATTATAACGTTGTAGTCTGAAGTGTATTGAAAAAGATCATTCAAATACCAATACTATCCAGTGTGGCCTTTTTTGGTTTTCGATGTAAGGAAACTGATATTCGCCATCTTTAATTAATAAAGTAGATTTCACTTCGTGAGTCCCTTTCATGAGGTTTTATTTGTTCTTTCTGCGTAGCTCGGATTTATTTCATGCGCGCGCGAACGATATTAATCGATTGTTCGGTTAGATATGCACGTCATTTAATGAACTATCAATTTAGATACCTTAGTTTTGCTACCTTTACCTTAGTTTTCCACATGGAGCGAAGTTACTTATGTTAGGAGCGATGTAACTTATTCGATGGAGCGATCTAACTTTCGAGTGGAGCGGTCTAACTTTTGGTCGGAGCGATCTAACCATGGTGCGATTTCACCGTAATTTGTTTCTTTTGTTGTTGGACATTTATTTATCCTAAACTCACATTTGTGAATGTAGCTGTTGAACTGTTGTCATTGTTGTACGCCAGAGGCAGCTCAAGAAGCAGGAGGCGAAGAGGATGTGGAGGATGATTCGCGCGATAGTGGTACCTCCTTCAGTGTTAATGGGTCTGGTGTTGAAGACAATGGATTAAGAAGCCAGTGGTTCCCACTGAGGCCAAGTGCTGTTGGGGAGGATGATGAGGAAACTAATCAGGTGGCCTACACTACAAGTGCAGCTTTTCAGCCATCAAGTGGTGAACCACCTCAGAATGTTCCACCAGCTTGGTCCGATGATGATGCAAAGCAGTCACCTCCTGAGAGATCACAACCAGATGGAAGAGATGGGCCAGATCTCAAGAGACCTCCTTGGGTCAGGAGCACATTTACAAGTACGCAGCAGACAGTCACCCCTCCTGTCCAGAAAAAACCTGTGCCCAGTGGCTCAGCTGAGGCGACAGACAGTGGTAGTGATACATCTGTCCTCTCACAACCACGGAATGACAACGCCACACCACTGGAAATTATCACCAGGAGTGTTCCTCCTGCTCCAAGAGGTGCAGCCTTCGTTAGTGAGTTGAGGCGAAGACACGCCCCTCAGCTGAACAGTGACAGTGATACTGAGAGCCCAGTGTCGAAGCTACTCGGCCCAAACTTCCGTGCAGTTCAGCAAGTGTTGAACAGACTCAAGCAAGACAGGCTCACTGGAGGTGTCAGCGATGAAGCAGAACACTCAGTGTCTGAACAGCAGTCTTTGAGAGAGGAGAGCCAGCATTCATTGGGGAGTACTGTTTCAACAACTCATGGGACAGAGGGAAATTTTGGACTTGAAACAGAAATTAAAATGACGAAACCCACAGCTGATGCAGTAACCAGTCTTGAGTTAAATTCTTCAAGACTATCTGAAGGGGCAATCTTACCACACGCTGAGAAACGACACCGTGATAGACAATCAGAGGATGAAGCTCGCCGAAGTGCTATCGACACCTTCAGGAAGTCATGGGATACTGGACTTACATCGAGCTGGACAAATGCCAAGCCATCCCATCGTGATGCAAGTGGAATGAGTCCTGCTGAGGCGTTCCTAAACTCAATCGTACCTCCTGCCATGAATGCCACAGAAGGACACAGTTCAGCCGACAGTAGTACTAAAAACGCAAGGATTTTAGATAAAGATGTTCGTTCTTTCTTAGGAAATGGAAACGTGATGTCTCATCATGACACTGATCATATTATTTCTCAACCTCAGTTATCAAGTAGATATTCCACTGAGCTTCGTCCCCGTAGCTCAGTAGAGGACAGTCTTAGGAGCTCACGGATAGCATGGGGAGATCATTCAGTTCCGGTTACAGATACAAAGGAACTTCCTCATCGTAGAGACATATCTGATAATGCAGTGCTTCCATCAAGAGCACTTGCATCCAGAGAACGTTTACACGAGATAAGTTCTCATAGTTCCACTGGAGGAAGCGTTCACACTCTCAGAGCTGCTTGGCGAGAACCAACATTACCCATGGGTCCTAACAGCAGAGAGCCGTCACTTGGTGATGTTTCTGAAGAGATGTCCGGTGTTATTCCGGCAGACAATTTAGAATTCCCAGGTCAGATAAGCTCTGTTCCTCCAGATGGAACAAACGCCTCTGGGGTCACTGTTTCCGGTGAAACGGAGAGAGCTAAAGATTTGAACAGAACGGAAGAAAACCACGTTAGGAGACGAACAAGTGATGTAAGCGTATCATCAGATGATACAGACGATCTATTGACATATGAGCCAGTACTGGAAGGTGATCGTCAATACTTGCAAATGCAAAAGCGAACTAAACATGCTCAACAGCGAGTTGTTGCAATGGACCAAAGGCAAAGTTGGTTACCTGCGAGACCGTCTGAATTTGCCAAACGGAAACCTGGCCAGGAACTACCCCCTCCTTCAATGGAAGCACCGGAGGGCATCCAAAGTACCCCTGCTGATCAGGATGACAGTCAGATTAAGGCTTTGCACTGGTCCTTAGGCGCTGGTACTATTTCTCCCATATCATACGATAGCGTAGCTCAGAGCGATTCTCAGCACGAAGGATCGTCAACGCCGTTGGGTCCAGCTCTAGAGCGTTCAAGTGTCCTTGGGGTTGGTGCCCTTCAAGAGCAGAGTCTCCAAGAAGAGGACACCACAGCTTACAGCGAGGATCGAGATGCAGCTTTGATGAAACAACATCGAAGTCATTCCATCACGGAAGTCTCCTCTTCCGATGAGATGTACAGACCAGTTTTATACAGGGATGCTGCAGCAAATAAGGAAAACCACCCAGACGAGAGTGCAGTCGAGGCCTCACCCTATGGCATTTACGACATACGAAAGTCCTCAGGCCCTGGTAGTACAAACAGACGTAGGAAGGCCTTGGGTCTTCAACCCAACCCTGCAAGGGATAGCGTCAGTCAGGAGGGGACTGGCATGGTTTATATATCAGGAAGCTCTACGCCAAGTAGTGTGCGTGGTGGGAGAGATAGGTTCTTGAGGAGAGAAGAAACTCTCCCTGGAAGACATTCTTCTCATGACGAACGACGCCCAGACAAACTACACGAAGACGAGAGGTTCCACAGGAATGAGGAACTTAAGAAGCCGCCAAAAACAAAAGACTCTAAAATGGAAAAAGAGGGTCGAAAGAGCAAAAAAGATCGAGAGATGATTGGGAAACGAGATTATCAAGATACACGCATAGAGGAAGGCCTGGTTCGCGAGAAGAGTAAACCCGGTCATCCACGTCGAAATCGGTTGAGCAACACTTCAAGCAAAGAATCCACTATCAGTGGTGATTCACCAGAGGATGAAAGAGAACCATCGCGTCATTCTTATGCCAGATCACGACAGCCACCTTCACAGTATATGGACACACTTGATCCAAATGTTGCCAGTCATTCTTTAGGTCACGGTAAGAGATCTGCCAGAGCTGGAAAATCAAAGACGAGATATACTGAAGATGATCGTGCAATTTTATCTCAGCGGTCAAGGCTAGAGACATCTGAAAATAGAAAAGACGATTCAAGGATACCAGATGCCAAGGGTGGCCATTCTTCGCGTGATAAAAGCTTTTCTCGTGATCCAAAAACCTCCAGAATGGATGCTAACATTTCAAGGCTGACTTCGTTGATAACAAAGTCATTAGAGGAGAGCATTTCCTCCTCCTCTCTTGCGTCAACCACAACGTCTTCAAGAAGACCAAGTTCAAAAAGTAAAAAGGCAAAGCTGGCTTCCTCAACTAGTGAATCGTCTGACGTTTCTGAATATTTCAACTACGCTTTCTTCGAGCCTCGTCTCCGGACGTCCATTGGACAGAAAATAAAATTAAGAGAGCTGCTGAGGTCTGTGAAGTCACATGACCTTTCCCCTATAGTCCGTAGAACTCGAGATAGCACTTCTCCTGAGTCTACCTCAGGATTGTCCAGCAACGACGGGGTAAGTGCCGAAAAGGAGCCTGAGCCTGTAGTGAGGGAGCCTTTACGATCAGATGCTGCACAAAAGCCTGCTGCGATGTACTCCCCACAGCAGCCAACGAATGGTCCAAGATGTACTTGCGCTCGCGCGCCAAAGGCTGTTACACGAGCAACATCATCAGGGGCGTTCCGAAGCCGTAGAGAAGGTGATGGAAGAAGAATTGAAAAGCGCGATGTTGGTGTGAACTGTCCCACACCAGTTATGACAAGGGACCCATCGCCCGTTGAAGATGAGGTGTCGCGCATTCTGTTGGAAGATGCTAGTACTCAGACGGACGAAGTTGGTGGTGGACGAAGAGTGGAAAGAAAAGTTGATTGTGAACCTGAAAAATCACCGCGTAAGTCAGTGAAGAGTAAAAGATACGAACAGCTTTCAAATGTTGAAGAACGTGGTGTTATCTCTCAACCTTCGCCTAAAAAGTTAGATCTCTATTACCAGATGGAGCAGCGAGAAACTCGACATAAACCTAAAGAACGTTTAGTACCGAGTCAAAATTCACCGGATCATCGTGTTAGAACAAGCCCTGACTGGAGAAACAGGGCACAGGAGCCTGCGTGGTTTTATCCTCTGAAGGGCAAACCGCAACCCGAACAAAAAGCCACCTCACAGATAAGCAGTAGCCTGAATAAAAGTCGCACAAGAGACGAACTACGAGCAGACATGTTTGAGGCTTCAGTTAATCCTTCCAGCACACTACAGCAGCTGAGTCTTCAAGAAGCATTCCTCTATGCCAGGCCTAAATTTGTAAGGCGTTCGCAGGACAGAGTTGCTCAAATTGAGCAAGCTGCACGAGAGAAAGAAAGACGTAGGATGTTTACTCAGACTGTGGATGAAGAAAAGAAAAGAGAAGAGGCTGAGTTACGAAGAGCAAGAAGTCCGCCTGTTCCTCAGAAAGCTAAGCCTCGTGTCTCGAGAAATGGTTAGTTCACGTCAGGAGTCCTGGGTAGGGTTGTGTGAATCCCTCTAGGAGCAATTTTCGATTGAGTGTCGAAAGTTATTGGAGACTCTTAGTTTTTATAAGTTTGTTCTTCGATTGGTCTGGAAAACTCGCGCCATTTTCGCGGCTAATGAGATGCAAAACTAAACTCAATCGTGACTTGGTCTCTCGATTTTTCTTTATTCCCGTACTTCGGCCATTATTATTGTTTACACTTTGATATTTCATTTGCTCCTTGTGATGTTTTCCTTGGTTTCCTTGGCTGTTGTGATTACTTCGGTTTTGTTTCTACTACACGCAATCGAAATTCGCTCCAACCCAGGAATTGCGGTCGTTTTGCTAACGAGCAGTTTGCTGGCGTTTCTTAGGTCGTTTCGCTAACGTTGTAAGTTGTTTTGCTAATGTCTCTTTTAGTTTTGTTTTCTTTGAAGCAGCGACAAATGTATCGAATCGACTCTCGTAATGTTTCGAGTCGACTTCATTTCGTCTTGAATTGACTTTTATCAGCGGCTTTCAGTTTGTATTGAAACGACCTAACTCCCCTTCGATTAGCAGTTGATCAAGTTCTGCCGAAGGAGTCACGAAACGTTTCGTAAATACCCCCTTTTTCTTATAAGAACGTCTTATTTTGGGGCTGAGGCTGAATGTTCTTTTTTTTTTTGGCTATTTGAGCCTAAAAGTGTCCTTGACATATTAAAGTTTTGAGATATAGTATTTCAATAATTCGATTCGGACGTAACCAGACTAAGTTCGATTACAAACTGAGTTGTTTTTCAGTGTATCGTGCAATAAGAAAACCGCATCTTTAAAGTTAAAAAAGGCCCCTAAGTATTTATGTTAGTTCTCCTGTGGGACTGCAGTTTTACATTTCTTTTTCCTCTGTTTAGAATTTTCACTTACTCTCAGCCTGGATATGTTCTTAGTACGTTCTTAAGATTTTGGTCAATCTCAGGTTGAACGTTCTTATAAAAAAAAGGTTCTTATATAGGTTCTTATAAGAAAATAAGAGTGTACGTCAGAGAAACGACGTATGAGGCGTTGCAAACTGCCCCGAGATATTGGAAAAACGACCTAAAACGTTAATAAACTGGTCGTTAGCGAAACAACTCGTAGGCGAAAAGACAGCTTATCAAACCTAATACCGGTTATTTTAAGAAAGAGCACGCAAGAAGTTTTTTTCCTTTTTTGAGTATTAACTGTTTTTGTTTTCTACTTTAGACCAATTTTCTGGACCAAAACCACGGCAGATGACCCGGGCTGAGATGAAAGAATTAAATAAGAGGTAAAGCCAGCTACTTTTTTCTCCAATACCTAACGGTCCTACAGCTGTTTACTTCTTACTTTACGAGTCATATATAAACTTGGTATTGGTTTTGGATGGTTGGTTTTTGAAGGAAAACAAATTACCTCACTGATACATCGAAGAATGATACTATTCACTTTGCACTTGTTTTTTGTTTTTTTTTTTTTTGGTTGTTCTCCCTCATTTTGTTCTCTGTGTCCTTCTAAGATCCTATGTAGCTCTATTCATGGGACTGTCTTTCCAAAAAGTTGCATCATCACAATCAATTCAGAGTGGAATCTCAATTGGTAGAAAGCATACAGAGAAAATAAAACTTGACACTGAATTTTGTCATGTAAATTGAGCCAACACGTGTCTGGATTTTGGACACTATTTGATTTCAGATGCTATTGTCCCATTGTGAACATAGGTATCTGAATTTAGACACTATTGTCCCATTTTGGATAGGAGTTTTTTTTTTCATCCTTGTATTTATCCTTTTTTTCCTTTGTTCAGACTTTACAAGAATTTACCAGAGGTGAAAGCAAAGAATGAACAGCAGAAGCGCTTAGCTTTTTATCGAACAAATAGATTACGTGCCCAACTTTATGACAAAGTGAGTTTATTTGTTTGTTAATACATTGTAGCATTCATATTAAAGCAGTTAGTCAAAGTGAAAACAGGCAACCTGCTCGCAACTGAAGCATGGGAAAACACCAGTGACCAAGTTAGTCTTACTTTTTATTGGCTGAGAGACTGGCGTGAGTTTTCTGGACCAATCACTGAGTGAAGTGACACAAAACTAAACATCTCAGACTACATTTGACACTCAACTGAAAGGGTCTCTATGTGCACTTGTGCAACAACACAAGAACCATCAATTAGGAAAATGCATTCACACACATGTAAGCCCTAGTATGTAGGGGTGGGGAACGTGGGGGTGCAGTCGGTGCCTATTGTTAGAGGGACAGAAGGATGAGGAGAATAAAGCCATTGGCCCTTGGCATAAATGGTTAGCTGCCAAACCAGTCAGCTATAGTTGCCATCACCTTGGTTCATATGTGACAACCCTCCTGCACTCATTTATTGTGGTTAGCATCAACAGTATCAAAAGCATCCCATGTTGTCTAAAATAAAGGCTTAAACTGAATTTGTTAAAATTAGTTGTAAGAAACAATCAAAACAGTGGTTGATTTTCTTATTCCAGTTTTTATCCTCTAATCTTTCTGCAGAGAGTTCGCAACCGTCTCAAAGGAGCTGGCAAGTGACTTTCAACCTCCCAAAGATTATATTTTATTTCACAGTGTCAACATGGTTAATTAACATCCAAATGGTTCCAATGAAGCTTTCGTGAGGGACAATAAATGAGTTTGATGCCCTTTTAAATTGATTCTCCGGTATCAATCAAATCTTAAAGTTTAGCTTCGGTGTTTATTCTGTCACATATTGTGACAATAAATTTTTATTTATGACTTTTACAAGAAAAAACACAGGGACACAACCCCAATATTTAAGGTGCTGTTTCTATCAGTGAGTTTTACTTTTCAGTGGAGTTCTTGATTTAAGGTTAAAACTAATGGAATGAAGAACATATTAAAGTAATAAAGATCTATGGTACAGTTAATTGTGTTATTGATGCTATTTCTCAAAAGCAAATCACTATTCCCAAAAGATTTGGCTGGTGAAAGAAAGGAAATATTATTTGTAATAATGTAGTTTGATCGTCCAGGTGAGTGTAGTCCTGAGAAGGACTGTTGTCGGTAGTGGTGACTGACGTTTCGACAACCTGAGCAGAAGTCATATAGATTACACTGTTTCATCACTACACGTTCTCAATGAAATCAATGTTATGGTAATTCTTTTTAACTCTCAACTCAGTGATGGACACAAAAAATTATCACTACAACTGGAATTTAAGGAAGATAACACCTTATTCATAATCCAATCCCTTCTGACAGAAGTACTCTTCCAAATGCATACTTGCTAAAGGCTGCTTTTGGATCCTATACCTGTTACCCAAATTTATTATGAGTTCAAAATGAAATCAGCCTCAAATTTACAGAACTGAAATTCTCAGAGGCATTTATTGGATCCATAGTTCTTGATACTGATTTCATTGAATAAAAAAAAGGCTTGCTGTTGTGGGGTGCTGAAAATTTTGATAACATTCAAATTGTGTAGTTGGAGAAACATTATTAAAAGTTCTTTCCAAGCTACTGTCAATCATGTGGCAGACCTCTTGGGAAACATTCAAGCAAGTTCAAAATTGAATGTCATGTTTTTGAGCTGCGAGTGGAGGATTCCAATCCTTTTTGTTTGTGTCTGCCTTTGATGCTTGCTATGGCAATGATTGACAGAAGCACAAAACTGAATCTTCAGTTTAGTTCTTAGCCTCAAAGTTTGCATGTTACTTAAAGGGATTGTAATTGGAAACTGTTGAAATCAAAATTAGTTGCAGATGGTGCAACCAAGTGTAACAAACTTAACTTGTCTAGATTGAAAACTCTCCTTGTTTTTAACAGCCAGTAACATGACAGAAAATGGACTTATCAGTTTCATGAAAAAGACTCAAAACATTTCACAAAAAAAGGAGTTCTGACTTCTGTGACTACCAGTCAAAAAATAGTAATCCTTTTCAGTGTTATACTTACGCAGACAATACAACTAGCTGATAGTCCCACTGAAGTTCATCCATTTTAGTTTGGGAGTTATTTTCAAAGCAAGTTAATTTGAGTTTATCCATCTAGGTCCAGTAAATTGTTTCCTTTAGTAAGTAATTGCTCGCATATAAACAATATATTTATATACTCGCCAAGAAGGTGGAAAATTTGACAGCTAGTACTGGCAGTTTCATAGAGAACAAGGTGATCCAGAGAAATACAAACATTCAGGAATATTTTGCAGATATTTCCAAAGATGTGTGTTGCATGTTTCGCTAAGTAGAGAAATGGGTTGGCAGGGGAGAGTAATTGATCTGAAGGTACATGAATATGCACATGTTTTACTACCAACTGGAATGAATAATCCCCTTTAACATTTTGATAAAGGGTTTTCTCAAATGTTCCACATCCTCCCTTGTTCCTTCCAGTGCATCATCTAGATCTTGCATCAGATCTTCATCCATTGGATGGAATTCCAGTCCACCATAAAACACCTTCTCATGCTGTTCTGAATCATAATTCTTTTCAAGCAAGTTTAGGTTTGGCATAAAGAAAGATGGCAGATTTCCTTGCTCAAGACAATCATCAAGGAAGTCATAGATAGCCTTCCCCCAGGCAATCACCTGGTCTTCTGATGTGTTCTGTATATCAAGGTCAATTTCTTTCTGGCAAGATTTATTTACTAGCAGATAAAGTGCATTTTTCAAGAAGTAACTAGAGATAACTTTATCTGCCCAGACATTGTTATCTTCTGGCAGATTTACTGCTACCTCAGTTTCTTTGTGTGATGATTGTTCAGTATCACTTTCATTATTTCTTTCTTCATCAGAACTGCTTGGTAGCTCTGGCATGATTTGAATTCCTGGTGCAATTTTTGAACACACATAAGTACTTCTCACAGCCTTTGCTAAAATGTAACTGGAATGTACATGCTCTGGAAGGGCCTGGAATATTGCAGTTTCTGCCATAGAGAAAGAGAGACGAAAGTGCTTTTCTCCATTTTTGAAAAAACATTCACCATGTAGGGCCATCACAACGTGAACACCTTTTTCTTTCAATTTGGGATGCAACAAAGGGGTTTCACAAATATTTGGAGGCCAAAACAAGGGGAAGTGTACTGCAGGGACAAGATCAACACTGATCAGCAGATCTCTGTAAACTTGACCTGACCACTTGAGAGTAATTTTTGTAGCATTTGCACCCATTATGCAGACACTAACTGGTGCTAGAGAGGGGAGATCATTCCAGATTTCCTCCTCAAAAAAGGCTTGGTTTAACTGACCACTGAAGTCATTGATCAACTTTGCACTCCTTAAACTGTTGTTTTCATCCACATATTGCATAATCTCATGAGAAGCTGACAGGCGCAAATCAGGTTTCAGTTGCAGTTGACAAAACATTGGGGGACTGGATTCCATGTTTGGCTCCTGGAAATGCTTCCCAAGTTTCACCATTGTACATAAGAAGTCAAATTCATCAGGAAATCCACACTTGGTGCCTTCACTGACACTACCAGAGATCTCAGGGACAAACGTAAACAGGGGATAAGCTTTTGAAACAATTCCTGCCACCTGCTGAATAACTTTGTTCACTGCAAATTTAATTTCTTGGCTCTCTGGAATTACTTGTAGTCTGCCAATGACTGGTGAAGTCAATAGTTTTTTCAGAGTTCTGTTTGGGTGTCCATTTAGAGAGAAGTCCTTTGACTGCATCTTTTCGACATCCTCTTGCTTTTTGATGTCATTGAATTCATCTTTGAGTGGAAAAAAATCAGGTAGTTCTCCGCGTTGAAAACCATTGTCCAAACACAAAAAATAATCTTCCAAAATATCGATTAGTTGTACATATCCAAAGTACCTTGCCCAGTGGATTGGGGTTTTCCCAGAATTATCTGGCTTTGACACTAAACAAGATTCACACCGATTCAATAAACATTTCAGTGCAATGGCATTGTTGTAGAAAACTGCGTAGTGAAGAACTGTTGCTCCATTCTTGTCCTCGATATCAACCACACAGCCATTCCCGATTAGCTCCCTTAAATTTGCTGTATTGTCCCAGGAGCACGCCAAGTGTAATGGGGTAACACCATTTCTGTCTTTGATGCCTAAGTCAGCCCCATGCCTGACAAGGAACTGCAAGAGAGAGCTCTGTCGCATTTCGGATATCACATAATGTACGAGAGCTCGACCAAAGATGTCTTGACTGTTGATTTTATGACCTTCCATCACAAAGAGTTTCACTAATTTTGAATGCCGCGATTTCTCCTCGTCATATTTATCTGTTGGGTTGCTGCAGTCTAGATATCTCAACATATGCAAAGGTGTCATTCCTAAAGAGTTACTGCTGTTCACCGATATTCCTGTTGAGATCAGAAACTGCACGGTCTTCTACCCGTTGAGGATAGTGTAGCAGATAAATCGACTCCAAGATCTACAAGGACTTGAAGAACCTCAACAGCATCTGATTGAAACAGCTCCAAACTATGAAGCAGTTCGTAGGTTCCATTTCGCATACGATCGGGCTTTTGCAGGGAAAATCCCCTGTCTACGAAAGTTTGGCATGCTTTTTTATTAGCATGCTCTAAAGCATGTTGAAATGGCAGTCTTCCTAGGCCGTCTCTACTGAACATATCCGCGCCATAGTTTAGGAGAAGCTGTACCATTCTGTAGGCCTCGTCGTCGTAAAAATTAATGCAGTGCAGAGGTGCGCTGCCATAATCATCTCTCTTGTTAGGATCTTCTCCCGCTTTTAAACAGTTTTCCACGGCTCCAAGACCAGTGTTAAGTATAACTTCACTGTGTAGTGGGAATTCCATGATGTTCTTTTGCTTCAAATCGATCCACCTCTAGCGTCTCCGGGAATAAAGCTTTCTTAGTATTACAAGGTTCTTCGATTCTTTGTTTGCGCCAAGGTAAACAGATTCCCTCGGTAACAAGGGGAGGGGTGCACCATTAGTAAAGTGATAGGGGAAGGGGATGGTGGGGAATTTGGCGGATGGAAGAATTTCTTATTTCTCAAATATGTTTTGCTTGTTCTATCTTTTAGGTGGACATCTGAAAATACGGGTTATTTTACCCATTTACTCGATGTCGTTTTTTCTCTTGCGTTCTACTACGTACTTTTTTTACGGGGATCTTTTTCTGTCTTTGCCTCAACCCCCCCCCCCTTGTTAGGGGTTGGCATTAGTGGCATTTGCACTGATGAATTTCCCTAGAGGGTGGGGAAATTATACGCTTGATTCCTTTGCCTTGCTTTGAGGTTGCGCAGTTTGTGCAGTTCTTCCTCTTTTGTCCAAAGGGATTGAGGATAATTATGTTTTTGCCCTTCGAGCTCTAATCAGGCCTTTTTGTTTGCCACGAAAACGTTTGACGGACCTGCGGGACTCCTGCTGTTTAGAATTAGTTTCTGAACACCTTTACGGCTCAGCTCCAGTCAACGAGTCTTCAAGCTGTAAATCACTGATAACAATACACTGATTTTATTTGTACAAAAATGAACAAAGAATTTTGCTATGCGAAATATTATTTACAAAGTGTTTGTGACGAACAAGTCGCTGTGTACATGCACACGAAGTATCTCAAGTCTGATCAACATCGAGAGTAAGATCCACAACATTCATTGTTGTTTTGGTGGAGTTGCAGCCTCGCAAGCCAGCTACGAACGTGGACGGCTTCGGAACATTTGTTGATGACTCTCGCTTGGTTTGTGTTTCCACATTCCTGTAAAAAACAATAAAGGTAGTCTCAGTAAGTACCTCAGAGAAGCGACATGAAATAAGGGCAGAATCGCGCGCGCCTCGCGCAAGTTTCATAGCGCGCGCTCAATTAAAATGCGATAAGCTTGTAAAAGCACGAGCGCGCGCGCGCCTCGTTCAGGTTTTACCGGCATGCCATTCGCGTGCGCTATTTAAATGCGATAAACTTCCTTTTTTTAATCTAACATAATACTAACTCGCCTTGTTTTTCAAAAACAAGTTTTCACCGAAGCGCAATGATTCAATTCTCACGCGAATGTTCACCTTCCCTTTATATC